CTATAATTTTTAAATAATAATATATTAAGTCTGCTAATAGTAATTATTAGTTTTAATAATTTATTTAGCTAGCCTAGTATTATATAAACTTTACTACTTTAATACTATATTAAAGTACTAAATATAGCACTTAAACTGTAATTTTATACTAAATTTTTTTACTATATTATATAATTTGCTCTAGCGTTAACTTTACTTTTATTTATAGAAATAATTTATATTATTAATATTAAAAACTATTTAATATAGTAGTATGCAGAAGTTAAGGCTATAGTTAGTTTATACTACTAGTATTAGGGCTTGCAGAAGTCCCTAACAATATAATACTCTCTAAAATTAAGTACTACTATAGTATCTAATAATATAATACTTTTAGGGGTTAGAGCTTATAAAAGTTTTTAATAATATAATACTCTTTAAAGTTAGAGTTTTAGTATTATAACTAGTTTAACTAAGCACTTAACTTAATTGTATAGTATATTAGCACTTGCGCAATATACTACTATAATATAGTATTCTAAAACTAGGTGCATGTACTAACTTTACCTTAATATATGCCCTATATTTAGAATCCTAATATAGTTAGTACTAATTTTAGTAGTGTCTTGGCAGAGTCCGCAGCTCGCCTGGGCGCGCAGCTCGCCCGTGTAATATGTTACTACCTTTGTAGGCGCAGCGGCTATGCAACCCCTCTTCTCTGCATAATAACTCCATCGCATACTGCATACATGGCTCAATATGCAGCGCATCCGCCTCTGTTCACCGCCGGTTCTTACTACCACAGAGCGCATTGATGCGTGGCTGCGCAACTCTGCAAATACCGAAAGCGACGCTGAAGCCGCCTTGCCGAACCCGCGCCCGTCCAAGCGCCGCCGACACAGCGACTTATGCCCATACCCCATGGAGCAATTACGTTCACAGAGCCCCTCCAAACGGCCCCGCGTCGAATGCGATGAGCCTATTACGCCCACCCAAAGCGCGTCGGTGGTGGGCAGCGTGACGAGCCTTACGGAGAAGACGACGCTCAGCATGCGCAGCAACGCCTCGCGATCATCTTCCCCGCAGCGCCAAATCACCCAGCTACGAACAGCACACCCGCCCATATCCTTCCACCCGCTGGCCGCAGCGGGCGAATGCGTCCCTACGGCTGTTGCGCCGCGTATTCGGACACTGCAGACTCGTCTCCGGCACCGACTGGAGAGGGAATACATTCCGGCTTGTCTGAGGGATGCGCTAGAGCGGGATCCAACGTACAAGGCGTCGCTGCTGTTCGATCCAATTGAGGACGCAGCGTATTATGACGAGGAAGAAGAAGCAGATGTTTCCCTAGTGCTAGATCGCGTCAAAGCGGTGTTTCAGGGGACCTATTTGTGCAAGGAGCACACTATGGATGAAAATGCGTGGTGCTTGCATGTTGTGACCCCGCTGCTCCAACTAGCTATCATCTTGTACGGTCGTGGGCGGTTCCGGCAGGAGAGCGTGTATGTTTCTCTCTCTCTACCATCTCTGCATACTAATAACATAGACAATCGCAATCTATCCAGCCTGCCTACCTCTCCACCCCCACCCCGACCGCCCCCATCCGCTCCAAGCCCAGCCCCGTCTTCCGCAAAACCGACTTCTGCCTCTCCTACTCACACCTCCACCCTCTGTATGCTAGCCTCTATAAGACCCTTCTCCACGCCCCTATTAGCCATACTACCGACACCTACACCGAAGCTGCCGCCCTCTTTACCGGCATCGAAGTTAAGTCCCCGTCGGGAAACCTTCAAGAAGCACAGCTGCAAATGAGCATCTGGATGGCGGCCAGTCTGCGCAAAAAAGCCGAGCTAGCATGGTTGGCCTTTGCGACTGATGCGCTCCCCCGTCGTCCTGATCACGGGGCTTTCATCGAGCCCGGCATCACCATCGTCGGCACAGAGCACAAGGTTTATTATGCGTACCTATCTGAACCTGACTCTGCCGACCTATCTCCAGATATATCGACAACCTGCGCCATCTCAATCCTCGGGAATGACACAAGTTTGCCCTCCCTCGACACCTCGTCTGTCCAGGGCGTTTTCCGCGTTGCGAGGCTATATGGCAATCTTATGGAGTATGCTGCCGACGAAGATGCGGAGACTGGGTATTGGGGTGCATTTTTAGGGCCAGTTTTAGAGAGTTTAGCACGTAGAGTGGGTGGGATGTAATAGAAGGTATAATCGCGAGTAAGGTAAGGTGAGATGGCAGTAAGGCAGTAAACGTATGTACCGAGTGCTCCTAAAAAGGCTAACGGGGTAGAGAGTATAATAATGCGCAGTTATAAAGCTATTCTAGCTACAAGGTAATGGGTTAAGAATACTTCCTTCAGGTATCGTAGATGTGAGAGGTCTTAGACATCCTTCATCAAGTGGTCTATCTTGATTGATAATACAGCGAAGGGCATAAAGCGTGGTAGACCTCGCAATCGCCCTCGGGGCGTTGAAGCTGTGGTAACCTTCCTCTGGTTCCTGTAAAGTCAAAATGTGCTAACTCTTCCAGGTTGATTGTAGTTGTAAGCTTGAAAGGGGTACCGTCATTCATGAAGTCGAGGGCGACAAGGGGCTTACTACTAGTCCGATTGTAAATACGCTTCATGAAGTCTCTCACACATGCTTCAGCGTTGGCAGTAACCGCATGCATATTAAAGTGTACAGTAGCCAGACCAGGCTCGGTTATGAAAACAGGAACAAGTGCTGCGCCTTTTGCGTTCGCTGACACTCGCTTCGGGTTATTGATGTTATCAGCAAGCTTGCGTGTTCCTGAACAATCCGGGTGCTGAGCAGGTCATGAAGCAAGACTTTTGTGACAAGTTCTTTATCAAAGACACTATCGCGAGCGAGATACTCTGACATGATCATGGCACCCTCTTCGTGCAACTCGACGCTACCGGTGGGCATCGAGCCAGCGAGGATGCCCCGAATCTCTTAATGATGACCCTTCGATGCCGTATAACATATAATGTTTTCGCCTGCATAATCAAATACCGGCGTTACACATGTTCTGTCAGGCAAATGCATTCCTCCTGAAATAGGATGTTTTGCTACGATAATATCCCCGGACCGCAGTTGGCCTTCGTATTTTCTGTGTTAGAACATAAGTGTCTGCTCCACAGAACTAAGATGCACGGTTTTTTTAATATTGACTAAGATACTACTAGTCTTCTGTAGTGCTAGTCCGATCTGCTCCGCGATACTCATGAAACGATGGGCCATGATTGAGAGCTCGACCGGGTGGACTGCTCTTGGTGTAGCTTCCGTCGTACTGCTAGCTTGTCCTGCAGCTCGGTCAAGCTCTGCTGCTCTAGAAAAGTTGCTTTTGATAGGGAAGCTACGCCGATTGTTTGAGTATCGTCAAGAATGATCGCAAGACCTTCAATAAGGTCACTCGGATTAATAGTCGAAAGATGGAACAATGGAGCTGTACCCTATCCGCTCTTAAAGAAGACTTGCACGTAATCAGAGATCTTCTTCGACGAAACTGCGACTGGCGGGCTTTAGGTGAGTTGATGGTCAAGGACAAATTCAGGTTCGACGGAAGGACTTCGAGCTGTCGCCCGTACCCGCGCGTTCTCTACCAAAACATCGCGGCCAGGCATGGTGAATGAAGATTGTTGCCTATGCTCAGCATTCAATGCATCCTCCCATGTTTCTTTCTCTGGCCTGCATATCATAAGAGTAGTGTCGGAATCATCATATCGCAAGCTCAGGCCTCTTTTGTTGTACCTCAACCAACCATGACTGGCCACATAAACTTGCAACTGGGATGGCCGTCGCTATCGCTTTTTCCCGCTTCGCTCCTTGAAAGTGTGTCCAGCGTCTTTATGTCCCCCAGGAAGACAACATCTTCCCTCATCTGCGGACCAGATGCCGGCTATGAGCCACTTCGAGGTAGCATCGCCAAATGGCTCACGTCCACCACGTGTGCGGTTCGTAACTTTGTTTTGATTGAATCTGTGTGAACAATGGCGCATTAGGCAACCTAGACAATGTGCTCGCTCGTTTTACAGATCCAGGCTAAACGCGCAACATCTGGATGGTCGAGCCATGCTACTTTCTTGCATGTCCAATCTTCATGGACAATGGCTTTGAGGGAATGATGAAAGGCGTGCCTGAGGACGATGAGGGGCTGGAGCTCGAATTCCTTCGACGAGGTCTGGAAGCGTTGAATAGAGATGCCGCATTCCACGTCCCAACACGAAAGATGGGGGACAAGTGTACGAAATTATACCGCCACGTTATATACTGCGTCCCGACATTTTCGAACCCCAGCACAAAGACCATTTCCTTAAGACGAAAGTAAGAACTCATACGTCTAGCGAGAGAATATGACGCCCTAGTAGTCATAGATGATGTCTACGAAGTCCTACGTTTAGCCAGTAGAATAGGATGTAAGCCTGATCAGCTCGGCCACGTAACACCACGCCTAGTCAATATCGATCGTACACTCGATGGCAGACTAAAGGATGACTGGGGCAACGCAATGCGCAATGGCTCCTTCTCAAAGATTATCGCGCTGGTCGTGGGAGTTGGTTGGGCTGAAGCGACTCCCGCATTCTGTCTTGGGCTTTCGCAGGTAGGCTCAATGCGGTCTGGGGGGTGACCTGCCTACATGTCCGCAGCACTCGCGCATGAGATGCTCAAGTTGGGGTTTTTAGAGATGCATTTGAAGGAGCATGTGATTCAAGTTTTTAGAGCGCGATACTACACCTTACTGAAATCCATTGACCAGCATCTTGTCCCTCTAAGAATGCAGATCTCTACTGGAAGTCATTGAAACAAACTAACGGCACACAAAACGGCCAGCAGGAGCCCGTTGAGCAGGTTGGAGGATGCTTCATCTGGGTTCTGCTGCCTGACGCTCTTGCGGGCAAGGGCGCTGCACTAGCGGCCATAGGACTTGACAAGTTCGACTTGAAGTTCGCGTACGGTGACATGATGCAAGTAAATAGAGACGCTATATCCGCGGAAATGGCAGCGAAGAGCTAAGAAGGATTTCAAAGCGCCTGCGCCCTAGTTGAGCTATCGCTGGTTTCTGTGAAAGTACTTTGACAGCGAAGAGCTATGGTCACGGCATCCGTCTGTCCTGGGCATGGACAAAAAAGAGATCGTTGAGGGTTTTCAGAGGCTCGCTGCGTTGGTTTCAGAAGCTCGCAACGAAGCTCACCCTTAGACAGCTAGGTGATGCAGATATTCGGACGCGTAACAACATCAAAACTATTTGACACAACCATGTCCGCTTGAGAACACCAAATTTAAGTTCCTAGCTTCTCAACGTACAGCGCCCCGAACGTCGCCTGGCTAGTCTTTATCAAACTTTACTCCAATATCGCAAGACACAACAAGCACCCCAAGACTTCGGCCATAGCCTTGGTATTGCTCCCCTAGTGAACCACATGGTACTCTACTTGACGACTGAAAGTAAGTACACCCAATCACGTGGATCGACGCTCTGCAACCAGGGACCAAGATTTAGGAGAGCATACAACGAGGAAGGAGAGCTTATTGTTCCTCCTGCAGACATCTTGGCGGTACATGACGGATCTACAGAAAATGTATAGGCTGCTCTACAAGAAGCATTCTTCGTATAACCATGATGTCCAAACCATCCACTTCTACTCCCCATAAGGCGGTGTAAGTAGTCCTCCAGTCATCTGACACTCTGGGGCATCCTTATTGGCAACGCCCCTCTCTAAGAAAAAGTCTAGCACCATTGCAGCAGCCACGTCCGCATCATCATCCGCATCCACAGCTTTCATCGCCTCGTCCAACGCTTCCGGTGCCCAGGCAGGGAAAAAGAACCTGACCGTCTCGCGATTCACGAATCTGTCAAACTCAAAATGACCCTGATACGTGAGGACGCGACCGGACTCGTACATGCCTTGCACCGAGCAATGTTCGGTACTCCCTAGTGTCATCCACGACTGTGGCAGGGTGTTTGGCGTGGGAATGACGACATGGTCGTGATGCACGAATTGAAGGCGTATCTTCTCCTGCAGCTGATGCTTCTTTCCAAACGTCTCGAGGAATCGTTTGTGTAGTGTGATTTCTTTCACTCCAATCTCATATCCTTTTGGATCAATCCCAACGCTCACGCCAAAATCTTTCAGTAAACTTTGGCATATCAACTGATGGCCAAAACAGCTGCCGAATATCTTGACCCGGGGATGATTCCGGTATACATCCAGAATAAAGTCGTCTAGTCTCCGTATCCACTCCACGTCATCGTACGCCGCATCTACGGCACCGCTTATGAGAATTGCGTCGTACTCTATCAACGACGGTGGATATTCGCCTCTTGTAACATCATAATCGGATGATTCGATTATCGTTTTTGGTACTTTCTGAGTAGCAGCGGCCGAAAGGAGACCGTGAAATATTCTGCCATAGGTGGGGGCTTTCTGGGCGTGGACGTTTGGGACGGGTAGGTCGGCGTTAAGCATACAGATGCGAACCGTCTGCACCATAATTTCGCAACAAGGGCAATAGGATGAGTCTCTAGGAGAATGGAGGGAATTTCTGATCAATGAAATTTACAACCTCCATGCCCTGGGTGTTGCTGCCGAACTCGGCCTCCACGTGACAGCCGTAGATAAGCGAGTTACCAAATCGATTCGTAATTCGCCCACTCTATGACTCTCAACAACGGATGCTAGTCCGAGAGGAAGCATGTCGGATATCTCAGGCATCGGGAAATCCCGTCGAATTGAGGGATGAAAGTGAGAAGCCGGGAGATCGCATATAGGACGGTGCCAATGTAGCGTTCACCTGCATCGTCCGCGAAGAATGCATTGCGCTACCGCAATGTGCCTCACAGGACTGGACCGCGACCATCATCAAGGTTCTCGTTGCACAAATCTACACCGGCCAATAGACCCCCGCGCATGTGACGGGCTTAGCGGAGCTTGGCGGCCCCAGATATAAACTCTAGCCTCACCACCATGGGGTCACGAGGATTCCCCACTTATATTTGCGGAGAGGCACGGCTGGGGACATCCAGTTTCCTACCAGCTCCACAGATTGCTCGGTCAATCAGACATCTCCAGTTCCAAGTACTTACGGAAGTATCTTATTTCACGACTTCTGGGAAGGAACGTCTGTTGAACAATTTATCGCGTTACTTCTGTTGAAATAAATCCCTAACCGGATTATTGGTATAAATTGAATAATCAGACCAAATAATTGACCTGAGTTTCACTTTACGCTACAGATGCGCAGTCTCCCATAGACATACCTTCGCAGCGCACCTTTACCAAACATATCCAGAGTGGATATTCTGCTTGTCGGTCAAATACTTGAAATCTGTGTCATTGTGCACTCTTCCACTTTTCACAGCGTCTATGCAGTCGCGCCGGCGATTTTCATTCCAGCAGTATGCAGCATACAAGCCAATCGTGATGATGGACAGGGGGTATGAAGCAAGTATCGCACCCATGCCGAGTGGGTACAGTGGCGCCTTTTTGGTTTTGAAGAATTACTGTGCGATGATGTTACTCACACAGTAAGGGATAAAAATCAGCGCAATGACAGTGACTTTCTTCGTATGGCCAGTGGTACCGGCGGTGGTGATGCTGAGCGCAACGAGATAAGTTCTAAGAGGTAAAAGTATGAGCAATACAAAGCAGCGAGCCGTCCGTTAGAGTTGTCAAGTGAGAGTGCGGAGAGCAAGACTGCTGAGATCATGCCAACGAAGATACCAAGTAATACCCAGGTTGTGCGACATTGCTTCTGGGGCAAATACTTCAAGGTAAGAAAGACGCCGCCGTTGCATAGGTACGAGGCTACGGCTTGCGTAATGCCGGTTCCCATAGTGAGAAGCGTCGAGCGTTGAACAGTGTAGCCCTATCCACTGATAATGAGCGGGGTGAAATTCGTGAGTCCACCGCTGTTGGATATACTAATCCAAACGTGGAAGAGGGATTTAAGCCATGTCTTCGGGCCGAGGAACTCTTCAATCACCTGCTCTTTCTTAAATGTCTTATTTTCCACGCCTGTCTGATCTCTTCGGATATTGTCAATAACAATTGCTTTCTGTCGTTCAGTGACAAACTTTACTTTGACAGGATTATCAAGCAGGAAGAAACCGATTACGTATGACTATATAATAGTCCTACCGCATTATAAGTGCCGAGACACTGTTGTTGTGTCGTTGTGATACTAATCATAGCAAATTTATTACAAGTGTAGTCGATGAAAGGGATCATGAGTATGTCCAGGGTGCTACGAAGAAGGTCGAGCCGTTGCAGAAGTATCTGCAGGCAGCGCAGGCAGCGCAGGCTGAGGGCGAGGACCTCAAGGCTGCAAGGGACGATTGGAAAGGCAAAGCTGGCATTTCGACGTTTCAAGAAGCTGTCAAGGTCGTTGCTTCGAAAGATGAGTTCACAGCGTACAAGGCGGGGCTGTCCAAGCAGAGGTTTAATTCTCCTGTACTCCCGCCGCGAGATCGCTAGTAAAACCGTGAAGTAAAAAGTCTTTTTCGACTAGGAACTCCCCCGGTCAGCAATGGGTCAACAGATGTTCGCAGGCAGTGTGAAGGTCATTTTAGAACTTGCACTAGCCGTCGCGCCGCTCGGTGACGTGACCTAGGCACGTATGGATTCTCCCAACTAGGATGACATCGTCGAATTTCACTCCAAAGTACGCGAAGTGCACCCCGACCGCCTCTTCCCTTTCTGCTACACCGGTGACTTCGTTCTAAACACCGTCTTATTAACTCATATTAGGCAAGCCTGCCAACGTAAACCTCGGGTGCGCAACGGCGAACATTTGCTTACCATGCGGCCTGCCCAGCGCCTGTTTTGACAGTGTTGGAGAGCTGCATCTAGATGGACGACAGGAAGCCCACAGTAGACACCTGCAGACGGCTGAAGACACAACAAAGGAGAAATATGAGACGAGCATCTATGCAAAGACGAATAGGACGTTAGGCTAACGAAACAAAGGACCGCTCCTCCTTTACCGATACAAATCCTCCACTCCCAGCTCTTTACACGAAATACCGAACAGACGTACACGAAAGGCAGACCAGCTTTGAAGGCAAGGAGATAAGAACATGAGCGACCATACTTGTCAAGAACGTTACTTGCGCGAGCGCGTGTCTCCACACTATATCCGTTGTGCGCCGAGGACAGAGGAGTTGTTTTACTCTGTTGACGTCGTCAACAGCTCGTGCATATTGAGTTTCGTACGCGCCGGTCACCACAAAGCTTGCTCGAACAACGGTTAATAATTGTTAAAGCCGATGAGAGGCCCTTCATCAGTAGTTCCACCCAGCGGAGCTCTAGGAAGTAGCATGTTGACATCGAATCCGGTTCAGCGCTTTGCCGTCACAATTGAAAGAGTCTGTCGAGCTTGAAACCCTGTCTTTCTCGGTCCGTCGCGATTTGGGGTGTTCGGAAGACAACAGGATTGATTACCGGTACTCAGATATGACAAATTGCAGCGCGAGACAAACGCCCTTCCACTGCAACACTACACCCGCAACTTCAAAACTACCTTATATATGCGCATGTTTGGTGCATGACCTCAATACCCTTAAAGACAGCCGGTCAAACTGAAACAAATAAATAATTTAGAGGTGAACAGCCGTACGACGACAACGGAGAATAGCAATCTATCACACATCTGGGTTTTTGCAGGATGCATCGACTTGGATAGAGTAGTTTTGAGATAACATTTGCGCTTGAGTCGGTACGATATGTCGGACACCTCGCCGGTCAAATGCGTCGTCGCAGTTTTATCTCATGCCCGCCTTATCAAGTATTTGCAACCCCTAAACACTTCGAAGTCTCCAAAACGCCGAGTCACGTCCCCGATACCATGCCAATCATGTTGTGACTATCTGTCCACTTCGTAGAGATCCATCATTCCACCATATCGACAGTGGGTGATCACTTCTTCCAAAAAGCCCAAGACTTCTTGTTCCCGTCGTTAACTACCTCATGCCTCTCGTTCATATTGACCATTTCGATAGGCTCGGCTTCCGCATCCTCCCTCGACTGTGTGTCAGGAAGCCTAGGGTCTCGGATGACGCAGGACAATAAAATGAGTGCCACGCAGAGGAAAGCACCCACGATGCAGAGTAGACGCTGAACGTGCTTGAATGCATCGTCGACGGCGTCACGCTCTGGCGTGCCTGTGTGAAAGTGCGCAATCATTTCAAGTGGAGCAGTGTACCACTGTAATGCTAGCGTCTGATTGCCGCCGAGAAGTTGCTCGAGTTTTCGAGGAAGAATCTGTGTCCAGATAGCCCCAGAGACTGCATTGCCAAGTGCAGCACCCACGCTATAAATTGCAAAGTAAAGTCCTATTACGACTGCAACGTGTTCGTGCCTTGTTGCGGCCTGAATGCTGACCAGTGTTGGATAGGGAAACAAACCACCTCCAACACCAAGAATCACTTGAGCAGCGATGATACCAGTGTGGTGGGACGAGTCGGTTGTGCTACCCCTGTAGCGGATCATGAGTCCAAAAGCCACGAGAAAGAGGAAGGTGCCGAGCATAACAATCGGTTTGAGTCGGCGAACCTTGTAGATAAGCAGGCCAGCCAGGATACCGGTTGCCACCGAGACGAAGTTGTATAGTGCTACGATTCGAGCGGCAGATTCGACGCTCTCGTTGAAGGCGACTAGGAGTACAGTATAGAGATAGTCTGCTTGACAAGCCCATGCTGTTCAAAGTTAGCATGATATGTGTGATGAGAGTGAAAGACTGACCAAAGTTCAGATGCAGAGCGATGCCCAATGCTCCCCAGACGGCGCGGTCCTTAAGGAGCTAATGTATGTTAGCTATTGAGAAGAGTAGGCTAGGCAGCTGACTTACGTGAAAGGGGACCATGGGGTAAGGAGCCTTAGTCTCCCACCAAATGAAGATGGGGATTGAAGCTACTCCAAGGGCGATTGGCACGATGATCTTCGCCTCACCCCAGTGGGCCTGCCTGCCGCCAGCTAGGGTGAGCGGTGTAAGTGTATGCCCTAGGATACTAGTCACGAGAAAGATGCCGATAACATCCAGCTGCCAGAACAAGACCTTCATCAGCGCCCAACCGCCATACTGTTGATATGGAGTCTTGATATTCTTCAGGCTGCCTGCTTTTTTCGCTTTGCGCTCGACCCATGAAAAAGCTAGGATAAGAGGCAAGGCGCAGACGGCATATATGGCTGCCCACATGCCGATAGCCCAGCGCCAATTCGAGGTGGCAAGGACCTTTGTCGACATTTCGGGCGCAAACCAGGGGATAATAAGGAAGCAACAGGGAGGGATGTATGAGAAGAATCTAGATCCGTAGTTAGCGCATATCCAGCGGTTTCTCTTCAAGAAGAACGCTACATACACTCGCGAACGCAAGGAGGTTGTATCTGCGACGATAATCTCCAGGAGCAGAACAACGAGACTGTATCCGACCTGCCATATTAAACCGCCAAAGGCGAACATTGGGATGCTGTCGCAAGTCGCTTGGATGATGGTACCTATACAGCATCAGTTGAGTCGAAGGCTATGCACATACAAAACTTACCAGTGATGTAAAACAAGACGGAGATGATGAACAACTCCTTGCGACCGAAGATATCCGCAACCTTAGCTGCGCCGGGCTAGTTGACCACGTCAAACATTGGACTGCATTTGATGAGGAACCACATACCTGAGCGGCAACGGAAATGACACCTTTCACCACGTTGACCATACTCAGCAACGCGTGTCCTTTGAGCTTGGACGTAGCTGTGGTCGAGTAGCTGAGTCGTAGAACGAAGTCTAGGCTGTACGCAAAGGCAACCAAGAAGATGCTGAGGAAGATGCAGACACGATTGGCGAACGTGACATGTGAGGCAATCGCTTCCACCCGAGCGACACCAGAAGACTTGAAGCCAATTGGCGAACTACCGTCCCGCTCTTCGTCGCTGCAACGCGGCGGAATCGTCACCTTCTCGTCGTCGTCGGACATGGTGAACTTGCTGTGATAGAGCTTGAGGTGGCAGCGATGGGACTGATTATGAACGAAGTCTGTAGCAACCAAAGTTGAAACGGTAGCGGAGAGCAGCGCACGAGCGTGGTAGCGGCGTGGAGAGAAAATTGGATGGACGAGCAGTGTCCCGGGTGCAATTACACAACCACGCCAAGGCGCGTTGCAGGTTGGTCACGCCGACAGGGAAGGAGGGCGGCGCCCAGGTTGCAGAGAGGCCTAGCGGGGGTGAAAGCGTCGTGACCTCGACTTCGAGCAGCCCTATGCTCTTTCTGTTGTCCAATGAAACGCGTCGTCTAGCAGATATAGTCGCGGTTCACTTTCACCTCACCGTTATCAAAGCACTTTGTAGTAACGTGTTCGCTCCACGGCTTGCCCTGGGCTTGCACCTCGAATGGCGAACTAGAGGAACAGCCTTTATGATGTCACTCTCACCCATTATACTAGTTCCTGGGGGCACTTGGTGAACGCCATAGTCAGGTGGTGGACCATCTGGGGAGTCCTCGGCAGTGCTACATTGATATTAGACGACTAAGTAAAGCCCAAGCCAGTCATTGCATCCTCAAGGTATAGTAATGCTTGAAAGCACGCCTTTGTAGGCGGAGGCGTCGCAGGATGGGGACACTACGCATGACTGAAGGCATCCCGTTCGGCTGAGTGAACTGGTATTCACGAGAGCTCACAGACAGTTCACAATTTGGATAGTAGGCGCGGAGACCACCGTGTATTAGCATGCCTCAATTATACCTCCTTCAATGAGTTGTAAATAATCTGAACTCCAAGATGGCACTCACCAACTACCTTCTTTCGCAAGAACATCCCATCCAATGAGTCGCCACACCTCATGCTTATACCAATCTTCCACATCTTTGTCGTCGACCTTAGCAACTCTCGGCAGTGAAGCGAGCCGAAAAGCAGGTGTTGGTTTCGTAAGAACATCGAGAAATTCATCATCCCCGTTGGTTCCGTACATGCAACACACGAGAGTCCGTTGAAGGCGATCCTTTGCAATCGGACTTAGCCGGGACCTCGAGGCATTCGGCGGATTTTTCAAACTCAACGTGCAGTTAGGGTGGTTGACGTTCTTGGTTTCTCGGCCCGTTTGGAGATTCATATGGTGAGGAGCCAATCCCATAGCCCTTTCCAATATCAAAACGAGTGCTTTTAACTCCAATCGAATGGCGAGTGCTTCTCTCTCGCGCTTCGAAGTATCGGCTGCATTGTGAGGCTCTGGTATGGATACAATGTTGCCTTCAACCGTAGTGCTGCGGTGTCGCCCGAACGTGCAGTAGTAAAGTCGCTTTCCAATCCGTTCGAAAAGCATGAAAATAAAGCCATCGAATATCTTCTGATGAGTGGAATCTGTCCTTTCGAGAAACCCAAGGAAGCTGCTCAGAAGATGTGCCACCGCTCGCGCTGGGACAGACTCATGGGCAACAGTTACGGGTGCTTTGCCTTTGCCTTTCTTCGGTTGAACTGGCTGCGACACGATCTGTCGGGATGATTCACGAGCTGACGTTTCGATTGACGTGAGTCCTGATTTGAACGTGTTTGCCAGCTCACATATTACTAAACTGGGCAGCCGCTGGTCCGTACCACAGCCAGCCAGCTTACCAGTGCCGACAAGTATTGACATGAAAGCTCGTGCACATATCGACAATGCAATAGAGAAGTCGGTTCTGTCTTGATCCAAAGATGCGGTTCCTGGTGTTGTTCGCCCCTGGCGTGTGAGTTGCTCATGGTTGCTTGCAACGAGACAAATGACCTTGCCAAGCACCGAAGAAGTACGAACAAGACTAAGGCAGAGAGGCTCGGCATCCGGCTTCGCCACTCTACACAGGTTATGTGTAATGAACAAAGCCTCCGTGAGACTCTTGCCATCTGGTTGCACTTCATTAGCTGGATCAGTTGAGGGTCACCGCGGTTCCCACCTTTTCCTAATCCGTCGAGAAAATCTTTATCATTCTCGATCGTGTCTTGAGCTTCAGCGCCGAGTTGCTGAGGTGTCTTTGATCGTGGTGGTTTAGGTCGCTTTTGTGGTCTGGCTGGTGGAACTGCTGGTGCTTTGCGTTTCGAAGCGCGCGGAGCGACATTGATGTCAGGAGTGTCGGCGCTCGCCTGACTTGAGAGCAGCTCGTTGGATCGCTCAAGTTTAATGTTGATGCTTCTCAGTTGATCGCAATCGTCTTGCGCCCGCCTGCATTGCTCCTGCCAATATGCGACAAGGTCGAGGTAATGATCCGGCTCGTCGGCATCAGCGGGGTTTTGTCCGCGTCTCACCTGAGCACGCAGCTGGAGGACGTACTCTAGGATGATCAGTATCTGCATTGATTGAAATTGGATGTACGCGTACTAACCCCGCACTGGTATCTTGGATGGCTTCGATTGGATGATTACGATAGCTAAAGCAGCTTGCTCCCAAGATGGAACAAGGACAGGTGGAGGTGACGGTGTGCTCGGTGCCATAGACGGCGAGACGAACGGAAAGTATGCTGCAGAGTGGGTGCTGAAAGATGTGAAAGATGGCTCGTGGGAAGCAAAATGAAGGAAGAGAACAAGGAGTGACTGGTGTCTAATCCGGCAATGCTCTACCTAGGGAGTGTCGCATGCGATATCAGGGCTGGGCTGATAAGAAAGGATATGGAATGGACAGAAAATAAGGGTTTTGGTAAGCTCGTTGAATCGCAAGGCGGTCCGGCAAGGAAGGTGGGGAGTGGGTACAGTCGGAAGGAACGACCACCAAGCAACACAACATGCCTACATTGGCAAGGGGCCATGCAATGGACTGGCGCGGTGCTCAGAATACTATTTATTTGTTTCAGCGCCGAACAGTATAATACATTTGAAAGGTCTTGAACATATGGTACATCCAACATGATACTGACAGCATGCGCTCCCTGTGAAGGGTCCGATCTTACGACTTCCTCACCGCATTCGTTCAATCCGTCGCTTGTGGGGCAATGGCTCGACCCTCTTCCTCTTCAACTCGACATTGATCTGGTCTTTGAAACCAGCGCGTTCCATTACGCCTGCCATACTCTCATCCCACTTCGTCCTGAACAACGTAGCAGTAATCGGGTTCAGCTTGTGCGAGTCGACAAAGCTTCGCAGGTTGAATTTGTTGCGCTTCGTCTTGCTAAGCCTGGCAATATCGAGAGATTTCGCCTCACTCTGCTCCAGGACGAAGATTGCCAAACGGTGGTATGGTGCACCTTTATGCGCCCATGGAGCAATCCATGGTACACTAATCTTCTTCGCAGCTGGGTCCTCAATCTTCTGGTCCTCTTGCGCGATGCGCTGAAGTGGTATGGAAGTCTGCGTGGGCGAAATCGAGATGTTGGAAGCAATCAAGTGGCAGCGATAGGTGAAGCTATCCGTCTCAGGTACAGGCACATCGCCGTCTACCACAACTACGGTAACCAGCTTCTCTCCGGGTGTGAAGGTCTGAACATTGAGTCGGGGCATCTTTTCGCTGATGGCTGAGTCTACAAAATCGCCGGGGGCCACAGGTTTTCGTCCAAAGCCAAGGTCAATGTCTGCGACGAGATCGATCGTGGGAAGGAAGTCGGGAACGACGTCCAGTTGGGTGATACGCTGCTCGAGCACGAGGCGCTTGTACTTTCGCCATTTCTCATCGGCCAGGTAGCGGTAGATGGGCTTATTCATGTCGCCTACATTATGATTAGCCTCCCTCTATAGAACGTCTGTGGATGCAGCCTACCTTGTCCATCCTCGAACTTCCGCTTGACTACTGGGTCGTTAATGTCCGCTAAGATGACTAGCTCATTCAGATGCTTTCTCATGCTCCTAATGCGGGCCTCCTTCGCCAGGAGACCGCCGCTCACGGCCGGGTCCTGTTCTACCAAGTTCTTTATCCTAATTTGTTGCGTCTCGATTTCCTTAAGCTTCTCCTGCCTATCTTCCAACAGAAACCTTCTGGCCTCCTGGAAGCATTGGTATGGAAGCTGTTCAAAGGGCACCTCGGTGGCCTGTTGTATTGTAGAGCGTCGAAGGACAGCACGACGACGGCGGGATCCAACGGGCTGGAGGTGCTCCCTTCGAAGCAGTCGGCGCTCCTGTTTCTTATTCTCCACCATTTGGGGGTCGAGGGTTCCCCATTTCTGCATGTATTCAGGAGTCTCTTGGGGAGCACTGATCTGAGTAGAATCTGTCGGCGGGTCTGAAGGAGGCGGCGGTAGAGGAGTCGAAGACTGTGTCTGCAGATCCTCACGAGCTGTTGTAGATGACGAGAGCAGGCGCCGAGGCGTGACATTGGCGCCAGAAACCTGTTGCACGCATCGTAGACACGCGCTGAATTGCCGTATCGACAGCGTGACGGAAACCATGGCGCGCGATGGGGATGCTGTTGCTGTGCAGGGAACGATCGATGGGCTGCATTGGAAAATGATGAAGTGCACGGGCCGCGGCTTCTTTTCTGAGAAACCTCCGCGCGACCTCCGCGACTTCAACTTTCGAACACCACGTCTGGCATGGCTTCTACGAGAATAAGCGCGCCAATGCGGGGCGTCACATATCAATTGAGCAGACTGTCGATACGGCAAGATGCATTGTCCGCTCGCTACACAGTTTGTCAAACCTCTTCCACACCATACATCATTCTAACAGTTCACCAGAAATCCCTATCCTCGTTCGCCCGCTCAATATCAACCTCGACAGCATCAAAAGCCTCTGTGTCATCGATAACTAGGTCTGTAAATGATTATGTTCCCGTCAAACCCCTCGAGGACCAGACTGTGTTCGCGACGATTCACCAATTTCCTTCCCTTGAACCCCTCCGATTCGAATCGTACCCTGCGAACCACCTCCACCTCCCTACAAGAAGAGACATTTTACACCGCGCTGTCATCTACGAAGGTGACATGACTCGATTGGGTACCGCTTCGACAAAGACCAGACATGAAATCCGGGGTTCAGCGAGGAAGGTCAGACCGCAGAAAGGCTCGGGGCGCGCTCGTTTGGGAGATAAGAAGTCACCTATGCTAAGAGGTGGGGGTGTAGCGTTTGGTCCTCAACCTCGGGACTTCGCCACAGATCTGCAGAAGAAGGTATACGACTTGGCATGGCGGACAGCACTCTCATATCGATTCCGGAAAGGCGAGTTGATCATCGTGGACAATGCGATGGAAATTGAGAGCCCCTCTACTCGGTTGCTAGACGATATCTTCAAGCACCACGAGAAGCTACGGGGGAAAGGCAGAAGTCTGCTGGTCACGCTGGAGGAGCGACCGCTGCTGGAGCAAGCGTTAATAGAGATGGATCGTGGCGAACAGACACTCACGTGGGAAGAAGTCGACGTCAAGAACCTCCTCGAGCTCTCGCGCGTCATCATCGAGCGCGACGCTCTGCACAACATCCTCCTCACCCACCAAGAAGACCTTACGCACAAAGCTATCACCCCATGGCACAAGAGCCTCATCCGTTCCTCGCCCCCCGAAGAGCTCGAGTCAACAATAGGCTGGCAAGAGTTCCGCGCTCTTTCCCTAACAGACCCCAAAGAGCACGAAGCCGCCCGTGCAGACGCCTACGAGAGTGTAGCATCAACGCGCTATGCATATGCCGAGTCCTTATCCACAGGTCCCAAGCGCAATGGACTCACTGTCTCAGCATACAACCTCCTCGCCGAAGCCAAGGAACTCCAATTCGCTCAAAAGACTGGCTTACCTTTCCGCGAGTACACTTCTCTCATCGATGGCTTGGACGCTTCGGAAGTTGCCTCGTCATTTCCCCGTATACAAGCCCTGGATTACCAAATCAATGTCAAGAGCGACCTCGCTGCCACCGCCGCGGAGACGTCGAGGCTGAAGGGCGAGGAACTCATGATCGACGTGCGGGAGCTTGAAGTGCAGAAACTAGAGATCCAGTACGAAGCCGCGCTGCTCTCTGCGCAAGTTTACGAGCACGTCGCAGAGGCCCAATCACTAGCCGCCGAAGAGATCGCTGCGGAGGACTCCTTGAGTTTAGCTAGTTCAGAGCGCACGAATGTCGATATGCTAGAGTTGCAGATGCTGGAGGCGAGACTTGAGGTCGCTAAGCAGAAGTTCTTAGTAGCGGGCCTGAAGAACGATTTCGCTCGACAGAAGAAGGCACAAGAGGAGGTTAGGCAATGCACGGAGCTTGCGGAGGCCAAGCGTGCAGAGGTAGAAGCTTGGGATGCGCAGATGGCAGAGCTTGGAGAAGTTGAAGCGGAGGTGCCGGCAGAGGTTGAAGAATCAAGAACAGAGCCAGTGGTAGAGGCCAAGAAGGAAGAGAGGAAGTAGAGAGCTTAATTCTTCTTATACGAGCCTGTATTATCATACACTGTATCTGTAGATGTTTCATGCCGTTGTGTTTGTATGATTACCACGTTATGGGTAACGGGGGGTGTTGCTACATAGTTACACTATTCTACAATCGCACACCGCGAATATGCTTTGATGTCTTCTCCGACCTCCTCCCTTTCGTTCCTTCAATTCCCGTCTGACACCTCATCATTGGCACCAGCTCGACGATGTTCCGGCAATGCGAAGCACTCTTGTTCAGTCATCTGGGAAATCCATCAGAACACGGCCCCCCATCACGCTGCTTTGTCCTCTAATTTCACATCCTCTTTTTTCTCCTCAATCTTCCTTCCCTCAAACACAATCGTCATGACACCCCCTACCTGCCCTTCTGATTTAACTTCCCCCGCCCCCTTGCATTCTACCACCGCATCCCTTACGGCCTTTATCACACCCTTTGCCTCCTCTTCCGTAGCCTTTCGCCCCTTCTTCTTCGGCCCAAGCATAATGTCAACTTTCCTCCCCTCCCTCAGGAACTCCTTCAGTCTCTCCAGCCTATGCTTGAGATCCCCACCCGCAATCGCCCAATTTAGTTCCAAGCTCTTCGATGCAGGACCCGTTGATTGATTCTTAGCTTGGCGACGCAGTATGTCGAGTTTACGCTGGTGCTGCGCTCGCAGTTCCATCTTGGAAATCACACGGCAGGTGGGGATGTTGAGCGAGTCTATGCGCCCGAGGTTGTCGACTTTGCCGGCAGACATTTGCACCAAGTGATGTGTGACCTTATTAAACGACGATAAGGCTTCGCTGAGAGGGACACTATTGTGGAATGTACCATCCTTGTCTACGAGGTTGATGTTGTCTGCTTCGATTGCGCGGTCGATCACGAAGTAGTCAGAGAGCGCGTGGCGGCGCGTGTCTTTGGTGTATTTCTTGGTGCGGATGCATGTTCGTGAGATAAGACTTGGGGTCTGGCTTCGACTGTGATGGGAGGGAGCGAAGGCTGGTGCGTATAGGATTGGTATTGAGCTTGTAGCGCGGAGATTTGGGGCTACGAATACACGGTAGAGGGCGCGGGAGGTGCCTGAGATGTGGGTGGGAGGCATATTAAGTCAATCGTAAGGAACGGATGAAGCAATGACTAGGAAGATAAAGAACTGATCTAAACTGTCCAATGCGATGGAGAGGAGACGATAGATATCTAGGAATTGAAGCTTTTCGAACAGTCGCTCGGACGCTAGCAGGGGTCGAATCGGAAAGTGACGACCTCCGAACGCCGCAAACCCCCGCCTGCCAGCTTCGTGCACCTCGTCGTGACACTCTTCAGCCTGCCTCGATGTAGCAAATCATCATGAAACTGAAAGCTCACGGACGTTCCTCTTTTGACGTAGCACGACTTCATCTGCCGCCATGAGTAATCCACTCGCAGAGTACTTATCTGCCCTGGAATCACGCGATGCGCGAGAGAAGACACACGAGGAGTACATCAACGCTTGTGAGTACCGCGTAGCTTGCTCACATTACGGGACATTGCGAGAACATATATCTTGCTCTCGCTGTGGATAGGAACTTACAACAAGCAGACACGAAGCTCGCCGACCGAACATCAGTTCTAGCAAACCAGACACCATCTGCCGCGGAAGAGCCTTCACGGTCACCCAGCGTCTCCACCAGAACCATCCGCCCTAGCACGCCTAGCACACCTAGAAGCAAAGGTGGCATCGCGCCATCTGATGTCTCAAGCCCCTCCACCCTCGCCCAGATCCGCTCTGAGCTCGCCTCCACTCAGCGCACCCGCAGCGAGTTAGAAACTAAGCTCAGCACCCTTAACACCGAGCTATCTACTCTCAAAAGTTCCGACTTGCAACAGAGGCAGCGCATAGACCAGCTCGAAAGGGTCCGGACAGCCCTAGAGCGGCGTGGCAAGGACAGAGCCGATGAGTTGAAGGGCAAAGGGAGGTTCGTAGAGGAAGTGCAGGATGAGATGGTGGCGCTGAACTTGCAGCTGAATATGGCGGAGCAGGAGAAGGAGAAGCTAAAAAAGGAGAACGAGGATCTGACCAGACGGTGGGTGCAGAAGATGGAGGAGGAGGCGCGGAAGATGAATGACAGGATGGGCTGGGAGGAGCAGGGTGGGCGAAAGAAGGGAAGTAGGAGCTAGATAGCTCAGCATTATACGTATTAGGCCTATGGGAGTTGGAAATTCGTTTTAGAATGCTCAAACCAAACGGACATTGACTCGTGCTGAAAACGCAATGCCCGCGATCACATTCATAATGCTTGTCACTTCTGCTGCTCTGGAATATAAAACCACTCCTCAGACGGGTATTTTAATGATATTACTAGGCTTTGGAATTATTTGCGAGATTTAGAAACGTCCGCGCTCTCGACCCCAGTGCTGCCTACATTGCTTGGCATTCGTAGATAGCTCCCCGCAATATGTACAGAGCTCCGCCTTCCACCTCAACACGTACTACACTCACCAAACATCTTCCACGCAGTCTTCAACCATGGGGACCGCACTCAAGACTTGGGGTAAGTATGGACAACACGTCGTTCGTGTTCATTCCTACTACAGCCTCGGATACCCCGCCAAACATAGTACAGCTACTAACAGACAAGCAGAGCTCGAGAACTCAGTCAAGCTCGTCGATCCTACCAAAGATGCACTCTACTCCTACTCTGCCTCGGCCCAAAAGTCTATTAACGAAGCCCACCCATGGCGCACCGATCCAAACTACTTCACCTCTGTCCGCATCTCCGCCGTCGCTCTGCTCAAAATGGTCATGCACGCGCGCTCGGGCGGCTCCCTGGAAGTCATGGGGCTCATGCTCGGGAAGATCGAAGCACACACTTTCGTCGTCACGGACGCTTTTCGGTTACCCGTTGAAGGTACAGAGACACGAGTTAATGCGCAGGACGAGGCAAATGAGTACATGGTTGAGTTTCTTGCTAGGGCACGAGAGCAGGGACAGAGCGATAATGCGGTGGGGTGGTATCATAGTCATCCTGGCTATGGATGCTGGTTGAGCGGAATCGATGTCAACACGCAAAAGACACAGCAGCAGTTCCAGGACCCTTTCTGCGCAATCGTCATCGACCCTGATCGTACTGTTTCAGCTGGTAAAGTCGAAATTGGCGCGTTCCGCACGTATTCGACCGAGTACATGGAGACCAATGATAAAACTGGTGGTAGTTCAAAGTCGAGTGGAGGCGGCGGCGTTGACAGTGACGGCTTCCAAACCATCCCCCTCGGCAAGATCGAAGACTTCGGCGCACATGCGAACCACTACTACTCGCTCGAAGTCACGCATTACAAGTCCTCTCTCGACGCTAAGCTCCTCGAAGCCCTATGGAACAAATACTGGGTCCAGACTCTCTCGTCATCCCCGCTTATCTCGAATCGCGACTACGGCACCAAGCAGATTAGCGATCTGGCGCGCAAGACGCAACAAGAGAGTAAGAACGGGAAGCGGTTCAAGAGTGGTCCAGGGCATGCTACTAGATTTGAGGTCAAAGGGCAGTTGGCAAAGCTAGGCGCGGCGGGGAGTAAGATTGCGAGGGAGGAGGACATGGGGCTTTTGGCCGCACAGGTCAAAGACAAGGTATTCAACTTGAATGGGGATGACCAAGTAACGACGGAGAGTCAAGAGGTAGAGATGAAGACCTGAACGATGATTACACCTCCGCAAACAGACTACACCGCATGAAATGACACTCTGGGAATTGGGTGCATAGCTAGGCGTTCAGGCATTGGCGCAATATGGGACTAAGAGGCGAAATATGAGCGTGATAGGGCTGAGTTCTCCCGCGGGCTGCCGTCTTTGCTATTAGGGTAGAAGCATACCCGTGGACATGACCACAGGTTATGCTCAAGTACAGTAGCATCCCGGCACGATACGTATCAAAGGATTAGTCTCAAGTTCCGTCTTGATTCACAATTTAACGCTTCATACTGCAGTGATGTGCAACTACCCCTGTATTCAACGATGTCTAGCAGCGCTAAGAGTACCATGTATACATACATCTACAAGATCTTACAGCCTCCATATGACTCACCGGCATCTCCAAGTTCATACATTCTGTCCTCTATTTTACGATTCATGTCCATCATCAAACAACCCTCACTAATCCACACCTAGTCTCGCCAACGTCTCTCTCCGCCCTAGTATCAACATGACGTCATAAATCCGCATGCCTTTCTCCTGCCCCGTAAGCGCCATGCGCATATAATGATACACGTCTTTACTTCCCTCTTTGCCCTGCTCTCTCCCGTCAATGATCTCGTGCACTTTCTGCATGAGATTTTCTTTCTGCCAGTCTTCCTTTGAGATATCAGCGAGCATGTGCGCGCGCTTGGGGATGTCCTCGGGCGTGGTAGACGGCGTGCTGAGGGATCGGCGGAGAGGCGTGAAGAAGAAAGCATTCCGGTACAGGAACTCGTTTGCGTTGGTGTAGTTTTCTGCGTCTACGCGGATGATTTGCGTGATGTATGGTTCTGGAGAGGAATGGACTACTTTTCGCCAGTCTGGGTATGGCGAGTCTGGAGACGTGAGTAGGCGGGCAACGTTGTCGGTTATCTCGTCGAGCTTAGGACCGCCGGCTTGGGCGCGCAATAGGGCATGTTTGCGTTGAAGGAAGTGCATTTTGCCGAATGTGACAGTTGTATTTCCCTTTGTGAATTTGAGACTGAAGTTTTGGATCAGAGCCGCCAGGTCCATGACGTCGCTCTTCTCTTTATGAGACCAGCCGAGTAATGCAGCGAAATTTGTTAATGTCTCAGGGAATATCTCCATCTCCTTGAAGGCAGTGATGTCGGTGTCGAAATTCCTTTTCGACAGCTTGTTGCCTTTTTCATCGACGAGGAGTCCCACGTGCGCGAATTCGGGCGCTGTCCACCCAAATGCTGAATACATGGCTATGTGCTTGGGTGTGCTGGGCATCCATTCGCTTCCACGGATAACGTGTGTAATCTTCATCAGGTGGTCGTCTACGACATTGGCGAGGTGGTACGTTGGCAAGCCATCACTCTTCAGTAATATGGGATCTTCGAATGAGGTCTCAGTTACATGGCCACGCTTTTTGAGGGGACGAAATGTGCCGTAGATCAGATCTTTGTACGTTGGGTACTGGTCCGGGACTTTAAGGCGGATGGTATGAGATTCGCCCTTGTGGGCTCGGTCTTCAGATTCCTCTTCTGGTGTCGAGGCGCATGTGCGGTCGTAGTCTGTTGCTAGGCCTAGTTTGTGACGGTGTTCTGCGAGGTTGTTCAGGCGCTCTGCAGAGCAGAAGCAGCGGTAGGCATTCCCGGAATCTAGGAGCTTCTGCGCATGTTCTTTGTATATGGTGCTACGTTCAGACTGCTTGTAGGGGCCGTATGGTCCCCCGACTTCAGGCCCTTCATCCCATTCTAGTCCAGCCCATTGTAGGTCTTGGAAGAGGCGCTGTTCGGCATCTGGAATGGTCCGCTTCTGGTCCGTGTCTTCTATTCGAAGTAGGAACTGCCCGCCTGTGCGTTTTGCGAGAAGATAATTGAAAAGCGCTGTTCGCAGCGATCCGAGATGTAAATAGCCTGTCGGTGAAGGCGCGAATCGCGTGCGCGCGGGTGAAGTCGGTAATGCGGTGTTAACTTTCTGGTCTTTGGCCGTCTTGGACGATATGGGGCGTCGAGAAGCCCGCGAGAGTCGGAGGAGACATGCCCGACATGTGTAAGCAGGTAATTGCGGTCGGAGGAGAAAAGCAAAGGACATTGCGATGTTGATGTGTAATGGACCGGTCGCTTGGGGCTTGCGGTTGGAAAATCCTAGGCAGAATGCCCTCACCGCCTAGTTAGTTGCGGAGGTTTTGACTTCCGCCGCATTGGCCTGGGATTGTCCAAAGTTTGTTGCCTTCACTTGACGGTTTTTGTACGCTTTCCGAGTCGCACTGCATTTACTTCTCGTACATATTTCCGCAGTCGATACCTCTCCACTATCGCTACTCAACTTCAACTGAACTTCGGCACTAGGTCTACTACAATAGTACGTGAAATATATATTATCTTTTGGCCTATGCTAACTCTGCAATGCAGTGAACGACGTAGAAGAAGTCGACCTCTATGGTACATTTGTACACCGAAATTATTACAACACAGACTAACAGAATCAGAGGTCCTCGGAATCACTACCAGCGCAAGCAAAATCGAAATCAAGAAGGCTTATCACAAGGTCTGCGACCCCGCATTTACACATATGTATGGATCCCCGCTGACTTAATTCGGCCAGGCTGCACTCGCCCATCACCCAGACAAGGCCGCAGAGGAGGACCGCGGAGAAGCAGAGACCCGCTTCAAGGCCGCCAAACAAGCCTACGAGATTCTCTCCGATGACGAGAAGCGATCCATGTACGATACCCATGGCATGGCCGCCTTCGATCCCTCGCGGGGTGGTGGCATGGGTGGGGATCCTGATATAGACGACATCTTTGCGCAGATGTTTGGTGGGATGGGCGGATTTGGCGGTATGCCAGGCATGGGCGGCATGGGAGGCATGCCGGGTGGACCGGGTGGGAGAAATGTACCCAGGAAGGGCCGGTCAGTCGAGCAAGACTATGAGGTCAGCCTGGAAGAGCTATATAAGGGCAAGACCACCAAGTTCTCGAATACGAAGAACATAGTCTGCTCTGTATGCAAGGGAAGCGGCGGAAAGCAAGGCGCTAAGAGTCATGCCTGCACAATGTGCAATGGACGAGGTATGTCCTTCTTCGTGACAGATCATGAGTGCGGGTCACTGACTGTGAGTAGGTGCAAAAGCCGTCCTCCGCCAGGTTGGCCCCGGCCTTGTCACCCAAGAGACCGTCCCCTGCGGCAATTGTCAAGGATCTGGTCAAGTCATCCCGGAGAAGCAGCGCTGCAAGAAGTGCAAGGGCAAGAAGGTTGTCGAGTCCAAGAATGTTCTCGAGCTCTACATCCCACGCGGCGCGCGACAAGGCGATCGGATAACACTCGCTGGCGAAGCGGATCAACTACCCGATCAAGACCCTGGCGACATCATCTTCACGCTGACAGAGACCCCACACGACGTGTTTGAGCGCGCTGGTGCAGATTTACGTGCGGAACTCAAGGTCAGCTTGGTGGAGGCCTTGACTGGCTTCAACAGGGTGGTACTTACGCACCTCGACGGTAGGGGCCTACAGCTCCATGTCGAGCAACCGAATGGCAACGTCCTGCGACCGGGACAAGTCCTCAAGATTGCCGGCGAGGGTATGCCTATGAAGCGCAGTGATGCCAGGGGTGACTTGTACCTCGTAGTAGACGTCGAATTCCCGGAAGATGGCTGGCTCAAGGACGATGCTGCGCTGCAAAAGGTGCGCGATGCGCTACCAAAGGACGAAAAGGACGAAGAGAAGCATGAGGAAGTGGAAGAGGTGGACGCTGAGTTTGATGCGGATATGGAAGAATTCGGTGCGGGCTCTGGTGATCCCAGGGCCGGAGGCGGCGAATGGGAGGACGACGACGAAGAAGGCGAGGGTGGCCCGCAGTGCGCGACGCAGTAGAGCTCCTTTTCAAGACGATTGATGACGATATGCATGGTCTCTGGCGTTTGGTGGATACGGACTCTCACTTCACGGGACATATACCGAGCTTGCCTTGCGGATATAGATCGACTGGCGCGTTCTTACGAACATTTACGCTTATGGAACATCTCCTCGTCCGTACTAAAATTTACTTCTGATATCGAACATTGCCGCATCGTGCGAGCTTGTCTCTATGGCCACTAATCGAGTGCTCCGGGCTGCAGAGTCCATCACAACGTTTACTACGTTAGTCAAGTTCAGCGGAGCGGAGTTGTATTTGGCGTCTATTGTCCTACTTCAGGTTAAAAAAGGGTACTACTTCATATACATCGACGAAAGATGTGATAAGTACGTTTGCCAATCAAGGCGAGAAGGCACCACTCTACGGATCACACACACGATCAAGCTTTTTTGGAAATAGAACTCGAATATCGACAACCTTTGCCGATTTCAGGACATAAGTTTCGAGTCAGCCTACGGTCAAGTTACACGGAGTTTTGTGGTACATCTAAAATTACTCGTTCCTCGGTTACACTTGACCTGTTGGTCTGTTCGTGTTTTGGATTTTTTGCACCCACTGCATTGACATTTTACCCTGTCTGGACGGCCTTCATTCGACGACAGCTAGCCAACATGCTGTCTATACTTCAGTGCCTACAGTATAGGGCCCGCATCAAATAATTTACTTTGAAGATCGCATCATAGCTTATTCTCTCTGTGCAAGGAAGCTACCAATCGCACTTGAACTTCGTGTTCGGTAACTCATTTTGGTGTACGCAAGATCTCCCCAACACCAAACCAACTGGCAGTTTCAATTGGTAGTATCTGCTTATGAAACTGGTTGGGGCCTTTTGTAGGCACCAATTGCATCGTGTGTTACCCCGGGTTTGAAGATGCATGCTGCAGTCAGCACATCTATCGACAGCCTTGTGGCACCAGCATGGTCCAATAAGGTGTCAGTATGGCCGCACAGCCTACAATGAGTTTGCCCCCCACCTTCGGCTGAGTGCAATCATAAGATGGGAAGTCGATCACTTCAATTTGTCTCCTTTGATGAATTGGTCCACCACCTACTCCCGACTCCACTCTCCACAACCTCACGGCTACAGTGCCAGTTCAAGCAGGATGGAAGATGATTATTGTGCCAGTGAACCTTGGATCGATCGAGCAGCGACACTTTGCGAGGAAGATCCGCGGCAGACATACCTGGAGCTAATCAATACACAACTATGCTGGTTGTTTCCCGAGTTCGTTCGAAATCTACAAGCACAATCGCCCCATGAACGAGAGATGAGCAGGACAGCGGTCATTGAGTACCATGACAAGACACAATCTACCCAAGCTGTTTTCAAAACCTCGAAGGAGTTACAGTGTTATCTTCAGACACCTACAGATGGAGAAGAAAATGGACCGCGAAGACGCCTTTTTCTGCTGGAAGACCTTTCGTCAAGTTCCATCGAAGTCCTTGGTTCACACCTTCGGATCCCCCCAACTGTTTTTGGCGCTCATTGGGCAGACCCTACAAACCCTACCTTCAACTATCGGAATCCATTATCACGTTTCTCTGAAGACGCTTTCGTCGTTAGGTATCCATCCACGCAGCCTATTCGCATCGATGCATCCCCCGATTTGCAAAGCACTATATATCGCTACAACTCCAATGTTCATCGGCACATCCATTGTTATGATCCTAAAGGTCCGATCATCGATCAACCCAAGAGCTATCATGCCTTATCATTCTGGACATCAGGCGTGAGGAAGGACGGCTCGTGGGATTGTAAGCATATTCCGACCCGGCTGAATACTGAATGCTAATGTGCTCTCGGCCGTAGCCGTGCTTATAGTTGATCCTCCAGTCGGGGACTGTGTCAAGTCACTTCCTGATGGCGTCCTACTCAAGGTCGATCACTCTTCGAACGAACACGCATACTCCCGTATGCATTCTCTCACCCCAGACTTCAATACTGTCAGTATACTTCCTTCGGACCCAGGGGAGTGGGCGCAGGGCTGGATACACCCTCAATATTACTCAATCTTCGACGATATCCTCGCCGTCAATGAAAGCTCCCAACCACGGGTTCAAGACCCAAGGGTGTCAACCGAAATAGCACGGAAGCTTGCCATATGTTCCTTCCTAACTTTCTTGCGCCGCCGCATCCTAAACATGCTCAGGCTTCCGGCCAATCCCCGTACTACTGCGCTCCATATTAATCGGTGTGACTACCTCCGCGAATTCGGAGAAGGTGTCCTAAGCAGCTGGCATCACGAGCTCTTCGGTTTCGTAGTCAACGTAAAATACATCATGGGTATCATGGCGAGGGAAGCCGAAGACAATGTCGTAGCATTAGGGTTGAACCGCGCATCTACCGTAGACGATTTAGGAGCACCTCAATGGGAACAAGACGGCTGGACTGCGATCCAGGAGCATTGTGCCAAGATCATCGCCATGGCAGAAGCTTTCTTACAATCTTACTTGCAATTCACCAGCATGCAGGAAGCACAGGCTGCGAACCGAAATGCCATGAGTCTGGCGCGGATCACCAATCTGACCATGGTGTTCATTCCGCTGTCAACTATTGCGGCAATTTTCTCCATGAGCGAAGATTTCATGCCGGGCAAGAGCAAGAGTTGGATCTTTTGGGTTGCAGCTTTGCCAGTGCTGTTTGTCACGTTTGCGTTGACAACGGAGTCTCGGTCCAGTATAAAGCGGTGGTGGAAATTGGGTCAAGAAAGGTGCAGAAAGGATCGGGTTAAGGCTCAATACGTGGCGTGAAAGCTGGGTGTTGCACACTATATAGACTCTTACGGGCCGGAAACATCGGACACGGAACTCTCAAATAAGTAATGCGCACCGCCACCACGCCACACAATACTGATCTAATAGAGTACGGCCAGTTGCTTGAAGTTCTGTAGGGCTCGTCAGCAAGCGATGCCGATGCTCGAGAGATAGCATGTCGATCACATAAAGCAGAGTTCCCGATTCTGTCATCCATACTGTTCGAGCCCAAGCGGCCCATTGGTCGGTGCAAGCACTCTGTTCCAGTCGTCCCTTCATCGCTACAAGCCTATGCGAGTGGTGCAGGACTCTATCCCGCCTTTTCCTCGTGGCGTTATAGAAGACGCTAGACAGATCGGAAAGGCAACGCAATTTACAGCTCACGCGCGTGGCATGGATTAGAAATCAATGCTCGTTGCGTCAGGCTGCAGCGTTCCGATGAAGAGCCATGGCACGTGACTCTGTGTAAACGAATCGAAACATCGAAGCAATGCATTTTCGAGAGATTGAAGAGCTGAATATAGTCTACGGTGTTACATCTAGTCTTTGTATCAGTAAAAATCGAACTTACCGTAGACAAAATGTAGCGTTCACGCGTAGTAGGACTGCGAACTTCAGTTTTGTGGAAAGGTCGGCTCAGACTAATTGCTGCACTAGCTGGCTCTCTTATACCTAGGACAGTTGTATGGTAATATTCTCTAGCATATAAATGGACGGGCCCCGTTAATGACTCAACGGAGCTAACCCATGCACGGCTAAGACCAGAGACGATACTTGCACACCGGTCTGCGATACAAGGCAAAACACGTTAGAAAGCTTGATTAGTGGCTTATATCGTATATGCATGCTTCCTGTAGGGTGACTCGTGGAAGGACCTGATTCACACACACGAGGGAACATACGCCACATACTTTGGAAACATTTTCTCTATCCTCTTTTGTCTAAAGTTTACCCTACCCTGTAAGTGGTGTGCAGTAAGACGGGTGTGATCCCACTCGTTACCGCAACGGCTCCCGACCCCGGTTCACCTTTTCATAGGAATTAACTAGTTAAATACTAGCCTTGTAGCATGCAAACCCATGTTATAATCGTGCCTATGAATGTGTTATTAGAGTACAACTTCCTTTTTCAAGTTGCTTTCCGTTACCTTATGTTGCGTCCTACAGCGTGTTGCTCTATTTCCGGTCTCAACTTGTCAAGTTACAATGGCGAGAGCTGCTGCGGAAGATATCGGTGTGGGTTCATTGGAGGGGATGTCTCATCACACCTAGGGTTTGTTCATCTGGTTGTGGTGTCGACTATGTACAACCACGCACAGCTTCACGTCCCGGAACCTGAGCTAATCTCCCTGCTCTGGTGTTTCTTGAGCAGGTGGCGGACATCGCTCGATCTTGACTGGGGCAAGCTTTTCAAATCGACCTTGGCTCCCGACTTTAGAAGCATCCTAGCGAAGTCGTATTTGTCTTCCTTGACCGCTATCCAAAGTGGCGTGCGGTCCCTTCCGCTCTTGTCTTTGATCTCGAGATTTGCACCAGCATGTACAAGCTTTCGAGCAAAACCGATATTATTTTGTTTGGCGCAAAGATGCATGGCTGTCAAACCGTTATCGTCGGTTGCATCAATGTCCAGACCGTCTTGCTTTAGGAGCAGTTCGAAAATCCACTCGTTGCGTTCCTGTGTAGAGACATGCAGTGCAGATTGGCCTCTCACGCCCGTGATGTTGACGTTCGCGCCTTCGCTTAGAAGGTAAACAACCATCTCAAAACTCTCCAACTTTATAGCGTGCATGAGAGGTGTAAGTCCATTCGAGTCAAGCCAGTTGATGTTGGCGCCATGTCGGAGTAGAAATCGGCAATTCTCGGTTCTCTTTCTTTTCACGGCGTATGAGAAAGGCGCGTCCCGATCTACCTCGAGTCTCAACAGCTTGTCCACAAGCGCCTCACATCTGTCGCATTGGCCACGACTGATACAATCCATCGCAATCATCATGATTGATTTGCCGTCAACGATTTGTTCCAATTCATCCAATGTCGCGCCACTTATGTTGGAGATCACATCATCAAAGGGCATCGCATGGTCTTTGACGGCGCCGACCAAGTCGGAGTTGTTGCTTGGTACCAACGATCGAGATCGGGATGTGTTCGTCTCGGAGGGACTGCTAAGTAGCGCGTTGTGGCGATGCTCGTTATCCAATATGTACAAGTCGTTGTACGTCTCTACGTAGATCTGTTTCTCTCGAAATTTGGTGTAAATGTCCACAAGGAGCAACACACTCTTCTTGAAATCGTCATGGTCCTTTCCGTAGTGATCTCTTCGTATTCGAAATGCTCGCTTAGCTTGGCTCTCGGCTTCGTGAAGAGGAACCCAATGATCTCCAGTTCCTTCCACTGGTGGAGGAAGAGACTTGCTAGCGCTTGTGAATTTCTCGAGTAGAAGTTCAGCCATATGATGACTGATGACTGCTCTGTGATCTGTATCTAGGCTTGCATTGAGAGCAGTACTCTTCCAGCCCAAAGTATGCTCGTATGTGAGTGGTTGCTTTGCCGCCCTCTTCAGGATCTTCTCAGCGTCTTCCCAGTTATTGAGCTTCTTGTATATCCCAGCCAACACCATCATCATGTCATGATAAGACTCAAAGGTAATATTGTGAGCATCGTGTAGCTCTCTGAAGCATTCGATAGCCTCTAGTTGATGGAGCACTGCATCCTTGTACTTTCTATGCTCTAGATCGTATTCCGCCTGCTTTTTGAAACGCTGAGCGAGCTCACGAAGTGGTTCGACATGTGTGATGTCGGGTAGAGAGTCTTTTGCGAGGCTTTTGGCCTCATTGCTCGCTAGGGTCGAGGCTGACAGGGAAGTGTTCAGCGGTATGCTTTGGTCCGGCGACCGAATGGCAGGCGCTCGCGGAACTGACCGAGACTTTTGAACACCTGTAACCGCGATCATAATACCATTGAGATGATCACTGAGGCTGGTGATCTCAGCATCAATATCTGAGCGCGGCTGAAAAGACAGTAGGGAGTCAGACCGGCTAGGCGGACTTTCTTTCTCTTGTTGCTGCATTTGGTCGTTGATTTTATCAATGCCGCGACGAATTCCATCCAACGTACTCTCTTGGGTTTGTCTGATGTCAAGGATAGCGCGATGCATAGACTTTTGAGCCACAGCCTGTTGACTTTGAAAGATGCTGATATGATCAATAAGCCTATAGAGAGGCATCAAGTATTAGGAAGGACTCACAGCTGAAAAAGGCCCTTGAGAGTGCTCAAGACTGAAATATAGGTGCTCAGATCATCTGTCCGCCGAAGGATATCTGGGGGTAGCGCGGATAGCTTTGACTTCCCATGTTTATGATGTAGTGAATCGAGTCGCGTGTTTAGTTTGCCCAAGGTTTTGTTACAAAGCTTCAGCACCGCATCCATATGACTCCAGACAGCGACCTCAGCTTCAGTGGCCTCGACTTGCCCGTCATTCTGGCGACGTATATCATATAGCACGTCAGAGACCTGTGTGATGGTTTCGGTCAGAGTTCTGACCCTCTTCTGTAAGGCTATAATATCGCGGTCTGTGTTTTCGATTTTCTCCAGGCGCTGGGAGCATTTCTTTGCTAGCTCAAGGAGGGTCGCAGCAGCACCGACGGCCCCGAAGATTTCGAGGCCACTCATGAAGGGCAGAAAAAAGAGCGTCGGGCAGCATATGGAGGGTTGCAAGAGTGAGGGAGGCTAGTGTAATAGAAGCCAACAGCAAGGGCATGCTTGGGCACAGGCTGGGGCAGAGCAGAAGGATGGGGGCGATTGACAACGTGCGGGCAAGCTGAGCGCATAGTGTCAGCGCAAGATGGAGGAAGGACAGATGACGACGTGCATTGCCCGCTGCACTAAAGGTGAAGCCGACTGGAATGCAGCGATATGTAGGTGCAGCTGGCATTGGGGCGGTTCAAGTGCCTGGTATGCTTCGGCCAATCAACTATACTCATATGAGAAAGCGGGGCGTGCGGTACGGGAGCGGCCCCACCATTGGCCCCATCCTCTTGCTGCTTCACCGTTTACTGAGGCGTGTCCGGTCAAACACGAACCTTGTGGCACGCAAACATATATCCTATTGGCGCTCGTGCGCCTATCGTTGGGACACAGCTTTCTTTTTCGTTGCCCTCTTCTGCCTTCTCTTGCGTCCCATAGCCCGCTACCCTGCCAAAGATCACCAATTAGTCATGCGTCACCGCACATCTCCCTGCGCGCGTGCTTTGCCCATTTATAGGATGGACGCCCTTGGCTCGTAGAAGTCTGTCTGACTTTGCTCCGTCAACTTATGGGTGCCTGGCCTATTTGAGAAATGGTGACTCTTCACAACGTCGAGTCCAAAGAGGACATGCAAATACACTCTGAAGAACCATCTCCTACAGGCGACGCATCATTTATTCCCCAGCACGCTAGTGGCCGCCGTCGCTCCAGCTTCATCGATGTCGATAATCCTCTGCGTGGTGTAGAGCTCGAAGTCGCCGTGCAACGCTTCGCCATCGAAACAGGCCTTTCCAGTCTCTATCCAGTCCTTCTCCGAGGCGCCTATCTTGCTGAAGATCCAGATAACTACCACAATATCGAAGGGCTATCCGAGACTGATGTGAACGCTCTCAAATGCGAGGACGAGGAAACAAAACCGCTGAAGATACTTGCAAAAGTGTCTAAACAGCTGCGCACTATCATCATAACGTGTAGTGTGGCCGCTATTACCCAGTCCGTATAAGCTTTATTGCCAATCCATTTATTATCACTTGCTCGGACTAACTAACTAACTTGCGTCTTTGAGGGGATGGGACCAGGTGTCCATGAGCGCAGCAAACCAGTACTGGCCACCCGAACTTGGACTGGATATGCATCAGAACCGTGACATTTGGCTATTTGGCTTCATCAATGCCTGTTCCTTTCTCTGTGCAGGTCTAGTGTGAGTTTATTCCTGGCCCTCCTCCGTTGCCCTCACAGCCTGCTGACACAATGACCCAGCGGAGCTTGGCTCAGCGATCCCCTCAACGAATATCTCATGGGCCGACGCTCAGTCATATTTGTTGCAGCCATATTTTCCCTCATCCCCATGATCGGTGCCGCTGTCTGTCAAAATTGGATCCAACTCTTAATTTGTAGGTTGTTATTGGGTATTGGCATGGGTTGCAAGGCTGCAGTTGGTAGGTACATACTAAGAATCCTTTGATAACAGAGGAGAGATCGTTCTAACGAACCCCAGTACCGATTTACGCAGCCGAAACAGCGCCAACCAAGATTAGAGGTGCGTAACCGGAGGGCCATCGAATCGGATAGTGCCAGGGTTAAACTGGATTTTGCTGATGGCATGGTATAGGAGGCGTTGTGATGAACTGGCAGTTGTCTGTTGCGATTGGAGGAGTTCTGTAAGTGATTGCACCCATTGTCAATCTCCATCTATTTTCCGAAGACTTACAAGGGAACAGCGGGAGTTCATTCAACCTAGCCCTCTTCGATATCGAGAAGCTCAATTGGAGGCTTCAGTTAGCGGTCGCGGCCCTTCCAGCGATTCCACTGCTCTTCTTGATATACACATGCCCTGGTACGGGAATAGATCATGCCAAATGCACCATTGAGCCGCGTCTGAACTAACTCCTCCGTGTAGAGTCACCCCGATTTCTCATCAAGAAGAGAAAATGGAGAATGGCATTTGAATCGCTCAAGAACCTAAACCAAACGGAAGTACAGGCCGCCAGGGAACTGTTCCTTATCCACGTACAGAATGAGCTCACTCAGATCAAGTGGTATGGAAAGGAGAAATCAGAGGAATTGTTGAATAATTTGTTCCCGCGCGCAACCGAAGACGAGCTGACCAGGGGAACGAAGAAGTCAGATGACAAGGCTTTGACGATCAAGGCCATCCTGAATGAGAAAGCCGGCACTTACATCAAGCGACTCGCAAACCTCTTCACGGTGCCCCGTATTCGAAGAGCAACTACTGCTGCAGCTGTAGTGATGATAAGCCAGCAGCTCTGTGGAATCAATGTGATCGGCTTTTACTCTGGCACGATCCTGCCGGCACCAAACCCAGATGATCCAAACTCCGTCAAGTCAAGTAATAGACACGGACTTTGGCTTGGCTGGGGCTCCTGGATGATTGGAATGATGTACGATATACTTCTACTCTACCTTTTTAGGGCCTAGCAATCTAACCAGGTAACAGCATGGCGATTCCCGCCTTCATGACTATTGATCGATGGGGTCGTCGAACGCTCTGTCTTGTTTCGACACCAGTTCTAGGACTATGTCTTTTTGCTGGGGGTTTCTGTTTCTGGCTCGAGCCTGATACTCCTGCCTACCTTGGCAGTTTGTTCTTCTTGATCTTCTTGTTCACTGCTGCATATCCTCCTGGTAGGTATGTTTCTGATGCATGCTCAAGACTCAAGTTAAATTGGCTATAGGTCTTGGGGTGGTACCGTTCACATATTCAGCCGAAGTGTTTCCAACCGTGAACAGAGGTAATCGCCCAGGGAAAGAGTTTTCGGTCAATCACTAACCGCTTCGCAGAGGCTGGCATGTCACTAGCCGTCTTCATCAACCTTTTCGGGGCCGGTATATTGGGCCTCTTTGTCCCTTGGCTACAGGATAGTCTTGGTGCTCTTGGGTTGTTCGAGTTGTTTGCGTACGTAGGAACCTTGACTCCCTCTATTATACCTTGATTCTAATTCAGCTCAGCGGGCTCAACGTCCTTGCATTTGCCCTGATATTCATCTTCGTCTATGAAACGAAACAGGAGCGCTTGGAGAAGATTGACAACATATGTAAGTTTTCTCTAATCACGATGCACCTTATACACTGACGAAACTATAGTTGAAATTCCTGTCGGCACTCATTTGAAGTACCAATTGACTGCGGTCATTCCCTGGTGTTTTAGACGTGTGTTCCGTCGCCGCCGCAATAAACGTGCTAACCTAGATTCACTGGTTTTATGGAATAAGAAACGAAATCGCCGCGTCGTTTCGGATGACGAGAGTTCAATCAGATCGGAGGACACGGGAACATAGATAACAGCCAAGCCGAGTACAGTCGTTGGTCTGGAAATTAGCGTCATTCTGATGCAAATAATAGTTCCGAAGGTAGGCATTCATACTTGCGAAGGAAGGTGGATGCTTCTGCTACGTTCACGTGGTTCATTCAGTGTACACTAATGGAGGGGCCGCCTTTGGCAGGAGTTTCGTATGCATGGAGAAAATAATCCCTTGTTACACTAACTGTTGTTCGCGACGTCATCTGAGTATGCATTATAGTACTTGAAAAAATACACTGGTGCCCTCCAAGTGCAGGATTCGTGGGAAAAAATGTTTCAAAATATAATGCTTGGTAGTGGATAACATGGAAAATCACGCCGACGTCGCAGAACTCGAGGCAACTAACATTGCATTTCATAGTAGGACTGTATGCAGCAAAAAGGCTGGTAGCCTACTGCGTTAAATCCGATACTATTAGTGATTAGATGCAGCAATTCCTCAAGTATGGTAATTTCTTGACTAGTATTAGAGATACAATTAAGCCTATGTGTATAAACCCTACAGCTAGGTCATCTTTTAAATATCAACAACTTCATCACCCCGTCACCCTCATCAGACCAACAGATGCATCATCTATAGAGGCGGAGCATTAGGATCCATCATGCACTGATCGACACGCATAAGCTGCTTGCCAGTCGCCTTCGCAATCGTAATGAACTCCTTGAGATAGCTGACCGTGGACGGGTACAAGTAATGCAACACAACGAGGTTGCCGCCCTTGTTAACGTCACGCTGGAACGCAACCTTCTGCTGCTCAGGCGTGTTGGTCTCAGCCCACAACCAATCCTCTACGTCAACGGACCAGTTGACAATGGTCGGCTTGGTACCGACGGCCTTGGCGAGGCGAGAGCGCATGCGCGCACCCTCGTTACCGAAGGGAGGGCGGAAGTAGGGCGTGGTGAAACCGTTGAATTGGGACTTCATGGCCTTGACGTCCTCATTGTATTCCCAGTCGATGGCGGCGTAGTCGGGAAGGCCCTCCATCTTCGGGTGCGTGAACGAGTGCATAGCGAGCTGATGGCCAGCGGCCATCATCTCCTTGTAGACGTTGGTGAGGTTGGTGGACTGGTCGAGGAGCGGGGCGCCGACGGTGAAGAAGGTCACCTTGATGTTCTCCTCACGAATGATCTTGAGTACCTCCTGGGCGAGCGATGGCTGGCCGTCGTCAATGGCGAAGGCGAAAGAGTTGGGACGTTTGCAAGCGAAAATGAGGTCGCCGGTCTCGTCCTTCTTGGGGACAGTGGTACCAGCAGGGAGCGAAGAAACGATCTCGATGACGGACAGAGTAACAGGATCAGTGGTGTGGAAGCCTTTGAGAGCGAAGCCGATAACACGGGAGAACTCGACGTTGAAGTGGTTCAACGGGATGTAAATATGACCGTTCTTGGCATACCGAGAAGCTTCAGCAGAATCCCAGGTCTCGGGGAAAGGCGCAATTTCCGAGTTGCAGGCGCTATTATGCTGCTGGAGAGCAACAGTAAAAGCAGTACTACCAGTGTAGGCAATATGCAAGTAGGAACCCTTGTACTTGGTGAAGTCGCTGCAGGAGGCAGATACCTGAGTGTAGAAGGAGTAGTCTGCATCGGAAGAGGTAATAGTAAGCTTGCTGCCGCTGTAAGTGAGCTTCATTCCCTCATCTCCACCGTGCCAGTTTCCGAGTGCGTTGCTATCAGCGTTGGCAAACTTGTCAACTACAAGAAGCGCGGCAGCGGTGTTGCTGGGAGCAGGAACAGTAGCAGTGGCATCAGGGTCATGGGGAGCCGTTGGGACTATGTACTCGCCGGTGGCGCCACAGTAAAATGCCAGTGGGCCAAAGGAGACGGTAGCAGAGAAATCAGAGAAGAGAATGGTGGTAAGCTTCTCAATGTTGAGGCCAGAGAACTTGGAGAAGGGAATAAGGTACAACTTCTCCGTGCCATCAAAAGTCCAGCCGAGATCGGCCTTGGTCTGAACGACTGACTTGGCGACAGTGGGATCGCACGTGTCAGAAGAGTCGAGCTGAATAGAAAGCTTGGCGTCTTTAGGGGCCTTGATCCTGAGGGAGATACCGGTGTACTTGTTCTTTGCGTTGACGCAGGGGAACTGGCTGTAAAAGTATGTACCTCCGCCAGCTTTGGGTGCAATCTCAACATGATTGGCGGACGGCTTGCCCACGGTAACGGACTGAGCAGTGTCATCAGTAGAAGTTGGGTAGTTGAGTGCGTTGTAGAACAGGAAAGTCAGGCGAGACTGCGAGATCCAGTCATCGATGAGGAGAGGAGAGCAAGTTCCAGAAGAGGGCGAGGGCGATGTGACAGTCACGAGGGTGGAACGCGAAGGAGAGACCGAGCTTGATGGAACAGTCGATGAGGGGCCCACAGTTGAGGTGGAAAGGCGGGTAGAAGAGACGACCGAGCTGGAGCGAACAACCGAGCTTGATGGAGCGGCGGAGCTGGAAGGAGCAGCAGAGCTGACACCCGAGGAGCCACAACCGAAGGCAATGTTGCTGAGCTGCCACGTCGCAGTGTTGGAAGAGAACGCAGACCAGACGAAACCGCTAACAGCATTGGCGTTGGCGCCGCTAAACTGAGAAAGGGGAACGGTGATCGTTTGGGTGTTACCGGTCAGAGCAGTGACCTGGGTGTACTTGGAGGTGTAGGCTGAGACCGAGCAGGAGGTCTTGGACTGGATCTCCAGTGTGAAGGATCCACCAGCCGGGCCCTTTACGGAGAACGAAACCGAGTTGTATCCATTGCTGCTGGCTAGCTGGCAGGGAAAGGTCTCGTAGAAGTAGGCTCCAGACTTGGGCTTGAACGATAGGACACCGCTGCTAGCCGAAATTGAGGTCATAGAGCTATCATCTGCACCGATTAGTGGGAAATTACATGGCATACCAAAGTCGACATACCGCTGGTGTATTCGTTCAAGCTGTTCTGGTGCTGCGCATACTTGGAGAAGTCGTCGATCTTGAGGGCCGAGCTGCAGGCGGCGGAAACTACCTCGGAGGCGAGTCCGGCCGCAAGGCCTATTAGGGTAGAAACACGCATATTAAGATTTTATAGCGTAGGGCGGCTAGGAAAGCGAATGTACGGAAGTGAAGACTTCCAATTGATGAGTCTCAACACCCTAGGAAGTTGACGGGAGGGTAAGGGGAGCAAGCGATAACTCGTGAAGAGCATGCCATGTGCGGTTCTCCCTATTGATATAATTCCGCCTGAGCAAGGTATGACACGGGCGATATTTACCTAGCGTGCTGGGCATGCAAGCCTCCGAAAGACAACCCCAGGCATCGGGTGCTATATTTACGGCTGGCTGTAGTCTGGGCAGGTGTAGATCAATGGCGCCTGTGCTGAATAGGGATAGATTTCGCTTACAGCCCTAGGGTGTGTTCTAGTGCGCGGTTAGGGCAGCAGAACCCCTGAGTACATTCTTCCGCCCTACAGTAGGAGTTGTGGAGCACAGTAAGCAACCGCCGAGCAGGTTTCGCGAAGACGATCAAAGTTCTGACCTGGCGTGCGCGCGGGGTTGCATCGCATAGTGGAGTATGCATCACCGGTAGAACCTGGATTCTGAATACCTCTCTATGCGGCTTTCGAAGGTTGGCCAATTCAATGAAGTAGCGAAGCCATGGGCTAGTCAGGTTTTTCCACGGACCAGAATAGTCAAGCCGGGGCTGAAACCATCAAGGACTGCTGAAGACCTGGGCCTCGCTCGTCCTGCGTAGTAGAGCGAGATGGAGAAGCCACTCCGTACCCACCAAACAACTCTAAACATGAGCTCAATACTTGGCCGTGCAAAGCATCCTTTCGGGCGTCTTGGCCTCACTGCCAGAGTGCCATGCAATTGCTGTCAGCGCTGTTGTTCGAATCATGTTTATTGACGGCGCCCAGCAACAATGCGCGTGCCGTGTGAGACGGTGGTACATGTGGTTCGAGATGCGCAGACACGAGGTGAAGTAAACAGCGCACAGCCTTTGGCCGTAGGGGTGTGCTCGCCGTCGATGCTGGTAGGCTGTTGTTTATGCGGTGGGCTACAAGCGTCGAGTTTGTGTGACACCATCCAAACCGCACCCGACATGACCGAGGAAGCCAAATCCAACATCTCCACCTGCATCGCCGCAAATTCGGTTCTCCTGCTGCAGTCGACCTCTCTTGCTGCTATTCTTCCGCTGCTTCCCAACTCCGCATCGTATCCTTCCGCATCGTATCCTGAAGCACCCTCCCTGGCACCGAAGAGGACAATTTCGTTTCGTTTCCCCTGCCCAGGCGCTGCCCCTGGTCGCGCTGCCGAGCCTGCTGTCAGCTACGCCACCCAATACTCGTTTGAGGAGACACGACCCGAATCAGTTTAGCCAGCGCCTGTGGCTTGCACGCAATATTGGACGACGGAATACGATGCCATGCATCGAGGCAACGGCCTGGTGCCTCACATATCCCCACTGTAATCTTGATGCTGACGGCGTCGGTGGGTGCAGGTGGGGTGGGCTGAGATCGTCCCGCCTGCCTTACTCCCTCCAATTTGACGCTTACCGGTCCGCCCTTCCTCCGCTTTTGACGTCACCCATCCTCTACATTTTCTTGAGCAAACTTCGCACAGCGGGGAAATCTAAATGGCCTACCGCGAACGAATACATGATCCCCAAAGCCAAGAAGTGGTCTGAACAGCTAGTTAAGCAGTCCTCGACATCGACTCGCGGAGCAAATCTCCAGTCCTCGAAGGGTGGAACGCAACATGGTACGGACGCCTGATGCCGTGTATAGGCGTACTGGCTCTTGTGAGGCGTCGAAGTAGTGTCACTAGATCTCGTATCAGGGTTTCGTCTTCCGTTCCGAGCGTGGAGCTACCAGCCCGCCGTTGTTTGCTACACAGAGCGGAAACCCTCATCTCGAATAGCATGTGTGATCTGCGCTGAAAAGTAGGACTTCGTTAACGAATACGAGATATCTGGGCGCTACGCTCATAGTTGCCCGACTTTGGGGGCCAACTTACAGCTTTCAATCAGGTTAGTGATGGCAGGCCGCATATTGCGATACAATATGTGTCATTAGTCTAAAGTTTATTGGGTTGATACCGATCGTGATTTTGATGCACAAGAATGGAGGAAAATGTTCAGCTCCCTTGTCCTACAAAAAAAGGTACCTTCTTACCTTAGTGACCTGAAATTGTTCTAACTTAATATGCAGTCTATTCGGGGTCGAGGCAGACGTCAAGTTAGTCGCTAGTCCGAAGTCCTGTATTATTTGAGACCCTGGCAGGATAGTAAGAGAGCGATCTAAGGTGGGAACAGGGATTATACTGTCGTACAAGCAACATCCAGCGCAGAGCAATCATAAACGTCGATTCATGACTGTGGTAACGGACATCATAACCCATGACATTATGTGGCCTTGCATCTTATGCGATAGAGAAATATCTGGTTACGACTCTGTTTATACGTACTGTTTGAATCCAGAACACAGTATCACATTAGATAGCATCGCTGACATCCCTTGTTGCAGAGGTTTGTAGTATCAGTAACCGTCAACCCTTGGCCTTTTCTGACGGGGTGACGTCGAAAGTCTAGATCAGCGGCCAACCAACGACGTGGAGCGAATTCTTCCTGTGCAAACTTTGCAAGTACACACAGGCTAAAGAGTAAAGGTTGACACTGGTATCCTCTTGTAAGAGGCATTGTCTACTGGGGGTAGAGTATTCGGCTGGTTACTAATAGTCATAGAGTAAATCCGGACGTGATGCAACGCATGACAACAGCCCCGTAAAAGAAAAATCACTGAAACCATTTAGCCCTACCTATGGTAGCCAGATCTTCGACCTGAATCTTATTAAATAGCTTCTGGTCTACCTATCAGTGTTCTGAATGGTTGGCCTTGGACTTATCTTGCCTCCTTCACATCATCGACCCACACATCGACCTTCTCATTGTAGAAGCATACGTAGCCCGCGATAGGCGCACTTTCCGTCGTCGGATATCGATAGTACCATACCAGATCCCTATACTCTTTCCCATCTAGCTTCACATGATAGTAGTTCGCACGGCCCTTGTACGGGCACAATGTTTCCGTGTCACTCGGGGTGAGATGTTGCCAGTTGACACTGGTAGGCGGAAGATAGTAGCGCGTGCGCAAGGTAGTTTCAAGAAGTAACAACGGGCTAGAGCTTTCCGCCAGCGGGATGCCATCCAGGGCGATTTTGATGTTGCGGGTGGATTGAAGGATGTCGATGCGTTTGTAGGGATCTTTTGGATGACAGTAGATTGGCACATCTTCTTCAAACCATTGGTCAACTGCTCCAAATTCAACCTTTACAAGGTCTTGAAGAGTCTTGGTATTGAATATGAGTACGCGATTAGTGCTGCGGTTACCAACGTTGAGCCTCCCGAGGTGCGCGCCGCCGTTCGTACCGTCTATGGGCGAAGTCTTTGATAGACTGGCATCTGGAGAGAAGCTTGAGATGGGAACGTAGTATCTAAATAGTGTTAGCTGTAGACGATTACTGAGCGTGTCAATAGAAGTGGCTACTGCGGATAATAGGGATGTTCCCAGACATGGTACGCTTGAATCGTATCAAACGCGTATCTGCCGTTGAACAGACCTCGTACACGGCGAGGGGTATGTTCAGCTTTGTGAGGCCCATCCGACACGAGCTTTTGCGCAAGTTTTACGAGACTGCATGTGTTATCAATGCACATTGACAAACTTGAACGAAGTAACGCACTCGCTAGTGTTCGCCATTGTTCCTAACGGTCGATCGGATACTATGAGTCTCGCGAGGGTGAAAGTATATTATATCAAGGATTGTGAGGAATGAAAGATCGAGCCATGTTGATGAGATGCGATGATGTAAGTATTAGCAGCAGTGTAAGCGGGGCTGGCGGGGAGGTAGGCTAACCGAACTATTAACTCCGTATTAATTAATCGCTGCATAGGGATAGAATGTACAAATCTAATTATCCTACAGTTGCAAAGACATAGTCTGATCGAAACCAATCGCATCTAGAGCTAGAAAATGTATGTGCATTAAAATATGGCGGGTCGTACGTCTTCATGCTCCGCTGCTTATCAACAGCTAGCTACTTCCTCATGTATGCTACTATGCACCTCCCTGTCTCTACTTTGTGTACAACATCCCCATGATCCTTACGTTGTATCCAAAAGTTGGTGGGAGTATCCAAAACGCCATGCATAAACGTGCTGACAAGCGACCGCAACGCCTCCCTATACACCACAAGTCTTGATCGACAAGGCCTTCTCTTATATAACATCATCGAATGCCTAGCCTACCGCACCTGCGGGGTCAGCCAAGTAGCCTCCACACAGCCCTCGTAGAACTCCCTCTGCCCATTCTTGCCCTCGACGCCAAAACCCAATCTCCGTAGCTTGCCCGAGTCCCATCCTGAGACAAACTCGCCCTGGCCGCCGTTCTCCCTGTTGACAGCGTCGCCGAGCTTGATGTAGTCCGCATGGCGGCACACGGTTTGTGAGTATGACCATTGGAGGCAATGGGAGTCGGCGGCGCATTCAGAGCCACAGGAGTTGGCGTTGCGATGGGCGGGCCGATCGTTAGGAACGGGGGCTGTGGAGAGGTTGTCCCACCATTCGCGAGATGGCCCTTTTGAGAGAAAGGAGTGGGAGTAGGAGAGGAGGGAAGAGTAAGTGAAGGGTTTCTAAGGCGGCGGTCAGCGCTGATTCGGCATTACGAGAAAGTATGGACTTACGATATTGTATGGCCGCGTCCGCTCCCACTTCCATAGATCTTCCATATGCTCCGGCTTAAGCTGGTGCAGCGACAGCATCGGGACACACCACCGATCCCGCGTTGTCGTAACGTCCTTCAGTTTGTCGCTTGCGAAGGTCGGGTACAAGGCCTCAAGCTTATGACCCGTTGCATTTTGGATGGCGTAGGCGAGGACAGCATCGCCGCGCTGCTCTTCCTTGACCCAGTCTTCGAACCTGTAGCTTAGCCGATTTTCGCGAGGGATTTCTGTCGACGACACTGTCTTGGCGGGAATTAGTTGCTTCATGAGGCCCTGCGACATGACGATTCCTGCACCACCGTATGCGAACCAGCGGCCTTCGGAGCCCTTGTGTGGTGCGCCCAGGTAGTGCGGTTTCGAGGCGTCGAGCTGGCTGAGTAGTCGAAACAGCGTGTCCCAGAAGAAATAGACATCCGACTCGAGGAACACGAACCACTTGGCCTTGGGGTTCGTAGTGTAGGCCTTGTCCACCATGGGCAAGTACTTGAATCGGTCAAGCTTGAAGGATCGCTGGGACTCCTTGACCGTCTCGCCTTCGGTATGCGCCTTCTTCTGCTCGACGTAGGCCTTGAAATCGAGATTGTTGGACTCGTAACTCTTGGGCAGCTCGGCCAATATGTCAATGACATGTCTGTCCCCCAATCGCTCCTCGCGGTCGCCAACGATGATTAAATTGGTGATGCAGCTCGATACGGTGCTCAGGTGCGCCTTGGTTTCGGCTGATTCGCTCGATGCCACCTTTAGCACGACCTGGATCTCGTCAAGTAGCTTGACGGGAAAGTTCTGGCAGTAATCGAGTTCAATCGAGTTTGCGGCCTTGGTCTCGAGGGGGGGGAAGAACGACTTGGTCTTCGCTTTGTGTACCGGGGCCTGCGTGTGTGGTCTCCGGCGCGACAATGTGAATGCAAAAAAGAACAGGAGGATGCCTGGGAAGACGAACCGCCATGGCCGTCGAGCGAGACGGCCGGCCAGTGTTTTCAGCATCATGCTGCGCTACGGCCGACGAGGAGCGCGGGGGGAAAAGCGGCCTCGCAGTCGCTGTGGAGCGAGCTTATGGCGTCGAGGGGAGGGCGTGCAAGCGAGTGACGTTGCGCGGGCACATTGAATAGCTCGTCGAGGTGTGGTGGATGTTGGTGCTGCGTGCTGATGAGCCCGGAGGTGAGCCCTATCGTCGCCGCGTGCACCAGTCCAGTCCACTCCAGCTCCCTGAATTAGCCGCCGCACACGCGATGCGCTATCAACAGAAGAGGGAAGGCGGCCGGTGGCGCTTGCTCTTACCCGATACGTTTGGTGGGCATTGTGACAACCACCTGCAACCTGCACATCTCGACAGTCGCTCTAGCTGGACGCGCGTCGACGGGCTTCTCAGCATTGTATCGAGTTCATAGAGGACCGCAGATGGTGTAGTACAGCTCAACAGGCGTGCGGCACGAGAGCTGATTGGGAAGGAGGAGCCTGCCGCGAGGTTGATAGAGAGATAGTAAGGGCCAGCCGATGGACAGTACAGCGATGGCGTAGCAATGACATGCCGAGGGAAAAAAAGGAAGAGGTTTTTGGCTTCGTGTCTGTCGATTCCGCTCGGAACTACCGAACATATCGAAGCCGCGGCTGTGCTCTGTAAGCTGGTAGCCTTTTCTTCGTCGTCTCATCTGCCCCAAGACCTTTATGAGGTGACGCGGCCCCTCTTGCACATGAGGATAGTACTAGTCTGCAGCCTCGTTCTCCTCCTATCTTTGATAATCTTCGCCCTCTTCTAAGCACTGCCTAGGTCGTGCGGCTCGCTTTGTTTTCGTTTCTCTCCTCTTTCTTTCACGGGCGTCTGCCTATCCGCTCGAGGTGCTAGTGAAGCCCTAGGATACCCTGACGGTATATGCACAGCCGGCGAAGCCATTGTCAGAAGGTGGATGGAAGACGAACTTGCTGTTGGCGACCATAAGAAGGGCTGCTTGATGAAGCAAGTGTTGTACTCGGCCTCATCTTCAACTTCAGACCAGTCGGGTAACGCATCGAAGTCTTCCTCGCTCACAAATGGAATCGCAATCTCGGCGTTTGGTGTTTCAATGTATCTCAAGAAAGATTCGTGCGAGTCGTTTGATTGTTCAGTCAAGGAAGGCGCGGCTGTCAAGGGCCCATTATGCAACGCGAACGGGCCGGGTGAAGGTACGTCAATCACCGTGTTGTGTTCAAGTTCTCCAGGGTGCGATAGCATTGAATAGACGGAATTCGTGTCCCGGTCATCATACTTCTGGGGGTTAGGGAATTGGAAATTTGTAATGTCTCTCTCGTTTGACGAAGGAGGAGGAAGTCGGTAAAAAGCATTGTGGTTCGTTTGTACGCAAGAGTCGGGTCGCATTGTGTCTTCGTCATCGCCATTGACCGCGTCGCTCCCGGCGTCGTTCGGAGTTCCACGAGCCGCATTTCCATTGCTCGTGATACCCCAGTCAGTCAGACTACCGAACGAGGACGCGTCGTCGTAATTGTCCGGCTCTTCAGGCTTCCGCCCAATTCGATGTGCGCTTCGACAAGCGAAGGACCACGATGGACCACTGCTTATGGTAGCCAAGCTCAGTGTTCTGGATGAATCGCGCGAGTCGTAGGTCATGGGGTTGCTCGCAGTTGCGTTGTCCCCGCAGCTCAATGCATCCTGTTCTGCGCCACTCAGAGATGATGGAGGAGAACTGCAACCGATCAAGCTCAGCTCCTCAAGCGGCAACTTCTTCGCGAAGTCCAACATGGCGATGTTGACTTCCAATGTCGCGCGCGGTCCAAGACATGGCTCACGGAGTTCAATCTTCTCAGCTTGAAGATCTTCTGCTTCTGAAGTTGAGATAGATGATTTTAGTATGTGGTGGCCGAGTTCCTTGTATGCGGTAGGAGGCGGAGTTTTCGAGGGAGTTGTTGGCGGCGTCTGCGTATCGCTGGAAGCGTACACCGATGACCCAACAGAGGAAATTAGGCTGCGTGAGCCTTCCGTCACCGACGAGACCGTGGAAGAGGTTGTTCCGTTGTGATGAGGAGTGTGGTGGGCCGACTTCGACTTGGAGGATGTGAACTTGGAGCGCAGCGAGCGCATGAGCTGCTTGACTTTGCCCATTGTGCTTTTGGAAGTAGCGTTGGCGTCTTTCAAGACGGTGGAAATTCGAGTGCCGTGAGTGGAGATTTGATCCTTAGGTAGGGCGGTGGTTGATGTGATTAAGGGTGGTGGGAGGTAGACAGCGAAGAGCGGCAGGGAAAGAGAATGCTAAGAGATGTTAATTGGGGGCTTGCGTCATAGCGGTATGTTTTTGGTGCGGAAGGTGATTTCACTCGCAAAATTGCGATGCGGGCGTCATGTAAGAGATGGACAATGTAAGAAACGACTACGCTATTGTGTATGAGAGTGTACTAGCAGGGTGGGCGTACTCGAACCGCCTCCAAATCGTTCCGACCTCGATGTCTCCATACACCTTCGCATGCTAGATGTTCTTGTAAAGCCGCAAACTGACGCATACAGAGCCGTTTCAATGGTTGTTATTCAATCTGCCAATTCCTCCGGTATGTACGCCACACCAGCGCCTAAAGGATCAAATCTCAAGGTGCTCAATCCCATCTAGCTGCTTAGGCACGCGGTCACTCTAGTTTTGTAGCGGCTGAACTATGACGATGAGGCTCGAGAGCGACTCTGATTGTGTGCAAGCCATCCGTACCTTTCACTCCACGCAATCCTGCTGGCCTTTTCGAAACGTGATTGCCTGATTGTATGATCCCGAGGTCGTCTCCAGTCTCATTTGAGGATCTTGCGAACTCACTTGATTGCCATCATGAAATTGTCTAACTCTGCTTCCTCGACATTTGCACCCGCACGCCTCTTACGTCTCAAAAACCGCCACTATGAAGCCTCTACAAGTTCCAAGGAAGCCGTCCCACTCTCCTACCGCCCTTTCAAACTGCCCATTATGAGATTCGTCGCACAATCTCAAGGTCAACAATGTGTTTCGTGAACAGTGCAAGAGACACAGGAACAAGAGGAAGACTCAGAACACAAGTACGCAGAGGTGACCCAGCCGGCCTAGACCGAGGTCGAAGTTGAGGAGAACAAGGACCTAACGACATACTAGGAGAAGCGCTGCAAGAAGGCGGAGGCAGAGCTTGCGGAGTACCAAGCTAGTGCTGAATACTTGCCGGATCAACAAGATGATAAAAAGGCCAAGCTGGACGACAATGGTGACCCACGGGGTGACAGCATCTAGTGTGCTTTGGAAGTTAACATGCTGTCTTCGTAGTCATAGATGCATAGCTAAGAATGAGACTCCAGGAGGGAAGCGATCGTCACGACAGGCCAATGCTTGTGGTGGTTCTGCGATACAATTCGGACTGCTCAGGCTCTTCCATCTAGGAACGGAAACTGAGGACAGAACTCGGGTAGGTGTATCACTAGAGTTCCGCCCATTGAGACTATTAATAAGGATCTGCGATTTGTCCAACACTGGGGAAGATGTCGTGCTTTTCTTGCTGTCTTTATAGTCCACTCATTCCAGTGAAAGGCTCCCGCAGTCTCGTGCAGTGATTCTTCCGACTTGAAATGAACTCAGTCAGCGCAACTAAGCCTGGCAATATCATCAGAACTAACAGTGAGATGTGACAGTGCCAGCACGAGGGGAAGAAGGGCGTCAAATCGAAACTTTGCGCCCATGTCAACAACAATGGCAGACAAACTGTGCAAATATGACTCTTCTTCAAGGCCTCGCGTGAAGCAAGACACTCAACGAAAAGACTCTCGATGGCCAAAGGCCATGAGTACGACATGCTCTTGCGAATATGAAGGTGTACGGCTAAGCGGGCATACACTCCCTGACATTTGATCTACCATGCTGCGCCACCTCTTGTGAAGGACTTGTGCCAGGTCAAAGACCTAGTGGGACACCCGCAGGTGTGAGCCGAGTAGTCAGTGTGCGCACGCTGACGGTTGGTAGATGAAAGGGCAGAGGCATCTCTTGGGGGGTGCGAGGCTGAGAATCGTAAGGCGAGGCAAACCTCGGCTCTTTGTGTATGAAGAAGAAGAAAGGAAAGAAGGCGGGCGCGAGGACTTATATGGGCGGGCGCCTGGGCTGGCCTGTGCGCGTAAGCGAGGCCTGGAGTTGCGCCGGCCAGGCAGCAGCTTCTAGAAGTAGGTCATTGTAGGTGAAGGTGAAAGCGACGTCACAGCGAAAAGGCACATTTGTGGGCAGCGAAAGCGCAGCAGTTGCCCCAAGTTGGCAATGCTGGCCGAGAAAGTTGCCTAAAGTTTTGCAGTGTAAATTCAAGTCAACCTTTTTTGGCTAATCAATAGCAGAGTGAATGTCACCCTCACATGACTTGGATAGAGAGTACTTGGTACATGCGGCCACTCCCAACGCCTCGCCCTGAAGTATTCGTATCTCCTTTCTGTTAATTTACTGTAATCCTGTGCTGCATCGAGAAGGTTCGCGTCGTTCGCTTTCCTTGTTTGTTACCGCATAAAGTTGCCAGGTCGGCCCCACATTGACATCGACAGCTACATCATCACTCAGGGCGCAATGGCAAAGACCGCATAAGCTATTAGCATACAAATGCAGAATGCGAATACAAAGTATCGTGTAGTATTCTCGGCACTCTACCCCTGAGAGTCCGTCCATATGCCTCTACAGTGAGAAGGTGCAGGTCTGGGTTAATATGTACAATGTATTCAGCACGTCTTTGGAATATATACAATCTGAAGAAAAAGCCCAACACAGCAATGACCGGTCATGCCATGCCCCTCACATCTCCCCCATCAACCCACACATACTCTAGCATGCATGCATACATGCTTGCCATCTACAAGCTGACGCAGCCATCAGCGCTATCCTCGAGGAAGAAGCCGCCGTAAATCTGGCCCTCATTCAGATTCGGGCTCTGGTAGCCGGTATTGACCACGTCGGAACTGCCAGTGGGCTTCTTGAGTATGCCGAGCTGGAACTGGCCGCCGCCCGCGAGATTGACCGACTTGGGTCCAGCGACGGACTTGAGTTCTGCGGTGCCGGCGGAGTAGTAGATGGTAACCTGGCTGTGGGACTTGTTAGTTTGAAGAAGTGCAAGGATCGATGACAGGGAAACATACTTCTTGAGATAATCCAGCTTGAGCGCAAAGTTCTGCCACTGCTTCTTGTCGATGGCGACGCTGTAAAGGCTATTGCCATTGCGGTCCAGGATCTTGAAGTTATTCTTATCCGCGTTGGACTTGCCGATGATAGACCCGGCTTGGAACTGGATCTGGTTGTTGCTGAAGTCCGCGGCTTCGTGCCACACGTTGAGGTACTCGTGTGTCAGATTGAGCGGCCGCGCGGCATCCTGCTTGACGCTCCAGTGTAGCGTCTTGACGCCCTTGCCTCCCTCGCCATCGGCCGCGTCCTTGCTAAACTGCAGGCCCGCGCGTCGGAAGCCGTTCTGCTTCTGGAAGATGGACTTGTCCGACAGCGTCACTTCGACGGCGGTGAACTTGCTGCCGTCGAAGCGGGACGAGTCGTTGGGGAATTTGAGTATCTGGCTCCATTTCAGGTCGTTACCTTTGACGAAGTCAGGATTGAAGATTGTGTTCGTCGCGGACGTGTCGAAGAAGGTAGGCGCTGTGTTGAGGGGCACGCGGCCGTCGAAGACGATGGGGCATTTCGGGTCTGCGCGGTTGACGCGTGGGCGCGGGCTGGGAGCGGCGAGGACGGTGGAGGCGGCTGCCACCAGGGAGAAGAGGGTTTGAGTGTACATGTTGGAAGTTAAAGGAGTGAATTTCGAGCCTGCGAGTATAACGAGAGAAATCGAAAAGTCGTAGCAGGTACCACGTCGCCTTTATACCAAATCAACTCCAGGACACCATTGCGCGGCACTTATTCAAATCAATTCCATTTCTTTTCCTTATTGGCTGCGCAGTCGTCTCCGGCTTTTCTCATGGCCAAAATATGGGTTCATTGTCCCTTCATCTAGAGGAGCCAATTATGCGGCAGGGAACCAGCGTGGAAACTTCCATAGTAGGTCCGGCGACGTTGAGATAAGGCCGGGTTAATTTAGTTGAGGAGACTTGTCGTGAGGCTCCGTGGGCTGGGATCTGGGGTAAAGTGCACGGCTTCCAGACGGTCCGGCATTCCGGTATCGTGGCCTGGGTTTGAGGTCGAGCCTAGGGTTCTAGACGATCTCGTGCACGTAGCTAGATGCATAAAATGGTTTCTGTGGGGACGCGAGCGAACTGAGGGCGCAAGCTGTGGGCAGGTGCGTTGAGTTCGCTTCTTCTCCAATATTATACACCTTTGCAATCTATCCTGCTCTCATATCACAAGCCGATGCCGGTATGAGATATCGCGAAATGGGTCCACATGTCATTCCACAGCGGTCGGACGAAACGCGAAAATTGGTGCCGGCGATAAATTTAAAGGGAGAGGCGCCGTCAAACACACCGTCGCTGCCAAGTTGGGGAAGCACCGCAAATGTGACCGAGGAGACGAGCAGCCGTTTGCATGATCAGTCCAGACTCAAGATGTAAAGTTCGCAGATGTAAGGGCCGACTTGACAAAGCTTAGTGGGGATTGGAAGGGTTAGTGGATCGAAGGCTGAGAGAAGCAAAAACGACTGTGGATGGTGTGCATGGATGGATGCAAGCAGCAGCGTCAGCCGGGCCTACGCTCGTATCCACAACCTTAATCTAACTGCAGGTCAGTGAAGGAAGGACGGTATGATTGAATGCCGAAAGGGTATATATGTAGGACGCAGGACATAGGACGTATGGCGAGCCTGGAGAGGGGGCTCTGCTGCTCGTGCTCTACTTTCCATCTCGCATCCTCGTACGCACCATGGCGTGAATAGAAGAAGCGCCCCGCCCAGAGGCAGAGATTTCTTCTAGGCGATCAGATAACCCCGCTCAATATGTTTATCAGATCTCCGATTCGACGACACGTGACAGCGTCCCTTGCGGCCTTTGGATTCATCGCGTTAGCCACCAGCAGCGCATGACACATGCCAAATCCCATGACGGCCATGTCACACACAGTACGGTCGACGTCCAGATGCGAAAGCGCTACGCCTCCTCTTGTTTCCTGCTCATCTGTCTCTCCGTGTCTCGCTGCCTGTCGCAGGCCATCTATCGCCCGCATGCAAACCGTCTCGTTCAGCAATCCCTGCGGCGGGTATTGCATCATCGCACGCCAGCACCAGGGCCAACACCTGGAACGCCACCAACCCAATCCTTCCACCATGGACCCCACCCCAAGACTGCGTGCCCTCTTTTTCTCGCCCACTTGAGCCGCCGCGTGCTTGCGAATACGAGCACCAAAACTAGGCTGCTGTGCGCGTGGGGCTCGCGCGTGCCCACGGCTTCTGCTTAAAAGACGCACCAGCCCACCGACTGCTGGCCTCTGCCAGGTTAAGCCGCACGCCTCTGGAAATACTGTATCGCAATAGCATCAAGTCTGCCAACATGGCAGAGACACAGGAAGCCACGGCGCAAGAGCAGGAGAAGAAGGATTTGGGATCCCGGTTACCTGTCACCATATCGGCCGAGATCAACGCGGGCACAAGGTACGTTCACAGCCTTGCACTCTTCTGTTCCTCTATGCGCAAGAGAAGATGCTGATATTCATGTCTGTATAGGAGTCACCACACGGCCCTCAACCGCCTCATAACGTCGCGTCTCCCCCTCGCCCTTCCTCCACATACCTCTGACTCGTCCCTCTACACCACGGGCATGCTCCACTTCGCGCACATCTTCCTGACTTTCGAGTCGCTACGGGCCGACCTAGTGCGCGATACTCCCACACCGACCGACGATGGAGCGCCAACCTCGCCGCTGTTATCATACCTCCTGGTCAACCCCTACGACTCGCCCTCTCTCTTCACCTCTACACTCGGCGCACCCACACCGCCTTCGCCACAACTCGCTGCCTTTTTGCAAACTCTACGGCCGAAGGGTTTGATCCGCTCAGGACGGCTGAAGAAGGATTTGGAGTACCTGCTCGGCCTGCACGCTACGGACCTGGAAGTCCTGCTAGCCAAATACCCCGGCGACAAGGTTGCCGAGTTCTGCACACATATCCGGAAGAGCGTGAATGAGAAGCCGTGGACGCTCTTGAGCTATTCGTGGTGCTTCTACATGGCCGTTTTCTCGGGTGGACGGTGGATAAGGGGACAGCTGTTGAAGACGCCGCCAGAGTTCTGGCCGGGTGGTGACGAGAAGGGACAGAGCATAAGCCTCGAAGACAAGGGGCTGTCTTTCTGGCACTTCACTGGGCCTCAGGACGGCGAGGACATCAAAGCGGAGTTCAAGGAAAGACTTGCTGCTGCCGACGGACTTCTGACGCCGGATGAACGGGTCGACATCATCGAGGAAGCGAAGAGTATCTTCCAGCTTTGTGCAAGCCTGGTAGACGAGCTGGATGGCATGCTCAAGACGGACTTTGCCAAAGTCAAGCACCAGGGAGAGACTGCGAGCGAGAAACAGCCCAACCAGAAGACAGCCACGCATGGCAGCGCAAGAGCAGCCCAGCTGGCCAAATCAAGTGACGCCGTCACCAAATTCCTTCAAAGGCCGCATGTCACAGGCACCCTGGTGGCTTTGGGCTGTCTGGCATGCTACGCCCTGGTCACGTTACAGTAAGCCGAGCTGCGACGCGCGGGTTTAGTGTGCCGTATACGCATATATTTCTCTGTCTCTTTTTCTATTTTTTTTGGCGTCATTGCAATGGTATCATTGTCGTTGTTGCTGCGTTCTAGTGCATGGCGAAGCGGAGAACGATACCCTCAGATTACAACATAGAGCGCATTCTTAATCGACTCGTCCTCTCAAGCACATCTATTTTATTTTTCATCTTATTTTGGGATTCTCGTGAATGACGTGCAGCGAGCCTTTTCAAGCTAATATGCACACTTTCAATTTCTTGTTCTACCTTCGATGATCTACCAGTTGGGGAGTCTGGGGTAAATCTACCGACTGCGGGGTAGCGTGCTTAGTGCTCGACGCCCGGCCATTATTTTGCCGGTCGACTCAACCTCCACAGCTGCTTGGCCTCTCTTGGGATGCTATATTGCTCGGCGATCGGACTTGACAGCTACAGACATCGATTATCATGACTTTTCTCTGCGCTGGGATGGCAGCATGTAGCGCCCGTCCCCATGACAAGACTGTCGAATATGCGTCCACCGACGACCACATCGAGTGCCACATTCCCATTGGTGGATTTCGAGTGACTTTCCTAAGTCATAGTCGACAACCTGCGCCCGAGGAGATTCGAACGGTTCACAGGCACATAAGTAGGCTGTCGTACCATTGCGCCGGGTAATGTATTTGTCTCGACACAGTGGGCCTCCATCATGGTCGCCATTCAAACTTTCCTCCTGTTTGGAGTATGCCTTGTTGCACACGCCGCCACCATCTCTCCCGTTGTACGATCCAGGGGCGGGATCTTCCATGGTCGCTACCTCCCGCAATTCAATCAGGTCCTCTACCTTGGTGTCAAGTATGCGCCGAAGCCAGTGCGCTTTGCTCCAGCCGAGCTGATCAAGGACACGCCCGGGCAACACTTCAACGTCACGCAGTATGGCCTTGACTGCAAAGGATACGGCTCGGACACCAACTTGCTCGTCGCTGCGAATTGGACGAAGATGGGCGAAGACTGCTTGCATTTGAACATCATCAAGCCCAAATCTCGCGAGACGGGTTTGCCAGTGCTGCTCTGGATCTACGGCGGCGGATGGCAGCAGGGAGCAACGAGTGATCCGCGGTACGTTCTCCTAGAGCGTCAAAACAGACCGGGTGATTGATGCTGGTGTACAGATACAACATGAGCTACATTGTCCAGCAATCCGTCCTCAACAACAAGCCCGTCATCGGCATCTCCATCAACTACCGCATGGCAGCCTTTGGCTTCATCAACAGCAAAGAGATCGCCAAGACTGGGAATCAGAACCTCGGACTGCGCGACCAGCGACTTGCGCTCAAGTGGGTGAACAGGCACATCTCCTCCTTTGGCGGCGACCCAGCAAAAGTCACCATCTGGGGCGAATCCGCAGGCGCATACTCGGTCGGCGACCACATCAACGCATTCAACGGGGCGAATGAGGGCCTTTTCCGCGCCGCCATCCTCGAAAGCGGCAGCGCAATCGGACCACCTCTCAACGGCACAGACTGGTACCAGCACATGTACGACAACATAACTGCGTCCGTGGGCTGCGCAACCGCAAACGACACACTCCAGTGTCTACGCTCCGTGCCGTACGAGACAATCGCACCGTACGGCTACCAAGGCCTGGAATGGTTCCACACCATCGACGGCTCATTCATTTCCCGCCCCGCCCAACAGTCGCTCACCTCTGGCAAATTCGCGAAAATCCCCCTCCTCCTCGGCACAAACACAGACGAAGGCTTCGGCGTCAACGGCGTAAACACCGACGCGCAGGCCATCAACCAACTCACGCATTCCAAGCGGTGGAACCTCAACGACGAACAGGCTAAAAGGTTGCTGGACTTGTATCCGAATGACCCTTCGCTCGGCGAGCCGTATGGTTGGGGGAACCGCACGTGGCCGGAGAACGGGGCACAGTGGAAGCGGTACCAGAGCATCGCGACGGATCTTACCATGTTTGCGCCGCGGAGGCTGTTGGCTGAGAGGATGACCGCGTGTGGCGAGGATGTGTTTTCGTATCGGTGGGATGCGCCACGGTTTAATAGTACGCCGGGGGTGATTGGGATTAATCATTTCTCTGAGGTAGGTTACATTACGTTGCGTTGCGTTTACATGCGTTCATGCTACTTGGACTGAGGCTGATGTGCGACGTATAGATCCCCTTCGTCTTCGGCAACACACAGCAGCAGATCACACCGCTGGGAAACAGTTCCGCCAACATCGAGCTATCAAAACTAGTCATGAGGATGTGGACTTCGTTTGCACATGGACTTGATCCAAATGATCATGGAGGTAGGCGCGCACACACACCATGCCGGTGTTCCAAAGCAAAGTTACCTTTACTGATATCACTGCGAAATTTGTAGTTCCAAACATTGCCAAGTGGCCGCGGTACGCGACTCCGGCAGCTGCGAATTTCGTGTTCCGCGCGGACACGAGTTATGTTGAGCGGGATGATGACAGGTTGGAGGGTGTGGCTTATATTAACAGTCTGGTAAGGTAACGGAGGACCACAATGTCGAGAGCAGTATCTAGAATTCCTCAATCGTATATTCTTTAGTCATGATGCGGAGGTGGCGAGCGATAATTCGCGGTAGGCAGCAGCTTTGTCAGTGGATAGATGGTAGGAGTTGACGCTGTCTAGCTGGCTATGCAAGCCGAGTCTAGAACAACGATCGAATACAAACATGACCTACTTGAAAGCTTTATGAAACGTTTTGGCACAGAATGAAACTCAGGCTTCTCGTCAGAGTACCACATTGCAAAGTGTTAAATTCTACCACATGCTCGTCATACAACATCCAAAGCACCTATCGGGAAGAGTTGTGAAGCTCTCCTGCGGCAAGTAAGCGGTGAGTAGCGCTTCCGATGTTGTGTCAAAGCTCCCAATCTGTCTCGATGTCCTGGTACCAATGCGTCTCGTACACGCCCTCGACGCGTCCCCCGAAGCCGTATGCTTGCCATGCCAATGTTTCGTCCCCATCTTCATTCTGTTCAAACAGCACTATGAAGTTTGGAAACCCGTCATGGCGCCAGGCCTCGCGCTTCATCTTAGCGGACGTGTAATCAGTCCACTCGGCCTTCGAAATGTCCCGTCGGAGCCTTGCGACGTCGCCACGCCAGATATCAAGCGGCAAACCGCTATGGTCTTCAAGGGCGGATATATCCGGGTTACAAGGTCAAGCCTATCCGTGTGTAACATACTCGATATATATATATATATGTTGAGTGCTTTACACGGTGGCTCGGTGAGGAACATTGGCTTAGTAAGTCCTTCAATCAACTGATGGCAAAACCATGTTGGAAAAACGCCCCAACTTCGCAGTTTGGAAGCTCAAGTACCGCATTATGTCAGCGATCTTTTATAGTTCCGCAAACTTTTCTTCATCTCGTTTGTCTTACGTCGCATAGACTAGACGCCCCGAATAATCCAATAACACCTGTAAGAAAACTTCGTTCTACATTCCTCTACGTTCCGCCGAGCATTTGGCAGTCGGGCGAAGTAGCGTTGACCTTCATGCGCCTTGACACCATTCGTCTTCCCATAGCTGCCACATGTCTTCGCTTGAGAAGTACGTATGTTGCGCCAGGGTTTTCGTAGGTTGCCCAACGGCCTCGAAGAAAATAATCAGCTTCGGGAAGCCAGGGAGTGACCAAAGAACGTTTCTTTGCCGGGGAAAGGCGTAAGCTGTCCACTTGGGCTGCGCAATGTGCTGTCGTAGTTGCTGGGCATGAGTGCGCCACATATCGATTGCCTTGTTGTAATTCTGTTGGAGTGCGTCCAATAGTTGACCAGTCCGAATGCCATCAACATTGCGGACTCTAGTTACTAATTCCAGTTCTCTGGAACTCAAGGTTGGCATGTAGACACCGAGCGCTTTGCAGGGCGGCTGCGTAAGGAACATAGACCGGATAAGTTCCCCAAGGACGGGTTCCCTAAGCGAGCTGGGGAAAGCAAAATCTCCGATTTTGGGCGGCAGTACAACCTCGCACCTACCCAGTTTCAGCTGTAAATGATCGCCGAACACATCCAAGAAGTAGGGGTTGAACACGAACTGGCTCAGGTCGAACCACCGCCGTTCGTGTTGAAGAGGAAATCCTGTCATATCCAGTACGAATCGGCTCTCAAATACTGTATCGATGAAATTGAGCGTATCCTCCGAGACGTTGGGTGCCTGCACGAGTCGAGCAGGGAAGAAGAAATGTGAGCAATTCGGGTATGTCTCCTGTCGTATAATGTTCACATTCTCCTCCAGACCTGCAATTTCTTCTTCCGACGCTTGCAGCCACTGCAGATCCGGGTCTATTATCTGACCATAGTCAACAGGGGAGCAGGGATAACAGGAGCGGAATTGGAATCGTAGAATGTATGCGACCATATCGCGCCAAGCGATGCAGACCTTCCATGCGGCGTATTGTGCTCTTGGTGTTGCACGACGGAGGATGTTTTCGAGGAGCTCGGGAATGCGCAGGGCACGACGAGCACTACCAAGGGAATGGCAAGGACTCGTTTCAGATCGTAATCTACATAGAGGAGCGGTAGAATACATAGAAACGGGGTAATATAGCGCCATACGTGCGTCGATGGTGGCTAGAGTGGCTGCTCTCCATTCTTCTACACCCGCTTCCAACTGTTCGCGCGGACGAGGTGGTGGCAAAGGCCAAGGTATGCGTGGAGGAGTCACACCCAATTCCTCAAAGTCAAGCGCAAGAGGGTAATAATTCCGATGTACTTCCCTGGAATTGACGTCCTTGTCTGGGAAGTACTTCATGATTAGGACGTCGTGTGGATGGTATCTTGATCCATCCGTGTACCGGGGGTCATCGACCGAGGTTGGCGGTTCTTCATCGTTCATTGTGGGTGAGAAGCAAATATCGTGGGAGCTGGGTGAAGTACCATCGAGGATGGAGAGGTATTAAAAAGAGCAACTAATCACGTGGAATGGATGCCTGGTGCTAGCGTGTGAAGTGGGTCACGTGCTTTGGTCCGTGCCTTAGTTAGCTACTCCAATCCTCGAGAACGCTGAAGTACGCTAATATTTGGATTCGTATCCATATAGACTATTATAAATGCGTCCTGTCGTGGAGTATCAAGAAGAGCACGACAATCCGAAGAAGCATTATATTCTGGAAGTTTTAACTATGAAAATGTGACCAGAATTAACATTCTTCGAGTTGCTCGAAATCTATCTAGATCGATACCAATTCATGTACAAACGCTTGGGGAACATTATAGACGAGATATGAAATCGGTGTGTACCTCGAGTGTCATAACTAAACCTTCGTCAGACCTGGATGCGGGCTTGGGCGAGGCGTTGAAGAACGGCGACATCCACGACCGCTCATAGCCAGCAAACTCATCCAATGGAAAACATCAAAACGCATTTCACCCCAGTTCCCACCACTTTCTATTTACTTTTCTACCTCGCAAACATACTGACTTCGGCCTCGAATGGTAGAGCTACTATCGAAAGTTCACCGTGCAAACATACGCTCACTGTTGTTGTCCCTCAACCTCATGCTCGGGTGAAAACGGATCAAAAGGCACCACCACCTCCTTCTTCCCAAAGACTTTCTTGAAGCTCACTTTGATCCGCTCCCAGGGCGTCATCTGCGCCTTTCGCACCGTCTCAAAGGTCGTGTATGAAGTCTCAATCTCGCTGAGTCGCTGCTCTTCTTCCTTCTCGTAGTTTTCGGCGCGCTCATTCAGGCTGTCCACGACATAGTTGCGCAGAACAGGATTCGCGAAGACGGCATCGTTCTCGGGATGCAACGCTAGGATCTCTGGAATCCTGGAGACCGCGAGGCCGCTGTCGGCGATGCGGTGGTAGAGGAAGGACTCGAGGGCTTCGACGCTGAAGAACGGCTGGGCGGGGATCTGCACGTATGTGCCACGGACTGCGCGAATGATCCCGAAATCCGTCATTTCGGCCGTCTCGTACTTCTTAAGGAGATCGCAGAGCAGTTGGCCACGTTGGAGAAGGCGGATCTCGCGGGAGGTCCACGGGCGCTTGTACTCGGTAAGATTTGCAGGCAGTGGCCAGCCTTCTTGTGAAACGTTGTAGGCCTCGTAAAATTCGCCGAGTTTGGAGCGCGCATTAGCAAAGAAATAGCCTTTCCAGAACTTCTGGTCGTAGACTGCTGCTTCAATGAGGATGCGGAGATGGTAGTACAAGTCGCGACCTTGGAGCATCGATGGCCGTGGCGAGAAGGATGCCAGGCCCCGGCTTGCTTGCTTCGGTATTTCGAAGATGACGAGTTCAGTAGGGTTATGACGATGGCCACGAGCATACTTTGAGGGACCAGTAAAGTGCCCCCCTTGCTCGAATTCCTCGACGGTAACACCCAAACGTCCAATCGCTTTTGCTTCAGCCTGAGTGAGCGTACCCTCTTCACCGAGTCCTGTTACAAATATCTCGAAGTATTCGGGCTTTAAGATGTGACTGCGCTCTTCAGGGAAGAGCTGTAGAGCAATTGTTTCGTGGTCTTCGGGGCTCATCCGCCGGGACTCCACGAGCTCAGAGTTGTTCGTTAGCGCATTGAAGCGCGCAATCCAGTTGTGATCTGTAGTGACCAACTGGCTTGCACGAATCTGTACTCCTCCAAATTCCAATATAAGATCGGGGATGGTGGTCTCAGGGAGTCGAGACCTGAGAGTGAAGTGAGCATTGATTTGGTCCATGTCAGCGATGGCGTTTGGACAGCCATTAGCAGCGTTAAAAGCGAGATTCTTGATGAGCTGACGGCGCTGGAAGGATGCACAGGCCTCATTTGCAGTTTCGGGCTGCTGCCGACGATGTATGGGAGAAGAAAGCGATAAGGGTACGCGGGCTTTCGGAGAGCTAGCTTTGGGGCTACTCTTTTTGATAATAGCACCCAGGGGCTTAATCTTCTTGCCAATATTGGGTTGTGGCTTGATGGCGGCGTGGCGCTGGTGGAGAAGTTTCTCTGCGGCGTGCATGCCAGCTATAGTAGCATCGAGTTCAGTACAATCGGCCTCCTTTGACGGCCGAATGGAGGCGATGTCATGTTCTTTGCTGAGCACCTGTACTCCAGAGCTTAGTGTCGTAGGTGGGGTCTCCGTTTGAAAGGGCGATGGAGACTCGGACTGAACCGCGGTGAGATTCGAGTTTGAGGCTGGGGAAGTCGTGAGCTCAGGTCGCTTCACTTTAGTCAGCCGTGTGATCTTTGTATTGTCAGAACGTAAGCTGACCTTCTGCTTAGGCGACTGAAAGCGGTAGAGCTTCTTGGGTGTAGGTCCGGCAGGCATAGGGATGGTAGGCATAGGAGCGCTGCTCTGGGCGATATCGCTGCCGCGGCGATGGATGTTAAAGGCCTTGCGGACACTGGTGGCGACGCGCTGTGACACATTTCGCTCGTGTCTCGGAAGTGCCATCGACGTAGAGGGTGACGTATCCTTGTTGTCGGCTGTGATGATGTTGTCACGGGCGCTGCGGGACAATCTGGTCGATAGGAAAGTCTTGAAACCCATTGTTGTCGATGTTGTCGAATCCGTGGAATGTCAAGACGCACAGTGGCGATCGAGGATGAGGCTGTCGAGTCACCGAGGGCTTTGCCGTTAGAGGTTGATTGGTGTCGAGGGTGTCGCGTCGTGGTGGAAACGATGCAAAGAGGGAAATACAATAATAAAGCAGTGCCAAGAGCTCTGTTCCCGTCGACACCGCGTTGGTAAGTTGGCTGACTAGACTCTAGTCGTTTGGTGAGAGTGAAAGCAACTTTTCGTAAGAGGAACCTTCCAGAGTAGGTCTTACTAAGATGTTTCGAGAGGTGGAGATACTCTATACACTTTGATACGGGGACCCTAAAGGATTATATAGCGAGAGCACAAGATTGAGGTCTCGAGAGGATGTCTAGGATATATAATTGCTGCGCGTACACTCCAGAGTTGTCGATACCAAGGACTCCCGCATGACGGTTCGCCCTTCACTCCGGTCCAGACATTATCCAGTAATCTTCAAGGTATGATCGCGTCAGTATCTTTTGATATAATGCTCATAATTAAGTGTATCGAGTCTTTCTGATGTCCTGGTAGCTGTGTTGACGTAGGGTTCGACACTGATCTAAAGGATCCGAAAGCGCGTCCTCCCTTCCTACATACGGAAGTGAACTATTCACCAGCAATTTTTCTGTACCTGACCTGCAACACAAAGAGAGATTGTAAGAATCGAGAGAAAGGAGCAAGGTTTGGAAAATTCCGACAGAAATGGGCTGGGTGGCAAGTCAGAGCAGAGAAGGAACAGAGATGGACACTAGCGTGACTAGTTGTGTGATATATGAGGCTTGAGAGAATGACACCTGCACCGATAACTCCCTCGCTTGCTTTGAGGTGGGAAAGGAAAGAGATGAATATAGAAGATCGTCGTCAAAGAAACCGGGTAGTACCCATTCCGCTCTCCCTGGAATGACGTCCGTCAACACCCAAGTAACACACCTCACCTATGTGAACTTCTTGAGTACCATGAACAAAAGTGCCACGACAACGCCGTATATGCAAGTATCAATCAATGCTAAAGAGTGTTCCGGACTGCGCTGCTCCAGCTGTTGCACTGGCGGTGCTTGTACCGTCCTTGTTGGGCTTGGTAGCGTGGCGATACGTGCAGTTCCCACAGCCATCGAGGCTGCTGTCGATGCTGATGCTGGTTCGGATGCCGAGGAAACAGCCGTGAGAGGCAGATTCACAGCCCTACCCTTGCCCTTGTCAGCTTGCCCTGCATCTCCATCCTTCTCCTTCTTTCCTAGCTCATCCCGATAGGCCAGTCTGAGCTCGTCAGGGACCTCGTCTTCCTCACGTTTGCCCTCCTTGTCCTCAACCTCTTTGACTAGCTCTTCCCTCTCTCTCATAACGTCGGCGTTGCTCTTCGCACAACCCGGGCACCTCCATGCCCCGCTCTCTTTCGCCAGCCGCTCTCTCGCATCTTTACTGCACTCGATTCCACCAAGCTGTCCCTTGGCATCTGTGTCCATAAAACTCCTTATCGCAACCAAAGCGGTCCGCACTCCCCACGCGGGCTGCCACGTCTCCTCGTGGTGTCCTGATATGCTCAGGCAGATCTCGCGATTTACCTCGAAGCGGCCAGTAGGTGTGAGGAAGCGAAACGATGGCGGGCGGAGAGGGTACTGGGGTGGAAGGATTATGCGACCATGGTAGATGCCGCCGGCGTAAGCGGAGGGTGAGGGCGGACCACGAATTGTGAAGTGCCACTCGAAGAGATTCGTTTCTACGGGTTCGGCATGGTAGTCTGGTGAAGGCGAGGTAGATAGTTCTGAGGCTTCTTTTACTGTGAAATGTTAGCTATTTGTAGTGCAAGCCAATACAAGGAGGCCAGCTTACATATCCGCTTGATGGTTGGATTCTTGGTGTTGAACTGCCCGCGAGTGGACATGACCGCGGCGAGAGAGGGGGTGAGCAGGTAACTAAGGGATGTATGTGTGTACAACGAGAGTAAAGCTGACTGCTGTAGGACAAATATGGTAAGCCTGGTTTGGGGTGTAGTTGTTGGTTGTTGTTCATGTAGCTGAAACGTCAACGTTGACGTTGCGATTGCGGCGAGTGCGATGGCGCGTTTGGCCAGCGCCCCGCGCCGTACCCGTCATGCTGCGGTGCCAACGCGATCTAACATTCACCCCACCAGCCCAGAATGCAGCGATTATAACTTTGATGTGAATCATCTCGGAAGCAAATGTTTAAATTACACGGAGCGCATTCGCTCTATCGAGTCTTTCTCTTTGCTACTAAGACTATGCTACCTACGCGCTAACGACTTCTATTATGGTAGATAATCCGAAAGGCCATCACTCACATGTAGCATCCTTTTTTGTCGATCTGGCCATATACTCACACTTAATAGCGATTCCGGCGGACAAGTGTTTGATATCCACGTCAATCTTCATTCACCACCGAAAAGGCGACGTCCTCGATGCGACGGGTCCAAGTGAAAAGTGAAGCGTCTGCTCGACTGCTCACTCTTTTCGGCACGCTCTATCCAGCAGGCAAGTTGGGATCTCCTTGACCTACATCAGTCTCTAAGTGGATCGCACCCTTCAGAAGAAGATAATAATAAAGATGCTGGCCCCTAGACTGTTGGATCTCTCTTGGATCGATATAGCATCTCGAGTCTTGCTGTAGCACCATCATGTAGTGCTCGAGATAGTCACGAGTACTAGCATCGACTTTGGGAGAATAGACTTCAACCAGATTCCAGAGAAGAGGTTGACACGGGTAGGCAGGGACCTATGACAATGCATGGGAATTAGCGGACTCTGGGTAACAGTTGACATTGGACTCTGGCGGCGAAGCATTCCGAAATTAAAGATGGTACTGAGCACGGAGTGCATACACTGGGTTTGGTATTTACTAATCGATGCTGTCGTCCGCAACTAGCTTGATTGAGTGGTATTGGTGATTTTTCCACGTCCCACAGATACACAATCCGGCTTGCTAGCATGATAGCATGCTGACTATGAAAGCATTTAGTAACCTGTAGATCAAGTGATACAAAATTGAATATGAAAAACAAAAGTTGTGTTGCTTTCTTCGGGCAACAGAAATCTTCAAGGCTGGAGCTGTGTAGAGGCAATGCGAACATTGCTGAAGTGAAAAACTAGAGGGCGAACTGATGTGTTGCACTTAACAATAAGCACAAAGAAGAAACTCGAGCATTTAGTCTCAAGAGGAATTGAAAGTGACATGGCACTGCATGGATAATGGTGTTGGAGTTCGGATTACGTCAGGTGGTCCATGCTTTCGCGCATCTCACGCGTTCTGCATCGCAACTGCGCCTTCCTATTCGGGTATACATATTGACATTCTATACAACTTTCTAGACGACATTCGTTGCTTGGGAGCCGTTACTTGGTCACGGCATGCGTCTCCATAAGCTAAGGCTTTCAAGAACCAAACGAAGCGGCGGATGAGGACGGAACCTTGCCGAAGTGACCCGCCACCGCGCTATAACGATCATCGGTCATGGTTGAGTCGATTTTATCATCCTTTCGGAACTTCAATCCCTATGACCAACATCGATCAATCCGAACAGCAATACCCTGGTAATTAGAGCTATCAACATCTCCCCGGTAACCCTTAGCGGACGCAGCAAGTGCAGATCAGTCGGTGGTGTGTCCAACCGCTTTTATCGCCAAATGGCGGACGTAGAACCCAAGAAAGGTGGAATTCGCGCCATGTTTGGAATGCGATCGAACAAGGAGCCCGGAGCTAGGAAGAAGCTGTCCAAGAAAGGCTCGGCGAGCAACCCCAGGATTCAAAGGTTCGATTCAGCGCCGAATCCCGAGCGTCAGGTATCGTGTAGTTTCACAAACCCAAGCATCGAACTGAGCATAGAGGAATCGCTTCTCCCCACGTATGAGGATGCCGCCGCCCTTACACCTCACGGTTTTCGAGATTATCCTTATGCTGCAGCAAGTCCTGTGACCACCAGCAACCACACCTATCTTCAGCCAGTTCCGCAATCAGCCGAGTACCGCCGTAACTCAGAAGGACAACAACAGTATGCTGCACCGTTGTATAATGCGCAAAGCTCCAGGTCAGCTTCACTTCCGCAGTTTCAGGATGTTCACATGAATGGAAATGCTCCACCAGTCCCGGTAGCAAGAGCACCGCCTGCCAAATTGAGCAAAGCTCATCGGGCGCCTTCGCGTACCGATGACATCCTTGATAAAGACACTGGCGAAAGAAAGGATTTGACGGAAATGATGCATGCCTTCACGTTCAATGAGGAACTGGACATGATCGACGAAAAGTTTGATAGCACATCGCTAGACTACGATCCTTCGAAGCCTGACGGAACTGCAGTTCTAGGCAGCGCATCCCCTGAGATCTGGCTCCGCATTGCCGACTTCTTATCACCCTTGGATGTTGCCAATCTGTCCTCTACGTGCCGGACGGTATCCACTCGCCTTGGTCGACATCCTTACAGGCTGCTCTTGGACCCCATAAATCGCTATGATCGGCTCAACTTCCTTCTAGCCATGGACCAAAAGCTCCCACGGCATCTTCTTTGCTTTCCATGCGCTCAGTGGCACCTACGGATACAGCCAGGCTTAGAAACACTAAAACCACACAATGTTCTTAATCCACTCTTCGAATGTCCCAATCGCACGAACATCCACCTACCGCCACCACGGACACGGATAACTGACGGTCGCACGCTGCCTTTTGCCTTCATACAACTTGTCAGGCGATCTTGGGCTTTTGGCCCCGAATTCGGCATTGATCACCAGTCGCTTGCACGAAGGTGGAAGGACCCATACTCTGACTGGACTCACGAGAGCAAGTACCACGTTACTAATAAAGGTCATGTTCTTATGCGAGTAAAGTCTCAACATTACGTTGAGGGCGGAATGAAAGACGCAGCAAAACGTCTGCTACTCTTCAGCAGAAGCGACTATACACCGTACTTTAGCGTGTGCTCCCATTGGAAACACGGGATACTCACATCGATTCCCAAATGCGCTTTGGATCACATCCCATTCTCTGCCACCTCTGAACACTACGCTATTACTCAGCACCGCAAGAAATCCACTGGCCTCGTCAGCCTCTGCAGTCAATGCAGACCGATGCGTCGCTGCCCGCAGTGTCCCACCGAATACCTGTTCGAGTTGAAGTTCTTGGAAGATAAAAATGTAAGGGGCCACGGCCCAGAGCGGTTCAAACAAGCTATGCTCGTTACACGGTGGAGTGATTTGGGTCCTGCGCGCAGTCCGGCGGATGCCGAGTGGAGTGCGATTGTTGGGGAGAATGAGAAGTATGATAGCTTCGCCGAGATTGGGAGGCGAGCTGTGAGCGGCGTGTTCGAAAGTGCTTTCACCGACACCGTACCCGGTCAGCGTATTCTGTCAACGAACCCCATGAAGGTTAAGGCGGACGACATTGGAGGCGCCTGGTACTGAGCTTACAAAGATATCAAGCAGGCTTTTGCATGGACTAGGAAGCAGACATGTCTGAACGCTTTGAGGCTTACGAGAATTGTATATCAAGACTAAAGAATGAGCCCTGTTCGATACCGACCAAATGCATGCGTTTAGCGGCAAACGAACAACATCAATTACCTGTCATGCTAAGGCGCCCGTACTACCTTCCGACCTGTAACTTCGTACCGCTGTAGCTCTTGAATAATCTTGGGCGAGTCGGCGAAGTCGTATACTTCGATCTTGGGTGTGATCTTCCCTTCCAGAGCCAGCTGAAGTAGCTCGTCCATCTGCGCTGATGTGCCGGTTGACGAGCCTTTGATTACGAGACCTGCAGTTGTCAGCGTGTCCCCTGTAATACCGGATGCTGGAATATACCTCTATTTGCGATATGAATCGGACTCATAGGGAACATGAAGGTGTCTGGCGGCAATCCTACACAGACGAAAACGCCACTATTCCTCGCCAGTTCTGGTGCCTGCGTATACGCCCTCTCACTGCCCGCCACGCAAATAACCCCATGCGCGCCCTCGCCATCCGTCAGATCCCTCACAGCTTGTACAACATCTTGCTTGGCATAATCTACAAACGCCACGGCGCCCATCTCTTTGCTCAGCTTTTCCTTTTCGGTGCCGCTGTCTATAGCAATGACTTTGTAGCCCTTGATACTCGCGATCTGCACGCCGATGTGTCCTAGTCCACCGCCTGCGCCGACGATAGCAACGAATTCGCCGGGTTGCACTTCAGGGGTGAGTTTTGAGATAGCCCCTGCGAGACTGAGACCAGCACAGAGAAGGGGGGCGGCGATTTCGCTCTTCACACCATCAGGAATGATGCTAATAAATTCGGCGTGCGCAACGACGTATTGCTGGAGTGTGCCCCACACGTTTCGTCCGGTGTTCTTCTGCTTCCCGCAGTGGTTGATTTTGCCCTTCTTGCAACTCGTGCATTCGTTGCAGGCACTCCATAGCCATTTGACACCCACTCTCTTGCCTAAAAGGTCCTGCGATACGCCTGGGCCAAGCTTTACAACCCTCCCTACGCCCTCGTGTCCCGGGACCGGGGTATATTTACCGCGTCCCTCGACGTTCATGCAATCTGAGTGGCAGATACCTGAGCATTCGACCTTAACGAGGACTTCATTCGCGGAAGGTTGCTGGACTTCGACATCTTTGCGTATCTGGAGGACGCATGTTGGACTGGGGTTGTCGATCCAGGCAGCTGTTTGGGAACTTGGAATGGATTCAGTCATGTTTTGTGCTGGGAGGAATTCTAAATGACACAAATGGCATGAACAAAACCAAACAGGGGGGAACCAGGTTGGAGACCAGATATGCAAAGTGGAGGTCTTCGAAGAACAGTACCCCGCGGCAGCCCCACCTTCGGCCACCCCTCTGCTGCTCCACCGCACCAATCGGAGCACATCGACTTCCGATCCCCATTTTCTATATCATGCATCCACCTCCTATCCCGATACTTTAGCAGCATTGCGCGGTCGATTCCCATTTGCAGAGCGTCTTTTGGGGAGTTGAAATATCAGTCGAACACATCGTCGACTACCCCGCCTCTTCTCTACGAAACCGAAGCCTATTCTATCTACTTGTCTAAATTCAAACCAAGGTAGCCCAGGAGCAAGAGTTAATCATAGAGCGATCGCTCTATTCGAAAGAGGATAGCAGAGCGGGGAGACGGTCATACAAGTGACATGAGGATTGACTGGTTAGCGGTAAAATGCCAGGTATACACTAACATTTCCCCACTATGCTTCGACGAGGAACATGAGGCCTCAGATAGACTCCTCTGTTCTGGAGCAAATTCTTAAACGCCTTTGCCATCTCCGCCCTTAGCATCTGTTCACTCCACTTCTTGAGCGTATATCCCAGAGACGACCAGCCCCCCCTTTCTTCATTTACTTGAGTAACTCTTCAGCACGACCGTTAGCCACCGTTCCGTTGTCCAGCACCTCGTCTACTTGCTCAGCAAATGTGTGATTAGGGGCCAGCTTTCGGAAGATGTCGAGCGTCTTGTTGTAGGTGTAGTGAAATGTCATGGCGATGATACCCTCGTTTTGGACGTCAGGCTGCGTGAGCGCGGCGACATGCAACAATGCAACATCTTCTATATCGACGAGTTCGTGTGGTGGGGAAAGCGCACAGGGAGGGTGTTGCCCTCCTACAATAGCCTCAACATTCCAGCTGTACTCAAAACGCCCGTGCCACATGAGTAACTTGTTGAATGAGACTCAAGCACACGTCGGAACTTCACACCAACCCTCGCCAATGACCTACTGGGAAAGGCCCCATCAGAGTAAGTTGTTCGCCTGTTATTATAATACGCGCTCTAAACGGAATTCCAATCTCAGCTCAGGCGGTCATTATCTGACTGGCGCTACTTTACTACGGTCCTTATCGGATCGAATCGAATCTCATTCACACCCTTCCTATCAGTCTACTCTCCCCCGACACTCTGTTTTTCAGGTCACCCTTTCGACTTTACAAAATGGAATATTAAACAGTGGAAAAGTTATGGTGGCCAACAAACGCAGCTTTCAGATCACTTTGGGGCAGGTGAAAGAAGACAGGTGAAGGAGAGTAGCCTACCAACCGAAGACGGAGTGGTGAAAGAGTACTTCAACGCATGATTCTATCATGACGTGTATGCCTACGAATCTAAACTGTACTCGCCTTCGCGCTCCTTCTACTGCTCTACGCCCACACAGCTGCAATGTCAAGCCCCGAACACCCCGAAATGGACAACAGCCCGCACCATCTCTTTACCAAAGCTGTTCGTTCTTTGCATACACGCCGCAATGCGCCACCGCCAATCCCCATCCCCATAAATCCCACGTCTTCTACTATTCAGATCTCGAACGCCGCTCGACCGTCGCAGAACCTGACCTGGACCGCCGTTGAGATGTCCAACTACCCACCCCAACTGACGCGTCGCGACGTACACCACCTCTTCAAGGCCTTTAATATCTCACCTGACTTTACGTTACCCAATACGGCGCGCTTGTCGTACCCATTGCGGACGTCAATCTTGGTTGCTGGGAAGCAGGAAGCAGAGCGCGCGGCGAGGGAAGTGAGTGGGCGAGTTTTTGGTGGACGGCAGATTTACGTGAAGGTCACTGAGATAGTGGAGTGGGAACAGCGCGAGGTTTTTGTTGCGAAGTTGGCAGACGAGCTGAAAACTGGGATCATCAGTGCGTAAGACCTGCTACTAGAGGTTTGCAGTTTGGGGCTGATCTTTACCAGATACTGCGCACGTTTACTACCCACTCCTTGCGTCGAAGATCCTCGAAGTCCGCGAACTAGTTCAAGGGGCATCATACTCCGCCTTCCTGCAAGCCCGCGATCCAGTCACTGCGCATAGTAGTCCCGAAGAACATATGGAACCGATGGAAAACACGGCGAAATGGGAGTTTGTTGCCGCTGGTCGTTCGGATGACCGTGCTTCGACGATGAGTGACAAAGATGGGCGCTTGTCGGCATTGAAAAATCTACAACAGACTGTGGAGAGTCAAGCCGCGCTGGAGAAGATATGGTCTGAATGGCGTGGAAGCTACGTCTTGAACCTTGGTAGTGACCAGGCTTAGTGAGGACGACTGTTGACAGATCACACAAGGTCGATTCAAAATCACTCCAGTCTCACCGGCATGGAATATATGTGTCTGGAAAGGAACGAGCTAAAAATCTGTACTAGGTGAGCCTGGATTTTGTGGAACGATACCACACAGCCTTGGTCAGTCCGTAGCTCTTCGAAATAAAAGGATCGGATCCACATTTGTACCACAAATCCCATTGTCACAACTCCAAAGAGATATTAGTTCCCCAAGGTCACATCGTCCCTTTACTCCGAGTGTTCATCATGCCGGTGCTGTCATCCTTCAGCGACCTTTATGCGGTCTATTACATTTTCCCAAGCATTCCATACGTTTCTCCGCAAGTAAGATGTCTGCACCAACCACTGGATACTTGCATATGATTTTCCCAAATGCATATCCCTTCATGAATGCCATCGAATGTCTAAGAAGATACCCAGCGATAGCTTTGCCCATGGCAGAGTTAACGATCATGCATACAGAGTAGTAAGCCTCGATAACCTTCTCACAGTGCTCGTCGCTGAGAAGGACATCATCGTCATAGCCGAAAGTCTCTAGAGCCCGCATCGCAAGCCCATCAACATTGTACTTGTCTGCTAGGATATAGAGTCCGCTGGGCGTAAAGAATCCCCGATCAACATACAGTATGTCCTCATCAGGCTCGTAATGCATAGTATAGAGATACCGTAACATTGCTTCGAAGTCTTCTGGATTGTCATCATGAATTTCGATAGTGGGATCGGAGGCTTCCTAAATGTACTGGATCAACAGAGAGGCGACGGAGTGGCTACCACGAGCTCTCACCATAAAGGGCCCAGTCAGGGCCTTCATGAACCATCCGGAATGGCCGCAGAGCACTGCCTTATGAGCGTGATACTCTTTGGTCCTGCCGTTGTAGATCTGAAGGATCTTGATGTCAGAGAAGGTGGCGTCGTTGAACAACCTACAGCAAGTCTGCATTAGTAGAGCGCACCATGTAGATGCAAGCGGTAACTTACGTCTTGCGTGCCGGAACCTGTACTAAGACCATTTCGTCGATACGTTGGCTGGTATTAGATAGACAACGTGATAGAAGTGGTAAAGATTGACGATGCTGTGAAAGGCGAGTGCTTTGGTGTTATTAAACTAGTCGGCATGCTTTAAAGCTAAGTCACAACATTAACGAGGAGGTAAACTCAGTGAGGTGAGTGTGAGCAAACAAAAGGCGATGAGAGATCCACAGTCAACGCTTGAAAAATTGGCAAAGGTCGTCAATAGACGGCTAGCGTATTATTATTTATTGCCTCCATTGAAAAATTACATACATGGGAAGAATACTTGAGCATTAGTAGATTTCCAAGTCAACAATCTTTGATTAGGTACACCATCTTCCGCAACTTGCGAGTTCCGAATAGCCACCCAGGAAGGCGAGAAGATTACAGTCATGAGCTAGCTCCAATGACGGATGAAACTGACAGGCTGTCTCAGATACTATGCATCGATCTATGTAGGGGTAAATTCAGGCATTTCGTGTAAGAACAGCCGGCAACCTATTGCGGCATTTTACTGGATCACTCCTTAGGAAAAGTTACTGATTGTTCGCATATTCCGCTGCTGGCTAGGCTATCTGTCTTTCAGTCATCATTTACATACTTTTCAAACACATCTCCGTAGAACTTCCTCCCTACGTCCTGATGACTTCGGATCTTCGTCCGTAACTGGGTCTCACCCCATGTATCATACCTTCCTCTTAGAAACGCACTATCGATTTCCTTCCCCTCTTCGCTTTCATTTCCTAACCCAAACTCTCCACTTTCGAAATGCTCTTTTAGAGTGCCCACCGCATCCGCTTTCGTCAAATCCCTCCTCATCCCCTGGAAGAAAGGTATGCTGAAGCGCTCGTCCGCACCAGAAAGTACGCGATGAGTGGTAGCTTTACATTTTCCGTTAGTGACGACTTCGAAGCCCTGGCCGATATTGACGACGAAGGTCCCCGGGATGTTGGGGACGTCGATCCAATTACCACTCTTGTTGAGAGCTTGCAGGCCCTTGATGTGAGGTGGCGAAGCTTGAAGAAGAAACGTCCACCAGCCAGATGAATCTTTATGCGGCCCCACACCTTGACTGGGTCCAGATGTTGATTTAGGGTAGTGGACGAGCTTGAGACGATGCTGGTCTGAAAGGAAGGGGAGAAAAGTGTCTGGCGAAAGGGAGAGCGCTTCAGCTACAAGATGAAGAAAGCTCTCGCTCAGTCTGGTGAGTTCTGAGATATACGTTTCCACAGTCGGGCGAAGATCTGGATAGGCAGCTGGCCACTGGAAGTAGCAAGGAAGTAGTCAGCAATTTATCGTAACCGTAATTTGGGTTCGTGTTCTTCAGCCCTCCTTGAAGCATATACTCGCGCATAGGTGGTATGAATGAATTGGTCTTACTTGGTTAGGTCCTTTCAATCTCTCAGCCAAAGGTTTCTTCTCCGTCCAATCATCCGCCAACTCCGTAGCAAACTCGAATTGCTCCCTCCTGTCAAGCTTCCCAGCAGTTGTCTCCGCACCGGTACCACTATAACCCAAAAAGTGCGGGGAGTTTCCTAGAGATACTGCCTCCTTCTCAGTCCTAGGCAGATTGAAAAGCCGCGGAAGCGCATGGACTAAGCCCTTGATGACAGGTTCAGCAACACCATGGTTCGACACGTAGAGGAAGCCAACGGAGGTGAGCGCGTGTCTTAGGTCTCTAAGAAGCTCGACCTTAGTGTCAGGAACATTGGCTTTGGACAGGTCGATGATGGGTATAGACGTGAAGGCGGAAGTTGACATGATGCCCGCTATCCTGGTTCCTGCATAGGTAGGTGAGTGTTCCAACGGCCTGGTGTATGGCATCGACTCCCATCTCAACGCTGCGATATGGCCCAACTAATCGGAACCTAGGAGCCGATAAAATCAGGTTCCACTCTTATGCAAGGTGCTTGGTCTGACATCAACGTCCACACGGATGGCGTGCTACAACGGCTGCATAACGGGTACGCTAGCGTCGGGAATTAGAGTGGCGCCGATCCTCGGGAAACTAGTCGGGAACATGTCTCTCGAACCTTTTCCCAACGTAATACTCCGAAAAATAAAGCGACAGCGATGACACTTTACATACCGTCAAATCACTTTGTGCAGAAGTGCAAAGTGAGATTACATTAGCAAAGACATTAGTCGTAGTACTTCACACTCTTTCCTCCAATAATTGGCTCCTCATTTGTCTCGCTTCTCACTTTCCCCTTAGCAACACCCTTTGCAACCCTAGCCTTGACCCACTCTCCAGCCGTCACGCCTACCACGCTTTCATCCTTCGACTTCGTGTACCCCAGCTTGTCCAACACAACGCTCGGAGCCGGCCTCAGCTCAACGCTGTCTTCCGGACGCACAAAGTATAGCACGCCCAAGCGATCGATATCAGCTTGATCGGCAGGAGGAGCAACGACACGATGAATGCTACTTTTGAGGAAACCATTAGTGAGGAACTCCAGCGAGTCTGCGATGTTGACAGTAATGCTTCCCGGATAGGGTTTGACATGCTTCCATTCGCCTTCTGGTGTCCGAACTTGGAGTGCTGCAACGGGCTGACGGAAGAGTAGAGTTAGGGAGCCAAAGTCGGTGTGGCCCTTTACCCACACATTGTCCAGCGCTTGGTTCTGCTCTGAAGTGCGATGGTGGTACTTCATGTATCTGAGATGGCAGTCGCTCTTCTCATTATACCGATGCTTTTCCAGAAAGAAGTTCTCGGGCAACTCCAGGACGATGGCAAGAAGAACCAATAGTTTGCCAGCAACATTATCAGAGATGTGGCGGGCAAACTTTTCAATCTCTTCCCTGTGTGCATTGATGATCTCGGGGTGTGGTTGATCGAAGGCAGGGATGAACTTGGGTATGTTGTAAATTTCGGTGTTGTCTTGTACGCCTGGTCGAATTTCACGCAGGCCGAGAGGCTTATAACCGTTGTAGCCGCCATTCTCGAGATCGGCTCGGTACTTGAGTTTTTCCTCTGTCGGCAGTTCGAATAGCTCCTTGCCTATGGCGAATTGACGATCCACAGCCTCTTGACTGAGGCCGAAGTTGGTGATGTAGAAGAACCCTAGAAGAATGAGAAGCCTGTAGGGTAGTGGAGGCCCACCACATACCTATCTTGTCGATGGCATCGAAAAGTTGGTTTGCTAGCTTCTTTTTCCCACCTGGCGTATCAAACACAGAGAGATCGAGAGTTGCTAAATCTGCCCAATCAACTGCCAGAAGTCAGCTTTTGAAATCCTATTGAATAATGCCCTGGCTTGACTGACGTTCGTATCGAGTCTCTGGTACTTGATTATAAGCTGGCAAAGCCGATTCAGCTCTGATTGCTTGTACTGCAGCCATGATAATAATCGGGTTGTATATATCCGCTGAACTTGATTGTTCAGTTCTCCTTGAGCATGGTTCGTATACTGACTGGTTCCCGCTGCTATATACCGTCAAATCGTTTTGTCTGCAGCCGAATTAACCGACAGTCTAATGCCGGTTTGCATGCATTTCATGCATTTCGCATCGCGTTGTCGCAGACCCTGTCGGTTCGCAATCGTTAGCGTAGAGCACGAATTCAGGCCACCCAACTTAGGTAAACGATCAGCGCAAGAGACTCTCTTCGCCATTACAATACACGTCAAAGTGGAAACAAATATCGTGCTTGCCGCTAACATATGTTTTTAAGATCCGATAGCGGGCTCACACCATGGGTTGAGCCCAGGTCTCTGCTACCGAACAACAGTGCGCATCAGAACCATATCGGTGGATTTCGCCAGATACGTAGGCCTTGAGCTAGAATGCAGCAAAGAGCCCGGGAATACCAAACTAGGCCGTGCAATTATATCAGTGGCGCATGTCCTTTCATTCCAGGCGTGCGACCTTTTGTATAAAGAGGATTTACATTGCCCGCACAACTGAAATATCCGAACGCCTCCAGCATGCTTGATCAGAAGACCAAGTTAACGGCAGTATCCGCTCCAGTCGTAGATGATCCGAACAGTGGTTTGCACTATGCTCGACGCGGTTCCATCACGAATGATGAGTTGTCGAATGAACAAATCGAGGGATACGATGCGGAGCGAATGCGGGCGCGTACATTGTTAACCGCCGAAGAAGAGAAGAAGCTGCTCCGAAAGGTCGACTGGCACCTGATGACGCTGTGCTCCGTCATGTTCCTGCTAAAAAACATCGATGCTGACAACGTGTCGAACGCTCGTATCATGAACAAAGGCACTAAAAGCAATATCATGACACAGCTCGGGATGAGTGCGAACGAGTACAATCTCGTCACGACCATGTACTATGTAAGTGGCTTTCTCTTCGAAACTTTTTAAGCTTACCACTAATTAAAGCCCAGATTCCTTACATCATTGCTGAGGCACCATCTAATCTGCTGCTCAAACGTTTGTTGCCGTCAAGATGGCAATCAAGAATCATGATCACCTGGGGCATAGCATTGGCTTGCCACGCTGCGGTGAAGAACAAGGAGGGCCTGTACGCCGTCAGATTTCTCTTGGGTTTGGTAAGTGACATCAACGAGGGATCTCCGCAGGAACGTTGCTGACATGCAATATTAGTTCGAGGCTGGCATGTTTCCAGGCGTCATATTACAAATGTGCTACTGGTATCGACCGGACGAGATGTCAGTACGCTTGCTGTATTTCTGTAAGTGCTCAACATACATTCCCATCATACACTCCCGGGAGCCTTTGAAAACAAAGCTAATTTGAAGTAGATATTTTGGGCAACCTCTCTGGTATCTTCAGCGGGATTCTCGCATTTGCATTCTCTCATCTAGATGGAGCCCACGGACTGTCTGGGTGGCAGTGGTTGTTCTTAGTGGAAGCAATCGTTACAATCGTGTTCGGAATTTCGCTCATCTGGATCCTCCCCGATTGTAAGTGCGTTTGCGCGAGGAACTAAACGGCAGCTGACATCGAGGACAGTCCCTCCGCAGGCGAAATGGCTGACAGAGAAAGAGAAAGCATTTATACAGGCTCGGCTCCCTGGAAATGCTCCGCAGTCTTCGGAGCTGAACTTCCGCTGGCGAGAGATTGTCGATGCGTTGAAGGATGTTCGTCTTTGGCTCTTCACACTCATCTGGGCCCTTTTCACTATCGGAACGAGCGGAGTACGATTTTATCAACCGACTGTCATTGCAAACCTTGGGTTTACAGACATCGCCTCTGCACAGCTCCTAAATCTCCCAATCTCGATATTCTCCATTATCGTTATTGGCGTAACTGGAGCCTTTGCAGACAATGGCCGTCTGCCACGCCCACTCTACCCCTTATCATTCCTCTGTGTCATACTCATCTGCTATGGTGTTCTGGTATGTGTATCCCATACCCAGAATTATGCTTTAAACCCGCTTTTACGATTTGTATAGAGCTCTAGGGGCTTTACATCTTTCCTTCCTTCCCCCCCTTTTTCCCCTTTTTTTCCGTTCGTGAGAAGTGTTTCTTCTCCATATATCCAGACTAAGGAATGCGAAAACTGACATAATGCCTCGTATAGTACGCATATCCAAACACAGGTGGTGTCTTTGCTGCCACAGTAATCGGAAATGGGGTCACGGTATAGTCTTCCCGGATTTTGCAAAGCGTCACTAACCCGTGCAGTCTGCGTGGTACCCTATGATGTGGCCATGGCGCGTTCAAACGACCTCGAAGGCCACCGGGTCAGCTTTTTCAATTGGCTTCGTGAACAGTTACGGTCAGATTGGTGGTGCTATTGGTCCTCATCTTTTCAGGTAAGCGCGAATACCGGTTGTCCGAACTTTAAAAGCTTACTAGTCTTCTAGGAGCCAGTATGCACCGCACTATGGTATCAGTTTTGGCATCGCGATGGGATTTGTGTCAGCATGTATCCTGGCGACCAGTTTGACATGGTACTTGACAAGAAAAACGGAAAGGGATACGAGAAAATTGAAAGTTGCCAGGGTCAAAGCACAGAATAGGGGGGAGACGGTGTTAGACGACGTGGTTGATAAGGATTTGAAAAAGGCGCGCAGTAGTGATAAAAGCGCGGAGACAAGGGCGTAGTCGATGAAAGAGCGATCTTGTGTAAAAGTAGAAGGGAGGAGAGGAAGAATGCGAAGAGCGGAATAATCTACAGTAGCATCGCAAGAGTATGCAGGAAAAAGGATTCCCTGAGTTCAATCTTGTTACAAAAATTGTCACTTCAGTACATTGATAGGCCAAATTTGGAGCGCAGCCACCAACGCGACATCAACAAAACGTCGATGAGACTTTGGTCGCCCCCACAAGTGTACTAGACATCCGCGATTAAATCAGTGTATTTATCAATTGATAGATTCACTCTTAGTTCATTCCATTATCCATAGTTTTTTAGGCTGAATGCAGAGAATCTGTCGGCTTAGGTTCACAGTAAATTTTAGTACAGACATTTGTGTGGAGTATTTAGAACTTGGAGAAACGATTCATTGACGTAAAATCCAAAATTAACAGACACATGCTTCTCCTATCCAGCAGATCACACTTCGTTCAGGATTCAGGATGTCTGGACTACCTGAAGCTGCACATACGCAACATAGCGCTTATCCTCCGTGTTCCAACATTTCCACTGCCATACTCTCCCATCGGCAAATCGCAAGTTCCTCGGATCATGGAAATCAATGTAGATATTCGCAATGATGTCCGAGCCGATGGTGTCATCTTCGAACAGGAAGGCCCGGCAGCTTGTCAAACCTACAGAACTGTATGGATATTCGAGCAGCTGCCTTCCTAGCCCGTTGTTCTCCGTCGCCCAGTTGTGTTTCTGAGGGAAGTCTGTCTTGGGGAAATCTTTACCAGCATTGGGCGAGCCGGGGATGTAGAATGCGATGTATCCCGCAATCTCGCATTCACTGGGACCTGTATCGTCTCCTGTGGAGTACAAGAAAATCCTCATAGTCGTCCTGTATGACGCAATAGCCGTAGACGCCACGGATGTATCATTCTTGACCTCGACTTCCTTCACGACTTCGGGATTGAGTGGTTTGTTGGCAAAGGTGATTCGCTTCACGTTCGCCAGGGCCTCCATATCTTCGAAAGGCGATGACATGTTGAATATCTTCTGGGATTCAGTTGGTCGGTTGTTGTCAAGAAATGTCAATAGAAAATGAAACATGATAATACCTTGGCTGTGGTCAACTTGAATTCAGAATGGTTTCAGTTGCGATATTTCCACCCTTCAACATGTCTGACATCTGAATCTTATAGAAGCAAGAGAGTGGGTGCACTTCAGCTTCAGTTTCAGCTCTGGTGGGCGAGGCGCACAAACCTAAACTATATTGGCTACTTCTCCTCATACGCCCAGCCTGGGCACATCCCGCATGTGCTGAGAAGTGGTCGCCGAACACTCCGGTGAGACCAATCTAGCTGCATGCAGCTGCTTTACCATTTGACTCTATGTCGATGAAGTCTATTTGGCACCATAGCTGAGAGGCTGAGTTCGATCATCGATTAGCCTCACGGCTTTTCTGTATAGATCACTACACACTTCGCACTGCAAATTGATAAGCGAAATACGAACAGATGCCTAAAATACTACGTTTTAGTCTCCCGTGTCTTATGATAGGTTTATTCGGCCCGATGTAGTCATCCATCATCTAGCTTAGTGTTGAGAATAAACAACGAAAGCTATGTCTGCTATGGTTGCTCCGCCTTCTGCATTAAAGGATAACACATATGGAGGATTCAAATGCAACACAATGGACTTACACTAGGCGTGAAGTTCTTCCTCTTCACCGCCACTTAATTAGTTCACCGGGAGTGAAGCGGTTTCTAAAAACGGCTAGCTCGGTCGGGAGCTCGATCACGACCCTCAATACAGCTGCCCTCTTCCACACTGTCTTTTCCGCGCCACCAATCTCCAGGATCTCCGCCTTGATCTACGAAACAACCATGATTTCGGTAGAGGAGCCTGACAGCTGCGATGCACCAGCGACTTGGGCTGACGCGCACGCCCGCAACTCTACCTCTTTACACGGAAAGCTGAAAGTGCTCAGCCTATCAGCAGCTCGGGCGTTCAAAGGGTCCAAGAGGACGAATCAAAACAACTCCAGCAACATTTCATTACTTATGGTTTCGAAGACAACTGTATTGGACCTGCCGGTCGAGCTCATCCTCTCAATATGCGACTTCCTATCCCTCGACAACCGCGCCTGCCTTGCCCTCGCCTGCCACCAGCTGTATCATTACATTGGCACCCGAACCTTTACAAATCTCGACTACAACAACACGCGTCTCGAGAAAGCCGCTGTCCTCCAAAAGTTACAAAAGGACCACCCGAATCCCAAACTATGGATCTGCTATGGCTGTCTCCGCTTTCACTCCACCGCCCAGCGCTATGATCCATCGAATTTTCGAGCCGTGACAGGAGCGAAGGCCCGGGTTGGCTTTCCGAACTGCAAGAGCACGTATGCCAGGGCTTTGGATGACATTTATTCTCGGCTGCGTAGGCCGAGGGGTGAATGGACGGCGCAGGAGACGTGGATGGAAGACGACATCACTTCGCCCGTGCGAATGAACGTGTACATCGCTTGCCTCGCCAGTTCCACCGAGTTAATCATGCGCCAACGCTACCATATCGACTGTCGCCCTAAACGCGCTGGACTGCTGTCGCTCAGTAGCTTGACGGTCGCACAGCTGCTGTGTACTCTTGGAATGAGTAACCTAGAGATATGCCCCCATATCTGTTTCGCGCAAGGTCATCGGACTGGCGATGGCTCGATCATGAACTCGCTGAAGGAGTGTGAAGAGAGGGATTATTGGCGGGAACGAAATCAGGATCCTATGTTTCAATGTGCGGAGTGCCGTCTTGAGGTCGAGGTGCAGTTCTTGCAGATGAATGCGATGGTTGCTGTGAACGTGTGGCAACATGTTGGTCGGCTTGCGTATACGACTGATCAGGACAATAGTTGTCACACACGGACAATGCTACCTATGAAAGAGTTGGAACCGGTAGAGCAGACGCATTCGAAGTCACTACCCCCGTTACCGATGTCTCCACGATCAACGTCGAGGACAAACCCACTTTTGCGCTTGCCGAAGCTGTCAAAGTCATGGACGAAGGTACTGGAGAGCTTGATGAAGCGGAAGACTGCGACTGCGATGACTGCGCCTGACGTTGAGCCTGCCCCTGCCCTTCTACAGCGGTCGTCGAGCCTAGGGGAGGTCAAAAGACAATGGAAATCATTGGAATACGCAGCGGTTATGCCGTCGAGCGAGATGTCAGTGGTCTTGGAGGCAACGTCTCTCCCTATTCCGGAGTCTCGCAAGTAATGAACGGCGCCAAAGGCAGGAAGGGAAGTCCTTTGAAGATGATGTATACCCTTACTATCCAGGAGCTGCAAATCAGAGGATACGGGAAGCACTGATGCAAGCCCTTGAGCTCCATAGAAAACAATGACTTGCATACCCTCCTCGTCCTCCAAGTCTTCTTCATAACACCATGTCGACGCAAATTGGGTAGCAGCCCCCGATAAAAAACACCTCTCTCTATTCCATACAGCATTCATGTCCGCTCCTAGACCTGGGCAAATATGCGCTTTTAGCTACACCAGATGCTGCATGAGACATAATGAGATAACGGCTGTAGTCCCGAGGTCGTGTACGACGTGGCGTTGCGTAGATGACGTGGGTGAACACTTACAATATAATGAACCGCACAATCACATGTGAGACAACTGCTTGAAAGGAACACCAAAACATCGTTCGACTACCTCTACCTCTACCTTTTCTTGTTCTTCTTCGCAGCGCGCTTCTCACCCCTGACATCCTTCTTCAACCTAGCATCCACCATCTTGTACTTTCCTTTCGTGCCCTTGGGCCTACTCTTGATACCCTTGTTACCACCACGCGCAACAACAACCGAGACCTTCTGCTTAGGCTTCTTCTTCGCCGCCCTACTCATCAACCTTGCAATACTCTGCGCCTTCTCCTTCTCTGTCATACCCTCCTCGTCTGCCAATATCGCGCTCTTCTTCTTCAATTTCTCGAGTCGTTGCGCAGCCTTGAACTTCTTCCTCGCCTGGGCCTCTCGAACCTTCTTGATCGGTCGTGCGTTCAATGCGCGTAGCTTTTCTTTGATGGCTGATGCGGCCGCGGCGGTGACGGGGCGCTGCATTTTGGAGTGGCGATTTTCGTCGTCGAGGAACCAGTCTGGTAGGCCATCGACGTCACGGAGCGAATAGCGGTTAAAGGAGTCGTCGAGGAGGTCGTGTTTTGTTTTTTGACCGGTGGCCATTTGGTGGGCGAGCGTCATGGCTTCTGCGGTGATGATGTCGATGTCGGGTTTGCCGTTCTTCATGGGCATTGAGTCTTGCTCCCATTGAGTTTCGTCGCGCTTGACCTCCTCAATCTTATTCTCGTCGTCTGACGAATCCTCGTCGAAAGCGCCTTGTGGTGGTGAGCTTCTCTTAGCAGCCCGAACAGGTAAATCTGTCTCCATTGCCTCGCCCTTGACCTCACCACCGTTTTCCACGTCGATGCCGCTGTCTTCGTCTTCTTCCAGCTCTTCCAGTCCATCGATGCCCTTGAAAATATCCTGGTCGAAGAATCGTGCTGCGCGCCTCGTGAGACCTTGTTTCGGCTCGCCTTCGTTGTCAAGGTCGGTGATCAAAGTCTTGGGCCCTTCCTCATCATCGCTCCAATCGCTGTCTGCATCCTGTACCAGCTCTTCATCGTCGCTCAAATCCCTCTCGCGGTCGGAGAAGCCAGCCCACTCTCCGTCCTCATCTTCTCCCCTGGCCCGCTTGGCACGGTATTTAGCGTCTCGAGCGGACCTCTGTTCCACATACTCGCCGTACATGTTATCGAGGTCTCGCTCCAGTTGATCTTCTTCATCGTCTGTGAATTGCTCCTCTTCACTCGATTCTTCCTTCTCGCGCTCGATAAGTTGTGCCATCTTGCCCTTGGCGATTCGCGACAATGCACCCGCCTTGTCGACGGCATTGAGCGCAAACATTGAGTCTTCACCGGTCGGGCCTGCTTGTTCTAGGCCGATTTCGAAAGGCGTTGCCATGTTCATCTGCATCCGAACAATTTCTTTCTGCTTTCGCTCGTTCTCGGCTCGCCGCTGCTTCTTCCTTGACTTTGAGTCCTTGTCTTTCAGTCTTTCCAGTTCCTCCTGGATCTGCATCTCCTCATCCATGGACTCGATCTCTGCAACCTCTTCGCCTTCTTGCGCCTCTTTCACCACTTTGGCTTCCTCGTCCTTCTTCTTGGCTGAAAATCCAAAGATGTCTCGCACCTTCAATCGCCAGCGAAGAAGGCGCTTGAAGTCGGCTCGTCCCAAAACCTTCAGATCCGCACAGCAGTCCCTTATTTCCTTTGTGGTTTCTGGGAGCTTGTCGATGGTAGCAACAGCGATATCACCGTTCGGTTTCTGCTCGAAGCTGAGTTTGTTCAGGCTGCCGAGCATAGCAATGGGATCGGTGGTTTGAATGAAGTCCGACACGGGCACCTCTTTGAACTGCGTCCAGTCACCTTCTTCGTAACCTTCACGCTTTCGCTTCTTCTTCTCGGGGTTGAAAACTTTGGCCTCGTTGTTTGGTATGGCGTCCGCAAGCTCTGCAAACACGCTGCGGGCGTCTAGAAACTTGGGATCGAGGTTCTTGGGGGCTTTGAAGCCGCGGCAGACGACGAAAATTTCTGCGGAGACATTTCGACTCGAGGGCGGCTTGGTGGCTTCGACCTTTGTGAACAGCTGATTGAAAACCCAGAGCAGCGAGTTGTAGTCCTTGGAACGGAAAATCTTGGTGACAAAAGTGCCGCCCTCAGCTAGAAACTCTGTCGCCAGCTTCATGGATTGCAGGACTAGTTCAGCCTGGGTGAAGGCGTCCTGTACCCAGGCGGTACCAACGTTTGGTGCACCGTCGTGAAGAACTGCGTCCGCCTTCAGGTGCTTGAGGTGCTGGCGCAGGGTCGCGCGGCATTTGTCCGTTGTGATATCGCTCTGGAAGGTGATGCATCGCGGAATAGGCTTGATCGGGGCAAGGTCGACACCGACAATGAGGGAACCCGGAGGCATGACCTGGGTTCTGCGGTCAGTATCTACGCAAAATGTTTCTACGCTGTCTTCTGCTTACCTCGGAAGCGACTTGACACCATGATCCAGGCGCAGCGCACAGATCGATCAGGACCTTGCTCTTCTCCAAAAAGTTGTACTTCTTGTTCAACTGGATCAACTTGAAGGCGGCACGAGCACGGTAGCCCTTTTCCTTTGCAAGTTTGTACCATTTGTCGAGACGACCTTTACCGTGCTATAAACTGTCAGTAGAGCTCCTATTCAACATACGATATCGAAGCATGCGCACCTTCTTTTGGATCGCCATGGCTGCGGTGCGGCGTTGTGTCTAGGCGTGCGAAAGTTCGCGGGACAAAATTTAGGCCGGCGATAATATCGGTTAGGCGGTGGCAGAATATTCATCAGTCCCCGTCAAAGCGCGCTAAAGACCAGCACGGGTCAGGGCACATGCGTGCGTCATGGCCAGAAGCCAGCGCGCCTGGTCCACCTCGGGATGAAGGTCTACAAGCCTGCTCACATGTCTTCAGCCTACTAACTCTGTCTCCAGCGGCCGTTCCGCCTGCTCCCATCTTCCCCCCTCCCTGCTGGAATGGGCTCACGCAAGAAAACGAAGCCAAACCCCCAGGCGCCCGCCGGCAGCAGTAGCACAGGCCCGGACGTCCCACCTGAACCTACCGCTGATGCAGCCAACACAGACTCGACCACGCTGCCCGGCAGTGGAATATCACAGGATGCGCCCTCAAACACGTCCATGACAGAGTCGACATCGACAGCCTCGTCAGTAGCCACCACGGCACCTTCGACTCCTGGTACACAAACACCGAAAGGCAAGAAGTGGTTATCTGGATCAGGCAGCTGGCGGTCGAAAGCGCCTGCCATAGTCAAGACAGCGAAGGAAAGCATTGGCGTCACTGGAGGCGCCACGGGAGAGCTGGCGGGAGAAGACGCGAAGAAGCCCAGGGACGACTCACCAAAGAAGTTCCTTACCAAGCGCAAGTCGAGCAAAGGCGATGCGATACCCGCGGCTATGACCAAAGTCAATGTCTCTTCAGACGGTCTCGTCGACGAACCGCAACGCGACGACCCCCCCAACGAAGCCGAAGAACCGTCAACACCAAACGTCGACGAGCCTCCATTACCACCCGAGCCGCCGAAAGCACAAACAGATGCAACTGCAAATACATGGGCATGGCGGAGCTGGTGGTCGCGGCCTGATGGATATGCAGAGGCAAACAGGGTCAAAAATGACGCCCAGAGCACACCTCTCCCCGGGCCAACGCCATCAGAGGAACCGGATGCGAAGGTGAAAGGTCTGGAGAGCGCTGCTGTTGTAGTGGCGAGTGATCAAAACTACGATGCAGAAATGGAAGATGCTCCTCGCGCGCCAGCGCCCGTGCAAGATACAGAGATGGGGGACGCTCCAGGTCCGACTGACAAAGCTCCGACAAGGGTTACATCCAGTGGCTCGTGGTTCTGGTCGTGGAGCAGGGCGCAAAACGCACAAGGCAGTGCTCACGTAGCACCTCCGGCTACCCAAGACACCTCCGCGCTGAAGCCAGACCAAGATTCTGACGCAACACCAAAAGCAATCTCAGAAGCACCACCCGAGACGCTACCCTCGGAAGCTTCGCCAGAGGTGACTTCTACTCCTGCCGCAGCTGCTCAAACTACCACTTCAGCATCGACGAGACCATCTGCATGGGCGTTCTGGTACACTAACAAAGGGAAGCCGGACGAGGCGGCCAAGCCCGCTGACGGTGGAGCACAGAAGCATGTCGGTGAGGTAGCAGTGTTCGATACACCTTCGCAGTCACACCCAGAGGCAGCCCAATTCAATGAGCAAGCAGAGCCAAAGCCAAAGCAAGCCATTACTGAAGAGCCACAGCCCAAGGAGCAACCATCCAAAGAGGAGCCGTTGGCCAAGCGCTCTTTCAGATCTCTTCGAGGGCGGCCGAAGACAAAGAGCACACCCAATGACACGTCCACCTCCAGCAAGACAGCAAATCCAACTAAAGATTCGCCTGTTCTGGGGCCTACAAAGCCTGAAACAGCCCCAGCAGCTCAACCAGCACCAAAGCACGTGCCGAAGATCAAGCAAGAACCATCAAATCTTATCCTACCTGAGTTTAAGACTACCTACCAACTAGTCCAACAACCAAGCTTCTGGCAGCATGTCCGCCAGTACTTCCTCGGTGGTGAGCCTGCAACGCCGCATTTGCATATTAATCCCGCACCGCCACGTTTGAAGAAGGCTGTCGCGATTGGTATTCATGGCTTCTTTCCTGCGCCTATCATACAGAAAGTGCTAGGTCAGCCGACAGGGACATCGATACGCTTCGCGAATGCCGCAGCAGCCGCCATCACAGACTGGTCTGCAGCCCGTGGATACGAGCCGGAAATTGAGCAAATAGCATTAGAAGGCGAAGGTTTCGTCGCCGAGCGGGTGAACTCACTTTGGAAACTCTTACTCAATTGGATCGAGCACATTAAAGCCGCGGATTTCATCCTCGTCGCATGTCACTCCCAGGGCGTGCCAGTCGCTATGATGCTAGTTGCCAAGTTGATCCAGTTTGGTTGCGTGAACACGACGAGGATCGGTGTTTGTGCCATGGCAGGCGTCAATATGGGTCCATTCATTGAGTACAAGACGAAGTACTTCGGCCCTACGGCTGCTGAGCTGTTTGAGTTTTCGAACCCGAAGAGCTTGGTTAGTCAGATGTATCTCGCTGCGCTGGATGAGGTGCTGAGGTTTGGCGTACGGGTTCTGTATGTGGGGAGTATTGACGATCAGCTGGTGTCGCTGGAGGTAAGTTCAATTCTTCCAATACTGTGTCGGTCCTAATTAAGCATTACAGTCTTCCACTTTCTCTACACTCTCGCATCCCTACATCTACCGCGCCGTTTTCGTGGACGGGCGCATTCATGCGCCCGATTTCCTCACTCACCTCGTCGGCTTCACGCTCAAGCTCCGCAATCTCGGCCTCCCAGACCATGGTCTCATCCGTGAACTCAGCCCCGCACTTGCAGGCTCATTATACGGTGGCGAGGGCCACTCGAGAGTATACGAAGACCCTGCAGTCTACGCCCTCGCCGTTCAACATGCCCTCGAGACAACCTCTCTACCTATTCCTCCACAACAAAGACCTGGTACAAGTGGAAGTTTCCAGGGCATCAACATACCTATCATCGGTGAAAAAGCAACTGGGAATCTAAGAGAAGACGTATATAAACTCCGTGTCAAGGACTACGAACAGTCTGCCAACACGGCGAATCAAAACCCATTCTTCCTGCCGTGGGCGATGAGAGGACTGCTGGAAGAAGACTTTGTGAAGAAGGAGTTAGGGAAAGAGGTCGAAGATCTACTGGGCATGTTCGAGGCGTGGAAGCCGACGGGGAAACAGTTGAAGGATGTCAAGTTCCGGTTAGAGGGTGTGCGGAGCAAACTTTGAGCAACTCCGTCAGTAGAGCGGAATTTTTCAATCTGATGTAAAGTACTTGCCGAATCGGGCACGACTCATGAGCTTACTACAAACGGGTGCTGTTTTTGCTTTATAGGAGTTACGATGCAAAGAAGGGCGCAAGGGTGTGCTTTTGAAGATACCAACTGCGTAGAGCCAGCATATATTTGTAAGATTCTGATAGTCGTTTCGCGGATATACACATGATGTAGAGGATATTTCCCGCCTGTCGTGACCTCAGGACATCATCCTCCAACTGCGAAGCCCCCCAGTCTTAATCCCCAGTCTCGACACGTTCAGCCGTCGCTTTTGTGCACCTGACTAGTCGCAAACCCTCATTCCCCATCGTAGAAGATCTCCTTGTACCGATGCGTAGCCTCTACCACTGCATTCGCAGCATTGAAGTCTGCCCGCTGATTAGCAACCGTTTCTCTCTCATATCATCATCACGCGTGAGGGCAAGTCCATACCGATGTTCGTGCCAAAGTCCGTCGCAGCTTGAACCTTGATTTGCAGCTTCTGATCCACTTTCCCAATGATCTCCACCGCGTGGCCAACGGCAAGATGTGAGTCCTATGAAATGACAATTAGCAATCATCGCCTTCTCACTTTCTGGATTTTTAATTCATTCCATTTCATCCTTCTATTTCCACATTTTTCTGCTTTCCAGATGTGACTAGTTGACTGTCAAGACGCGGAGGCATATGAAAATTACGTACGCGATTAAGTAAAACGTCAATGTTGCCTCCAGCATCGATGACCGCCGTTTCCCCTCGTAGTTGCACGACTTTACCCAGGACGCGGACGATGCGGTGTTGGAAGTTGGACAGGTGGGTCGCGAGGATGCGCGGGGTTTGCGGGTGGTCCATTTTAGCGGCTTGTGCGTGAAGTTCAGGAAATCTAAATGAGATGGCTTAACCCTGTGCAGCGAGTCTTCGCTGATTGGTATTTAGTGTGGTGTAGGGCGATTGGTATTGTTGTGTGAATTAGGTGGTCGATGGTAAAGGTTTGACGCGTCGGCGCGTTCGAAGTGGCGTTAGCGTCGGTACGCCGGCACGTGATGCCTACTTCTAGGAATCTTTTGGGTTCAAGTCACTAACACATGCACGTCTAACGTGGTACCTTTCTGTGCTTCTTGCGAGAAAGTCTACTAAGATTTCTCGCTATGGAGTCCCTTGTTGTGTGGAGAGGGTGTGTGAATACGGTCAAAGTTGAGTGCGGGGCTGTCACTTCTACGTACAGCTCTTCACTTCTTTCTGCCGTCGTACTAACATCTCGCGTCTCTTACTTGTTCACTTGATGATTTACCGAATGGTATTGTTCAACGAGAAACCGCTGACCCGTCAATGGCGGCGCAACATCTGTGGGAAAGGGTCAGGACAGCTAGAGCAAAAGAATAAACTCTCGTACCGGAATCGAATCAAATATTTGGTATGTGAGCACTCGCGCCTACAATTGCTATCATACGTGCCCCTTCAGGGGGGCACGCTTCTGTCTGGTTGTACGGATGGCCCTAGCCATCTGAGGCGAGCCGGGGTGGCGGAGCACCTGAGCCTAGAGGGGCTCAGCCTTCCTGCACCCTTTGTGAAAGGAGACATAACCCGCGCAAATAAATGTCTGCCCAACGCTGCTCCTCGTAGAACAGGACCATAGTGTTCATTCACCGCATCATGCCGGTAACCTTTGGCGCCGTGGGCGATATCATTTCAGTCTGCCTGCTTGTGAAAGATCTTGTCGAAGCGCTCGACAAGGCTCGAGGCTCGAAGGTTGAGTATCAGTCTGCTATCCGTGAATTATGGATACTGGATCGCGCACTCTTGGAGATCGATTTGCTCAACAGGCAATATGGTGATGGATCGACTCCTGAACTGCGAAGTCTATGCGAAACTGCGAAGCACGCCGTGGCTAGATGCCAAGGTCTTGTTGCCACCTTCTTGGAGAGTGTTCGGAAATACCAACGTACATTTGACGAAGGTCAGAAGCCAGGTCTGGTCAAAGAGATAGCAATGAAGGTCCGCTGGCGAATTGGAGAGAAGGAGGCACTCGACCATTTTCGTGTGCAGATAGCAGGTACTAGCACGAGCCTCCAGATGCTGTTAGTCACAGCAAGTGTGCAAGTATTGCGCCCCTTTAACGTGATTGAAGCTAATGAGAAACAGCAAGATGATGGCGATGAATCGAAAAGAAATCAATGATAAACTAGACCGGGCTGACCGACGACATGAGTCTACCGATTCCGCACAGGATGCGATACTAAGCAGCATCAAGGATCGTATCGAAGACGCGAAAGACAGCATCGATGCAGGCAATTCAATCCTAGGAAAAGTGACGGAAACTCTCAGGCTAAACTGGCTTCGCCAATTGGGATCGGAGCTAAAGTGCTTGATGCGTGGGGCGATTGCAATGAACATCGCTACGTATCGAGCGGTGATCAGCCTTCAAACATCCCTCCCAAGCCGCCTAGAGCGAGGACTCATTGAGGAGCCATTCCTCCTAGAAGACCCGATAGGTCGGATAGCACCTGTTCACCTGCAGTTTGTCAGTATACCAAAAGTATGAGATGTATTTGAGACATGCGCTGACTATACCACCTAATTTAGGTTACATCCTGGGAAGCCTTCAACAGCATTCTTGAGATACGGTTTCAGAGTGTACAAGGACACATCAAAATGAAAGAGCGGATGTATGGACTACAGGATGGAGCCACCGGGAGAGAAATAGAGCAGTCTCGAAACTGGCAAAGCGCATTCCTGCCTGGACAACGAGTCGAGATGAGTTTCATATTTCACAGTGATGAACCTGCGAACGAAGGTTTGGATAGGGTGGTCTGTCCCGGCTGCCAAACATCATCCTCGAACTCCACCGAGGCAGATGTACACTGTCAGAACTGCCTCATGTGGTTCCGAAGGATTACTGTTGTTGAAGAGGAGGACTCCTTGCCGCAGTCCTCCTTGCTAGAACTAAAGCCCGGGCTTGACGAATCGAAACCCTCCGGACAACCAAGTACATCTTTCACGGCCGGTAAGAGACGGTTTGAACATGACGATATCAAGGAGGATGAGGACATGAGAGAGTTCAAACGGGTAAGACTCATATCGACGAAAAAGCGGGTTGGCCATCAACGTTCTGTCACCACCGAGGATGTTACAAGAAATCCCTCTCCGCTCACGCTCACGCCCCCGCCTCCAACCACCAGTAAATCTGGGATGGTCGACAAACTTGACTTAGATTTCGATAACACCGGCCAAATCGCGCCCCCTGGGCTCGCGCCACGTGTCCATGCCTCCTTGTGGGAAGATGAGGGAACTCTTTGCTTCGAAGTCGAGTCGAAGAGTGTACGCGTCGCACGCCGCGAAGACAATCACATGATTAATGCTACAAAGTTACTCAACGTAGCCGGCATGAATCGAGGACGCCGAGACGGCATACTTAGAGCTGAAAGGACTCGCCACGTTGTCAAGCTTGGTCCAACGAATCTCAAGGGTGTTTGGATTCCATTCGAACGAGCACTCGAATTTGCCAACAAAGAGAGGATAACTGAACAGCTCTACCCTCTCTTTGTGTATGATATCGGAGCTTTATTGTATCACCCTGCAAATCGGACAGGGGGAAAGGCGTCAGCAATCGGAAAACTTGAGACTGGGCTAGGAGCAGATAATCTGGACCAAACACAGGAAGGTAATTCTTAACTGGAAAGTATTCATGTTGGAACGGGTGCGTCAAGTTGACAGGTTGAGAGAACTTTATAGCGGATGAAGTAGGCAGCAAAGCAAAAGTATGTGCCCACTGAGGTGATAAGGTTTCGTGTAGACGAACGGCACGTGAGAGCGTTTGAGTTCATGAACGAACGTCTGAGAAATGTCAGCATTGGCAAAAGATGGTAATTGTGGACGAAACCAAACTTATCGTCATCCCGAAATCATCATAGAGAAGAGGTACAAGAAGGAGGCATATCCTCTCTTCTCTTTCTTCCTAATTCGCTCCTCAGCAACCATCAAGTCATCTCCTCGCTATACTTTATCTCTTCCTCTGCTCTTTCATTAATGAAGATGTTTCTCCCCATCGTTTTATTGGGGCTATCGCAGCAAGAATGCTAAATCGTCTTCAAAGACTGTGCCGCGATACATGGCTGATACTCACTTCACCGATGCAGTGGGGTATAATCGGAACACTTCCTGTTCTTACACCAATCCATACAGTTACGTAGTAGCAAAGTGCTTGAGTAGTGCACACACAAGTAAAACAAAGATTTTTTCTAAATTAAAGTCAACGCTAGAAGAGCGGACTTGCCAAACTATGATAGAAAATCAACAGCAAGAACGCAATGACAAAAAGAAAAATCAGAAACCCAAACTCATCAATACTCACATCCAGAACATAGTTCCATCGAGGTTCTTATGCCAAGGGCCGCAACCTCCAGCTCGCCTCTCATTGAAGTACGCCTTGGCCTTCATCAAAACCTGCGCAGAGATCTCATCTTCAGCCCTGTTGCGAGACTCACGCTCGAGCTTGGCCTGTGCCTCAGATTTCCGAGCTTTACGACGACTCTCTAAAGTTGGCTGCTTCGGAAGCTGAAGGATGGCGGACTTCAAAGCGCTCTTATGCTTTTGATCAATCGTATCTTTCTCGGACTGGTAATCTTTGTAGTGGGCGCTCTCGTAGTTGGGCGTGAACCAGTCTCGTAGGTACTGACGACCGCGCTCGCAAAGGCGATCGGCATAGTATGCGGGTGGAGCGTAAGAAACCCCCATAGTGGCGCGGACGTAGGTAAAGCACAACTTGTGCGTGAGGCGCTGGATATCTGTGTCTGAAAGCCTGATTCCGTTCTCAAGGACAAAGTAGCGGGTCGGTCTCGCGGTTCCCTGGAGAGCGTGATGGGACTGCAAGAAGAACTCGGAGAAGAAGGGCGATGTGATGCCGCTGTCGACAAGTGTGCCTGCTTTGCAGTTCCCGTTCTTGTGACCATCACCTTGGATGGGGAAGAGGCGTATATGGTGGCGCTTGACAGCAACAACAGCAGTCATCTTCACATCACCCACCTCTTTTGGCCACACTTCCTTCCATGCCTCTTTGATCTGGATCAGTTCCTCTTTGACGACCTGTTCGTATTGTCTGAATGTATTATGCCATGTTAGCCGAATTTCTGAGATAGTGTCCATGTGCGGATGCTACATACCCGGTGGAAACACCATCCCTGTAGTATAAGATGTGTGGAGCCGGGTTGAACTTGTCTTTCCAGGCCTGGAACCTCTCTTTTGCCATTGGTTTGATCTCGTCAATCATCTGTGCATTGTTAGTTGTTTTTGATGATCTACGAAGCGGAAGACACTGACCTCTTTCTTGCTCCTATTTTGGAGACGCATAGAGCCGAGGAACTTGCCACCATCGTAATCAGTTGAGCCGACCAAGGCAGCAATAGATGGACATCCAACGAGGGAGCTTCCAGTTGGATGGGTGACGTCTGATCCAAGTATCATAATGCCCCTTTTCGGTGGATCACTCCTCAAGACCTCTCTCAATCTACCACCTCCCTTGTTGTTGTCGCATACCGTGTGGTTTCGGCCTTTTTGTTTGAGATTGACCTTCATCATGACGTTTGAGAAGTACTGTCCGAGACCCTTGTCAGTCGCTGGCTTGCCTCGGTTTTTCTCCTCTGTAACACAGACTGATTGGAGACCAGAGATGCGATCTGCGACATCTTTAAACGCGGAATATACAGGGATGTTTCGCTTTCCGAGTAGGAGCACAACTAGTTGTCCATTTGCCATATTCTTGCATGTATTGATCGCCATCTCAATGTCTTGTTTGAGGTCTTCGTGGGTCTTCGGAACTTTTAGTGGGTTCGCATCGCGCGAGCTACCGTAACCAGGGTTCGAGTTATATCGATCGTCCGGTGCAGATCCATCTTTGAGGTTCTTCGGGAGGATCGTTTCAGCGACACATGTTGCACCCTTTGCAATGCCGTGTTGAGATACTTTCTCCGCAATTGCAGTCTTGTAGGTTTTGACGGTTGCTGATACATCTCTCAGTTCAGGGTCAATGAGCATATAGTAGCTCAGATTCTGGTTAGCTGTGGGTGTTTCCAAAAATATGGTTTTCCCGGCTAAGTTCCACTGCGCCTTGTCGTCCATTTTTGGGGCGATGGGATTGCCTGCAGCGTAAGCAACGAAGACCTGTTCCATCCTTGTAGATGGGACTAGGAGCATGTTTGGCCTGATGCTTAGTGCGTTGCATTTCTCGAATTTCTGGACTCCGTTCGATTGGATCACACCTAGGCCCTTCAGGCCTTCGGCTTCAATTCTTGCCCTAACCTCCGGGGGTGTCTTGCAAGCACTTTCGAGCATTGAATCGACGAGTTTATCAGGAAGAAGATTGTTGTACAGCTGGTACGGCAGAATACGAAGGAATTCCTGCGGGTACCAAATCGGATCATCGTCTGTGCCAACGTTTACGGCCTTGAGCTTCTCGTCGAACTTGTGCGCCTGGCCGAATACAGCCTTCATGTGATCTACAACGTGTACTTCTCCGTTTTGTTGTAGTTGATTTCCAACTTTGATCCACTTCGGAAACGACAGCCTTGGTTCCATCCTGTTACCAATGGGCTTCCCGAATGCTTTGATGGTTTTGATGCGGTTCTGGGGCATGTTCAGGTTGTCAACGCGCTTTTGGTCGTCTGGGTCCTTCACGGACTGCCTATCCGGGACAATGTAGACTCTTAGGCGTTTGATACGTTTCTCGCGTTCGTTCTCGGCGAAAGTGCGGTCCTCAAGAAACTCTGCGACCGTAATGGGACGAAAGAAAGCACTCGTTGCTATGTTCACATTTAGGAGAACCTTCTCCATGGCTGGCCTGACTGTGTAATCGTAGCCCCGCATGATACACAGTGAGTTAGAGGTTCCCAGGGGTGAGTATCCAGTTTTCAGGAAGAATTTGTGCGAAGATGTCTGAAAGACGTCATCGGTTAGACTCTTGGAAATGACGGTGTTCAGGTGTGTGACTAGCGGGCTGGAATTGAAGTTGGGAAGTGTCGCATCGTCAGGCTTGGATTTCGGGTTGACAAAGTCTTTCAGACGGTTGAGATTCATGGAGCCTTCGAACTTGAGGCTAAGTTCAATCCTTCGGTCGCCATCTGCAATTGGAATAGGTGCCCATACAACTTCGCCCTCTCTCGCGGTCGTCCGAGGACACTGTATGTTTTCATGAAGATTCTTCCATGCAACGATCGTCTTGAGATAATCTGTGGCAAAGTAGTCTTCGTTGGTGTTGAGGAAGTCCCAGGCTTGGATAGCTGTCTCGACAATGGATTTGGCCTTGCGCTTATTGCAAATGGGAATATTCATGATCTCGTACACGTAAAACGTAGTATCGTCGTTCCAAGATACCTCGAAATGGTTCGTTAACACCTGTGACGAGGGTTTTGAGAGCGTCTTCCTCAATGGAAACTTGGTGTCGACAATTTGGGAGAACGTGGCCTCGGGTTGATGTAGATGGCCGGTAAGTACTTGTGAAGTACCAGGCGCAGGTGTAGGGGCCCCAAGTTTTGTCTCTACTTGCTCAGCGAGAGCTTGATCTTGGATGCTACGTAGCTGGGCGGTCTCGGTAGCTTCGTGCAGAACAGGGATGCCAGCATTGACGGTGGCGGCAGAGAGAAAGCCTTCCGGAGCGATGATCGGTTCGGTGGCGGGTGGCACAGTCGTTGCTTGGGTTGAATCGGCGTTCTTGGCTGCTTTCTTTTTAGCCTTCAGATTCGTCACGTACGCTCTCCTTATCTTAGAGTATTCATTCTCCGCCTCTTTCACTTCGGTACCCTTCAGGCTTTTCCATACTGAACCACTCAGAGCGCGTGTTCCTCCGGGGCAATTGATGAGAGGATGGCTTCCGTCCCCACATTTGATGCAAGGCTTGGTGACGAGACCAGCCTTAATAAGGTCCTTGGTCTCATCAGACAGCGGCATTATGGGGCACCAACTTCTAGAAGCCGACCAGAAGTGGATTGAAGTAAGACTTTGGGTGCACCAAGGACGGAGACTGGTAGATGAAAATGTTGAGGGAAGAGTTGTGAGATGACTGTGGTGATCTCTAGCAGTTGTGTCTGAGACTCACTTTATTGTGAATGGCTGTGGCCCTGGAAAATTGTCCTTTGGTTTTCATGAGTGGAAATGACCATGGCAATCGATTAGAATCAAGGTTAACGAGCTATATCAAACTGTAAGCTGTAATCACGAGCGATTGTTGCCGCGCAGCTGATCGTGGGAATCGAAGCATGCAACTGATTGTAAAGGTGTCCGCAATCAGCAATTACCTACTTCGCTCCCTGTATGTAACTGTTTCCCCATGACATACATTGACTAGGTTAGTTGTGTTTGAAATGATCCTAAGAACAAATAGCACGTGGACTGCGAAATGAGCAATAGGAAATGCTCGCATGGTTTGTCTATGGCAAGCAAGAGAGCAATGATTCTGCTCTGCTCAGAAGCTTCTCGATGTAGACTTTGCTGAGTGCCATGAAGGTCATCCCTTTCATCGATACTAGCGACGCAATCAAGACTCTCGTAAGTAAAGTGTGTTGACTTTGCATCGTCAAGCTTGGTTCTCCTTTCCTTCATCACTGTGAACACACAACTATCTCATCTAGTAAGATTTGATATTATTGCATGTGGTACGAATGTACGATAATCGTTATCTTATGTAGATCTCGAAGAAGCATAACACGGCTTCACACTAGCGCTGGAGGGCTTGACATGTATGCATGACACTGTTTCGGCACTGGCTTGATGTGACATCCGTCATCAGATACTGAGTGTTTTAAAGGAGATATGCGAAATCTATATCTAACATCTACATAGTGTATTATTTGCCCTCTTATTTACCCAACGCCCAAAGAGCCGCTTCAACGAGTGTAAACAAAGGGTATGCCAAGCTACAAAGTCTATCAAAAATGCTCAAAACACCTGCAAAGCGCATACAACTCCGTCTATCATCCTTTGACTATTGACCAAGTCCTTTTCGCTGATTATCATCGCTCTTCAATTCTTCAAGTCTCATCAAATCTCTCCAATAACCCCCGTATCTTCGCAAGCAATTCCGGAATCCTAAATGGCTTGCTAACCACGTCATCCATGCCTGATTCTTTCGCGGACGCTATCTGCTCCCCCCTGACATTTGCCGTTACCGCGATGATCGGGACGTGGTCAATCAGCGCGCCATCCCTTTCCATGTCCCTTATTCGTTTGCAGCATGTCAGACCATCCATCTCCGGCATCTCAAGGTCCATGAGGACTACCGACAGCGGGATTCCAGAGGGAGTGTGGTAGCATGTTTTGACAAGGTGATCGAGAGCCAGCAGGCCGTTGTCTGCTGTACTGACAATACAGCCGGATTTTGTAAGTTGTTTGGACAGTACTTTTTGGTTCACGAGATTATCCTCCACTATAAGGATGTGTAGCTTCTTGAGGTCTGAGGGTGATGGCACTAGCTCGGGCGCGTTGAGACCGTTGCTAGATACCTCAGCGGCGACAAGTTTTCGGGACGACTCGGCGTGTTCGAGGGTATGAGATGGCAGGGAGTGGGTGTGAAGGAGGGGTGGGCGGTCTTCGGAGATCATGCGCTTGCACTGGAGAAAGAATCCGAAGGTGCTGCCGATGCCGGCTTCGGAAGAGACGCCAATTCGACCGCCATGGAGCTCGGCGAGTTGTCTTGAGATGAAGAGTCCGAGGCCGCTTCCGCCATAGTGTGCATGAGTACGTGGCGAAGCTTGAGCAAATCGCTCAAACAGCAGCTCCTTCTCTTCCGCTGTGAGTCCGCAGCCGGTATCCTCGACCTCAATACGTAAATATATTTGTTGTCCTGAGCCCCAGCCCTCTCCTTCTGTGATATTGGTCGGTACTCCCCTGCTTGGAACAAATTGGAAACCCTTGGCAGACAGGTCGGGCTGATCTAGCGATGCACTTAAGTGGACCGATATTGAGCGCTTGGAGGAGTTTGCAGTAAATTTGATTGCATTGGTGATCAAGTTGATAATGATCTGGAGGAGTCTACTCGGGTCCAGCAAAATCCAGTCAATGTCGAGTTGATGGAGAGTTTCGTGCGGCACAAAGATGAACTGAATATCCTTGGCTTGTACCTCTGGCTTGAACATGGCGATTGCGCGCTTGACCACTACGACCGGCTGTGCTGGAACAGGAGCGATGAGCAGCAGGTTTGAATCGAGTTTCGAGACCGTGAGAATGTCGTCTACAATCGACTTTTGATGCTGTACACATAGAGCAATGTTATTCGCGGCCTCGACACACTCTGTAATTACTTCTTGGTCGTCGCCATGGAAAGTGTGCTCTGTCAAGGTATCCCTGATGTCGTCTGCGCAAAGGAGAATAGCTGAGAGAGGGTTGCGCATCTCATGTGAGGTGATGTCGATGAACTCGTTCTGCTGTCGTTTAGTTTCTTCCGCTTCTCGTATTCTTCTCTCCTGGATCCCCTGTGCCCATTTGATTTGCGAGATATCGGCAATGGAGCCCATTATGCTGACGAGCTCACCTCCAAGGCCAATCTCGGGTATCGAGGATGCAAGAACCCAATATTCAATGGGCTCGCCGCTCAAATCCCGAGGCTGAGCCTTTGGGTTGTTTAGCTGTATCTCACGCGTTGACGCTTTGAACGTGCTCATCATTTCATCCCACATATCCCGTGCAACTGAAACACTCTCGTCTGCTACTGTAGTTAGGAAAGATAGTTCAAATTCGACCTCCCTGGGATGGCCCGTCATCTCGTAATATCGATCATTCGCCTCGAGCAAGCGGCCCTCTGGGTCGAACAAGTACATGCCAAGAGGAGAAAGTTCCGTCATTCGTCGCATGCGACTGCTCTGAAGCTCCAACTGGTGGGACAATTGCTCTCTTTGCAAAGCTGCGTGTTCCGCCGCATCTCTATTGCGACGGATCTCATCCTCGAAAAGGAGGACCGATGCCAATGAAGTAGCTAGCTGCCTGTTGAGCATAGCCGCGAAAGTCTTGTATGCATCGTCGTAAGCTCTACGTGGGTTAATGCCGATTAGCAGAAAAGCGCATATATTGTCGCCATTCGTCGGTCGAACCGGAAAAATAATTGCTTCTTTGCACGGGTCGCCGTAACCTCTCCATTCAATACCCTCTAGTAACAACTCTGGCAACGTTCCGTCTCTCGTTTGTAGCGTAGTTGGTTCTCGAGTACGCATGGCTCTAAATACGAAGTCAGCATATATCTCACAGGCAAGTCATATATGGACGTTACTAACTCCCTGAATGCTGGAATGAAGCCCTCTTGACTTTGTTTGAGGTCAAGCTTCTGTGGTGATGCGGGATGGCCCTTGGGTATGCCAATGGAGCCTTCCAAAAGACAAGACTTCAGGGATATAGTACTGTCGGAAGAATGAGAAACTGTATCAGCGTCGTCGGCGTCGACTATTGAATAAAGTAGTGCAAAGGGTACGTCATAATGACTATGCTCTAGGCCATCAAGAACCCGTCTCCAGAACTGCTTGACTGTTCGTGTCGCATTCAGACACTCGCCGAGATGCCGAAGCATCTGCATTCGCCTACTACTGATTGTCTGATGTGTGGTTTCGAAAGGAGCATTGTAAAAGCCCAGTATGCGATCTGTGCCCCCGAATATCGGTACAAAAGACCAAGAGAAAAAGGTCTCTTCAAGGTATCCATAGCGCTCGATTGGAAGTGGATCATCCTCCCTTCGCACACTATGGCCTGTTCGTGCACACTCGCGGATGGTAGGGCCGACGCTGTCCCACATTTCGGAGAAGGGCCCACTAAATCCAGTACCCATCAGATCAGGATGCTTGTTGCCAGCAACTTCGGTTTTGTAGGCCTCATTGTAAACCATGGTTAATTCCTCGCCCCAGAAAAGTGCGGCAGGATGTGGATTGCGCATCAGCAAATTGACAACCTCGCGGAATTGAAGCGACCATTTGTGCATAGGCCCCAAGGGTGTGCTTGCCCAGTCCACTCTCCTTGCAAATGCGATATGTTCTGGCAGAGCGCCAACAGGATTGGGAACAGTCCAATCAGGAACAGCGCTTTCAGGTGTTGCCAGCGTCACAGATGAACTGCCGCCAGTAGTATACTTGCTGGAATTCCTGCTGGGGGTAACAGAAGGGGTTTCGGACTGCTGTACATTAGGAATCGCCACTGCCAAAGCATGGGCTCTTGGTGGAGCAGCATTTGGCGATTTCGAGCTGTGTCTCTCTAGTTTCGGCCTGGTAAGAGGCACAGATCGCAAGGTCTTTCTAGGAATATCCGAGGTGTGAAAAAGCGCATTGCCAGAGATGATACGCCATCTATGTTGGATAGTCGAGCCAGTCCAGAGTAAATTTCGATATTGCAGAGTAAGAGGAAAGACGTCCTTTGAATCGTTGAACCTGCTCACACCAGTCGCCCAAATTCGGAAATCCGCGTACGTCGTCGCGTCGCTACCAGGTGCCACTATGTCCTCGGTCGCGCCAGTGACACTGTCCAGCAGTTGGTCATGCTGCCTCAATGCCGTGTTGCAGAAGATAGGCCGAATCACCTTTTTATCGCCTATAACATAGTCGGGGTCCAGATCCACGAGGAACGTTGGGCGCGAATCTTGATCCCATATTTCACGGAGGCTGATGCTGTCCAGCTCCTTAAACGCGGCGTCTTCTAGGGCGTTGTTATGGTGGTTGTCGAAAGCCGCAGGGGGCGTTGGTAGCTCTGGCACTTCTTTTGGTTTGCCAGCCATGGAGATTCAACGCGTACGAGTTCCTCTGGCCCTAACAGCGGGACGGACTGACTGGCGGGACTCGTATGACGAGACGACGACAAACACAAAGAAGCACGATGCTGGGCGATCGACGATCTTTCCCGATTAACATCCGTAAATTTCTATCACGCTTGTGGCGGCTACCGAGGATGGCCACTCACACCACACTCTTTCCTCTCCTCCTCGCTTCTGCGGGCGGTGCGGCAGGAACAGAGTGCTGGCAGTCGTAGTGAAACGTTAAAGGGCCGAATGGACCTTAATGGCCTATATCTCCTGCGTTGCGCCAGCTCATCCACCCACTTGCAATACTCTCTATAACTCCTGGCTTCTTCACCAGCTCTGAGACATGTCTCTGAACGCCTTTCAACGGTGTAAACATGATGCGGCAGTCTTCGTTGCACTTGTCGGTGAGCATCTACATCAGCTCCTCGGAAGGCCAGGTTTCAAATACGAAACAGCAATACCTCGATGCATCTAGGTCGGAACCAGCACTTGATAGCTCTGTCTCAATAGTGACCTTGTCCCTCCGACTGCTTATTGTCGGGCGGTTTTGCGGATGAATCCATAAAGAGAGATTCATCTACAGACAATCGACTACTCGTAATAAACTCAAAACAAGATGCATATGCAGCGATGCAAAGAAAACCGATGGCACAGCTCCATCCACCAAACTCACGACTTCTTCAAATCCGCCACCTTGTGCTCCCATGGCCCATCTAAACCTTCATTCAAGTCATACTTCTGTGCGCCTTCATTATCCAGCACGGTAACACTCTTCACTCCAACACGGGTCCCGAATCCAAACGAACCCCCCATCTTGATCGTATTTCCGTTCCAACTGAAGCTGATCTCACTGGTGCCACTCTGCACAAGACTCTCCCCATCATCAAGATACAACGTCCCCTGTGCATTCCCGTTCTTGTCAGGTGCCACAAGCAACTCAAAGTCCTGGTCTCTCAGCGCCTTCGTTGTCATCGCGCTCTTCACACGTAGGGGGATGATAGAGCCTCCACGCACAAGGATGGGAATATCAGTATCGGACACGCCGGAGTAAGTGATTGTTGTGCCTGAACCTGGAACGGGTTTGAGTGTGGCAAAATCGTACCAGACGTCGTTGGGAAGGTAGAAGGATACTGAGGTGGAAGACTCCTGAACAACGGGGTTGATGAGCAAGGAAGAGCCGTACAAGAATTGCGTTTCGATGGCGAGAGTGTTGGCGTCAGAAGGGTAGTACATCCTAAAGTGTGATCAGATAAATTATCCCTACGCCAGTCGGCTACGGGTAACTTACCACAGGGGTGCAAGCATGGGAGTTCCGTCTACAGTCTGCTTATGCATAGCGGTATAAATGTAATCGAGAAGACGGTATCGAATATCAATGGCCTTCCTCGCCGCTGCAGCTACTGACTCCCAGCGGTACGCTTCCTGGGGGGTAGCGCCGTCGACGTTGTGGTTCCTATAGAAAGGATAGAAAGCTCCTAGAACTGTCCAGCGAGCGCAGAGGTGCTCGTTGGTACTCTCGAGGAATCCACACACATCAGCGCCGACCTGCATCATATCAGCTTCTCTATATTTGGGTTTTTCTAATCGAGCACTCACCATGGGTACTTGGAAAAAAGACACAAATTGGAGTAAATGGCGGATAGACGCGAGGTATTGGTCCCATGCTGAGACATTGTCACCCAACCAATGGCCCACATAGCTTCCAGCCCCGACAAAGGTGCTGCGCGTGATAACCATAGGGCGCTTGTCGGGTCGTCGCTTGAGCATGGTTTTTCGGTTTGCGCTGCTCATCATCGTGCCGTACCTGATACATGTGAGTCTCCTTGCTATAAAACGTTGCGTCAGACCTACAAATTGTGAGTGTCGTACTCGGCCCAGCCACCTTGATGTATGAGGTCTGTATTCGCAGTTTTGTTGCTCAAGATACCATACGCGTTCTTGATCTTATACGAGGGGTCGAGAAGATTGCGTCCGGGGAGCCCTTTCTTTTTGCCACCCTCCTGACGAGGAGCAAGAACGCGAACTTCAACCTGAGGAGTAACTACTTCAGGTGTGGCAGCACGCGGGGCGAAAAATCGTGATGCAATCAGAGTTTCGCTGTTTGTTTGAACCTCCGGGTTGTCGCATGGGAAATTGCAGAAGTTCGATGGTTCGTTCATGTCGATCCACAAGGCATCAATATCGACCCCAGTATCGGCATCGAAGAACGTAGCAAACTCGCTGTCCCAGTAGCCTTGCGTGTTCTCGTGGAACCAGTCTGGGAAAGCAGTCACGCCAGGCCACACTCTTCCCTTATAGACACTGCCGTCAGCCTTCTTCAGAAAGACGTTCTTGGATACGCCATTGTTATAGGCGTCGTAGTCTTGAGCAGCAACAGCTAACAGGCTTAGTGATAGGTCTCGGTTGCAAATGATTAGTAACACCCACCTGGATCCACCATGACAATATAATGCTGGTCGTTTCCATGTAGGTCTTTGACCAAACTTCGCATACCGTCAAGTGGGAACTTCTCTCCTAAAGTAAAGACCTTGTACTTGTCCATGTAATCAATATCTATATATGTCAGTAACGTAGCACTACTGTTTCTGTAAAACGGATTTACCTGTCCACATCGTCTCTAGGGGGATTTTGGCCTTGCGGTAGTTCGCCACCACAGCCGCAACTTCTTCGACGCTCTTATATCCAAAACGGCATTGATGAAAGCCCAGACCCCAGTACGGCATCATGGCCGCTTTCTGCGTGATTTCGCTGTACTCGCGAGCAACGTCGAGTGGACCTGGACCGGCCAAAAAGTAAAGGTCGATGACTCCACCTACTACGTTGTACTCCAGGTATTGGCCATTATCATTGTTGATTTTGATATCCATACCATTGCTATTCAATAGAAGCACACCGTGCGAATTGCCAGAACCTGCCCGCTGTTCGTAGTAGACTGGATGGGTGCCATATAAGTTGGAGTTCTGGGGCACGGCGCCGGCATCGCGCGCCCACATAGTCCGGACATAGTTAGAGGTAGGCAATCGTAAGGAGTCGGTATGTTCGCCTAGACCATACAGCGACGGGTTGTTGGGTAGGGAAGTTCTTAGTCGCCAATACTGCGTTTCGAATACGAGGTTGGAGCCTTTTGTCGAGAAGATTTCCTCGCCGTTGCTTTTTCGTGTGACGGTGAATGTGAATGGCTCTTCTTCTATAGACACATCGAGTAGGGCCGCGTTGGAGCTGACCGACCCCGATGGCCGCGGGACGACGAAATCGGGTACTTGGTATACTTGCTCATCCTTGTCGGATATGATAATATGGAGACGTGAGTCTTAACACCGTTAGCAAGCTGTTCGATGTATATTGCGCGGTAGGGCAATGCGTTAGCCGACACAGAAGCCGGAACCTCGCCTACACAAGTTTATTGTTGAGACCACCAACAGTAATCTAATATGCGTACGAGGCACGTGAGAATGAGGGAATGCAAACATACCTGTCTGCCATTCTGCCAAGAACGTCAAGCTGTGCAAGTCTTGACTATAGATGTTGCATTCCGTCCCAGCCAACGTCAGATCCGCCGTAAACCTGCTATCCGAGCGCTGGACATTGCTAGCCCTGTACCCCGGGCAGGGGTCAGCCCTTTTGAGCGGTACTGAGCTTCCCGGATGAAGGAAGCTAGAAAACAGGAGCAGCCAGCCCTGTAGGAATGTTACGGGCGCGGGCATGACGGGAATAATAGGTTGGGAGCCATTGCTGTTGGAGACGACCAACTGCCCTATATAGTTGACTAAACAAGGTTCTTAGCCCTTGCTTTCGCTCATCATCATCATCATCATCATCATCAATATCGCGAGCATTGGTCCGCGTGGTAAGCTGGATTTCATAGTGCAGCAGGGACTCGATCGGGACGGCGTTGATCTTACAGGTCGTCACGAGTGCATTCATTTTAATCTGCCGAGCAACAACAGGGCGGGTTGATGGGCGCTCGGGGTACACTAGGCCTGCCAAATTGGGTGTTTGGAGAAGGACTGGATGAAAAGGGAGGGTACATGTGGTCGGGCGTAACTGTTAATCCGGCGCCGGATGGTAGTGGTTGGCTGCCTGCTGCCATGATCTACTTTGCATGGCAGGAAGGTGATCCCTGAGATTAGTAGGTTTTGGCGACCAGCTGGCATTTGCGGGGTAAATGACCGTCTTGGCCTCGGGAACGATCCAGGTACAGTAGTAGTACGCCTTCGAAACCTGGAGCAAGTGAGACGAGATAAAATGGCGGCATAGTGTCAATCGTCGAGTATAGAAAGCTGCGAGATTATTCAGAGTTCCATAGACTTTACACGAACCACGAAAGACTTGCCCGAGTTTCAGCCGTGGATTATTACCTAACGCTTCTTCTGTTTCTTTACGGGCGGCTCTTGGCCTCTGCCACCAGAAGCGGTTAGCACAGCGATGTGCTGCGGGCAACCCTACCCGCGAGGTCACAAGCCACCATCACTACAACAACTTCATCCATTCATTGCGTTCACAGCGGTCAACCTGGTAAATGAAATTCTGCGAATCGCTGGCGCTTCTATAGTCACACGCCTCCTACCCGACAACGTCATCGCGAGTACCTCCCAAGGGGTCGCGCTCCCACCTTCAGTTGCCGGTCTATGTACAACGTAGATCGTCCCCGGCAAAATCGTCCCAGGAAGCCTCCTTCCGAGAGCCAGGTCATCGAGATGAAAACGCTCCCATAACCGGGAGATTGAAGAGTCGTGTTCCCTCAAATGCTTGGGGTACTTCACAACCGCGGGAATCTGAGGTTGAACGCCTTGCACTAAAATCCAACCAGCACTACAGTAACCTACAGCTGACCCACTCCGCGGGAGAGCGCGAGGCGACCCATCGAAGGCCCGAAATGCGCACAGGATGAAATAGGTCATGCGATCCAGTCGACTGCCACGCTGCATCCTTCCTTGCAGCATGGGAGTACTCACGTGGAAGTATGTAACGTCACTCAGAAGATCAACACAGCTGTACACAGTTAAAATTCCTTCTACGGATATCTGACGACACCCACTCGAGGACAATCGAGGTAATGACGAATTGATCCCTTCATACCACCTGCTGAAATGAACATTTTCAGGTGCATTCTGAGCACGTTCAAGGCATGTATAAAGGCTCGTGCAACGACATGCTATTAGTTGAGGGTCCTTTTTCGGATACTGATAGCACCGAGCTACTATAACCCGTGATTGGGACCATTTACAATTGGAGACTTCTGACTACGTCACACTTCAACTCATCTTGTTGGGTACGTACCTGCTTGGCCCCTGGTACTAGCATTGTGTACCCCGCCTCTGTCAATATGTGCGTCCAAATATTCCCAGCATAAAGGACCGGTCATCCGCAACCCTTCATTGGAGCCATGTTTTCGATAGGTCCTGCAACCTGACAAGCGCGTTCGAATCGCACAACATTGGTATCAAAGACACTGTTCTCCATCTAAACCTGAAGTCTCCGGGAAACGATAGAGGAGGCTATTGACATATACTTCGTCTTATTCTTTCCTTCTACCATCGGCTAACGCTAGGTACTGCGTTTTTGGATGACCCCTCAGATCAGCAGCCCATCTGCTCATTTCACGCTTCTTCTCGTCAACTATACTATCTTTCATTCATAGATAGGAGTGAATATGCCTTCAACACAGTGGCTGGCACGTTTCAAGCTGTTCTTTGTTCTTTTAGGAAGATAATCCTGATCTTGCGACCTGTGTCCGCCGAAGATCAGTAAGGGTGAACAGTGTCTTGTACGGCCACTCCTTACGCCTAAGTTCTGGTTCAAAACCGTATCATGAGTCGCCAATAACCCTGGACGGCGTCTCTCCTGCATCAAAGTAGTACTGTCGGTTCGTCACGCCCTAGGAAACATCCCACCAATATAATCCGGCTAATGCTAGCTAGCATGCACGCAGCTATATTCCAAGTTCTTCCATTGGTCTTCTTGTCACCTGTGAGTCAAGTGGGGAAGAGCAAGGAGTGAACTTGCTGCGAAGGCTGCTACAATTATCTGTTACTCATAGGTATACGGCTGAGTTATAGAGTTGAATGCAAAGTCAACGAGGTACCATCAACAGCACCCACGTTGCCGATCGACTGGAGACATGCACCCTTGTTGATACGCAGCGGTAGATGAGTTGGATGAGAGGTGTATTACGCAGGTACGCGGAAACAGTCGGTAGCATGAGTGAGCGCGATTCGTCTAGTTCTGTCTCTCGTAGTGGCTTTGAGCTCTAGTTGACAACGATCGAAATGTTTCAGCCTACGATATCAATCAAGTCAGGCAATGCTCCCATCCAAGCGGGATAGTTCCAACTTTGACTCTTCTTGAATAGGACATGGTCTTTGTCTGATACTATTTATGCAAGATACTTTCCTTTGGCATCAAAGACCATTTTATCATCGGTATGCATTGCTAGACAAAAGAGTCGGGATTCAAAAGAAGCACCATTTCGCATTTGACAAGAGTTTGCTCTACCGGCCGTCTATGTTCCATCTTCTTGCTCACAATCAGGCGGCTGCTGCGCAAAGCTTTCAATAACAAATATACACTTACATATCGCGCTATATGTATTACAACTAGAGGTCGATCTCTGGGTATCATCTCTTCTCCAATTACACCGAATCCAACGACTCCTTCGACCCCTTACATGACCGTACAGCACTTGAGCATCTTGAACAGCTTTGGCAGGCCCTTCTTGACCATCTGCTCAATATCACCATTCTGGTTCTGTTGGCCACCATGCTGTTGACCACCGTGCTGCTGCCCACCATGTTGCTGCCCACCATGATGCTGTCCGCCGTGCTGTTGCTGCCCGCCAGGATATCCGCCATAGTTGGGCATCGGTGGCATCTCATGCACGGCACCGCCCTGCAGGTTAACAAAAATCCTGCCCTCATTCTCCTCGGTCTTGTACTGTAGACCAAGCTCGCGACACACCTGCTCTACGCGCGGTTTAATCTTCTGCACATGGTTCGTGCTGTGGTTTCCTCGCCCCACAATCACATGCAGGTGGCTCTCTCCCCGCTGCCGTGCTGCTTTGATCCTCTCCTCCAACACATCCTCCGCCTCTTCGACGAAAAGACCGTGCAAGTCAATGGTATCCCCGGCGACGCGACCGTCAGCGTTGTTCTCGCGGAAAATATAGTCGCGCGCTTGGCGATTGTATTGCTCCATCTTCTGCGCGTGGCCTTTTCCCTCCTCAGAGAGCTCATGGGCGCGCTGCCCGTCGCCTGATTCGTAGGCTTGGTGCGCGCGGTCGAAGCAGGAGCCGCGCTTCGCGGCTTCTTGGCGGGCGAGGCCACGGAGGCGGTCGTACTCAGCTTCTGTGTCGGCGGAGGCATGATTGAGTGCTGTGAGGTGTCAATTGGAAGTCTGGGGATAGCATAAAGCGATGCGCCGTGAATGGTTCAGGGAGTACTCGGGGGTATTGACGTACAGCGCGAGCCCAACTGGAACGATTCGGTGGCCATGTTGTCGCGACACCAAATAATTCTAACGGAATGAATGTGAAGGATGGATGTCGTGGTATTGATGTTTCTCGGCGTACGTCGAGGATTTATGATCGATGCCAAGCAATCGGGGATGGAGTCGCTTTAAGGCTGAGCGGAGAAGGCCGGGGCACCTACGAGTCTAGATTGTGAGCTTGTACAAAGCTAGCTGAGACTGGGTCTATTGCCGCACGAGACTGTGTAGTATGAGCTGAATTGAACTCGACGTGACTGCGCCATTTCTATGTATGTGGCTGTGTGTCCTATTGCTTCAATAATGTTGCGGATATCTACTTTGTAGGGGTCTGTCATGATTCCTACCACTGTTGCTCAAATGCGGCTGGGAAGCTCAGGCACCATCCAGAGTCCTGCTTGCGCAATTTCAAAAGTATGACTTAGAACCGAATCTTCGGCCCGACGAACACAATCAGAAATGCGATCAACCAAAGCCCAGCAATCATGCCGTAGAGCTTCAAGCGTGCCCACCAGCCCTTGCCCTCAGTCATCCGCCGCAACGTGCCCATCCTTTTGCTGGCGGCATCCATGCCCATCGTGTTTTTATCCAAACCGGAGACAGCCCGGTCAAGTACACCCTTATCACCTTCCAACGTGTTGCCAAAGTTTATCGACTGCTGCTTCAACTGTTTGGCCATTTCGAGAAGGCTCGTTGTCAGCGATTCTTGCTCGGAGCGATCGTGCGAGAGTCGCCCTTCTGTGTGCGCGAGTGAAGGATCGCCTGTCGTCGTTGTGGGTCTCGAAGGGAACAGCGAGTTCCCGCTCGCTGTTTGTGCGCCCTGAGCCTCTTCCGCTTTGCCTCTTTTCCGTAGTTGTGATGCAAGACCTTGTGCTGCATTCTGAAATGCTTCATTGCCCTGTCCTTCTGACGCTGTGATATCTCTGCCCGCATCTGCCTTTACCCGCGGTGCGTATGAGGGGAACTGGTCTTCGTCCTCCTCGTCTGAGTCTACCGACTCTTCAGACTCTTCATCGTCGAGCTGGTTCAGCTCGTATATCCGTTGGTTGAGTTGCTTGATAAGCTCCCGCTTTTGCTGGAGGTCTTTTTGGACTGCAGTCTTCTTGGATTTGGAGGGCAAGGTGGACGCGGAGTGTTCAAGATTGAGTAGAAGTGTGCGCGCGTGCTCGATGTTCTGTATTCCGAGTCAGAAACGTGAAGGCATGCTACCATAGATACAGTTTGAAGAGAACTATATAGCTACAGGTTCAATGGAGCAGTGAGAGGCTTACAGCATTGACGCGCGCCCGCTCGTAACTTGACTTTCTCAGCTGCGGCGATGGCTCTGCTAATATTATGTGTTCAAGTCTCGATAGCAGCCGGTTGAGATTAATGGCCGTCGGGTCTGTGTAGCCGGTTGGTGAACGCGTTCTATTGGCCATTTCTAGGTCCTGAGATTGAAGATTGGAACTTGCTCCTTGTATGCGCGAGTCGAGTAAGAGGTGTAGACGCTTTCGTTGGATATTCGAGAAGATGGATTTGGTGACGTTAACACTCGCGGCAAAGGTTGGTGAGAGTAACAGTCTTGTTGAATACTCGGGTTGTCTCCTGCTCGATTGAAGATATTCTTTTGGCCGCCTTGCTGCGTCGAACTGTGATTGACGGGCCAAGTGTCCTGCTGGATTTGGCGGCTCGTCAACGTCACTCATCGCGCTGGCCAACCGCGGCGGAGTGCGACTTCCCCGCGTTGGTCTAAGCTTCGTTCCCTCACGTGATAACATCATCAAGAGACATTTGGGATAGTGTGGTCTTGTTCGTTAACTCATTAATGTGATAACTACGATACATCTGAGAATAGCCCAGAACTCAACAGTAGCGCCATTTGCCTATGATACATACCAACTACTACAAGACGAGTCCAATTTGGCTCCTTCCAATAAAGGTATCAATGTCGATCTTCGCCTTACAAACACCGAGTCTCTCAAATCTCCGGTGGCATCAATAGATATCAAAGGGAACTAGCCCCTCAGCGTAGTCGTGTCTCGGGGCTCCTTTGGCTGCTGAGGCTGAGATTTAGGTTGGACTGCCGGACCACGCGTAAAGCTGTGATCGATTAGCACGAAACCATGACGCCATGATATGTACTTACTTATTCCACATGGAACCCAAGAATCCAACCTTTCCATATGAATCTTGCAGGGACTGCCTCCTGTTGGTGTGCTGTTCATCTTGGGGACGCTTAAGATTCTCAAGATTTCCAAATCGCTGTGCGGCCGACGACTATGTAAAGTCAGTATACCGGATGTCGCGGACCATGCATAGTTGGACCTGAGCTATGTACCCTGCGGCGTTCAGTGGGAGAAGAAGCAGAATTCACTGAGGAGTCCGATGCTCGTCGATCAGCTTCCTGCTTGGGTCCCTCTGGCATAGCTGGTGTGGTGGTGTCTCCAAAGATCTTGTGACTTTGGGATGAGTACTTCTGGTGGAACGGAGAAGGCATTGTTGGAAAGATAGAGAGTTGATAACGTGGATGTAGTTTTCTTAGTAGGGTTCAGAGTGAATTGTGAGCGTCAATGATTCCAGACGGATTGTAGGAGAACAAGAGTGATATGAACCCCTCTCGAGCTGAGCTGGCCGCTCAGGTGAGCATTACGCAAACGGTCAAACGATATGTGATCGTGCCAATCAGCAAGGGACTGAAGCTCCCCCGCATTCTGATTGTGCATCATGGACCCCGAGAAGTGGTAACAATGACATGAATGAGAAGAACAACGCCATTCCTTATTTGCCTAAATATTACTGGCTGCGGCTGGCATCTGACGAATGAACTTGTTCATAATGATACGCACTCGACGTAACTGGTGCTGAAAGAAAAGGCGTGACCGCGATCTAGATTGACAGTCATGATGGCTCTGATGGATCTGACAGGACCCTGAACAGTGTACATGACCGCGACGTGTAAATCGAGAGTATTGCCAGCTAAGAACACCAGGCTAGACCGTAGAACCGCAAATATGTGGGTAGATGGAAGTCGATCGTGCTAGCCTTTGAGGACGTAGCGCGAGTTCGGGAGATGCCGTGCGCTGCTTGCTCCGGTTGAATATGAAGAGTCGCAAGTAAAGTTAATTCAGGGGTATTTGACGGCGTGTTTCATGATGAGCTCCTAATCCTAGTCCGCGCTGTACTTACGCCGTGCTTGACGTTGACGGCTGAAGCGTGGTGATGAGATTGTGGATGATGTCGCCATGCTCCACATCAAAGAGTCAAATCGAGTCCCGACGAAGTATTCAGAGCTGCATTGATGTCACAATTGAATGGTTCCGGGCTTCTCCTTCTCGTCGGTTGCACAAAGCCCTGTTGATCGCTCCGCGATCGTCATGGAGCGAAGTGGAAAGGTGGACGCATGGTCCAGAGATGTGACATCATGGAGATGACTAAGGAATGCGCTCTACCATATTGGGATTGCCGAGGTATACCCGGTTAGCGAAAACCTCTTCGTAAAGTTTGTCGCTCCTCATGCCTACGCTCCTTAGTCCCTCACGAGGCGCTGCAAAGGCGTCCAGCAACACGAAAATCTTCTCAGTACACGGCAAGTCGATCACTGAGACGTACAGGATGCAGCCCTCGGCAGGCACGAGCGAGTGCAGTTCTTTTCGGGCCCCCTGAGATTGGGCATCAACCCTGCTGTTGTCGGAGAAGATTGACAGGTACTGCCCATCTCCCGGCTCCAAGAAAACCCGGCCGAAACCCACGCACCTCAGTGGCATTTCGCATTCCCGAGTCCTTGCTCCAAGATGAGATGGTGCATGCTGCGGTTCGCGTCGTCGCATGCACTGCCTACCTCGCCAGTTGCAGCGAAACTCTACTTACCCTATAGGTTGCGTGGGCTCTGTAGCTGCTGAGACACGGCAGTAGCAATTAAAGGTATGTTAGTCTCCCTTGTCTTCAACACCAGCCGCCCTTTTTTGTGATGATACCACATACATAAGCATAGTTCATCTGATGGTCTACGACCAATTGAGGAACCAAACAGCAAACGTCTTTCGCTCCTATCTGATCTCCAAATAAACACCGTCTCCTCGCTTGCACTCGTCGTATGGAACATGATCTAACGAGAACACAGAATGCACACTGAAATTTTTGGACGTGGAGGGCATTGTGTCACAAGGTGGGTCCGATAGGTCCGTAGCTCGTTTAGGTAGGGAACAAAGCCATTGTTCGATAGACGTCTCGGTTGTTCGATATCTAAGAACATATGTTGTACACGGTTCCCACGCGCAGCCGCCGACGCACCATGTGTAACAAAAACGTTCTCGAAGTCTCCGTCGCTGTAACTCTGTATCACTGTGAAGTCTGCAAGTGCTGCCGTCATTCTGTCATGTGGCGTTATCAATATGCACACACAGCCAACGTAATATCACTGAGACTCGGTAGGGGAGCATGTACTTGAGCGTGCAAGTAAGACGGCTCAAGGGAAGACAGTTGATCGTATCAATCAACAGATATTGCGAGCTTCGTGTGCGAGGCTCAGCGTTTGATTGCCGTCCATGCGTCCGCTCCTGTCCTGCAACAATCTGCGAACAGCACCACTGCAGGCGTCCTGGTCGCTGATCCTTGGGCGCAGACGAAAAACGAATTCGAGCTGGTGCACGCTCGGCCGCACATGTATCAAACTCTGCAGGTTTGGCGGCGCTGTCAAGCCGCGATCCCAGGACACGGTCGCGAGGATCTTTCCTAAAGTCGCAATCCTGGACGACAAATCAGTTTAGATGCCCACTTAATGCAAGCGACCTCTGGGTTTTGCTCACGGGGAGACTGTCCCTCCCACTGTGACTTGTCAGGACCTGTCAGGATGTGTCTAAAGCCGCCGAGGGTGGCCCCTCCGTGACGTTGACAGGCTCGACGCAGGGTGATAAGAGCGGCCGTCCCATCCCAAAGGTGCGCGATTTTGGCCAATTGGTTTTTGGAACCGCCGAAGGACTGCAACAGGATTTTACTCGTGGGAGATGGCCCCACGCTCTTGGATGCGTTGGCAACACTAAGCCACCAACCGGTCAGCACTCTTGCCGCCCGCACCCTCCTCTCCCCTCGCTCGTTTCCTCCCTCCCTCCCCAACACCACAACACAACACACACACACACTCGACGACAATCGCCATCACGACATCACTTCATCGACGCACAATTCTTGCGACGACTACCAGCACCCACCAACAAGTTCAACAGACAATCAAGAGCCCTCGCTCAGGATGACATTTCGGAGCCCAGACGGAGCCCCATCCAGGTACTTACTGCCCAACGATTTCCCCCCAAATCGTTTTGCTTGAATTTGCGCGTTTTTCTTTCTTTACACTGTTGCGACATCCTGTATTCTCGACATCATGTTTCCCTTCACTGTCTGTTGTTTTCTGTCTTGTCGCCTTAGCAGCCTGGCTCCACAGGTCCCAATGGATTCCACAGGAGAAAACCCACAGGTGTTTCCAACCAGGGACAGGATCAATTGAAGGCCACTTTCGTTCTGTTTACCACTAGCCGGATGTCTGAAGGACCCTCTGGACTATTCCCGCCCCGGAATCGAACAGTCGGCCGTGCTGCCCATGCGGTGCTTGTAGACTCAACAGCCTCGAAGCGCCGAGTTCAAAGCTCAAGTTGTAAAGCTCAAGCTGTAAAGCTGTCGAATAGTCGATGAACACACGGGTAGAACTTCGCTAGTCACAAGCGCAACTTCGCACTTCGTTATGGACCGTGATCGACGTCGACATGCTATCCTGCATCGCCGTGAGGACAACGTAGGCATCTCCTGGCAAAGTCGTTCAATTATGTTCTTGTTCGACGGCGCCAAGCGACACACGACTGGTAGTATCACTGCACACAATCCACCTAGGAACTTCCGTACCCCCGGGCCTAGCTTTAGAGGACACCCCCAAGCAGAACAGCCACAAAGGATTTAACTGGAATCACCCGAGGATGCTAATTTAGGTCGACCACGACTTGGAGATTGATTTGGAGCTATTTGGAGGGATACCAAGTACGTACCATAGGCTCAATCTGCCTATCCTCTTCGCTCCTTTGATCGCGAAACTAACTTGCGGTGTGCTCAATGAAGGCTGTGAGGAGTCCTGGACCAATTGTACTGCTCTTTCCATTGTTCTGGCCTGTTACACGCGTCTGTTTTACCTTTGCCTGGATAGGATCTGCCTGCCACTGGAACCCCCAGGATGTTTTCTCCGGAGGAACACAAGGACCTACGTATTCACAGCACCGCTATAGGATTCGGCAAGCCTTCCGTCAAGTCACGACTGGCGTTCACGCCACTCACTCTACTCAGGTGCGTGCTCCTTGCCTCCTATCTAGCTCATCTCAGCGTCGTTTGGCTAACTCATGGTTTCTCACAGGTCCTTCTCTGGTTCTTCTCGGGTCTTACTAACATGGCGCTCTCTTTTGTCAACCATCTTGTTTTGCTTTGAGGTTTGCTGCGTTGTTGTTTCGGCACTAACCCTGGTCTTCAGCGACTCTTTCTTCGACTCACCACCGTTGATTTCAAACATTACCGAGTGGAGAAAGGACATTCCGACGCCCGTCGTTTCCGTACAGGACTTCCCTTTCACATCAGATCTCCAGGACATGCACACCCCAGAATTCTTCGAATTAAAGGACACTGCTTCGGAGTGCAGCATGGACAGCGCATACCAAAGCCAGAATGGCGCCAGCCGGCGCGGAGCCAGGAAGCCTGATGGTCACTCTCAGGATACCAGGAGTCGGATGAGCAACCAATTCGTCAACAGTGATATATATTCGCCATCACTGAGTGCTGACAGCTACAACGCATTCCCGGACCAAGCCGTGGATCTCAGCCAAATGCAACACCCCTCCGGAGCCTGGGAAGCCTCGGAAGGATCTACCGTGTATGCTAATTACTCTGCTGGACAGGATTTCTCTCTATACTCGACCACGAATATCCCCCGATTCACACCTTCGTCTGCTGTTAGCATGTCGTCACCGTGGGTCACCACAGATGCACAATTCCAAAGCCATCCGTACAACTTCACAACATATCCCAACGGCCAAACATCCCACGACATGATGTTTGACGCTACGACTTCATCTCAGCGACAATGGAACGGTGCTTCCTTCGAAACCTCAGAGCGCCCAACAGTTGTACGGAGCTCATCCTCATATACCATTCAAGATGATTCGCGAAGAGCCTCTGCTCACGATGCCACTTTCGGTGCATTCGTAGCAACGCCCACCAGCACAGCTAGCATCCACTTCCCTCATCACACCGTAGAATACGATCAATCACGGCTCCTAGATTCAAGGTGAGTTGGTCAACGAGCATGTTGAAACGTTAGCTAACAGGATTCAAGGAACGAGAACGAGGATACCACTTCAGCGTCCATTCCTCAGTCACTAGATGATAACGAGGAGATCATGTCTCAATCCGAGGCCGCTGAGACCAAGCTAGAGGAGGAACGCACTAAAGTCGCCCGCAGCCATGCCTTGTACCAACAACTGCCAGACAAGGACGGCAAATACCGCTGCCCTGAGGAGGGTAAGCCCGGATGCAACCACAAGGCAACGTCGCTCAAGTGCAACTACGACAAGTATGTGGATTCTCACCTGAAGCCCTTCCGGTGCAACAAGAAGACGTGTGTTGGCGTCCAGTTCTCTTCTACTGCTTGCCTTCTCCGCCATGAACGGGAAGCCCATGGCATGCATGGTCACGGTGCGAGGCCTCATCTATGCCACTTCCGAGACTGCGAGCGGGCGGTGCTAGGCCACGGCTTCCCCCGTCGCTACAACCTCTTTGACCACATGAAGCGGGTGCACCAATACGAAGGCCCTACTACAGAACCCTCGCCTCCCACCATGCAGGGTCAGGCTCTACGCAAGCCGACGAGCCGCAAGCGAAAGGCCTCAACCGAGGATGTCAGTGAGAAGCGACAGAAGGTCGTGAAGCTGTCTGCCGAGCAGCAACGCCAGCAACGACGGGACGGCCTCACACAAGAATTCTTGAGCAAGAAGCAGCACATCATCAGCATCTTGACAAACCTCAGTGGCCCTAGCGATCTCAGGGACGATATCCAACTCACCAAGGAGGTCGTGGGTCTGCACGACATCTGCACCAAGTACAGGGAGGCGTTCGGCGGCTGAAGAGCGAATGTCTAGTGGACTCGGCCTCTATGACACCTGATGAAGGTTTGCCATGACACCCGGTTTTACTCTCGACCACTTCCCTATGGACAACATATAGTTGTTTGCTTTTTGCGCTCTTTTATGGCTGCCTGGATGCCCGCATACCACGCGGATGAGGACCCACACTTCCAGATACCGGATGGATCTCTTATTAGCCAAGGATACCTACCAAGGACATGTCCCAGCCGCGGACTCGGATACCAAAGGACCTTTCGTTCGCCTCCATGGCGAGCACCCCCGTGAGGGTAGATGGACTACGGTCCTCACTCATTGCAAGGGAATTGGCATGAGTTTTGGTTGATGTATCAAATTGATCAGACTACTAAGATTATTGTATTGATGTTATATCTCGTATGTAGAGATGGAGTTTTGGATTTGGACTTATAAAAGTTGTAGAGATGACCAGGGGGAGAGAGGTCAATCTTGTACGCCATCACCGCTGCCTTCTCCGCTGGTCGCAGGAGGGTGGTGATTGGTGGGGATGTTCTTTGTATTTAGTCATTAGTATATAGGTATCGTTTTTTCAACACCTTGCTTCGTACCATGGCAGCATGTGACCGCTGATTAAAAATCTTTCCTCTGTCGAAGTCTTCCCAGTCTAGGCCTGTCTGATTTGTGATACTGAATATGTTCGCTCACCTCATCTCACTGCAAATCTGGTGGCCCTCGGCCGACTTCAAACTTGCCATTCCAAATTATCAGCCCTGACCCAAAACAGATCAGGGGCCGAGAGGGAGCAGGTAAGGTTTCATCGCATCGCGCGCCCAATCGAGCAAAGCGGCGTGGGCTACGTCATCCTCCGTGCAGGCCGAGGATGCTAGAAAGCAAGTTGGGAGTAAGCAATCGCAGCAATAGCAGTTGCTAGTTTGTCATCCTCCCGCGACTGGCCGGGCCTCGCCACCGCTCCCAGCAACGCTGCCGTTTTTCTGCAGGGCAAGCGCGAGGTTTCACATGACATAAGTTGTCATGCTACTACCAGCGGCGAACACTGCCCCGCTACGCATCGCGACGCATATCAATCTGAGACTGCTTTCACAACACAACCGACACCCTATCCGACTTTTTCGCAATTTGAACCTTGCGTCCACTACTTCTACTACTCGATCCTACTACTACGCACCTAGGCGATATACAGCAGTCCCGCTACAGAGGACTAGCAAAGCACCGTTCGCAAGCATGGCCTCCGCAACGAGCTTTTACGACTTCAAGCCCAAAGACAGTACGTCCCTTCTTTCTCACAGCAGCGTAGAGAAGCCATTCTTCGTCCCTGTAGAGTCATGTGCAATACCCCGTTCCTGCATCCCTCCCCTCCCACATCGCAGCAGCAGTCAAGCTAACCACACACACCCTCCACAGAGCGCGGCAGCACCTACGACCTCAACAAGCTCAACGGCAAAGTCGTCCTCATCGTAAACACGGCGTCGAAATGCGGCTTCACCCCGCAATTCGCCGGTCTGGAGAAGCTCTACAAGGACCTGAAAGCCGCACATCCCAACGACTTTGAAATCATCGGGTTCCCCTGCAACCAGTTTGGCGGCCAGGACCCGGGCTCCAACGATGAGATCCAGGAGTTCTGCCAGCTGAACTATGGCGTGTCGTTCCCCATCTTGGGCAAGGTCGACGTTAGTTACACCCCCTCCGTCTCGCCTCCCCCTATATCATATCACTTTTCTCGCTACACCATGACGAGTATGAACGCTTTTTTCTAACCACCACCGCACCCAACAGGTCAACGGCGACAAAGCAGACCCGGCTTTCGAATGGCTCAAGAACGAGAAACCCGGCCTCATGGGCTTGAGGCGCGTCAAGTGGAACTTTGAAAAGTTCCTGGTGGGCCGTGATGGCAAGGTCAAGGGCCGCTGGGCGAGCACCAAGAAGCCCGAGGACTTGAAGGCCGACATTGAGAAGGAGTTGGCTGCCAAGGCGTAGAGAGGGATTATACACGGACAGCCAAGGGCACACATGACGTACATAAATTGAGGATGGGTGGGCTGTTGGGAGTCTTCTTTGGGGGGCCAGACTGCTAACTAGAGAGATAAATGATACCACGTTTGATTGATTCAACCCGAGTGTTCGATGTAATGACTCTATTTGAGCTGGACATTGAAACAAGTATGAATTCGTGAACTAGGTATCTCGAAACGCCTGCGTGCCTATTGCTAACCACTTTTATCTTCCGAAAACACCGTGGAATGCTACACACATATGGGTATTTGCACCTCTCAATCAAATGGCACTCTTCTTAGTTGTTTCGCGCCCCCCTTTCTCGCCTCTCCTTCTGCGCCCACTGCTGCCGGCACGCGGATACCACAGCAATCCCCCCAGCCGGCGTTTGCGTGTACGTGTCTCTTGCCCGCTTCATCATCGAAAACCTTGACTTCGCCGCCCTCAGCTTCCTCCTCCTCGGGGTCTACGCCCGCTTCCTCCTCCGTACTCATGCCCTCGACCGCCGGTATCAAGCTGCCAAACAAAAAGTGTTGCATGACGGGCAGTTTCTCGAGTATCTCCTTGCGAAACATCTTCCTCATCCCGCCCTCAATCTTGCCCCAATTCTTCGCCGCACTGATATCGTCTAGCATCGGACTGTGCCACCGCAGACCCTCGACGTTCTTGACGCTGTTCACAAACGCAATCTGATCGAGATACAAGTACTCCTTGCCCTCTTCTTCGAGCACCAAGGCATTGTGTATGCTCTTTGGCGTGATATACGGATGGTGTAAGAGCTGCGCTGCGCCAAACAGGAAGGGCAGGAACTGGTAGTCGTCCAGGCCCCACACGCCGTGAGAACCCGCGGGCTCGAGGTAGTACGATTCCTGTATCTTGCGCATTAGGCGGAGGTATGCGGGGAGGACGACAAAAGCGAGCGCGGGGAAAGTCGAGGGAGGTAGGAGGCCCAGCCGGTTGAGACATAGTAGCCAAAGGAAGAAGTTCAGCTCGTGTCCCGAACCATAGTCTATGCGCTGCTTGTTCCCGAACGAGTAGTGTAGGTATGTTGAGATTTCATCCACCTGCGCCTTCTCTGTGAGGCCAAGGGAGGTGTGCCATGTTGGCAAAGCGGACTCAACCTCATCGAGGAAGGTTCTGAAGACTGGGTTTCCGAAGCGCGAGCCTGTGTCTTCTGGTGGACATCTTTCCAGCACCTCCTCTGCCTGTCCCAGTATCTTCACTACCGTCTTCACTGTATCTGTGGCCTCCCCATCCTTTATGCTGGAGATGGATCGATCGCGCACCGAGTCCGCAATCGTGTATATGAATGCCTCAACGAGTGTACATGTCTCGCTCTTTAGGAACAACTGATGGTCCTCTGGACTCAGAATCCTCCTTGACGGCTTTAGGTAATCATGCTTTCCGAGGTGTGGTGGCGCTGGAAGGGAAGGTGTTGGCGGGGGAGGGGCAGACGGCGGATCGCGGGCTGTGGGGGCGCGTCTACGAGGAACAAGCTTCGGTAGTTTATTGCTGAGATCTAGCGGGGGAGACGCTATGGGTGGTGATTGCGTCTGTGTCATACTGTGTGTAACGTACGTGTCGTGGTTGTTTCGTTATCGAGGCAGCTCGAGAGAAGAGTGCCTAGAGCTCAGGGTCCCAAATGGGAAGGGTGGGTCGGCCCGCCGTTCCGCGACGCCCTCACTATTCCGAATCACTGTTACAAGTCATCTATCGAACCTTCTTTCTGATGACCCAAATATTTCTGACACCTAGGCACATGACGCCATCCTTCCATTACCCCGTATTCTTTGTTTGGTCGCATTCAGGCAGAATAACTTCCAGCCCTACACATACATCCGTAGATGAAGATGGTCTAAGTTGTTGAGAAAGAGGGCGGAAACTCGTCAAGGTTTCCGCGAACAAGAGAGAAAGATAAGAGCCATGCTCGATCTATCGGGACTTGCTGGTCAATCGATCATGGCGTCCTAGATAGACTACCCGCTTGAGGGTGGTCCCGCGTACTCTCATGCACGAAATACTCCGTCGGTTCTGGAGGGAATGCTTCCGGAGCGTAGCGTTCTTGCTGCCATGTCACATCGGCACTGCGTTAACCGTCTGATCTAAACAGCTGCCTAGAAGACTTCTAGATTGTTTGGAAGCAGACAATATTTCACCGCTTGACGTCTCGATTGATTGAGCGTAGAGCGATCTGATATATCGTTCGGGAGATGCATTGCCCAGTGTAACGCGGAGACCCTCAGACTGGTATATAAAGCTTACTGTTCCCCTCCTTAGATCTCTGTGCGTACGCACCACTTCCTACTGTTTGTCAGATAGCAGTGTTCTTGGCTGCTATCACGGGGCTGTGTTCATCATCAGTTTCTTCGATGATGGCTTGTTAGTTCTTCTCATCAGCATATCATCCAACGATGATGGGAGTGGCTTTACGGGAGGAGACTCTTGCTTCATCGCCACAACATGTATCGAGGTCACTTGGAGCAGATCACAGACAGAGTAGCTGGTAGAATGCAAAGTGCTATATCCTACATCGAGCGGCACAATGGCCTCTATCCCGTCCCCAACGCCATGTATAAATGCATGCAATAAAAATAATCCCGCCCCGTGCGCTCCATGGCTGCACTTCTAACCGCCAATATTTTCACACGAAGGATACACTATCCAACCTGATCTCCGACCAAGTTGGATGCAGGCCAGAGAAACATGACAAAAGAAATTACAAATCTATATTCGAGGTGTCCTGCCTAGCGGTCCAAGAGGAATAGCCTGGGACTCAGACGACCCCTAATCGTCCATGTCGCTAGGGCTGTCTTCCAGCTTTAGCCTTCTCTCTTCATCCATTTCCTTGTACGTCGCCCATGAAAGCAGTATGAAAGCACCAATGATCAAGAGACCACCCACAATAGCAGCGGGAGTGAGAGGCGAGTTGAGCGGGGGAGGCAAAAGCTGGTCCACAAGAGCGACAATAAAGATGGTAAGGAGCGCAGCGACGGACGACAAAACAGGCGATGTGAGAGAAATGAGGGCGAGGAAGGCCCCAGAAAACGCTGAAGACAGGTTAGCATGAAGATCTCTCGATGTGAAGATGAGAGGAAAAGGAAAGAAGGGGTAGACCTACTAGCATTGGCCAGCACGCTAATCGCCATCATCCACGCCTGTTCCCCCACCGGCAGCTCAAACGTCTCCCACCCCATGAAATGCAATATCGGCAGTGGAACCCACATGACAGTCAGTGTAAACGCCCCAATCAAACTACCAAACGTATTCGCAAATATAACGCCTTTGTTTGGACTTGCGCCTTCAGGCGGACACGCGAATCTCTTGTACAACACTTCATACAGTCCGTACAGCACGCTTCCGCCGCCAATAATGAGATTTCCCAAGGCGCGGTGATCAGCTTCGTGGGAGGGTGGCGCCTTGTCGCCGCCTGCGCCGCCGCCGGACTTTGAGCCGTGTTTGGCGGGGGTCATGCCACCGTATGCGACGATGAAGACGCCTGCGATGGCGATTGCTACGGCGACGACTTTGCTGGTGCGGACTTTCTCATGCAATATGGGAATGCTGAAGGCGTAGGCGAAGAAGGCAGAGCAGTTGTAGATTGCGGTCAGGTCGCTCGCTGTCGTCTGGTTTACAGCGACGTACCAGCTTCCGCCTGCGAGTGTCAGGGCGCATGTGATAAAGGCCGTCATGTTGAGGATGTAGCGGATGGGCGAGACTTGCGACTGGCGGGGGCTAGGATGGAGCGTCTGGTGCTGGACCATGAGGGCGGTTTGGCGGAGGAGTTGGGTGTGTCGACGCCAGAATGTCGACCAGGGCTCGCTCCATCGGGAAATACGCATGAGGACGAGCATGCAGGGCCAGAGAAGGACCCATGATCCATGGGTCATGTAAAGCATACAATACGGCTTCTCCCACTTCAGCTGATGCTGGATATAGACGGCCGTCTCTGTCTGCACGGTGAAGCTGACCAGACTCAGCGCCAGCAAGAAGGCAGCATACGTGTATCGTCTTCTCGTCTCAAACTTGGCCTGTGTCTCCGGATCTCTCTCGTGGAAATGATGTGTACTTCTCATCAACCCATCATGCTCCAGCTCCTCGTCTTCGCTTTTCCTAAGCCCGAGTAGCGGTGCATGTGCGCGTCCATGCCGCTCCCGCTCGTCTGATAGTCTCAAATCTGAAGGCATCGCAGCGTCGTGCTCATCCCAGTCGTCGAACTCGAGGTCCGAACTAATTGGGCTGTCTGGCTCTATCAAAGCTGGTTTCTTGCCGTTTGCGTCTTTGTGCTGCCGTGACTGAGGATCGTCGGTGTACGGTGATGAGGATCGTGAACGCTGTCGTGAGCTTCCAGCAGAAACGACGACAGGCGTTCCGCTTCGAGTGTCTAGAGTGAAGTCGTCGGAGAGGGTATGAGCGAGGGCGCGAACTTTGGGGCGAGGGGGCTTCCTCAGTGGGATGGACTCAGGCATATAAGGCAGTTGAACAAGCGAATGACTGCGCCGAGTGGCAGGTGAGGCAGGTGAGCGGGACCGCTGCAGACTAATCTGAGCGAGTGTAGCTGCAGGAATACGACTGTCTTAGTTGGGCTGGCTGATATCTGGCTTCGAGGTGTTTGGTTCCTCTGCCCAGCCTCACAAGCCCCTGTATGCGACATGGCGGAGCACGGCGGAGCTTCCGGGGTCCAATGGCGGAGGGGATAACCTCCGGCTTGCGCGTCCCTTTGCCGTGTTACGCGCTTGCTGAATATCTTCATACTTGGAAAAAAAATGCTAGATTACGTAGAGTTGATGGTGCATATGTTTGGCAAAACGTCTACGTGACTTAGGGCTGGTGTACTGCGTGATCTTGTGGCAGCGTGCCTCCACAACCTGTTGGTTGCGTGGGGTTCTTTGCGAATGACCATGCATGCACAGATGACTCGCATAGCCTGGGTTTACTATCCTGCCTTGGACATAGGCCGCTCTTACGCAACGGACTACAATACGAAGTTACGAAGTATCATCTCGTTAAGCTGGTGGCCTGGAAAAAGAACCGTTTGAAATGGACAGTTGGCGCATGCTTTGTCAGAATTTTCACCTTTTGCAACTACATAACTCCTTCTAACACTTAATCGGGTGCTTATCGGCACCAAGTCCAAGTATGCATTAGGGGATAGATATCTGGTCATAAATACTCGTGCCCTACTGCCATCATAAAGCATGGGGGAATCAATACATCAAAAGACATGGCTGTACAGTCCTCGCCAAAAAAAATAACACGGTCGGATAGCTGACGAACAAGCTCTCACAATGGGCTGCCGTCAAGCCCCTCTGCTCGCTCCTGCGTTTCCGCTTCTTCCAGCTCTTGCAGGATCTCAGGCAACATCAACTCGACGTCCTCTTCTCGCTCCCCGAGCGCTTTGGCTATCAGCTTCTTGTACGTGCCCTGCTTCTCGCTCATGCCAGCCACGGACAGATTGCCCACAACTTCTCGCACCAGCTCTCTTCGCTCAAGCTGTGCGCGATGCAGCAGCAACGCTAGCCTCATCTTCTCGTTGACATCAACAGGCGAGTTGGTGTTATTCTGCTGTGGCATGCTACTGCATAATCGCCTGAGTTCGGCCTTTTGCTCAATCTCGAGAAGTGACTCTGCGTCTTCTATCAACAGTCGCAGCTCTTCTTCTTGTTGCCGATCTGCCTCGTCATCGTTGAGGTCGATGTGTAAGCCAATGCTCATGCCCTGTAGCTCTACGACTTGCTTGCGTACTGCTTCGAGTTCTGCCTGCCGCCTTTTGACAACACGGTCTGCATCGAACGACTCTGCTTCTTTCTCTTGTAGTTCTGACTCGTATGCTGCAGCCAGCTCTTCGCACTTCTCCAGTAAAGTCGGCGCAACTTTCGTCATCAGGTGTGAAGCGGTCTGTGAGCGGTATTGCGTGGATTCGCGGACGGCCATACTGGGGAAAGGAACCGGTATCAAGGGGCCCCCATCTAGCTGAACACCGTGGCCATTCAGGCGATGCTCGGGAGGTGGCGCAAACGGTGATGATGAGGCTTGTCGTGTCCGACCATGCATTCGCCGCCGCTGGTTGAGTTCCCGAATCAGGTCATCTGCTGTCTCGCCCTTTTTGTTGGGCATGTCCACAACGACGTTGCGCCCAAGTAAACTCCGTACACATTTCCTTGCCCCATTCCGCGCCGCGATCATGATCGCTGTGTCTCCATTCTGGTCTTGTGCGTTGAGGAGCCGTGTCACCTCTTCCGGTATCCATGTTTCTGAAAGCTTGTTGATTATGCAATCAAGATACCATCTCGCACACACATATTTATTTGAACTGCTTGTAGTTGCGGCGATGTGATGAAACACGGTGCTGCCAAACCAGTCCGTTCTGTGGACTGTTTGTTGGAAGATCCTGACCATGCTCGGCATTGTCTCCTTGTCGAAGTTGTTGGTGAACATGACGGCGCGCATTAGGGGCGTTTCCAGGTTATTAGACAGACAGTCTATGCGCGCTCCTCGATGGATCAGCTCTTTGACTACACCAACGTCGCCCATGGCTGCTGCCCAGTGCATCGCAGCATGCCCTTTCTCATCGATGGGTCGGTCCAAATTTATACTCTGCGGTGGCTCTGGCCAGGGACAGGCGGCTTCATGGTCCAAAAGCATAAAGTAGTCCAAAAGTTGGTCCGCCCATATTTGGTGTTGTTGATCTAATAGAGACATCTGGTCCATGCCTCGCTTGCGTTTGCGATTGCCGGCTGAGAAGTGCGAGGGATCCATCATGTCGTGGTCGCCGAGCATGGACTCCGAGATGACAGTGTCGTTGTCTGGTGTCTCCTCGCGGAAGATCTGCTGGGATCTCATCTGGGAGGCTTCGTACGGCTCTTCGCTGACTTGGGACTGTGAATTCGTAACAAAAGCTGCACAATCAAATCAGCCGCTGCTCTCTACCAAAGTGTAGCTTGAAGCATGAGCTGGAACCAAGGAGAGTGACCTCCTACTCTGGATATTTTCAAGCGAATAAACATTTTTACCGTTTCGATTTGCCGCCGCAGCGGTCTGCTTCGGCGGCTTCATCCTATTCGACGCAGCCGTTGCATGCTTCGGCGCGGGCGGCGGGCTCCTATCTCCTGGTATGTAGTCGAAGATGGCTCGCATCTTGTTCAGGACGCCGTTGCGCTCTGCGAGATGGCGGCCCTCCTCGAGCGGTATCCATGTGCCCTGGTACTTTCCATATCCTCCCTGCACCTTCTCGTGCACACCTTTTTGCACTTCACGCTCGAGGATACGGGTTCGCGCGGGCTTATCGTAGTCGGCCACCTTTAGGATATGGGTTGCGTTGATCCAGTCGTCAGCACGCCGTCGCATGACATGGTTGCCGTTGACATTGCACTCGTAGACGGGGACCTGGAGCATGTCATGTCAGTATTCCAGTGCATTGTCGCAAGCAGCGGGTCTACTCCAGGCAGCCCTGGGGTTGTTGAGGGCGTCCGGGCTGTCGCAAGAGGCTGGCGCACTACTCACATTACTATATGTCGCCGAATAGATTTTGCCATCCGGCGCAGGGGGCATTTTGACCATTCCAAAGGCTGGGAATGAATGGCAGTCGAGGGCTGTATCAAGCGCTCGCAGGTGATTTCGTGTGCCTGCGTGAGACGCGCAGCGCGCTTTCCTGTCGCGTTTTCGCCAAGACACCCGGGCAGTCGCCGCTTCCCAGTGCCGACGCCCAAGTGAAGCTCACCAAGAGCAGCTCGCCCGCAAACACTCTCCCGCCTGCCATTGAAGCGTCACCACACACTCCGCCGCCAGTATGACTGTCACCGAGACAATAAAGCATGCCGTCGGTCTCAGCGACGAGCCAGCGAGTAAGCTCTGCCACGCTTTCCCCCCTCCAATTGGCTACCAGTACACGATACTGACTACAATTGACAGAGGCTACGCGCGAGGAGATGAGCGCCGCCAGACTACCACTGCCTTATCGAGACGGATGCGCACATCTTCTGATCCCGTTGAACCAGTGTCGGTACGACGAGTACTACCTACCATGGAAGTGCGAGGTATGCGCTACCGCTCAATACTCAATGGGGAGGAAGGAGCTATAGAAAGGCTGACCCGGCTACAGAACGAGCGACATTCATACGAGAAGTGCCAATACGAGGAGTTCAAGCTGCGAGTCAAGAAGATGGACGAGTTGAGGGCCGCCAAGGGTGGAGAGCGAAGCAACTAGAGAAATCGTAAGAGAAGCAGCCCAGGGCATGACCATACAGAAGGGACGACACGCTCCATGTATATTTCCGAGCAGGCTCAATCAAACGATTCTTATTTCCAAAGCTCGCAACTCTCAACGTCAATGTTACCTTCGTCTTTGATGTGCAGGCCAACATTATACTTGTTCACGGACAAAAGCCCTCAACCAACATTCATCAAAAGTCAAAAGTGTTTCTTCAATCTAATCTACATCTAGCCATCTAGCTCGAAGTCGCTCTCTTGAATGAGGCCCACCTCTATCTACCAAAACTACCACCTACAACTTAGCCTTGGTGTCCTCGAGAGCCGCCATCTCTCTCAGCTGTTTTCTTAAAATCTTGCCAGAAGGATTTTTGGGGACCGCTTCAATGAAGTGCACGCCCCCTTCCAATCGCTTGTGCCTAGACACCCGCTCAGCGACCCATTTCTTGATGTTTTCAGCTGTTTCTGGCGTAGCCTTGTCTTGCGACTGAGGCATGATGTAGGCGCGTGGGAGCTCGTCGCCGTTACTGTACTGGTTAGTGCATATTACTCAAGCCAACAGGAAAGCTTACACAGTTATACCGATGACAGCCGCATCCTGCACCTCCGGGTGATCCAGCAACAGCGCCTCCAGCTCTGCAGGCGCGACTTGTAGCCCTTTGACCTTGATCAACTCCTATGCATCGTTAACTCGTACTCACATCCTAAATTAAGTGAGGCACTCCGACTTACCTTCTTCCGGTCGACGATAAAGAAATGATTCTGCTCATCAACATACGCCACATCTCCCGTCTTCAGCCAACCATCGCTCGTAATAGCCTCTCTTGTCGCCTCGGGCTTGTTCCAATACCCCTTCATGACATTCGGCCCCTTGACCCAGACCTCGCCTCGTTCGCCCTGCTTTGCTTCAACCTTCCCCTCATCATCTAGCACGATCTTCGCCTCGCAGTTGGCCAACACTTCACCCACTGAAAAGCTCTCTGAATGCTTCGAGGGGTCAAAGGCAGTGGTTGCACATGTGACTTCCGTCATGCCCCAGCCTTGGGTTACATTGACTTGCCCATTTGGCCACAGGCGTTCGAATTCTTGAATGACCTCATGGCCAAGTGGCGCCGCGCCCGAGCCTACTGACTCCACGGACGAAAGATCAAACTTCCTCGTTGCAGGGTGTTTAGCCATGGCCACAACGACTGGCGGGACTAATATGAGATCCGTAATCCTGTACTTCTGCACGTACTGGAGCATCTCCAGGAAATCAAACTTCGGCATCATGTACACGGGGACGCGTAGCTTCATGGCATTGTAGCAGAAGACTGCCTGCGCCATAGCGTGGTACATGGGTAGGAAGCAGAGGTAGCGCTTGTGTGGGAGGTTCTGGGCGAAGTTTTTGGCGCGACTACTGATGTGCACTTGCTGGCTGCAATTTGCGACATAGTTCTTGTGGGTCAACATCACGCCCTTGGCTACGCCCGTGGTACCTGACGAGTAGTTGAGTAGAATGACGCGGTCTAGTTCTTCGTCTGTCCGAAGGTCGGGCCATGCGTAGTTACGGCCTTGTTCTTCGGAGTCTAGCAGGTCTGTCCAGTGCCGTACGGTCCCAAGCTCAGTACTCTTTTCCACCTTGCGGCCTTGAAATGTTGCGATTCCGTCGTCAAATACAAAAATCTGATCAGCGCCCATACCAATCTCCTTCGCGGCTGCAATGCCTGTTTCTAGACTGCCTTCTGCGCAGATCAGATACCTCGCACCAGAATCTTTCAACTGATACGCCAGCTCCCTAGCAACGTATGTTGGGTTGGCGCCAGTAAAGACGCCCTCTGCCATAACTACACCCATTATGAATGACGGGAAGAAGAGGGTGTTACCGGAAAAGAGAAGCACGCGATCGCCCGGCTGGAGGCCTGAGCGGCGCAATCCAGAGGCGAGACGTTGCGCATATAGACGGTAGTCAGAAAGCGAGAGGAAGTACTTGTCTGGTTCATTTGCGGATATGTAGGCGGGGATTGTTGGAAGGTCGGCAGTGGGTGAGTCGAAAATCCATGTAGGCAGAGATACTTGTGGCAGAGGAAGCGCCCAGCGCGACTTGATGACCATTCTGGTGGTTTGCTAGGCCCTGAGTTTCAGTGGAAGGGGGGTTTCGATGGCTAAAACGTAGTCTCGGGCGATGTCTGCGGTCCTCGGACGTCTCGTGCTGCGTCTTTAATCGTCTCAGACAACTAATGTAAACCAACGAGTTTGAGATGCAGGGTCGCAGTGCTGACGGGGTGAAATAGCCTATCTTTGAATAATTCGAGCACGCGTCGAATGTGTCTGTTCCTCTGTACTAAACGAGTAAGGTGTCGCGTATCTAATAACCATCAGCAACCGCTCATCCTCCTCTGGGCGTAAGAACATATAGTAACTCACGCTGTACTCAATAGTAGGTCAGGATTTGTTGTTTGTATGCAGAGGAGAGTGACAGCCGTCCAAATGGACTGTTCAAGGTACTCTAACCCCCAAGGTCATCTCCACGCGCAACCACCTCGCGCGGACTGTAAGCGAGCCAAAACTTTCGAGTCGTCAGCTCCATTGAGTTAGTGATTGGGTATCTGAGCGCCACTATTGGGAACGAGACTGGTTTTTTGCGGGGTCGAAGTTCCAGCCGAGGTATCTGGGGTAGGGGCGTGGGTTAGCGAAAGGCAGCGTTTCTGGGCTGTCAGATACGGAAATAGTGCTAGGAGAGTTAGATCTTCGAAATCCGCTTCCAATTTTCCCGGTATTAAGATGAGACCAATATGTTGGCAGAGATGGAGGGTCGGAGGGTCGGAGGGTCGGAAGAGAAAGACAAAGAGCCGTGTCGATGTTCGAGTGTACTTAATTCGGAAGGTAGGCACTATGGGGTATTTCATCTCCGTAACTTCTCGATATTCTCCAAGAACCACGCGAGGGGACAAATTTCTATGTGCGAGGGTGGTTAATGCCATAGCATCAGTTGTAAGGCGTTGTTTGAAAGACCTTCTCTCGAAAGTAAAGTTTCAAAGTGGCTCTTCCCAGTCGGTCCACCCTTTAGCATCGTGAAAACTTTTTGAATTAGATCGTGAGTTAGTGGTCATTGAATGGGACAGGAGCTCATAGTGTTTGAAGGATAGAGATAGAGTTCTGCTGTCGGTATCAAACCTGAAGATTGCAAGCTGTCCATACTAATCCTAAACGAGTCGCTACGGATGGCTAAGAGTGTGATGAACCTTAGAGTGCCGTATAATATGCTCTTAACACTTCTACTCATCACTTAAACAATGATACGACGCCTATAAGGTAAAGTTGGAATGAACGCCATACAGGGAGGGTGGGGACGACGGGAAGCCGACGGACACTAGTATCAGCTCTACCTCCATGAGGACTAGTTCTTTATGCGAATCTCCTGCCGTTTCAACCTCAGCTCCTCCTGAGCGCATCAAAACACTCCTCACCGGCTCGTTCACTCCCTACACACTTGCCAATTACGTCAAGAAATATGCCCAAACGTCCGTGGCTGGTAGAAAGCGATAAGCCATCATACCAAGTCTTGAAATGGATAGGAGGCGGCGGCTTCGGCCAGGTCTTCAAAGTGCTCCGAGGCGGGCAGGTACGCGACATATCCACATGCAGATGCTCGATAAGTATGTACTTACCATGATCAGACTGTCGCATGCAAACAAGTACATACAGACAATGCTGAGGCTGCTCTTGACGAGTATGACCATATGAGGTCGCTTAGAGGAGCACCACATATTGCTACATTGCATGACGGACTCGAGTTCAATAGAAAGACTAATAGTCTTTCCTTTTTCATGGATTACTACAAAGGGAAGGACTTAGATAGACAGGTGCAAATGCTACGTGGCGCGGCGTAAGCATCTACTCGGTATCCACGAAGGATGCAGCTAATGTCGTCCATAGCGAGCGTTTTACGGAAAGTCAAATCATCGAAATCGGCTATCAGGTTGCCGTAGCTCTTGAATTCTGTCACAGCAGGAACATCCTGCATCAGGATATGAAACCAATGAATGGTGAGTCTAAGAACCGACTAGCACCCTGCCATGTTAATTGTTTACAGTCTTGCTATACGAATCTTGGAATCCTGTGACTCAACGAGATGTCCCCGATCTATACGTCGCAGACTTTGGCATCGCAAGCCATGTCCAGACGATCGGTACTCGACTTACAGGACAACGAGGAACACCAGGTTATGAGGCACCAGTACGATATGTTGAATATTAGACCCAACCACTATAGCTGACGGGTACCTGTAGGAAATACGAGGACAAGGCTACCAAGCCGCGTTCTCACAAAAGTCTGACGTGTACGCCTTTGGCTGCATTCTTTACAGGCTATGCACGTTGGGAGATCCGGTGATCTTGGATGATATCAAGCCTTCTGATATCCCAGCAGAATACTCAATGGATGTTTTGAGTCTCATAAGCTCCATGCTTAGCTCCGACCGCGACGAACGGCCGACGGCAGTACAAGTCAAGGAAGTACTTGCAGCACTCGCCCTAAAACTGTTTTCATCCACGAGCGCAACATGTCGCTCGTGTCACCGAGAGTTCATTTCGAACAAAGCATTGCATAAGCATTTGAAGAAGACTGGTCATGGCCGCAAGGATGCCCTGCCCGCTCCCACCATAGATGCAGCTAAACTTCCGATCCAGACTGGGGACGGATTGACAATTCGAGGCGTAGCTAGCGCTCCCACTCAGTACCACTTCGATCACGATTGCGAAGATGACCAGGACGAGGTCAGCGATCCATCTCCCTGTATTGTTTGTATGCGGCACTTCAAGACGAAGCAGAAATTCTTCAAGCATTTACACGGAGTTCAGCACTACCGGAGCCCGAACTACGTCTCAAAGCGCCGTGCAAATGATGAGCTTGACGTCGATGCTGAGAAAGCCGACAAGCGCCTTAAGAATTGGGTCGTGAAAGACATGGATAGGCACGAATAGCTGTTGGCCGTTTACTCTAATGTTATACGAGACTCGATGAGAACAAAGGTCGCGCGCATATGGTTTGCGATAGTCAATAGTGAGGGAGAAGGTTATTACATTGTTCAATGGTTTACAACTTCGAAGCGCCTTGATCAAGAGACTATATCTAGTTGTAGCGGTCTCTCGAAAGAAATCTGTCGCCATCCTTCACCGGCGGTATGTGCCACCAAGGGAACCTCGCACCGATCGGATCATACATTTTGTAACCGCGAGGAAGCCCAGGTATCTTCATAACACATTAAGAACCCCAAATAAGCCGCGGAAAGGATGCTGATGCAGCTTAGGTTGGACTTTACAACAGTCAACCCCCACATCTAGTGCCTAGTCTCTCAATCAAGCGCATCTCACTCATCTGGATCTCGTCACGCTCATCCGTATCTTATTCTCCAACGACTACCAGATCATCAATAGTAGCCCGACGCTAAAGCCCATCATGCAGAAACTGGCATAAGCAATCCGTTGTTCTCCTCTTATCCGCTCCTGGTGCTCTTTATGCTCTTCATCGAATTCCTCGATTACCGAGGGCTCATCCGGGAGGCTTTCAACCATCTTTCGCGCCAGACGCTTTAGTGGTTGACACTTGCTAATCCTGTCCAGCATCTCGCGCTTGGCTTCGGCGATCTTGCTCTTGACGGGCTCGTATCCGCCTGGGTGTGCCTGGTATGTTTTCTCCGTGTCGGCACCAGAATAGTTTGGCGTATAGAGCGCATCGATTTTCGCATTCGATCCGATGATATCTTTGGCTTGACCGACCTGCGCCAATACTGAACCATTTTCCATTGCGTGTGGCCTGTACACCTTCGTCTTGTCCCATTTTGTCTGCAAGAGATTGTAGCTGTTCTTGCTTGGTTTGTAGATGGACCTGTTCGTTGATATCGCTCGAGTAACTCTGAGAGGGCCTGCTTGACGTTGCAACAGGGGCCTGAACGCATTCTGAAGGTGGGATCGTAATGGTGTTCGTTGGGAGGACATATTTTATAAAGTTGGAGAGAAAGCCTTTGTTATGTAGGGCTGAATTCCACAGAAGACGCGTGGAGGAGTTATACAAATCTGACCTTCAAGCTGGACAACGGAATTCTTATACAATGTTTTGTTTTGTTGGTTGTCTCCATAGGCCCGTACCACGGATGGGAAGCAAGACCTTCACGCGGTTACCAACAATCGGAAGAACTCGGACAAACTCGACCAGGAAACATTCACTGTCTAGTTACGCTTAATATGTTTCGAGTTACACTACCTTTGCGCTTAACAATCGCAGAGGTACATGAAGTTATATAATAGACCCATCGACTTTGATAAGTGTCGGAGATGTATAACACCTCAACCTCGACAACCACATCGACTACAGAAGATATCGGAAAAACTCGGACTTCATGGCCTCACTTCTCTGGGTCTATTTTCACTCCGTCTAGGCAGCCACGAAAACACGCAAAGACAAAATCGTCTCGACGTCATGAACGATTCGACTACCACTATACTATGTAACACGAGACTGGCACTGCCCATGCGCGAATTATAGGACAGTGTTCTATGTAGTACCACGGTAGGAAACAGTGCGCAACGCTGCTGTGCTGAAGCACGCTCCCTTTCCTTCCTCGAGTAGTCATACTCGAAGAGTCAGACGCACTTATCCTAGAGCCGCAATGTAATCACAAATATCTCCGCTCACGAGGGACGCCCTGGGGCGTAGCACGGCTTAAAGTCTTTCAATCCTTCCTCGAGCATAGCGAAATTTCACTCGCATCGAAAAATCGATTCGCCCTAGCAACGAGCCCCAGGGTGTTAGTAAATCAGGGTCACAATGCCGGTTATCACATTTCACCCCCCCAGAATATATACATCGCGGCCTGCCATATTACCACGATCCTTAACCACAGAATCAACTACATTCTCTACCATAGCATACACGAAGGATTCCACCATGGCATCATTCAGCAATAACAGTATAGTCAGACACAAGTACGCTAACTTCCCTTCCATCAAACCCGAGTCTAGCTAATCACACTCCAGCAGCGAAGACGCAGATAAAGTACGCGTACGCATTAGCAACACCACCAATGCATTCGTAGAGCACACCATCCAACGCTCACTCATCACAACCTCCGCCGTCCTCATTTCGCAACTCCACCACCCTTCGATCCACATCCACTGGAACGGTACACTCGATGTATTCGCAATGTACCGCGCATGGCTATACTCGCGCGATGTGCTCACAAAATCCGAACTCGTTGGCAAGGATCCGTCAGTGGGAACTACCAAGTTTGAGTACATAAATCTCATAGCCTGCTGGGGCATGGGGCAGACACTCCAAGACGCAGTATATCAAGAGCTAGTAATTTCCTCAGTCATCCAGCGTCTACAAACCTGGACAGGGACGGACACGCCACCATTCATATACGCATTGACTGCGCCTGTTGTGGACGGTGTATGGCGAGAAACGGTGGCCGGTGCCCCGATAAGGAGGCTGATTATTGACACAACGGCGCGCTTGGGGCACGCAGCGGACTTCCAACACTTCAGGGAGGATTCAGGTTATCCGATAGCGTTCATCAAGGACCTGATGGTTGCGTTGGGGAGGGGAAACGACCTGCAGATTACACGAGGCTCGTCACTGAAGCGTAATCAGCCTGCACATCCTAAGTTTCCCCTTCCTCCACCTCCACCTCCCGCAACAGCAACATCAAGACCGCCAGCGCCATTCTTTCATTTTAAACCCGATTTGGATGTCCAGCAAAACTCGCCGTCCATCCTTCGGAGGAGTTCTGTGTCGAGTCCGGGTGCTACTGCTAAGCACGTCCACTTCGAAGGAGAGGGAGAAAGTTCCGCGGAGGATGAGAGGTGTAGTGCAGTCAGTAGAATAACAGAAAGCAATCCATGATTACAACCCAATTTAACCCCTATCGTGAAAGCTATAGAGGATCTACGTGTGAACTTCTTGAACAACAGTGCTGAACGCCCTCAGTTGAGGAAATGTATGAGGTAATGTTCGTATGAAGATCAAACAATCTAACAAGACCTCTTGGAGTTACTCAAACGTTATCCATGCCCCAAATGACACGTCTACGCCCCACGAGCACGCGCAACGGGATATCAGGCTCATAAAATGGACAAGCAACCTCTACGAATCTTCCGCTCCTCTTCCTTCCCCTTCACTTATTCCTTCCCTCTGTCATGTCCTCCCCCGAGTCTTTACCCTGTACACACCCCGCCGTCCTAGCCACCCCAACACCCTCCTCCAAAACCGGAACAACAACCTCAACATCCCCCACCACCGCCTCTTGCACAGGTTTCCCCTCAACATCAGTCTTCTCCGTGACCTTCACATCTCCTCGCTTCCAGATACTCTCGAGATGCGCAATGTCTTGGGATCCTGTGAAGCCGTCGGACTTGGAAACCTCTTTTGTAGGAGTGTCGTACCCTGCATTCGAACTAGACGCGCCTGTTTGCTCTGTATATGAATGCGGTCCTGCGATGTAGTGCTCGGGCGCAGGTTTCGAGCCGTTGTGGTCGTTGGATTTGGGGCCGCAGAAGTAGAGAGTTCGCTGCTGCTGGGAGAGGGGAAGTGTTGATGGAAGGACGCTGGTGCATATTCGGGAGGCTACGCGAAGGGCTGGTGGAAACATATTATTGTATTTTGGATAGGAAGTCGTGGATGAGTTTTGTAGACTGGCTTGTCAAAGTGGACCTGGCGATGAGAGATGATCGCCAGTTCAGTATGGCGGTTTAGCGGAGATGGTGTAGAGGGATCAAGAGGCCCTTATGTACTGGTGCTACGTCAAGCAATCTTTCACCTATTTCTCGGGAGTTTGTTGGAAGACAAGGGTGCTACCCGCCTCATAGCCACAGAAACTGACAGAAGGCTAAGTCACAAACCGGAGTTTCCGTTTGCTGATAGTTGCACGGGGATCATGTTGCAGTGACAGGGATTGATATTTGCTTGTGAGCGTGGTAGCTCCTGCTGTTCAAGAGTTTTGTTCAGCCACGCAGGGAAACTATTATCTGCTTGCCTAGAATTCGTTAACAACCGGCGGTCAGGTTAGGGATGGGGAACTGTAGGTGAGACACGAGAACAATAGAAGGCTGTCCGGGAGTCTGCGAGCGCAGATATTTGCATTGACAGAATAAAAGTGGTATCATTGAAATCCGCTTACAGGAGAAGCAGCCTTTACCTTCCTAACGCCCCGGTTTAGCCAAAGAACTCCAAGATGCGTAACAACGGTGTCAACGCCAAATAATATTTTCCCCACATGAGTCTCTTAGCCGACTCTCTTATCCTCCACCTCATCGTTGGGCGGTGTCTCCTTGCTAAGGTAGTCAGCACCTTCCGCCTCTTCATACTCCTCGATCAAGCCTTGGACGACTTCCTTAGCTTCGTCAAACTCGCCGAGACCATCTTTAAAGGGCGCTTCCCGCTTGTAGCTCTCGAGGAACGCATTGCGTTTTCTCAGGGTCGAGTACTGCGCTACTATGCGTTTGAAAAGGGTAGCAATTCCTGTGTGATTTGCGAGCATCAGGCCGGAGACGCGATGTGAGGAGGTGACGTATGGCGACTTTTTGGTTAGAGCGACTTGAATGGAGGCGGGACCCCAGGGAATGAAAGTTGCAAGGCGGCGTTCACGGATGCGCATTAGCGATTTGTGTACCTGTCGATATGAGTAACTGAGTTGTTAATGTTATTAAAGGGTAGCTTACGTCTGAAGGGTCTGCTTCTCCTTGTATGATGTTCAATATCGACATGTAGCAGCTCTTCTTCGTTGGGTTGGTGGAAACCATGCGGTTCTTAGGCTGCAAGAGCCTCCTCATAACATCCAATACGGTAGTTTTGCGTACAGTCTTCGCTTGCTCGACGTTCTCGCCGGAGAAAGGTGTGTAGGAGGTCATTAAGAAGTGACAGCGAGGGGTAGGAATAAGCGATGCTACGATGCCGACTAGATCGTTGTGCATGTAACCTGGGTATCGAAGGGTTGTGGTGCTTGCGGACATGACGGTCGAAACGAGCTGGTTTGTCTGTTCAAAAGACGGATTCATGACGTGCAGTCTGTCTGCGGCGATTTTCGAGAGAGCCCCGTTGTCGAGAACGACCTATTCAGTCAGGTTCCGACTCGATTTGGGAAGTACAAAATTGGGTGCTGATACATACCACAGAGTCTGCATTCTGCGTCAACCGTCTCATACTCAGCAGACTGTTGTAGGGCTGCACAACAATATCCCCGTCATGGGTATTTGGGAACACGCTGTAGGTTTGAATGAGCTTCTTGGGGAACCTGTCGTTCAACCTCTCAAGCATATACGATCCGAGGCCAGAGCCAGTGCCGCCAGCGATCGAATGCAGCATCATGAAGCCTTCCAACGAGTCGGAGCCGTCGGCTTCTCTGTCAATCATATCCAAGATATCTTCGTGCACCTGCTCGCCCATGCTATATCCCATGCCCCAGTTGTTACCTGCACCGGTACCGTCCTTGTGTATATAGAAGTTTTCGGGATTGTAGATGTTCTTGTACGCGCTCTGCTGTATCGAGTTGAGCACTCTAGGCTCGAGATCTAACAGGATGGCCCGTGGAATGTAGCGCGTGTCGTCAGACTGGTAGAAGAAGACATCTTTGCGATCGCCGCCTTCTGTCGCAAAGTCCTCGAGGTTGCCGTCCTGATTGATGCCATGCTCCTGACACAGTTGTTGCCAGAACTGCTGGCCGACGCTGTTGCCGCACTGGCCAGCCTGCAACGTGATTATTTCCCTGCTGGCGTGTTAGCTAGAAATAGGCTTGCCGCGTGCAATTCTTTGGCGTACCTGGGCATGGCGTTGTTGATGTGGTCGACGACTGGCGGTGCTGGTGGGCTGTTGACGCGTTTGGTGGGGCTTGGGCTCGGACGCGTCGCTAGATTATGTCTGGCCGGCCCTGGTAGTAGGCTCGTACCGTCCTTCACTACAACTCCCAAAGCTGGTCATGCTTTTATACCACAATTTATATGATGCTATCGTTCATTCATATCTATATATATATATATATATATATATATATAGGCTAATCATGCCATGCTCTCCTCAGGCATAAGCTCACTACTCCGCTGCCGGCTTCACCTTGACAGACTCCTTATCGCTGAACCCAAACAGGATTCGAAACAAAACCGTGTAAATCAAGGCAAAGAAGTTGATCCTCAGCACATCTAGCCAGATCCTCACGCTTATCCTGTCCTTCGTTCCCTCATGCCATCCACGTCGCACTTCCAGGAACAGCTTCGGGTCATCCGTAACCACCCCATCAAGTCCCTGTCGGATATCCCACCGCATTCTTGACTCGTCATTCACCGTCCATGCATATACCGGCCGTTGATCGCGCTGAGCTTTGCGGATGAAGAATCGGCCCCATGGTGTCATGAGCACGCCTTGCTGCATATTGAACGACACATTCGGCACAGTGAAGAAGTACGACGCAATGAGCGTGGAAAAACCAATGTGGGACACAGGGAAGCCAGGCAGGTAGCGCGAGCACAGTGGCAGGTACTTGGCCGCCCAGCACCCAAGCACGATACGCTGGTGCCACGGCCGAGATGGTGAAGGATGCACGCTCCGGATCGTGTCACCGATCAAGCGCATCACATCATCGGCGTTGTTGTCCAGCTACACTGCGTCAACAGGTCACCTTCGTGCAACGCAACCCAAACGACATACCTTGATATCGAGCATTACCCAAATGTCTTCCAATCCAGGCTGTGCAAGATATTCGAGCAAGTCAGCGAGGCGTGGCATCGACTCATGCGGCTCCTTCAGCGTTCTCAGTTTACTCAGGAACTCATAGTCGCAGTCAATGATCTTCTCCTTCCGGCCAAAGCAGCGCTTCAGATCCTTGTCCTGTCTATAATCAGTCTACAATCCTCGAATGATTCCGAATTGGACGGACTAACATGTGACAGGACGACTACACCATCCCTCGACAGGTGGATGTCTGTCTCTAAACCTTCTGCACCTACTTCTACCGCTCCTTTGAAGGCCCCCAATGTGTTTTCCGGGAACTTGGCTTTGTAACCTCGATGAGCAATAGCCTGCGGTTTTCGAACCCCAGACACATCTTTACGTGCGAATGTAAAGGAAGCTGTCAGCTAGTCAACATATATTGGCGGTCTTAAGATCATCTGGGGTATTCCAACCTGCAGGAAAGCTTGTCTTCGGACCAAGCAACGGCTGCTCGACTATCTTATCAAGCTGTTTCGTCAAACCCTGAAACACAGGTGGAACTCCCACGACCATGTTTTCGAGAATTGGTGTTTGTACGTCGAGTGAGTTGTCCTCCATCCTAAATGCCAGCACGACACCGGGCGACGCGCGCTGATATGCACCGGAGGATCCGACAACGGACGAAGCGGAGTTTACGGGACTAATGTCAAGCAGGAAGCCGACGGAAATAAACAATTGCGTATACGATAAATGCGTGCAAAAGCAGTAACGACTGTACGCGCAGAGTTTGAATGCAAAGACAGTTACACAGGACACCACAGGAGACGCTGCAATTTACATCGAACAGCGTAACCCATGAGCAGCTAGGAGGGGCCGAATTTAAGAGCTTTTGCGGGTGCCGCTTGTCCTCAAGGCTCGAACACACTCGGAAAAGCGCCACATGCAGCCGTCAAACCCACCAAGATGGGAGCCAAATTTGTTCTTAACCCGTCAATGGTGTTACGAAATCGGGATAGACGCCTTGGGCCCCTCAGCCCATGTGGATCTCTATTGCACGTGTGGCTGCAGGCTAAGTTAAGCTTGTTCCAGGATTGCTTCGACGAGGCTCGGATGTATCAGGTCCCGGCGCTACACGCTTCGGGTTCCAGGAAGACCCTTCTTCGTGCACTTGACGTGTCAGCGATAGAAACAGCAAAACCAGTAGCTACTCTTTGGCTAACAGAGATAAAACTGGATTGGACTAATGGACAAAGGCGTATTTATGAGCGTTCATGCAAGATGCCTACTGAAGGGCGCTAAAGGGATGGAAAATCCCACAGGAATGATAAGTCTCACAATTATACAGTCCGACATCCTGGTCGAACAACCGTTTGAACCGCCCTTGGCGGATGATCAAGTCTTACTTTAACCCATTAAAGGAATATCTCTCACTATATGCAAGCAGCAGCACATGCTGACCGCTTTTCGCTTGGTGCAGTGCGTGCAGCCATAGGTGTACGCACAGTAAAGACACCAAGTGTTGGTCAGCCGTACAGCGTGTGGCGTCGGAAGCTTCACAGGCCGTCAAGAAGAAATCCTATCAATACGGCAACCCGCGTGGAAGGGTATCTCAGCGTCCCGTCCCCATTCTAAATTATCGTGTGGCTTCTCGTCAAGGAGAGAGATGAGCAGCATTTCCACCGACTCGTTAGGAGTCCTAGGACACTATCAAAGTCGGTTATAGTTTCTTTCGAGCATTCTGTGCAGATCTTGACAAAGAATTCACAGCTGTGACAGTTCCTAGTCTGCCTATATTTGTGACCTAACCTGCTTTGCTCGAGTGGTGGAAGTTGGAAGGGTGTGCACATCAGGTTAAACTAGAGTACTGGTTTTCTTTTCTTATCCACCCCGGGGCGCTTGATGGTTATTTGATGTGTTTACGTTTTCGAATATCTATCTGTAGCATTGAAGCTTACAATCATCTTTTCGTCGACCAATCTTACTCGTAATTTCAGTACTCACCAGCTGTTTCCCAATAACCCAATGAGGTGTCGTCAACGTATGCGTCTTTGATGACATCATTCTAAGTTTCCATGCCCATCCCCATCACCCTACGTGGCAACCTCAAACTTCGGGTTGTACTTTGCCGCTGCCTTTTGGAATTCACTCTTCTTCTCAGCCCAATCTTGCACGACTCGATGTTGGCTATCCGCCGCCTGTAGCTGCGCCTTCAAGCCCGCTACCTCTTCCTTCTTCCCCAGAAGTGTATTCAGCACAATCAGGTTCGCAATCGTATCAGCGGAGTTGGCGTCAATGGAGAGTGCTTGTTGTAAAGCGGCTTCGGCTTCTGGCAGGCGGCCAAGGTGTAGTTCGGACACGGCTTGTGCAACGAGGGAGTGGGGCGATTGAGACTGTGAGGTCGTGGCTAGTTCTTCGAAGACGTAGAATGCAGATTGGTATTTTTCGCCACCCTGGATGTACGTCAGTACACTCATTTTCAATGGGGAAAAAGAGGATAGAGAAGGGGTAGGATGTGGTGAGCATGGGATGAGGGACGTACTTCTCGCATGCCAACCCAACTCTCCGCGATATTGACAAGCAAACTATCCTGGGCCCATTTCCGCGCGCGTTGTGCTTCTTTTATCGCGAGATCTGTACGGTTTTGTTGTAGGTGGATTTGGACGATGAGCGCTACCCTTTACCAATGTCAGCCTTAACCAACCATCTCTAAACTCCCAGCTCTAATTCGAGTGAGAGAATATGCATGAGGGTGTACATACGCATCCAAACTCCCCTGATGTTTTGACAGAAGCTCAAGCGCTGCCTCCGTCTCGCCAGCCCTCTCCAGCACCATGCCTACGCATAACTGCACGTTCAAATTTTCTTGTCCATGCTGCTCTGCTAGCTTCTTTGCCTGCTGTACCACATCTTTGCCCTGCTCGAAATCCGCTAGTAGCTTGACAGCAACGAGATCTGGTGTCTTTTCGCTTGCAAGGTCGGCAGAGACGGCTTTGGCTTGGCCGAGCGCAATTTGGCTGCGAAGTTTGAGTACGCGGACGGGAAGCGCGTTCGCTGAGGAGAAGGAGGAGGTATCGAAGTCGAGTACTTGCTGGTAGGCGCCGGCGTGAAAGGCGGAGTGGATGTTTATTAGCTCTGACTGTCGTTAGTGGGGTGTCGAGGGTACATCAAGAGGTGGGTTTGAGCGCACCTCCTTCTGGTGAGTAGGGATCCATTGTGAGAACGATTGTGGGGTATTACGAGGTGAGTAGGACAATTGGCGGGGAATGACAGTGTTGCTGGAAATGGAGCTTGGTGAAGCCACGATTATGTTTGGCCTGTTTGCTTGGACCCTGCTCGCTTCCTATTGGTTGCATGAAAGAGTATCTCGATGCGGCAGACCAAGAGGACGAATTCCATTTTCATTCTTGATAACCATGTAACTACTCTACTATGAGATTTGCGCATTCTTGGGCAGCATACCAAGCCATTCCTATCAGTGTTTGACCCTATGGAGCAGACTTGTGAAGGCCTGCGGTTCACTGTATCTGCTTCTCCAGATACTCTACACCCTGCGAACAGTAAACGCAAGAAATCTGGTCCCACCAGGAACGAGATTCGTCTTCATCTTCTTGGACAGATCTTCTTCACCAAGGACAGCGTCGATCTTCCACTCTGTCCCGGTCTCTTCACTGACCTGCTTCCACAGCTTGGTCCATGACTCCGCATTGTGCCAGTACGACGTCAACTCTTTCTTCAGGTGCTCAAAAGTTCCAGGTTCAGCTTTGCCCCCCTGTCGTCCAAAAACCAAGGAACCACTCGCTGGCTTTAGTAGCTGGATAATCCTTTTCGCTACTTTGACCTGCGTGTCCAGATCGAAGAGGTGGAAAAACGAGGAAGCGTATATGACATTCATGTTGCCGTCCAGCTGTTTCAGATCAGAGTCCGCATCCAGGATGTCTGCTTCGATGAATGCGGTCTTTAGGGATGATCTGTCACGGAACAAGTCGTATCCAAAGTCCCAGAAGCCTTTTTTGAGATCAGAGGCGTAAGTGTTCTCGGGCGGTGCCCCATCAGAAACAATCTTGCGGGTGTCTTGACCCATACAGCATCCAAGATCCAGAAACTTCTCTCCATTCTTGACGCGGCCTAGGACTTCGTCGTAGGCGGGAGATTGTCCAACGTTCAAGTCGAGGAAACCCCAGTAACCAAGGCAAGGGTAGGGAAACTGGGGAGAACGTTAGTGAGGCTATCGTCGCACTATGCTGTTGTACGGATGAAGTACAATCTTGAAAGCTTCGTCTCTCACTCCCTTGATATGCGGGATCACGTCATCCGAAGGCACTTTGCTGTACTTTTCGAATAAGTCCCTCGTTTCAGGCTTGAGCTCTATGATGTCCGTCTTGTACCACGGGAGTAGTTCCGGATTATCGACGTATGCTTTACTCGCAATGACTTGTTGGGCGTCGTTTGCCTCCTTCTCACCAGGATCTTGTGCTGGAAGAGCTTGAGACATGTCGGGTAAAGGATAGAGCAGGGAGGCTAAGTCTCAACTCGACACTACTCGGTTGTGCTTCGAGCGCGAGCTCTTTATATGTACCGTGTGCTTACATACTGGTGCTTACTGGCGTATCAGATATCAGATAGCACCAGGCATATGCACCCTGATCATCTAGGAGCGGGATGCGCCAGGCATATGCACACCCTGATCATCTGGGAGCGAGATACGAGTTGAGAACAGCCAATCCCACCTCAGTTTGGTCCTCGAAGTGTGCCGGCTGTCCGCGACATAGTTGCTTTCCTGCCAGCGCATGTCACGTTATGAGCTCACGGCAGAATGAAAAAAAAAAGAAGAAGAAGCGTGAGTGATGATAGCCAAGCAAAGGGCATGGCGTTCGCTGTTTGCGCACGGCTGCACTTGCCCCTTCCCGAACAGCGCGGGACGCTGAATGGTGGGGCAGGCACCAGTGACGCGCGCGGAAAAAAATGGCAGCCCAAAAAAACTCACTTCATGCCGCCAGCCTGAACGTCTCCATATATATCAAGCAAAGGCTCTACTCTTCTTGCTTCAATCGCAACACCTTCTTGATACCCAGAAACCTATCCTGGCCGACTCGTTCCTACTTCACACGTAAAGTCACATCCAAGATGCCGTCCATTGAGCACCCCACCATCCAAGGTAAGAAAGCATCTGTCCAGAAGCATGGGAACAAAGCCTCCATGGCATGGCGTGCCCAATCTAACCATCAGCTAACAATTGGCTCTCCAGATGGCTGGTTCCGCGAGATCTCCAACATGTGGCCTGGCCAGGCTATGACCCTCAAGGTCAAGGAGGTACTCCACCACGAGAAGAGCAAGTACCAGGACGTCCTCATCTTCGAATCGACCGACTACGGCACCGTCCTCGTTCTTGACAACGTCATCCAATGCACCGAGCGCGATGAGTTCTCGTACGTTTTATCACGTTACAAGCGGAGTACGTCCACATGGCTGATGTCGGAATAGATACCAGGAAATGATCACCCATCTTGCCATGAACGCCCACCCCAACCCTGAGAAGGTCTTGGTCATCGGCGGTGGTGACGGTGGTGTGCTTCGTGAGGTTGTCAAGCACGACTGCGTGAAGGAGGCCGTCCTTTGCGACATCGATGAAGCCGTCATTCGTCTCTCCAAGCAGTACCTCCCTGGCATGTCGGTCGGCTTCGACCACCCCAAGACCACCACAATCGTTGGCGACGGCTTCAAGTTCCTCGAGGACAAGAAGGGCGAATTCGACGTTATCATCACTGATTCTAGTGATCCAGAGGGCCCTGCGGAAGCTCTCTTCCAGAAGGCCTACTTCGAGCTTCTCAATGGCGCCCTCCGTGAAGGTGGTGTCATTACCACGCAAGGTTGTAAGCCCCCTCGTAGACTCTAAAGCCTTGTGCATGCATTGCAGAAATCACCCATGCACCGGAAAGGTGCTTCTTGGTACATTGGCTAACATTTTGCTTCATCGTATAGCTGAGAACCAGTGGCTTCACTTGTCACTCATCGCCAACCTCAAGAAGTCGTGCAAGGAGGTCTTCCCCAGCGTCGAATACGCCTACACCACAATCCCTACCTATCCCTCCGGCCAGATTGGCTTCATGGTTTGCAGCAAGGACGCCAACCGCAACCTGAAGAAGCCACTCCGCAGCTGGTCTGCCGAGGAGGAGGAGCAGCTGTGCAGGTACTACAGCAAGGAGATCCACGAGGCCTCTTTCGTGCTGCCCACCTTCGCCCGCAAGGCGCTCAGATGAGGAACCGATCACAATGCTTCCTGTCATCGCGTACCCATCAATTACGACCAACTAGATACCACGACATGTAAACCACGGTCAAAAAGTGAAATATTCATGAACCTATTAGGGCGTACAAGCCGGCAGCTTTTACGATAACAAATGTCCAATTTCTGGATAGGCGTTTAAAATACACTACATTGGCCAAAATCAACTCTCCATTGGGTGCAACCTCCAGTCTGCTCACCTGCGTTTTGTCTTTGGTTTTAATGTTCCTTGTGGTTGTTCCTAGTCTAAATTGCACGCAGCCACAGCACGATTCAAGATTCACCAGTGGCACAGAATACACCCGCAACACAAAGTCTTGGCTCTCATGTCGAATGCCCCACAGACCCGCGATATCAAGCTGTTATTGTAAAGTGAATATTCGGCAGTTGAATGTCTCAAGCAGCTTAACGAAATCAGAGGGTTACGCACCTGTCTCGAAGTACATCTAGGGCTAGTGACATGCGCGAGTTTCAGATTATAGCCTCATTTCCTTACAGAATGCGACACAGGGGCAAGCTTCGTTGACGAAAATGAGCCCATTTTCCATCCTTTCTTAAGCGTGCTGAGCTGTTCCATTTCCACTTCTTGGTACATTCAAGGTGTACTGTGTATGATCGCCATGGGTTACCGGTTCAAGCGGCGGAGACCTTATGCAAGATAGCTCTGCTCGACGAGTATACCGAGGAATTGAGCATTTGGTAAGAACAACGCGTCTCGTCTCCACTTTCATGGAACTGGAAAGCCACTTCGAAGCAACGAAGCCAACTTCTGCCACAAGATAAGCCTGCACTTAGCTTGTTTCGTCGTTGAAGCATCCTGATCTCCCCAAGGAAGAGCCGGCTAAGCGGCATTGCTGAGGCTCGAGTATGACATTGCCTTCGGTCATTTCGCCAGCTGCGGCGTCATATTGATGCGATACCGAGATATAAGCCTTGATTCGAGTCTCGAAGGCGAGAAGCGCTTATCAACAAGGGAAGTGATGAACAACAGAGGATTCTGACACGTGGTGGCAATGGTCATGGAGCGGACCATGCCTTGAAAGACAGGCTGACTGGTACATCTGGACCGCCCGCGGCGTTGTCGTCTGCTTCAACACCGTAGTCGACTGAAGCTTCGTTCTATCTTTGGTCGCTGCTCCGGCGGAGACCCACGAGTGTGTGACAGGTCTGGTGTCAGGTCCTTCTCGCGAGCTAGCCGCCAGGGACCTGAGATCCCCTCGTTTGAGGCTGGCGCGTAGGATCGTGATGTGGCTCTGCTCTGTATAGTAGTAGCAGAGAGTTGCGCACATGTTAAGAGTGAAGATAGCCTTGCTGCAACACGCCTAGTGCCTGCTGCAAGCTTCACGACTTCCCTTTGCTGCTCTTCTTCGTTGCCCCGTGGCCTACGGTCGTGTACGGTCACCTATCTTCTTGTCTTCCTACGTTTTTATAGATTGAGCGGGCCTCTTCGTTTACGATATTGAATTCCTTCCACGGACAGTTACGCGGGTTCCTAGAAGTCACGTCGCGGTACCCAGCCTCAGCGTCGCTGGCATCCATCACACACCGAGAGGCCTCACGACTCGCACACACGCAGTAGCCACGATCCATCGCTTCGTTTCTCGTCGCCTTACTTCGTCAGTTTAATTTAATAATTATATAGCAACCAAACGTCTGGCTACGTTTGCTTTTCGCTGTACATACTTCCCTCGGCAGCACTTCTAATCCCGCCGAGTGATACTGCGTCCTCCAAAGTCTGCAAGCAGCACTCTCTCGCGGGATATTGTCATCATTTGCGCATTCGGCTGGCGCGCCTCTCGGAAAAACAGTTAATTAAGCGACCATGATACGCAACACGATTGAGATTGGGGAGCCGTTTAGTCCGGCTAAGATTCATCCGCTCTTGTCCCCACAACCCAACAAGAGTTCCTCCGACCTTAACCCCGTCGATGCATCATTAAGCAATCTCACCCGCCCTACTCCGCAGCCTCCGCAGACCAACGTCCACAGCCCTCAGGACGCGCCGTATAATGCTTCATCGGTAGCAACTACAGAAATAGGCGGTGCGCCCGCAGCATCCGGATCCGAAACACAGCCAGCTATTCTGACACCAGACGAGTCAGCTCGGGACGAACAACCGGCTGTTATCAGCACCTCGTCGTCGATTGAAAACCTCACGGTTCTACCGCGTGTGCCTTCATTTCAAGAGCACCGCAACCGGAAACACCATAAGAACGCTTATTCCTTCGACTCAGCAATACCCCGCCAGACCATACTCAAAGCGCTGCAATCACGGCCACCGACGACACAGTCCATGGATACAGTACTGATGGAGGAAACGAGAGACGAGGGCAAGACCCAGCGGTCAAAGAGCATCACCCACCAGCGGTTGGCAGACGCGCTCTCAGAGCTCAAGCTACACTCGGACGATGTCACTGCAAGCAAGATGGCTGCGCTCGCATCACCATGTTTCTTCCACAAGAAGTTCGACAAGGCGGTCAACTTGGATAAAGTGTTGGAGGAAATGGCCGACGACGACACAATATCGCACTCGAGACTCATGCAGACGGCATTTAGTGTCCGCGAGGTCTCGAAGCAGCTCCAGCGCCGCCCCATCAAGATGACGGTGCGAAATGTTATGATTGTAACAAAGGCCCGCGACAATAACCTCGTATACCTCACACGCGAGCTGGCAGAATGGCTACTCACAACTTCTCGCTATGGCTCAGACGTGGGAGTGAACGTCTACGTCGATCACAAACTGCGCAAATCCAAGCGCTTCGATGCACCCTCTCTACTAGCCAAAGACGAGAGATTTGAAAGCATGCTTCGCTGGTGGACACCAGACCTTTGCTGGGAATCTCCGGAGTTCTTTGACCTTGTGCTGACGCTGGGGGGAGATGGCACAGTCCTATTCACCTCCTGGCTTTTCCAGCGCATCGTTCCGCCTATCTTATCCTTCTCCCTGGGAAGCCTGGGTTTCCTTACAAACTTCGAATTTGCACAGTACCAGCCTGCCTTGAATAAGATCATGACAGAGACTGGTATGCGAGTAAACTTGCGCATGCGCTTCACCTGCACCGTGTATCGCTACCAGAAGAACGATGCCCCTGGTGCACCTCAACACATCGAGGCAGAGCAATTTGAAGTTCTGAATGAGCTTGTTATCGACCGCGGCCCATCACCCTACGTGTCCAACCTTGAGCTCTATGGCGACAACAACCTCCTCACTGTTGTACAAGCAGACGGCTGCATCTTCTCCACTCCCACTGGCTCAACAGCATACTCCCTCTCCGCAGGCGGCTCCCTCGTTCACCCTGACATCCCAGCCATCCTACTCACACCCATCTGCCCACACACACTGTCCTTCCGGCCCATGCTCCTAAACGACAGCATGCTCCTCCGCATCGCCGTGCCCCTCAAGTCACGTGCTACCGCCTACTGCGCCTTTGACGGCAAAGGCCGCGTCGAGCTTCGTCAAGGGGACCACGTCACCATCGCCGCTTCGCAATACCCTTTCCCTACCGTGCTGTCGCAACCGACTGAGTGGTTTGATAGCATTAGTCGCACGCTCAGATGGAACTCGCGTGGTGCGACCCAAAAGGCGTGGGATGGTGATGAGAATGGCGAGGCAGAAGAGAACAAAGAGCCAGACTTTGATATCGATTTCGATGACGATGATCTTGATCGAGATTCGGGGTATAGTGCTGAAGGCTCGACGGCTGATGGAAGGGGAAGCCCTATGCGGAAGGGAGTCGTCCTGCCATTCATGTAGCTCCATCTTCTAGACCTGGGGTCTTTATTCCCGCTGCTGCTTGGGCGGGTCCCAGTGGTTCTTTACCTGGGGTGGTTTGCTTCGTCATATTCTTAACTTTGCCTAGACCTGCTCTGGATAGCTTCTCTTTTGTTTCCATAAAGATGGACTGCACATATGATTGTTGAAGGCGATGCTCGTTATATGATATCCTAGAACGCATGTAGAAGCTTGATCATTTACATTAAGAGGAGAGAATAGGGAGACACAATCGAACGATTTTGAATGACGAGGCTGCTGCCTGTCAGAAGAAAGTTTGACCGCCACTGCCATAATCATCTTGCTTCTGTGTTCTCCTTTTAGGTGCATGCTTATCATTTCCAGTGACGACGTCTGGTATGCTTAGACCAATTCTGCATAACTTAATTTGAATACCCATTGTCCGAGACATCTCCGTGCTCGAGCCATCTCACGTGATATGCATCGCTGCCATTTATTAGCATGGAGATGATCTGCATGTTCGCGTGTCTCAAGTTGCGATCTGCACTGCATGTGCTACAGAGGGATAGAAGTCTGAGCGAAAGGGTCGATCTGCTTGTGGCCACAGTGTGGCGTGTGGAGAAGACCTTGAACTAAGGATTGAAAGAAGTAGACTACCTGGGGTTAAAGGATCCCAAGTCAAAGTAGGCCGTGTGAGAGAGTGAAACTTTACCATGTTGTGATAACACGCTACCACTGTAAACATCTTAACCCAAGCACTGGTCATCTCGGAGCTAGCCGTCTGGCTCAAGTCAAAGTCTAAACTGGACGGCAGTCGGCGTGAACAGTCGTTCTAAGATATCGCAATCACCGGCGTGTGGCTGAGGAATTACTTCGTACGAGTTCTATTCTTGATAAGCCGCTCTACCTTCCGAAGCCCTGTTTAGACCGGATAGTGCCCGCTCACGGAATGTCGCTACTAGGCGCTATCCGGATCCTAAGCTATAAGTGGGTACCGTGTCGCAGTCAGAGGAAGATCAGGCACGCTTGCATTGAAGAGATCCACCAGACACGTTTTGCGTTCGACGGCGAGGGCGGCAAGGAATGTTAGGAGACAAGAAGAAGCGGAGTGCTCAAGTGCACGGCTAGTTCGTGCCAGTGCGGTGACCAGACCTTCAAGCAGATGTCTCAAAAAAGCTTCCCTGCTCAACAATCCAAAGTTTAAATGGCCATTGTATGAATCGCACCCACTCCATGGAAGCATGCCAATGTCCTATCTAGACTGTAAACGGACTAGCGCAGTGGGTCTGAAAATCGCCTTGGCCAACATCATGCAAGCATCCACCACACAGATACCAAAGCCTTCTAGCCTTACCACGCAACGCCCTCGGGCTAAATTTGCAGATTAATAAGAGAAACTTGAGCACAGGGCGAAACAGAAGCCAAGTATCACAGAAAATTTCTCGAAAACCAGAAGCAAGGCAAAGAAAGGACAAAGGGATCACCCATCGGCCCTTCCTTCGGTCACATTCCCCGCTATCCGATTCGTACCATTCGCAAACGGCCCTGATGACGACGTGAGAAGCTAATCTCTGTTCTACAGCGATCCTTCCGCCTTCATGGAACGTCTCTTTTCTTAACTCTTATATGCCTTTTTTCGCCGATTGAGGCGCGATATGTTGTAGGGTTGCGAACTGGCGACCGATTGTGGATACCAACTAGACGAATCAGCTACAGGCATGACGACCCCACGAAGAAAGGCGTGCGTCGAGTGCCGCCAGCAAAAGGTACCTCCCACGTGCTGTAAACACTCGCACGAAGCTGTCATAACGCGCTCAATCGCTGACTCTGCAGATTCGATGTGATGTCGAGCAACACAAAGTACCGCATGACCCGTGTGGACGCTGTAGAAAGATGGGCCTCGAGTGCAGGATTCTGCCTACATCGACTAGGAATCTCCGGCAGACAAAAGCAGAGATGCGACGAGAGCTCGAAGAATTGCGATGGAACATGAGGCAGAATGGAGCCCAGCCAGGTGATGCGAATTACCCTAATTCGGTCGCGTCGCCAAACGTCGACATGCAAAACTACACCCCGCATGAGCACGCTTCAGGAACATATTCAGACCCATCTGCCAGGACAGATGGCTCCAACTCACTTTCGCCAGCTTTCGAGTCGAGACCACCCACGAGAAAGGGGTCAGATAATCGTGCTACGCTTCCACGCGCCATGGACGGATACATGCTCGATTCGAGAAGGATCGACGACTGCTTCACTCTGTAAGGTACTCAAGGACTCCATGTTACAATCAGCTGACAATCAATCCTGGTAGATTCTTCACACAATATCATCCTCTTTTTCCCATTCTGGACCCCTCTTTGGCGCCCAATGATTATTATGAGCTATCACCTTTCGTCTTCTGGGCTATCGTCGTCACGGGATCAAGAAGATACTCGGAAGATCCGACGATACTTGATAAGACAAGTCAGCTCATCACTCCACTCGCATTCTCGTCCATGGCTCTGCGATCTTCCCAAATCCCGGTTATTCAGGGACTCTTGATCCTTTCCACTTGGCGACTACCAACAAACTCCATGTACAAGGATATGACTCACCTCCTGTGTGGCTCTGCAGTACATCTAGCCACCCAGATTGGATTACATATCTCTGGCGTAGGCCAGGACTTCGCAAGGATGCCAATCAAGCAAAATCAAGATTTGAAGATCTCTCGAGCCAGGCTATGGCTTTGCTGCGTCATCGTTTCTATAAGGTATTAGCGAATCACATTTGATGCAAGACTATTGCTAACCCATTCTAGAACCAGTTGCGCTGAAGGTATACCGCCTCTTGCAGAGTCTTTCTTCGACGGCGACGAACGTAATCGTGAAGACATGGTTCCGTATCTTCCGGTTGACCTGCAGTACCTGCACAAGGTCTTTATCATCCTCCTTCGTGCCATGGTAGCGATGGGTAAAACCAATCTGCAATCCACCAATTGCGATGTCCGCGTGCTGCGATCACTTATCAGCATTTTCGACTCGCAGCTACTTAACTTGGCACCATCTTCTCCAAGCGATCTTGGTACGTCAAAATGTCCTGCGCTATGACGCTGGTGCTAACCGAGTAGACACTCTCCAACTCAACTGTGCTCGCATTCATGTTAGGGCCTTCCACTTTTTTGCCTACCCAACCAGCCCAGGTCCGGACGCAGACGGCTTTTCTCGCTTTTACTCACTCTGTGTTTCAGTAATCCAAGCAGCCACCACTATGACCATGACGCAGCAGACGGCCTTCGCGTCCGTCTCACAGTCTTTCATCGACAGGACAATCACACTCGCCGGATTCACCATTCTCAGGCTTATTCGAAGTCCGCTCGCTCAACATCTGGACCTTGCTGCTGGTGAGCAAGCATTCTTCCAGGCTGTACAGTTTCTTAAGAACGTTTCTTTGCAGCAAGGAGATATCGGTGTCAGGACCGCCCTCATCATGAATGATCTGTGGGGCAGCAACAGGGTCTTCCGTAGAAAGGACGGTCGCACCGATTCACTCGGTCTGAGACTAAGGACACGACTAAGCATGAGTGTCAGCTACGACATGTTCTGGTACTGGCGAGAAGAATTTGGTCATATGCAGAATCCTTACAACGGCGACGAACCGATTCTTCCCTCCAACGACGCGACCCAGCCCACTACACCTCGTAAGTAATTCTCTTTCTTCTCATCTTCAGACCGCTGACAAACAGACCAAGCATATGTTTCAAATCAAGCTCAGGGGCTTTCAGACGCCACAGTACGGTCGCAACCCCCAGTAAACAAGTTCGATCCTAGCTTGGTGAATCCCCAGCTACAGCCAGATCCAACTGGTATGAGCTTTGACGCCTGGGATGGCTCCGAATACAGCGTACCACCGATGTTGGATCAATTCCCTGACTACGACTGGGCAGCTGGTTATGATTTCTCGAATAGCGACTTTCCAACTATTCCAGGTGGCCCAATGAACCCAATCATGCCCGGTAACGGTAGCGGGGCCAACATGGGCTATACGTTTGGTTGAGCGTGGTGTGTGCGACTGAGATGAACGCCACGGCAGGACCTTCTTAAGCCGCCGATCTGGAGCGACTGGAGGTTCTCCCAAAAACGCGTCACCTATATTAGCACTTATGCAAAACAAGGGCCTTTGAGCATCCTCAGGTACCGCGATCATCACTCTGCCAACCACGACTTCCTTCCGCTCCCGACACCGTCACTTTGAAATCTGGTCTGAGGAATACCTTCGAAGGCACCGCCGTGGAGCTCGACCATTGTTTGGAAGCGTTTCTTGCCGTGTTTGCGAGAAGCTTGGAGGATACCAGCAACCTTCTTAGATTGCCTCTCCATGGCGATGAACTGAAACTTGAACCCCCATTAACCAATCCGAAGGCAATTGCCCTCCAGATCGATCGAGATATCTGCACCATCATTGGCCAGCTAGTAGAACGCTGGGTCAGTGGTTCGATTATAGAGAGTACAAGGGAGGGCGAATTACGACTGAAAATGAAGGCAAGGGTTTCCGCGCATAGGTATTACACCCCACAGTTTGGGGGCCGATAATAGTCTCCATGCGCAATGAACCGACGCCGAACGATGTTACGGCTACGACGATATTGAAACCAATTAGAATCTTCCAGGGAATTGCGGGTTGGTGTACTCGAGGCAATGCACGCCCATGGCTTCGTTAGAGTGAGTATGCGTGTATGACGTACGGGCTGGAGCAAGCTGTATGAATGTTAGCCTCTCATGAAAAGAAGAATTCTGCATGTGATTACAGCATCAGTATCAATTATTACTTTTCCTCAACTCTAGTCCTTGCCGTACACATTAGCTTTCGCGGAAGGTTTAGTTTCGCGCAGAAGCAAGGTTGTCGATTGTCCTATATCACTGTTAACCAAAATCTCTACCCTACACAGTCGCTCCACGCTCACCTCTTCTCATCTTGTTCTCGAGGTGTCTATTCTGAAAAGACAAACACCCCTCACCCGCGTTATCGACCGACCAGCTAACACAGTACGAAATCCTGGAATGCCAATTTCGAAGCCTTCGACTTCACGATAGACATCGCAAGGGATCTACTATATCAAGTTTGATCCCATAAATTGTCAAAGGAGAAGCGTCGAAATCTGGTCCGAAGTTGATGAATGCTTCCAGCCGTGCTATAAACTATAAGAGAGAGAGAAATTCCCGGATCTGCGGTACGTTGAGAGGTGGTGGTATTCATCAGGCCGCAGTCGGGGAATCTGATGTACAGGGCTATTACACCGAAGAACGTTGGGCTCTCGGCAACGGTCGGCGAGTGGGAGAGAGGTGAATCTAGTGGGCGGAAGGCGGAGAGACTTGTCAAGGGTTCGTAGAAGTGTCAGCGGTGAGCCGTTGACTGTGTCGTTTTTGGTTAGATGGGCCGAAATGGATACCTGCGTTGAGTCGTCGATGTGTATGTTTTGCGGGGGGATTGAGTAATGAGAGGATATGCTCCATCTTGACGAACATGGAATTGCCAGAGTTGACACCTCTTGTGCAAACAAGAAGACTATACTGTGTTGCCAACGTCAACAAAGATCGGAGTTATTTTTCCGACTATTCAAGGCAACGCAGATTTGTTGGAGTTATACACAGTAGGTAGCCCCTCGTATATATTCGCTACCCCTCCATGCATTGTTGCGTCGTCGCAAGTTAGCCACGCATTACCAACACCCAAGGATCCTTACCACAGATCATGGCCGCGCGCATACATCATCCCGATCGCCCCCTCATCGGCCAAACACTTGGTCTACCACAAAAACATCCCATTTCCCGATCTCCTTGAATACTTTTGAGCAAGTGAGACGTCTCGCTGCGCTTGCATCGGCCAGGCTGCCGGCGAACATCGGCGTGCGGCGGTACGCCCCAAACATCGCGGGGGCGGATGGACGTCGCACCTAATCTAGATGTTCTAGATGGTAGAGCGACAGGGCTTTCTGGAGGCGGACTACGTGTAGCGGCTACGGGTTCCGCGCCGTCAATAGTCGCTCCGTGTCTATCGTATGAGAAGGAATAAAAATGTGTGCGAGGTGAGATTTCGGGGGGAATGTGACGAGTCGCTGGCTGGCTAGTGGGTTCGTTTGCTTTGTACTCCCTTCCTTCTTGAAGAGTGGGGATCTAAAGCGTACATATAAGGTTGAGGTCGTCGAAGTTGCCCGGCCCGAGGTTACAGTAGTCAGTACCTCAAAGGTCGTACATTTGTTCCATCCCTATTGACATCCTCGCGTTTGCCCCGGATCTGAGAATTGGAAAAGAGTTGGAGGTGATCAATTGAAAATGGGTTCAACGAGCGCGCACAATGGCGACAGGAGACCGACAGCCGTCGAGAGGTTGAGGAATATGCTGGCGGATCCGGAGAAATTCATTGCGTGTCCTGGTGTGTACGATGGGTTCACGGCACGGATTGCACTGAGAGAAGGTGTGGATTGTCTGTACATGGTACGTGTGATGTGGTACCTCCCATGACCATTCCAAGAACCCAATCCTAAACACCATGAATATAGCCACTAACACAAATAGACTGGCGCGGGAACCACAATGTCCCGCCTAGGCATGGCTGACATGGGCATCGCCACACTAAACGACATGTTAGCCAACGCCTCCATGATCGCCAACATCGACCCATCCGTCCCCCTCATAGCAGACGCCGACACGGGTTACGGCGGCCCTATAATGGTCGGCCGCACCGTCTCGCAATACATCCGCGCCGGTGTCGCAGGCCTGCACCTCGAAGACCAAGTCGTCAACAAGCGGTGCGGCCACCTACCGGGAAAGCAGCTTGTCGACGTGCAAGAGTTCGCGAGCAGGATCCGAGCAGCCAAGTTGGCGCGAGACCAGTCCGGGGGCGATGTCGTGATTATTGCACGGACAGACGCGTTGCAGGGCAATGGGTACGAGGAAGCCATCGCGCGCCTGCGAGCTGCGATTGCAGAGGGTGCAGATGTTGCGTTTCTCGAAGGCGTGCACTCGAGAGAAGAAGCAGAGAGATCTTGCAGGGACCTTGCGCCTACGCCGTGTCTTTTCAATAACGTCCCCGGTGGTCTGTCTCCTAACCTCGGTGTCCAGGCGTGTAGAGAGGTCGGATTCAAGATTGCCATTTTCCCGTGTGTTGCCCTCGAGATGGTATATCCGGCGGTTAGGAGGGCGATGCAACAATTGAAGGAACTGGGGAATGTGGAGAGCTTTGAGGCAGATGGGAGGAGGTATGGGCCCAAAGAGTTGTTCCAGGTGTGTGGGTTGGATGAGATGGTAGACTTTGATGTTCAGGCTGGTGGCACATCGTATCAGAACGGTACATGAGCTCACAAACGTGTAAATAGGCAGGATGTAAAGCTGCTTAATATCTAATACTATATATTAATTAATTCCTTTAACGTATCATACAGGCGAGTCAGTCGCCTAGTTAAGTTAGTTACAATGCTAAAACCTTACTAAAATTAGTAATTTTTTACTATTAAACGCGATGCTTTAACATAATAATATATAATTTTTTTAAAAAAAAAACTAAATATAACTTATAATTTAAGTTTTAAAATATAATATAAATTTTTCCTAATAAAAAGCTACACAGATTTATAGCATTTTTTAAATAATACTTAGTAATTAACTAAAAAAAAAACTTTTATAATATAATACTAGGCCTAATAAAATAAGGCTTTTTTTAATAAAAATAAAATAATTGTTTAGTATATATTCTACTTTAAAAACTAAAGATTTCTGCCTTAACTAGCTGCTATAAATAATATAACTAATATTTTGCTAGCTAAATATAGGCAACTACTTATTAGCAGGAACTAGGCTAGTATATTTATTAAATAATATTTATAGCTTAGTACTAAAACTTTTTAAAAATATAATTACTAAAAAATTTTATATAAAGATCTTAAGCTTGTACAAAGCTAGTTCTAATTTATAAAAAATATAAAAACTAAATATAATATTTAAAATAAAAATATATATAATTTTAATAAAATAGGCTTTATAATAGGCTAGATATTATATAAAACTATTATTTTAAGTGCTAACTATTAAAAATAGCTAAAAATAGTACAGCAGAGTAATTAAAAGTAAGTAATAGTAATTTAAAGTATTAATATAATAAAATAAACTATTCTACTTTTTATTATTTTTATAGGCAAAAATTACTTTTTAGCCTAGTACAAAAAAAATAGCCTGCTCTATAATTAAATTATTATAGTTTTTAAAAATAGCTAAATAATAAATAACGTATCACACGGGCGAGTTAGTCGCCTAGTTAAGTTAATTATAATGCTAAGACCCTACTAAAATTAGTAGTTTTCTACTATTAAACATAATGCTTTAATATAACAACGTGTAATTTTTTTAAAAAGAAAACTAAATATAGCTTATAGTTTAGGCTTTAAAACGCAATGTAAATTTCTTCTAATAAAAGGCTACGCGGATTTATAGCGTCTCTTAAATAATACTTAGTAATTAACTAAAAGGAAAGCCTTTATAATACAATACTAGGCTTAATAAGATAAGGCTCTCTTTAATAGAAGAAGAGGTAATTGCCTAGTATATACTCTACTTTAAGGACTAAGGATTTCTGCTTTAACTAGCTACTATAAATAATATAGCTAATACTTTGCTAGCTAAATATAGGCAACTACTTATTAGCAGGAACTAGGCTAGTATATTTATTAGATAATATCTACAGCTTAGTACTAGGACTTTTTAAAAGTACAACTACTAAAAAGCTTTATATAAAGATTCTAAGCTTATATAAGGCTAGTTCTAACTTATAGAAAATATAAAGGCTAAGCATAGTATTTAAGATAAAGATATATATAACTTTAACAAAACAGGCTTTATAATAGGCTAGATATTATATAAAACTATTGTTTTAAGTACTAACTATTAAGGACAGCTAAAAATAGTGCAGCAAGGTAATTAAGAGTAGGTAATAGTAATTTAAGGCATTAACGTAATAAGGTAAGCTATTCTACTTTTTATTATTTTTATAGGCAAAAACTACTTCTTAGCCTAGTATAAGGAAGATAGCTTACTTTATAATTAAGTTATTATAGTTTTTAAGAACAGCTAGATAATAAATAAGCTTACTTTTAAGTAGTTAAAGCACTTTAACAAGCATACTAAGGGGAGGGTTATTAGTACCTATTATTTATTTATTATTAATAGTTATAAGAGCTACGCATTAGTCTAATTCTAGTAGTACTATAAAAAACAAAAGATTATTACTCTTTATATATTTTTATATTTATTGCACTTGCTATAGCTACTTAATATAGGTTGTTTTGCGCCTTTAAAGAAGGCGTATAAGTGCTAAGCTAAAAAGCTAATACATAATAGTATTAACTATATTACTAAAATTAAGTTTTTACTATGCTTTAAACTAGCTTTTAATGCTGCTATTATAAAAAGCAATATTTTAAGTAGCTTTAAAGGCGCTAGTTTAGTTCTTTTTAACTTTAAAGCTATAATATTAAAGCTTAATATCTAGTTGCGTATTCTACTACTATTTACTATTAAAGACAGTCCCTAGGAGTTAAAAACACTAAGCAATACTTTAAAATTTAAGTTTTAGTTAACGCTAGTTAAGATAAAAATTTAAAGGCACCTAAATAGTTCTTTTACTTTAATAGTTAAAGCTTTTAAAAAAGTTTTAAAAGGTGCAGCTATAGTTGCGTATAAGCTTATATTAGCGTAGAAAGAAATTGCTAAGCTTTAAGCAGCTAATAAAGCTGCTATGTAATAAAAATTGCATAAAAAAAAGCAAGTATAGAAAAAGAAGACTTTTATAGTAGAAAATAGTTTTTAACTAATAACTCTAAAAGAGTTTAGGGCGCGTAGTAATAGAAAAAAGGCAAAGAAGTAGGCGTATACTAAAGTAGGTAAGCCCTTTTAAAGGCGCTATAAATACTATAGTAAAGTTAAGTATAACGCGCAAATGTGCAAGTAAAAAGTAGAAGTAGTTTCTAAATAGATTAGCTTATTATAATTTACTGCTATAGTCTTTTATAGTGCTGTACTGTTGTGCATAGTACTAATTTTAGTAGGGTTTTAGCATTATAACTAACTTAACTAGGCGACTGACTCGCCCGTGTAATACGTTAAGTTTATTTTTAAGTAGTTAAAGTACTTTAATAAGCATACTAAAAAAAAAATTATTAGTATTTATTATTTATTTATTATTAATAGTTATAAAAGCTACGTATTAGTCTAATTCTAGCAGTACTATAAAAAATAAAAAATTATTACTTTTTATATACCTTTGTATTTATTGCACTTGCTATAGCTACTTAATATAAATTATTTTGCGCTTTTAAAAAAAGTGTATAAGTACTAAGCTAAAAAGCTAATATATAATAATATTAATTATATTACTAAAATTAAGTTTTTACTATACTTTAAACTAGCTTTTAATACTGCTATTATAAAAAGTAATATTTTAAGTAGCTTTAAAAGCGCTAGTCTAATTTTTTTTAACTTTAAAGCTATAATATTAAAACTTAATATCTAATTATATACTTTACTACTATTTACTATTAAAAATAGTTTTTAAAAGTTAAAAACACTAAGCAATACTTTAGAATTTAAGTTTTAATTAATACTAGTTAAAACAAAAATTTAAAAGCACTTAAATAGTTTTTCTACTTTAATAATTAAAGTTTTTAAAAAAAATTTAAAAAGTATAATGTATTACACAGGCGAGTTAGTTGCCTAGTTAAGTTAGTTACAATGCTAAGACCCTACTAAAATTAGTAGTTTTCTACTATTAAATGCAATATTTTAACATAATAACGTATAATTTTTTTAAAAAAAAAATTAAATATAGCTTATAGTTTAGGCTTTAAAATGCAATGCAAATTTTTTTTAATAAAAAGCTGCGCAGATTTATAGCGTTTCTTAAATAATACTTAGTAATTAATTAAAAAAAAAGCTTCTATAATACAATACTAGGCCTAATAAGATAAAGCTTTTTTTAATAAAAGAAAAAGTAATTGCCTAGTATATACTTTATTTTAAAAACTAAAGATTTCTGCCCTAACTAGCCGCTGTAAATAATATAGCTAATACTTTGCTAGCTAAATATAAGTAATTACTTATTAGCAGGAACTAGGCTAGCACGTTTATTAAATAATATTTATAGCTTAGTACTAGGACTTTTTAAAAGTATAACTATTAAAAAATTTTATATAAAAATTTTAAGCTTGTACAAGGCTAGTTTTAATTTATAAAAAATATAAAAGCTAAGTATAGTATCTAAAATAAAAATATATACAACTTTAATAAGACAAGCTTTATAATAAGCTAGATATTATATAAAACTATTATTTTAAGTGCTAACTATTAAGGACAGCCAAAAATAGTATAGCAGGGTAATTAAAAGTAAGTAATAGTAATTTAAAGTATTAATATAATAAAGTAATCTATTTTATTTTTTATTATTTTTATAAGTAAGAATTATTTTTTAGCCTAGTATAAAGAAGATAGCCTGCCCTATAATTAGGTTATTACAGTTTTTAAAAATAGCTAAATAATAAATAAGCTTACTTTTAAGTAGTTAAAGCATTTTAATAAGTATACTAAAAAAAAAGTTATTAGTACTTATTATTTATTTATTATTAACAGTTATAAGAGCTACGCATTAGTCTAATTCTAGCAGTACTATAAAAAATAAAAGATTATTACTTTTTATATGCTTTTGCATTTGTTGCACCTATTATAGTTATTTAATATAAGTTATTTTGCGCTTTTAAAAAAAGCGTATAAATACTAAGCTAAAAAGCTAATGCGCAATAATATTAATTATATTACTAAAATTAAGTTTTTACTGTATTTTAAACTAGCTTTTAATGCTATTATTATAAAAAGCAATATTTTAAATAGCTTTAAAAATACTAGTCTAGTTTTTTTTAACCCTAAAGCTATAATATTAAAGCTTAATATTTAATTGCGTATTTTATTATTACTTACTATTAAAAATAGTCCTTAGGAGTCAAAAATACTAAGCAATACTTTAAAATTTAGGTTTTAGTTAACGCTAGTTAAAATAAGGATTTAAAAGCACTTAAATAGTTTTTTTATTTTAATAGTTAAAACTTTTAAAAAAATTTTAAAAAGTGCAACTATAGTTGTGTATAAGCTTATATTAGTGCAAAAGGAAATTGCTAAGCTTTAAATAGCTAATAAAGCTGCTATATAATAAAAATTATATAAAAAAAAGCAAATATAAAAAAAAAAACTTTTATAATAAAAAATAGTTTTTAATTAATAATTTTAAAAAAGTTTAAAGCGCGTAGTAATAAAAAAAATAAAAAAATAAGTATATACTAAAGTAAGTAAACTTTTTTAAAAGCACTAATATATTACACAGGCAAGTTAGTTGCCTAGTTAAGTTAGTTATAATACTAAGACCTTACTAAAATTAGTACTATACACAATAGTATAGCATTATAGAAAACTATAGCAGTAAATTATAATAAGCTAATTTATTTAAAAACTATTTTTACTTTTTGCTTGTATATTTGCGCGTTATACTTAGCTTTACTATAATATTTATAGCGCTTTTAAAAAAGCTTACCCGCTTTAGTATATATTTATTTTTTTACTTTTTTTCTATTACTACGCGCTCTAAACTCTTTTAAAATTATTAATTAAAAACTATTTTTTACTATAAAAGTTTTTTTTTTTTATATTTACTTTTTTTTATATAATTTTTATTATATAGCGGCTTTATTAGCTACTTAAAGCTTAGCAATTTTTTTTACACTAATATAAGTTTATACACAATTATAGCTATACTTTTTAAATTTTTTTTAAAAGCCTTAACTATTAAAGTAAAAAAACTATTTAAATACTTTTAAATTTTAATTTTAACTAATATTAATTAAAACTTAAATTTTAAAATATTACTTAGTATTTTTAACTTTTAAAAACTATTTTTAATAGTAAGTAATAGTAAAGTACGCAATTAAATATTAAGTTTTAATATTATAGCTTTAAAATTAAAAAAAACTAGACTAGCGCTTTTAAAGCTATTTAGAATATTACTTTTTATAATAGCAGTATTAAAAACTAGTTTAAAATACAGTAAAAACTTAATTTTAATAATATAGTTAATGTTATTGCGCATTAGCTTTTTAGCTTAGCACTTATATATTTTTTTTAAAAGTATAAAATAATTTATATTAAATAGCTATAGCAGGTGCGACAAATGCAGAAGCATATAAAAAATAATAATTTTTTATTTTTTATAGTACTGCTAAAATTAGACTAATGCGTAGCTTTTATAACTATTAATAATAAATAAATAATAAGTATTAATAACTTTCTTTTTAGTATACTTATTAAAGTGCTTTAACTACTTAAAAATAAATTTATTTATTATTTAGCTATTTTTAGAAACTGTAATAATTTAATTATAAAGCAGGCTATTTTTTTTATATTAGGCTAAAAAGTAGTTCTTGCCTATAAAAATAATAAAAAGTAAAATAGTTTACTTTATTATATTAATACTTTAAATTACTATTACTTATTTTTAATTATTTTGCTACACTATTTTTAGCTGTTTTTAATAGTTAGTACTTAAAACAATAGTTTTATATAATATTTAGCTTATTATAAAGCTTATTCTATTAAAATTGTACATATTTTTATTTTAAATATTATATTTAGCTTTTATATTTTTTATAAGTTAAAACTAGCTTTATATAAGCTTAAAATTTTTATATAAAGTTTTTTAATAATTGTATTTTTAAAAAGTTTTAATACTAAACTATAAATATTATTTAATAAACGTGCTAGCTTAGTTTTTACTAATAAATAATTGCTTATATTTAGCTAGCAAAGTATTAGCTATATTATTTATAGCAGCTAGTTAGGGCGGAAATTTTTAGTTTTTAAAATAGAATATATACTAAGTAATTACTTTTTTTTTTATTAAAAAAAGCCTTATTTTATTAGGCCTAGTATTATATTGTAAAAGTTTTTTTTTTAGTTAATTACTAAGTATTATTTAAAAAATGCTATAAATCTGCGTAGCTTTTTATTAGGAAAAATTTATATTATATTTTAAAACTTAAATTATAAGTTATATTTAGTTTTTTTTTTAAAAAAATTATATATTATTATATTAAAGCATCGCGTTTAATAGTAAAAAATTACTAATTTTAGTAAGGTCTTAGCATTGTAACTAATTTAACTAGGCAACTAACTCGCCTGTGTAATATATTATAAATATTATAGTAAAGCTAAATATAATGCGCAAATATATAAGCAAAAAATAAAAATAATTTTTAAATAAATTAGTTTATTATAATTTACTATTATAGTTTTCTATAGTGCTATACTATTATATATAGTACTAATTTTAGTAGGATTTTAGTATTATAATTAACTTAATTAAGCAACTAACTTGCCTGTGTAATATATTATATTTAATTTTTTTTAAAAAAATTGCACATTATTATATTAAAGTATTATATTATATTATAAATATAGTTTAAATTTTAGTAGAGTTTTAGTAAGGTGCGCAGCTCGCCTAGGCGCGCAGCTTGCCTATATAATATATTAGAATTTAAAGTTAATTATATATTTTAATAAAGCAAAGCTATAAAATTTAATTTAATATTATAGTTGCTGCTTAGATAATTTTATTTATTAGTATATTAGGCTAGCCTTTTACAATTTGTAGAATCTAACTAATAAGTATTTCTTGCTATAATAAAACTTTATGGCCTTAATTGACCAAAAGCTAGTCTTTCGTTATTTCTCCTAATTTGATTGCACAATGTAAAGACTCATCTGCCACAGGAATTACTCACCGGGATGTCTATCACGGGTATCTGATTGCTTCAGAAACTATGAACTTTCAAGTGGTCCGCATTTACATCTCCTCACACTTGACTACCGGTCATACATGCACCATACACTCAAGTTTGAGCTCATCATCTCTGCATGCATTCAGTTATCCCGGCTTGCCTTTAACAATCACTAGCGATGTAGACAGATACATCGTATCTTGAGTATAGGTCTAGCCGCAAATAGTCGATAGAAGAGACTCGTACTTATCCTTCCAGTAGTTGGCATCTCCATTCGCACCCACACCGTTGGACTGAGAAGTCTTGGCCGCGATGAGTTCGAGCTTCAGACCTTTGATCACGTCTTCCTTGTGGAGCGCATCCTTGCGATACTGTTCAGCTTGCTTGTACGTCGGAAGCATTTCCTGGTATTCCTTGTAGGAACGCTACACACACATTAGTCTCTACCCGCTGCATACGTTGATGGTGATATGTGCTTACTTTAGCTAGATCAGTCCACTCTTGAAGAGCACTCTCAAGGCTGGTCTTCCTCGCCTCGAGGCGACTTATCTGCTCCTCCAAAGCCTTCTTCTCCTGGTCCGAAATTGGAGGGCCACTAACAGGGAACGCTGCACGGCCGGCCTGGAGCTCATCGATTGTGGTCTCGAGCTTCGAGTTTTCAGCCTTGAGGATAGCCAGAGCTTGCACCGCCCTCTTGTTTTCGCCTTGCTTAGAGAGGAGATCATTGTTCTCCATCTCCAAGTCCTCAACCTCCTGATTGAGCTTTTTGACCTTTCCATGAAGAGCATTGAGCTCGGTTGTGGCTCGGTTACTGTCGATCTTCGCCGTACTCAGCTCGGTAGTGAGACGTTGGGCTTGCTCCAAGAGGTTTGACTTCACTGCGACAAGTTCTGCATTCTGCTTCTCGAGCTCGGGAAGCTTGGCGAGTTGCTGATTCAGTTCATGGTTCTCTTTCTGGAAGCGTCCGATATCAGTATTCAGGGTATCATTCTTCTTAGCCAACTCGGTGAGCTTCTGAGTACGATGTTAGCCTAAAGTTGGTAGTCTACGGCATGCATCGACATACTGTGAAAGCCTGCGCATGCTCGGCAGATTGCTCCTTGTACTTCTCGGTAAGTGCCTTATTCTCGAGCTTGACTTTGTCTGCCTCCATCCTAGCCGTACTGTTGCCGTTTTTCATCGTGTTGATCGCGGCACTGAGACTTGTGGTCTTCTGCGTCTCCTTCGCTAGTTGATCTGCCGTGGCCTGGATCTCCGCTGTAAGACGACCAGTGATTTGTTGCTCAGTGGTCTTCATTTTCTCTTGAAAGTCACTGAGGGCGTTGCGAAGGGTCTCGGTTTCTGTAACGAGCTGTTGCTTAGATGCCGCAAGTGTTTCGAGCTCCTTCTGCAGAGCATCGGCCTTCTGGAGATCTTCAGCCCTCGTAGTCATCTCCTTCTCAAGCAAATGCTTGTATTTGTCGACCTCGGTGCGGAAATTGCCCTTCTCCAATGTAAGGCGGGAGACTCGCTCCTGGAAGTCTTCGACCTCTTTGAGCTTTGCGGCAGTCTGCGTCTTGTACTCTAGGAAGGCCTCCTGGTGCTCAAGGATGAGATTGTGCTGAATGTTGACTTTCTTGTGCTGAATGTTCAACTCCTCTTGTGTCTCTCGGATCGTGTCGTTCATCATCGAAGCGTGATATAGACTCATGCTGTTCCTTTGTTTCTCCAAGAACGCAGGCAAGGCGGCCTTGGCTTCATTTGCGGCAGCGAAAAGCTGCTCGAGCTGGAGCCAGAGGTCTTCGACGGTCTTCAGGTCCGTCGCATTGTCCTTCTGCATCGAATTACGAATGAGTTCGAGAAGCTGACGCGTATTGATCATAGCGACGCACACAGTCCTAGAGAACCTCGCCGCGTATCTATCAATATCATCCTTCAAGGTATTGCCCTGGGCAACAGCAAGCTCGACGTCGGCATTCTGAGGTACTTTGTTGGCCGATTTAAGGGCAACACTAGAATTCCCAGTAGCGATGATGTTGTCAGTAGTGGGGGTGAGAGTAGCGTTGGTGAAGGAAGCGTCTGCAGAAGGAAATGCGGCCAAAGCTGCGTTCCTGCGGGCTGGACTGGCGTACTTCGAGTGACCAAGGGCTGCCGGGCCCGCATAGGGCGACTGGTCTGATGGCATCATAAGAGGTGATGCTATCCCACTGTAATTAGCTGAAGCTCTTATCTGCTGTAGGCTGGGCGAACATACCTGGTGTAGTTGGAGAGCTGGACTGCAATGAGACGAGCGGCCTTATGGATTGTAATGATTCCAAGATCGTCACAGCAAGCGGGACCTCACCTGCACGCGCCTGAAGGTATGCTGTTAGCAGCATATAAAGAACTGTGGGCGGCGAGGTGACTTACAATATGATGCTGCTCGTGCTGGGAACAGCAGAACTGTGTGTTAAGGTGACAGATTGAGATGTTTGTGCACTTTAAACAGTGTTTGTTTGGGGTGAGAAGCAATCACGGCGTCAGGGTGCAACGACGGCAGGCACGCTCCATCACCTGACTGCTCGATAAAACACTCCCGAAGAACTGGAACATATGAAATGTTTTGATAGTGAAGTGAGGCTAGCAAGGCTGACTCGGAGACCTCACCTCACAGAAGCTGTAGACAGAGTGATCCGCCATTACCTGATCATGGCACGTGGCTGCTACCTTCACCCTCACCTACGCGGTCAAGCCAGCCTTTAGCACACCTGGGCGCATGAGAACATGACGAGTTTGACCAGCGCATTAGGCGTGTCGCAGCATGGTGGACTCGGCTCTAAGTGATGATTGACAAGGAGAACAGAAGCTGAATGACCAGAAGTTGGGGAAGTACGAGATGGTTGACCAGCTACTAAAAAGGGACTGGAAAGAGAGTGAGAGTAAGAGAAAGGGAACTCGCAGACCATAGGTATCGTAATGCCTACTATACACAATGTCATGCGCGTATGGTGTGTCGAGGGCAGCGGAAAGAATCAACTCATGTGACATGCTTTATAATATTCCAGTCTGCGACATCATCAACCAGTCGCCGGCCTATGCGTGGTAGTTCACTGGGTGGGCTTTCAGACTCAACGAACGACGATCATCGGAGCGTATTGTGGGAACCGCAAGTAGCAAACAGGTATATCAACGTGGCAAGACAGACTAGGATCAAGACGGGTTCATGAGGGAAAAAGCAACGTGGAAAGCCGTGGATACTGCCTGTCAAACCAGGAAGGCGGGTCATCATCCCATTTGACTGAGCTGCAGTCCCACGGGCGTGTTGTGGACCAAAGAGGTGCGGAGAAGATCATGTACGTATGAGGGTAGCAGTTCTTTTAGCCAGCTACACTAACATGGATTGAACTGACACGGAAGGTTGAAACTTGCTAGGCAGGGCCGAGCCGAGCTAAGGGAGAATAATTGCCGACGGCTAGGCAGAGTTGCTCTCGCCAAGGGGGTTTGTGGGTTGTGGCGGGTCGGTCTATTACGGGAGCATGGCTCGCGGGAAGAGCCGAACACCTTGGAAGTACCTGAAACATGGCAAAGAGATGGGACGGGAGGTCGCCAGGGCTCGTGGAATGCAAGAAAGACAAGAGGCAAAAAGGTGGCAACGCAGAGCACGACCCGGCAGAAACGGATCATGGTCATGTTGTACTCGGGCGGGCTGCAATGACTACAGGACACAATTTCGGGTCGAGGTATCACCGGCCAGTCATGGGCGTGAGGCTGCTGATGCAGGGGAAGCAGCAAGGAGGAAGGGAGAGGGCGGACAGTTAAAAAAGCGGGCTGCTGTCGCATTGTTGAAACCTGACTAGAGGAACCAAATCCTCTGCTTCGGAAGACCGCTTACTGCGTAGGAGGATGAAAGCAGACTGGTGCTGCAAGCCTCTCGACTCGTCGAGACGACTAGCATGGGCCCGCTCCTTTGTGCCGTAGCCGCAAATGCTCACTCGCTCCGCAATACCACAGCAAATTGTGTCACGTGCTGGCCCTAGGCTTTCCCTTTCACCATGTTTTGACTGCAGATCGCGGCCAGACCTAGCCCGTTCCGGATCTGCTGGGCGCTGGGCTCCCAACGCTCGTGTTGCGCGAGACAGTGTTTTAATATCCATCCTGCCGCTCCATCGGGCGCACAGCTCTCTGGTCTGCGTCTGCAGCACTGACTGACTGCAAGGTGCGCTTGGACTCTGCGGCGGCGAACGGCTGGATTTCCCCAGCAGCACACATATCAGGGATTGTGTCAGCAAAGGCAGACAGAGGTTAATTCTCAGGGCCTGCCCCCTCAGGTCCACTGATTTCCCAATTCCCTTTGCTGTCTTGCATCTTGCATCTTGTCTCTCTCTCTCTCTCTCTCTTGTCCTGCACGCTCGCTGTCCAGTCCACCGTCTTGTGCTAGCTCCGCTTTCTCGGTCCCCGCTCGCCCTCATCACCACCACCAAGATCCCCCCGGCGCCCGTTGCGCATTGCAAAAGCCCCCCACCCTCAGCTGGTAGCGTAGCCTACCGTAGCGTCGCCGTCCTGCCTTGATTACGCGAGCAAGTCTCACAAAACAAACACGACCACTGACGTCTTCTGCAACCTGGTTTGACCCCAAACTTGGTGTGCTGCTGCATGCCTGTAGCACCCTCCTAGTGCATCGCGACGACTGCCCTCTGCTCCCTCGCAACTACTGCCCCCACCCACCCAAGACGATACCCCCAGGACTCTGATACATGGCACCGGCGATTATGTGCTTTGGAAGGAAACCCGCAGACCCAGAGTCTAGGCGAAATGAAGACATCGAGAAGAACCTCCGCGTGGACAGGAAGAAGGCAGAGCGCGAAGTGAAGCTCCTGCTGCTCGGTAGGCAACCACCCAATTAGCCCTCGCTATACAGAACAGCTTGACTGAGACGAGACTGCAGGTGCCGGTGAGAGTGGCAAGTCCACGGTCCTCAAACAGATGCGAATCATCAACGCGGGCGGCTTCCAATCCCCAGAGCGCAAGTCATGGCGCGCCACCATCTTCAACAACCTGGTCTCGGCCTTCCAGACCATCTACTCGGCCATGCAAGAGGATGACACGGATTTCGAGGACGAGGACAACATTGTACGTCGCTGCCTTGCACGCTACTATATGAACGCATGCTAATACATGCCCTACAGCGATATTCCGAGTTGGTCAACGCGGCGCCTGATATCGGTACCGAGGAGCCAATGCCCGAAGAGTTCCTCACAGCCTTCAACTGCCTATGGGCAGACAAGGGCGTGCAGTTGACCATACTGAAGGGTAATCAATATGCGCTGCATGACAATTTGAGCTAGTAGGTACACCTCCCACCCTCCCGTTGCACTGCGACTGACAGCTGGTAGCTTCTTTCAAGACATCGAGCGACTATTTGCGCGAGACTTCCTCCCTACCGATCAAGACATTCTGCGCACGCGATTACGAACCACTGGTATCTCAGAGACCATCTTCGAACTCGGCAACCTCACGTACAAAATGGTCGATGTGGGCGGTCAACGGTCGGAGCGAAAGAAGTGGATCCACGTATTCGACAACGTGCAAGTAGTGCTATTCCTCGTCGCTATTAGCGGTTACGATCACGTTCTTGTAGAAGACAGAAACGGGGTGCGTCTTCTCAGACCTTCCTGCAAGTCGCCTTGCTAACCTGCACTAGAATCAAATGCACGAAGCCTTGATGCTTTTCGAATCGATATCGAACTCCAAGTACTTCGAAAAGTCCGCCCTGATCCTCTTCCTTAACAAGATCGATCTGTTCCGAGAAAAGATAGCAGGAGGCATGAGCCCCATCAGCAAGGTGTTCCCAGACTACACCGGCCAGCCCACGGATATCGAAGCCGGCATGGAATTCTTTGCACACAAGTTCCGCAACCTCGTCCGACAACCGAAAAAGGAGGTCTACGTGCACTACACAAACGCAACAGACACAGATTTGCTGAAGAAGACGATGGCTTCGGTACAGGATATGATCGTTCAGCGCAACCTCAACGCCCTCATCCTGTGATCGAACAGTGATTTGTCCATCGCTTGTGGGGCAGTTTTACGGCAGCCCGGACCTCATTTGTGAACGAAACAGCTGTCTGCGTTCCCCGAGCCCGAAGCGCACGTCCGCCATCACCATACATGTAGCGCCGCGAGAGTTGCATTTGAGTGCTACTGGAGAAACGGCGTTCATACCGTGGATCGCACGAGACGATCTCAACGGCCCTTTCATGTTATACCCTGAATATCCTGGACCTTCTTTTCTACTTCGCCATTGTCTTGTGACGAGGTCACGACATAATTCACCCCTGTTGGAGGTCTGCAAAAGCAAGCGGATCCGCATTATTAGATTGTTAGCGCATGGAACATGAAGACACAAGTTTGCCAGCGGACAGCAAGAGAAAGCTAGCGCACAAGAGGTTTCCCTTGTTACAGTATGCGCACATGTCCATATCCAGTTTTTCAAGCATTAGCGTTTAGCAGGCGGAATCATCCTTGGACCTTTTTTTTTATTTTAGTTTAGCTGCACGTCACGAAAGTTTCTTAAGAAGTCACTGTAGAGACAGGGCAGGGCATGGGACTGGAAATTACATTATATTACACTGCAGCATAAGCGATACTTTGCAATGTCACCTCTACTATCCGTACGCGGGTTCTGCTTGACATCGCAGGACTTGCCTTTTCCGTCGGGTTATATGAGATAAACAACAAGGGGGGGTATCGGAGTCCGTCGATTTATCCTTTTTAGTGTCTAGCGACCTGTCGACGAAAGGAGATGTCTAGATGTGATTTATAAGGAGTATCTACATGCACGACTGCGGCGTAAGGTAGTAGCGCTAGGATCTGCGAAGCCGTTATAGTAGGCGATGCCTGTTCTGACATGTTGAGATGGACTCTTATACTCTTCGAAGCCAGAAAATAGCACATATCGTGTACTGCATGATCATGAACTGAACATTTAGAACCATCCATCCAGACTTGCACTTTGAGGCTTCATATTGCTGGTGCCCTGCCATAAGGGAAGACTACAGCTTATCTCCGGATGACTCGATTGTAACATGCCGGTGCTCTCGTGACAGCCGCTAATCGCCCGGGGAAACATCGGCTTATGACCTGCAGCAAGTCCTGATTGCCTGCCTTGAGCCGCATCGAACCTCAGCATCGGCATCACCAAACACCCTCTTTAGCTGGCCATGTTCTCTCCTGCGATAGGAAGAGCAGCCCGCTCAGCGACTGCCTTCTCGGCTGCGCCAGTCAGCTGCCTCGCCCGCACTACGCTGAATACCTCGCAGCAGCCCTTCCGCCCAGCTCACCAACGGCGCTTATCCTCGTCAAAGCCCTCGACACCACCGAGCAACAAGAAGAAGCCCGCGGAAATAGACCAAAATGCTGCGGCAGAACTCCAGGGCTCGGAGCAGAGAAGTGGGGATTCGCAGAAGAAGCCAAAGGAACCCTCGACTGCAACCTTGGGCAACAACATACCCTTTGTCCCGCCAACCAACCACCTGCGGGAAGACGGTATGCTATCATAGTAGACAAGCCCCGTCTCTGTGCGCTAATATACCGCAGACGTCAAACTATCGGCTTTCTTTGGTCTCCACCGACCCATCTCCATCTCGAGATCCTTCCCTGAAGTAGCACCAATGGATGTGTTCAATGCCATCTTCGAAGTGCGAGAGCCAAACGACGCCCAAAGAATGCAGAGAACCAAGGATATCCTGAGTGGATTTGTCCAACGCATACACGCCGAACTCGACGCACAAGAAGAGCGACGGGCAGACGCAGCGCAAGCCCAGGCAACATATCATCTCGATGAGCTGCCACTTCCCACACAACAGAGCGTAGAGAACTTCGCAGCTCGCCTCGTTCCCTTCTCGCCTCCCGCGGCACCTGTTGCTTACGACCCACTTGCAACCGAGTCCACAGCCGAGGCATACTCATCCTACGATGTCTCTGTGAGTATCAACCAGCGCATAACTGAAGTCCCGCTGCCTTCCTCTGCAACAGAGAGCCCGAAAACTTTCCGGGAACACGTTGCGCGGCGGCGGTATGGCATGCTCTTGATCAGTGTCAAGAGGCAAAGGAAGCTGAAGATGAAGAAGCACAAGTACAAGAAGCTGATGAAGAGGACGAGGCTGTTGCGACGGAAGTTGGATCGGACCTAATAGACTCATAGCCATGGCGTTATCGGCATTGCATCGCCAGGTCCAGGGGAGTAACAGATAGGTAGAAACGAAACTGCGACCGACTCCACTACTTGGCTTCGATCGCGCACGCAATCTACAGAGTTCGATGCGGTTCGCGACCTTCTACTTAGTCTGCTCCCTACGATTTGGGTTTCGGAAAGCATCATGAACATAATCAGCTCATTCCCGTGTTTTTCTGCACCCCCCTGGTACTACTCAGCATAGTGTTTCCTGCATGAAAGTGCCTGGCGACATATTCGCCTTTTCTTTTCCAATACCAGAATCCATTGTCCATAACCACACGTGTTTCGTCCGCAAATTCCACTATCTTCTTGCGCAACACATTATTTTATGCTTCTAGAACCGAGGTCGGAACGCATTGAAGTTCCTCCTTGCTATCAAGAGACGTGCGATGGCGGTTACTGGTGTCGTGTAGTGCCCTGAAACCCCACCGCGACTGAGGCTGTCGCAACCCCCCCAGCCTCAGTCATCGGCAACATCAACAACCTGAATCGATGAATCACTTTACCCCCGCAAGGTAGCTTAACGAGCATCAACTAAGGCGTACCAAGTCGCAGTCCGCAAATCAAACGTTCCATCGCGCTCAAGATCGCATGACGCCTTGGCATGAACGCTCCCCTAGCCATCTTTCGATCGTGCTCCCCTGCTTGACATGCTTCTGGGTGGGCATTGGAAGTCGGTTCGAGGGGCCAGACTGCATAGTTTGAGACGGAGGCAGTGGTCCTTGTGTCGTCATCCTGGTTATGGCGCGTAACTAAGGATAACTGCTAGAGAGTAGGAGGAGCGCAAGATGGTATAAAGGCTTGGATACTGCACTCGATCCAAAGGCCAGCAACTTCGACACACACACTCGGCAGTAGCAACTACGTCGGTCTTTTCCTTCGCTTTTTCGTTCTTTTTTCGCATACTTTCCATTCATTATATTCTTCACGCCCAGGTCGGCAGTCTTTACAACACAGAGCTAGTCTCATCTTCGCCATCACTATCTAACGTCTAACGACTATTTCGATTGTTCATATTCGACATCATGGTTTCCAAGTCTTTTGTCATTGCGGCGGTCATCGCCTACGTTGAGGCGCGCTTCGGTCAGGAACAGGTTCCCATCGCTGCTATCAGCGCTGTTCAGGGCGGCAATCCAGGAGCTGCGGCCACTATTGCTGGCGCGGCTATCTCTGATATTCTCGGTGCAGCAAACTCATGTGCTAAGGTATGTTCCAATCTCTCTTTTGTCCAAGACGGACAAGTACTAACGTTCAACAGCTCACCCGCGCCGACCAAGTCTTTACTGAACTTGGTGGCGGTGCCGATGCCCTCGCGGCAGCCATCGGTCTCGTCACTGCTGAAAAGAACACCAACCCCTTCGCCAACAACAACGTGCAGAACGTGTGCGGCGATCCCGCGCTTCCAGCTACCCCTGAGCTCCGCGGTATCACGCCTCTTATCGACCCTGCTGTCGACGTTGATGGTGCTGTCGCTGCTCTTAGCAAGAGTTCCGCAGCGACCCCTCTCGCCGCTGATGGTTTGAGTGTCTTCAACTTGCTCGACCAGGCTGGTCTGGGCAATCTCGTGGCATCTCAGGATGCCGCCGGCGGTGCGGCTGCTGGAGGCGCTCTACAGGGAAACCAGGCGGGCAACAGCACCAACAACGGCAACGTCCAGCAGGGCAAGAACAACAATCAGGAGGGCAAGAACAAGAACAACGGCAAAAACAAGAACAATGCTAAGAACAAGAATAACGCAAAGAACAAGAACAACGCCAAAAACAAGAACAACGCAAAGAACAAGAACAATGGCAAGAATAAGAACCACGGCAAGAACAAGAATAACGCCAAGAATAAGAACAATGCCAAAAACAAGAACAACGCCAAGAATAAGAACAATCAACAGGACGGCAAGAACAAGAACAACCAGCAGGACGGCAAGAACAACAACCAACAGGACGGCAAAAACAAGAACAACCAGCAAGATGGCAAGAACAAGAATAACCAGCAAGGCAAGAACAACCAGCAGGGCAAGAACAACCAGCAGGGCAAGAACAACCAACAAGCCGGCAACAGCACGCAGCAAGCCACTGGCCTCGCAGGTGCCGACTTTGGCAAGTGCACCCCGACCATCACTTTCCAAGGCGGCGAGGGCAACCGCCCGGACACGGAATTCACCTTCCAGATTGCCGACCCCGTAGCCCGCGGCGGCCAAGGAGAAGCCCTGAACCCCAACATCATCACCAACGCGCTGTGCAACCAGCTTACCAACGTCTGCGACGCCAACGACGCCGCAAAGGCTGCTTGCACGGATGCCAAGGCACAGGTTGAGGCTGCTGGTACCCGCGACAAGTCTACTGCTGACCTGTTCAACTCTGCGCTTGGCTTCGCCGGTGCGGTTACTAATCCCGCTGGTGGCCCGGAGAATCCCCCTGCTGCTGCTGCCGCTGCTGCTGCGAGGGGCATGAGGAGGGGACGCCGTGCCGTTCTCGTCTGAGCTTGTACGATGGGACGGGCTAGTTGGAAGACACGAGAAGAAGGGGCGGGTGTAGAATAGGGTCTGGCATGGTGGTGGTGGTTTCTTTGCGCTTACGATTTTATACCTCATGTACAGTTTAGCGGTGCGATCTGGTGTGTCATTTTGACTTTGTATGACTATTTCTGAAATATACATGTATCACGAACAAGTTCCTTCTCGCTTTCGGACTACCAAGTGATGTTTTGTCTGGGTGGTGGATGAGAGTCGATGAACACTACGCTTTGATATGGGTGCCTTGGCATCTAGCTCGCAAGTATATACACTCGTATTTCTACACGGGGCGGGAGTAACTCGCGATGCGAAGGCGCGAGGTTAGTGCGATGCTTGGGTGTAGGACGTTACTGATCTTAGGTTCAATGTTTGAATATTCATTTCTCACAGAACAAAGACGAATAGCGTGATAAGCTAAGATGGATCCCTGAGGAACGTTTGAAGGAAGACTAAAACTGCTCAAGCAGCTATTCGATGATAATACGACAATACTATATACAAAATATCCATGTGACCATGCCAGTTTACTGTATCAAGCTATACATCGAGAAGGATATACTGCAGCGCTGAGTAACGTTATTTCCTCTCATGAATAATGCTTCAGAATAAGGTATCTCAAGAGCGGAGATAAAGCTTGATTCGCTCCCAAGGAGAACTGGCAAGTTCCTAGACGCCTACTCTATTATCCTCCACTACGAACTTTATAATGACGTCTTGTGTTGCTCCTTCTCCTCGGCTCTTGAAAGCCCCTTCCTCCCCTCTCTAGCGTTCCTCGGAGGCTGTCTTATAGGCGTTGGGTATTTGATATCGCGTTTCGAGTCTGCGTTTGGTTTCACTGTCGAGACAATAGGCTCGAGCAATTGTAAGAGGGAAGGGTGTCGGCGACACGAATGTTTGATGTTGGCAGGCAAGACTGATAAGTATGCCATGTTAATCAAGGGGATGCCAGGAGATCTCAAGGTTTGTTGTGGACCGCTCGTTGGTGATGATATAGAGTTTCCGAGGACGTTTGATGGAGGTAGGGAACGGACGCTTATGGGGCTTAGTGGAGTATGGTGGAGCTCAGTGCGGTCAAGAGTCCATACGATGCAGAAGTCATGGCCATTTATGCATGGATTCCTCATTTGCCTGTTGTATGTACCTCGGAAATGAGGAAGGCAGTGTCGTTGCGAGCCTCGGCGAATACTCGGCATCGGTAGCTCTTGGTACTGGTAGCTGAGGAACATTCTGTTGAGAATGGAACAGCAGCGCTGACGTTATTTTACCTGGTCGAATGACGATATAAGGTGAGGACATGCGACTTTTCTTTTGGCAACGGTGATAGCAGAAGATGTGAGCATTCAAGTAGCTCCTAAAATTGAGAACGCGCTGGTGATGAGCGCATTTTGCTGCTGGATGAGAGACTGAGCCCTGTCATGTTGGAGAAATGATATATCATTATACGAGAGTGAGTGAAGTAGTATCGATATATTGAGCAGATTCACGAAGCGGATGAGGACAACCTGGGTATTTCAGCACCCCTTTTTGAGCATGATTTGAAACCGAGAAAACTATATTGGGATGATTGCTGGGAAGTGCGCACTGTCTGTGCTATATATGGCGTACAGTTTCTCCGGTGGGTTGAGCATGACGTTAGATACCTTTCAAAAAGCAACGCTCAACCTACGAAAGCGCTCGGTAACGGTATAAGACGGTCCGTCGGCGCAAAAACACTGGAAGAGGAAGTGATCGAAGGGACCAAGACAATGAAAGAAGAGACTCGAAACGCTGGAAGCGGTTGTCGTCCACCTTGTCCTCGCTTTAGTCATGGGCAGCTGCGCCTGCTTGGGAGGCAAAAGCAGTGCTGGCCGGTCCGCAAAGATCCGAGTCGAGTCGAGTCTCGAGGAAGCGAGCAGAAAATCCCCCACATTCCTATTACTCTTACCGTCCCGCCCACTCTACTCTCTAACTCTTTTGACGGGTGGAGGCGATTTTCCCATCCGCGTTCCTTCGCGCGTGAGAACCCCTCTTCGATCAACATAGCCTCTGCCTATAGCGCACCAAGCATTCCCCACTTACTATATACAAGTGCCCAAGATTGTATAGAGTCACGTCTAGTGCGCAGGATAGGCATACCAGGTGTAGACAGAGCCGAGCCTAGTGCTAATCGCGGGTTCGCTTCTGGATGACGTTCATTTTCTTCGGCTATGCCTTGCCCAATTCACTCTAGTCTGCTGTCCCAAGAACTTGGCTGGCTGAAGCTGAAACGATACCCGCTACCATCGGCGCTCTCCTGAGCTCACCAGGACTTCTCAAGACAGCTTGCGCCTCGGGGAAACCCACCGTCATCGGACGGGGCAACTGCCATATTCCTTGACGCATCCTTACACCCAGCTGCGGCGCGCAGCTCTGGGTGCCCTAAAGAAACTTCAATTTAATCTCGGCGCCGCCGCGCGTGCCATCACTTGCAGGTCAGACGCCCGAAGCCACTCGCACAAATTCTCCGCCAGACAGCGTGCAGAGAAAGTACGAGTACGCTGAAAACTCTTGATCTACATGCGTTTCGTTTTGGATTCCCTTTGCATGTTTGCGGACATGGGATCATGAGTTCTTGAACGTTTTGGGAGCGTGTCCGGCAAAAAGGCACATGTCAGGCAACCGTCGCATCTGCCAAAACGTGTCGCCGGCCGTTACAGTCTGGGACACTAACGAGGATGTTGGGCGTAATTTTGTTTTTCCGCTAAGCCAAACTGATGGTGGGAACCGTTCCGCGTGAGCTAAAACCCGGGATTTCACAAGCTACAGCTCGCTTCGGTTAGGGAAACACGAGGGCTTCCAAGATCTCGGAGCATGGTGCTGTACTTGTGCGAGAAGACCAGGGGGGTCGTAGACTGTGGTTGTTCCACCAATTCCTACTAAGGAAGGACCAATCTCCCACCTCCCGGGTCTGGATTCAACGGCATCTGCTGATCGAGCGGCTTTGAAAAGCCACCGATCTGATACTACTTGATTAGGTTTCCCATATTTCCTTTCTGACTGTTTGTCGCCATTTCTATTCATCCGGGATATCTCAACCCTCATTGCACCTGTTCAGGTGTTGAAGAGACCCAGCCTATTCATCAAGCGCGCAGGCCGGCTATCTACATTCCGTTCTTTCAAAAGCGATCGCTGCGGTTCAGCATGCGAAAATGATCTCCCGTCGAGCAAACGACAACTCGAGCCCAAAATACGTCGACCCTTCTGTTCAACTTAACGCCGGGTTGTGGTCACTCTTTGCGGGCGCCACTATATTTCTCGCCCTTCGAGTATGGATTAAGGTCACTCGTGGACATGGATTGTGGTGGGATGACCACATTCTTCTTGTAACATGGGTGAGCATTACTTCTCTTTTCACGTCCAACTCTTCGTCAAGGGCGCTTGAACAGGCTCAGAACGCGTCGCGGTCGCAGTTGCATCCTGTGACCTGCAAAGCTTTCCGAAGGCTTGCAAGCCTACTGGCGATTGTGCGAGAGACTCATGTTTACTTGCTACAACTGGAGCCTGTCATTAACCAGCTTCTAGGTAATCCTCGCCGCAAACAACAGCATAATATCAGTCGAATATGCTACCGGCTACGTCACCGACACGTGGGACGATCGCATGCACATCTTGATCAACGTAACTTCTTGTGGTACCCTAGTAGGGCAGGCTCTTAGTAAAACCGCATTTGCGGTGACATTACTTAAATTGACCAAAGGCTGGCAGAGATGGATTCTTTGGTACTGCATTGCCAGCATGAACCTTTACATGGTCCTCAAGGTCTTCTTTCAGTGGGGGAAAGTTTGTGGAAAGTCTAGTTACGATGTCTGGTACCGTCTGGACTTTTGTCTGCATCCCAAGTTCAGAGACGATTTCAAAGAGGGTGGCAATGGTAAGCCATGATACGAGCTGTAGACATTCGTCGCAATGCTAATCTTACATGTAGTATACAACATCATCATGGACTTCGTTCTTGCGACCTTCCCTTGGGTCATTACTTGGAAGCTTGATATGCGAAGGGTCGAGAAGATTGGACTCTGCGTGACCATGAGCTTGGTAGGTGACATATCGCTCCATCTATGACAAGAAAAGAATGCTAACCGATATATTTCTACAGGGCATGATCGTCGCTGTCATAGCCGCCATACGTACCGGTTGGAAGGATGAGGGAAACCAGAAGGATGCGTATTACTTCTGGCGAAATGCGCATTCAAACATCTGGTACTCTTCCGAAATCGTCGGTACCATCATCGTCCAGTGCATTCCCGTCATGCGACCCATGCTCCGAGACATACACATGTCATTGACGTCAAGGAGACTGGCGTCGGCTGCAGACAACACCGCTCGACGGAGCAAGTACGTTCCATGCACAATCTCAGATAATCGAAAAGCACTAACAGGAAACAGGATGCCCATAGCCTTCACCGGCAACCAAAATTCACATAAAGCACACATTTTCTCGGATGCCAAGTCGAACACGTACAACGATGGCAGGAACGACGGTGATGTCGATTCCTGGGACAGTCAGGGGATATATCAGAAGGTCGACTTTGAGCTGACGACAATGGAAATCAAGCCCGACAAAGGGGCAAAGAATACTTCTCTTGTGTAAATAACGACCGGATGTAAAATAATATGAATATAGAATAAATGCTACATTGCAACTTCAACACACCGTCATCCGATTGCAACGTCCATGTGGTGAGGACGAGTTCGTCCTCGATCAGTCCGTGCATTGGAATCATGACGTAAAAGTACCACGACAGAATATGAAACGAAAACCCGACAAACAAATCTCCGAGCGAAGCGTGGTACTACGTAAGAGGAAACTCTTCTATACCGCTTTAGCAACCAAGGCGCCATCGCAAAGCCCAAGTGGGACGAAGAGACAAATTTAAGGTTGTTACTATAAACATGGCCAAACGTTTCGTCGATCGAGCCGGCCGCACCGACCACATGAAACGGCACTTCAGGATTAAGATCTGCGCATTATGCCTACCCCTGGTCGTGGCCCGCGTTATGCAGTCGATGTTAAGGCTCCCGCCAAATACTCTGGAGGATTCTAGATCCAAGTGCCGGCCCGGGTTGAAGCGCCTCGCTAGTTTTCGCATCTATTCTATATTAACTCTGTGTTGACATCTCGGTCCAGCCCTATTCCACTGGGTGTAGTAGTATGAGCGCTACTCCTCGCTCCTTGAACCGCGCGGTAAGATCCATTGTCTTCTCCATGCTGGTTACGAATGGCACTTTATGCGTAGCTGCCTGTATTTCCACAATCTTCAGCGCAGGTAGCAGGTACAGATCGTCGGCCAGGTCATGAAGGGCAAGACTGTCATCTTGCAACAGGATATGGTTGGTTTCGACGGTGAGCCTCTCGAGGTTCGATGGTAGTAGGCAGCTTATAGGTCTCTTAGGCCTGGCGTTGGGAGCTTGAGTTCCCGCGGGCTCGCCGAAAAGCATGACGTCCATCAGTGATAATGACGTTAGCTTGGAGAGGTCTGTGTAGCCGTCTGGTTGCGGTATAGTTCTTCTGCTCTCGACTTCTAAAAAGTCGTGGCCGTCGAGGTCTATAAAATCCAAATCATCAGGGTAGGCTTCGTCACCACGTCCGAATCTGAGATCCAACTGCTGCAGCGTGCTACTTGTATCCCCCAAGGCAGACAAGAGACTTGACCAATGACGTTCCCATGCAGACGGCTCTTCAAACCAGACGCACACGAAGATTTGAAGTGAAGGACAGTCGTGTACTACAAGTGCGACTTTCTGTATGGACAGCAGACAGTCCTCCAAGCGAAGTGTAGCAAGGTTCCGGAACGGTACGAGGCCCCTAGCCCATGCTCCTTGGTGTTGGTAGTGTCGTAGTGCCGGCAGGTCCCAGCGCAGTGACTGACTAGAGCCGTAGACGGGGTCATGTTGGCGGCGGTCCATATCCGCAAACGAACAGAGTCGCTTGAGCTTGGGAAAGCCATGGAATGATACGTTCATAGGACACGCGGATCGGTCGAAAAAGAGAAGGGTCAGTAGCGGTACGCGCCAATGGTTGTTGTCGAGTGCGAGATGGCTGACGTTGGGCGACAGTGCGACTACCAACGCGAACAGAGCATATCCTGGTTCGAATCGAAGACATTGAATCCATTCGTCAAGTGACCCGTTTTGCCAAAAGTCCTTTGCCACCTGTACAAGAACAGTGTAATCTGCTACCCACCCTTGTATATGGCAACACTGGCTCTGTCTGGGGTGTTTTCCTGCCCACACGATTCTTTGAACTTGTTCGAGATACCGGATGTGTGTCGCCCGCGCGGGTTTATGGAGTAGCGCAGAGATCAGACAGAACAAGCTGTGGTAGCAGTGCCATCCTGCAGTACAGAGGAGTAGAGATGAGTACAGTATCGGTTCGGCCAAACCCCAGAATCTCTTCGAGACTAGGCAGATGTTGAGAATTTGACCGGTTCGTCGCGCGTTGCCCTCGAAGCGTGGTCCACATGGGCCCAGGTAATCTCTCGCCTCATAGGCCGGGATCGGTTTCAGATGCCCAACGATTTCTAGAATGAGCTCGTCGGGTAGCTGATCAAGTGCTGACATGGCGCGCAAGCACGGAAGCTAGGTATTAGATGGAGAAAGTATAGATTGTCCAAATGCAGAGGCGCAGAACATAGTAGCTGATACACTCGCGGAGTCGCCTAGTCAAGCTAAAGAGGTATGTAGAGGATTCTGGAAATGAGAGGATGTAGTACGATGGCGGGGTTAGCTGCGGATAAATCCAAGTTGTGGTACAGATGCGACATTGGGAAACAAGATCTACATGAATTCCTGTGAGCTAAGATGTAAGCAGTCTGTAGAGAACAGGCTTCATATGCACCGTGTTCTCTTCGTCGCAAGGGGAGAAGGCTTACTGGGTATCATGCCGAACTTGCAGGCCGGACTCTTTCTCATGCAGCGATTTCCGACTGAGCTCAGCAGTCTATTTGATACTCCTCACCAGCTCCCTCAAGTCCCCGCCCTCAACCCACTTCTCTTCTCCGCCGCCGCCAACACCAAGGCCTCCACCTGAGCCTCCGCCGCTCACACCCCACCCTTCGCCCACCTCACCTACGACTCTTGCGGGCTGCCCACCAACCACGGAGCCAGACGCGATAACCATGTTTGCTGGTATCACAGTGTTTGGAAGGATCTTGACACTCTCTTTGATAATCACAAAGGGGCTGATGACCACCTTTTCACCGATATGAACGTGCGACGATATGTTGATAGCTTGTATTGTACAATTTGGTCCTGCGACCAGGTCAGTGGATGAGCATAGTGTATTACCGTCCACAGCATGCGCGTGCACACGAGGGAAGGAAGGTGATTCCATACCAACGAAAACGTTGTCCCCAATCTTCATCGGGTAGTAGTGCACCTGACCTCTGCTGATTCGAGACGGCGGTTTTATGATGCTCCCGGTTGAGATGACTGTACACCGTCCGATGCTGATACTTGTGGGTGTGACTTCTTTGCTGGACTGCGACGGTACTGATCGTGTTGGGTGCAGGTCGCCCCGTAATTGTACGTCTGCCATGATCACCGTTCTGCCGCCAAGCGTGATGTTTGCGGTCCCAGTGATTGCTGCACGCCGTGAGACTTTATTGCCAGAATCCTAGGTCTACGTCAGATCATGCATCTGATTGTAAGGAATTGATCAGGTTTGTCAATAGCAAGTTAACTAATTCATAAAGCGAGGACGACCGTATGTTCTCTTATGTGGCATCGCATCATGTGTAGGTCACCCACCGTTTCGATATATTCGCCTTTCGGCGCGGCTTTCCTCGCCGCAGGTCGCGACATATTGCTTTATGCGTTTAAACCCGTTTCTTGAGGTTGAGAGGCTGTTGAACACCCAATCGATTTGATGCGGTTGTGGCGTAAGAGTAATGTCGACGGTTTGAGGCAACTTGTGCGAGAGCTGGTCCAAGCGCCATGCGGGACGGACACGTGCTTCACCCCAATCGTGAAGCAGACGTCACCTTCTCATTCACATTTAGCGTCCTGACCACATTGATTATTCAATGAGCTTGAGTATCTGTACTGATCTTTGAACAACTTGGCGATTCTCAAGCTGGATGCCTCCGGTAACAGTGGGCAGGTTCCGGGTACCTGATTGCATCGGCGTATGTCCACATGGTGGGTATGAGTATCAGGAAACGCGAGTCACTTGACAGAGTTTGATCTCTTCCAAGAGGATGTTTGCGATATCATGTGAGACGTTAGCATAGGCCGAGTGTTCGTATATGTTGTGAAGCGTTTGACATCCTGGGCCTTGATCCCAGGTCTTGTCCTGCCAGAAGCATCTACATGGATCTGAAGAAGCCATATTGGATGATTATATCGACGAGTTCCTCACTGATGCCGTCATCGCTAATCTTCACTTCTGAACTTTTATCCCGTTCGCAGAAGCTAACGACTAGAGAGAGAGGAACTGATCACCATCCAAGATACAACACAGCCCATTCTCCCAACCCTCCACGCCTACGTCAGCCTGACCCATAGCACACACGAACCTCACAACCCGCCCGTCCCTGCCGCTCCTCTACACCCCTTTTGCGCCCCAAAATCCCTTCCTCACCGTTTTAAAAACCCACACGCTTGACCACCCCCCCAAGCCTGCGACTGCAGGGCAACCCCCGAACCGCGCGCGCGCGCGATAGCTGTGCACCCGCCGGAGGATGCGCCGACTGGCTAGCATTGGGCTTCCAGATAGCGTCCGCGGAGCAGTCGCTCCATCATGCATGGGCCAATTCGCATGCTAGAGAATGCCAGTTCCTTTCCCTCGGGGTGGGAATTGCCGGATCGGAGTTGGGACCGGATTGTAGAAAACGCGTGCGTGCGCCTGAGGCACTACTTTACAGTTGGATGCGTATGACGGACGGGTATTGCCATTTGCTCGGCGACATGGTTCCGATAGGACATACATGCATGTATACGTCTGTCCCAGATATAGCTACAAAGTCTCTCTCTGCTTCTTCTTGTAAACAAAACCTGTTTTGTTTCCCCCAACCTGGCTAATTTCAATTGGGACTTGACAGTCGCCAGACTGAGGTAAGACTGCTTACTTGCGTCCCAGCTTAGAAAATTAATCCCCACATATTACAGTTTAGCTCTCGTTCTAGACTTTTGTATAGTAAACAGTCTCACCGGCGACACCGAGGGTAAAGTTCGAGGGAACTTGAGCTTTCTGAAATGAGCTGGTCGAAATGACTTGCTACTAGCGGGCAGCTAGATAGTAGTTCGACACGGCGGATTTTAAGCCACCCGTTTACGGGGATTGTGGGGGTTGCAGTAGCGATAAAGCTAGTTTGAACATGGTGCTACGTTGGTAATATCGACGTTTCCGAGAAAGAGAAAGAGGCCATGAAAGATGCGGTGTGCTTAGAGGAGGTGAGTCGAAAGGCGTGAGCAGCAATATGATAATGTGACGGACGAGGGTGCAAGAGAACACGGAAGCAAAGCATGCACAAACCCAAACGTCTGCATTCGTTCGTTCGTGTACATTCATCGACATCTGAAATAAATCGACTTTTGAATCAAACTCCAGCTGGACTCCACCCTGACTTCCTCCCGTTTTTCAAGTCGTGGAGATCATTCGTTAGCACCATTTCCTCCCGAAAAATCAACGTGTTGGCTCTAAAGCCACAAAGAGACCCAAATATTGTACGGCGATCATGTCTTCGCCATTCGTTGTTACAAATTCCCACGATATCGCCAGAAATCAAGGCCAAAGCAAGAGATTTCAATAGCCGCAAACGCCAGAATTAAAAGTTGCCTGTCTTCGTCAAGATTTTGAAATAATGACTGTTCAGACGATAAATCATCACTTGTGGTTGTAATGGAATCCCATGTAGAGAAGGTGCGTAGAAGCAGAGTGAAGCTGGCCTCAGAGAACGGAGTCTTTGACGTGAGCTCAATGTTACTCGGAACCAGCGAATAAAGTAGGGTTGATAGAAAACCTCTACAAACGAATACGGGTGCAGTAGTGATCTCGTGAAAAGTCGTCTAATGGCGCGACGGATTGCGATCGTCACAGGCCATTTCGTCTCGGTCGTCAAGTGTCGTCCAGTTGTGCCATGAAGTCGGATGGATGGTCAATCGTCGTGTACGTCGGACTCATGGCAAGAGTTTTGTACAAAGTCCATAGAGAGGGATATTTACGAGGCAATTACAGAGTTTTCGGCGCGTTGGTTTATGTGGTTGGCGTGCGACTCGAGTGCGCGCGCCTGGACATGAGTGACTGCATGGCGTTAGCAACATTTCCGTGCAACATGAAAAACATGGATACTCACCAGGCCAAACAGCAGCTTTTGACAGCATGTAAGCTGTCACCATAAGCAACTTGGTGCCATAGCCGCAATGCCCAAGGTTGGATAGCCCGCCGAGCATTGGCAGCGAGTTGGAGGAGATATCGTAGGCCAGCTTCATATCAGCATGGTGGAGGATGTCTGCGATCTTTTGTAGAAGTTTGACGTCTTCCTCCTCTAGTAGCATAATGGCCGGCACAGCAGTGTAGTCGATGTCGTCTTTGCCTAGCACACCCAAGAAGCGTCCCACTCGATCTTGGACAGTCGCTACCCACTCAGCGAGAACTTGGGCACAGTCGAAAGTGCAAAATGCAGACGAGTTGGGTATTTCCCGAGCAGTATACTCGACATAGGTAGCGCCCAGTTTGTCTGCCATGGAAAGAGAGTCGGCCGCGTAGAAGGCAGCTTTGCGGAGGTGTCTCTCACGTTTTGAAGATTGGTTGGGTTGGAAACCGTTGTTGGCGTGCCCTGGGCTGATGTGACTAATTGCGTCGAGGTCTGGTGAGACGATATGTCCAGGAGAAGCTGACTTGCCGGCCTCCATGGACGAAGATCGTTCAGGACTGTCGGCCTGGGCAACAATATCAACGCCCCTTGCTAGCTCATTCGCCATGCCATCGAAATCTCTCTGCCACAGAAGCTCCTTAGCACGGCCGAGGTTCACAAATAGCCTCACATAAGCCAAGTCGAGTAGCGGTATGCAGTCGGCCGATAGCGGACCAAATGGGCTGGGCCGCTCAATACTATGGTTCGGATTGGCTCTCCAAGCAGCTTGCCAGGCTTTCAGCGCAGGCTCCACCTGTGCATGCATAGCTTCCGTTTCTTGGGTCTTCCACAACCGTCCAGTGTGCCTTTGCCTAGTTTCCCAAATGTAGACATGTAATGCATTGATCAGAACAAAGCATCCGAATGTGCTAGGCCGAATCTCGCTCTCTGGAGAGTCACTTGCTGGCTGACCACCTCCAAATGCCTGAGTGTAAGAGTTGTGTATTCGAGAGCTGGACTGGCGAGTGCTAGCTTCGAGTAGGTAAGTCATGGCGGCGTTGAACGACAGTCCCCTGGTTTGTGCAATCATTGGGCCGCCCATTGCCACCCATGCTTGGGGGTTGTCAACAGACCAGAGATCTTCTTCGCAGGGGAGGTCAAGGCGAATTTCCGAGTTCAGGATCCGTGGAGCGTGTGCGTAAGCAGAAACAAGCAAGCTCGACATGGAGAAGACGGCAAAATACGTGCGTTTCCTTTCTTCGATTTTCTTCCATTGAATCCACTGGGTATGCTCGTCAACGGAATCGATCATCGGTTCCTGGTGCAGACTTGGATCATTACTCATCTGCACATCGTCACCGTTCATATGGTTGCGTGGACTGTGCGTCATCGTGTCTGGCGTTGCTGGCTTGTCTAGGCCAGCGGCTCTCGCAAGACTCACAAGTGCTGCGCAGTGAGTGCTCGCAACTTCAGCAGCCTGTCGATCGCCGCAATTATGCCCAAATATGAGGTTTAGTAGCATTGCCTGAACTAACCACAGTGGAGGCTTGTTTATCGAGTCATTTGTAGCGTTGGGACCATTCACCGCAGCCGAAAGCCCGGCTCTGCGACGCTCATCGAGGTAGTAGAGAATCATCTTTTTCGCAGCCTCGAACAGCTCCTTTGCAACGTTGTGCTCAAACTCGTACAGGGCTCCAATTGCCGCCATGGCGAGGATGAGACAGCCGCCACCGCCGACCATGCCGTCCTGGTTGAAGCTGCTAGTAGTGCGAAGATGGTACGTATACGCTGGAGTGTCAAAGGACAATGTTGGAATGTGTAGAAATGGCATATGAGGGTGAAAGTATTGAATATACGCATTGACATAGCGTTGAATGTCCATGGTACTTGGGAGTGAGGCAACCTGACCTTGGTTTTTCCCGTTTGGCGTCGCGGACAAGGGCGAACTGATTTGTGGCTGGGAAAACTTCCGTTGAGGGAGGCCATACCCCATAGCTTGAGATAGGTTGTAGATCAGAGCTTGCCTGGTGGACTCGGTGATGGACTCGGTAGAGACGGATGTTACGGAGCTGTGCCTTGCGCTTCCATTGATCGAGGACGAAGATATGCTGCCAGTATCCGAATTGAAGGTCATGGGCGCCTGGAAGTACTGGTTCGGCATGCCGGGGATACCTGCTGAGGGGCTCATTCCCGACAAGGGACCGGGTGAGGACATGTAGAAGTCATGCTGAACACCGTGATCCGCGACGAGGTCCTGTGGTGTAACCGAGTTCATCATCAGCTCAGGGAACACTGGGGCCATGGCGTCAAGCGTAAAAGCTGTCGAGGCCATGTTGGCATGGGTGACTAGTGGGTTATGCCACATGGCCGCGGAGGTAGGCTGGCCTGAGCCGTCGAGCATCACTTCGCTAAATCCGCCTTGGCTGGCAGTGCTTATTGCTGAAGGTGACGACTCGTCCACAGCTCCCTCGTTCCCTCCTGCAAACATCATTGCGTTGTCCAGACCGGCGCTCCAGGCGAAGTCGTCCTCCTCGATTGGGTTGTTCGCAGCAAATGGATTGGCGAATTGCCGGAAAGGCGATTGCGGGTTCCCAATGGCTCCGTTGAAGTGATGCAGCTGGTTTGGATTGATGGTCGAGGACGACCCGAAGAATTTCTCCAGCTCGAGTTCGTCAGGGCCAACGCCTTGCATGGGCGGCGCTGTGCGCAGTCCGCCGCCCAAGCCATGACCGAGGTGGGTATCCAGTCTCGGTAGCCCATGATGCTGCCCGTGGTTGCCTACAGATGTCGACATGCCTCTGTAGTCGAACTGATTAGAGGTGTTGATTCCAGACAGGCTCGCATGATGCGAATGCCCTTGGTGGTGACCTCCATTGCCCCTTGGCAATGTTGCGTGGTGCGAGGCTAGGAAGCTGTTCAGAGCACTTGGGTCGATGTGACTGATGGTGTTTGCCCGCGGTCTCATGCTCGGAGTGCCGGCACCGCCTGGGCCGCCCACATTGCTCGAGACTGAGTTCTTGCGTACGCGGCCGGAAGGGTTGGGAGGCAGGCCGGTCGTGCTTTCCCTACGCGCATTGCGGGGTCGGGTCGAGGTCGCGCCCTGCTGGTGGAGCTTCTGCTGGTGCCGTAACAACAAGTCGCGCCGCGCAAAACACCGCGTGCATTGTGGGCACTCAAAGGGCTTCTCTTTGGTATGGGATCGCTCATGTCGTTTTAAGTGTTCTAGTCGGGCGAAGGAGCGTTGACAGGTTGCGCAGACGTGCGGCCTGGGTTTGTCCGTCTTTGGTGGGGGAAAGGGCGCGACGGGCTGTGACGTCTCGGGCTTCGCAGTCTGTACGGATGCTGCAATTGAACATGCGCCGTCAGCCTACTAGCTTGCTACTCATTGTGCATTGCTACTTACTGATGCTGCTGCCACCAGAGCTGCCCGAGTCGTCGCTTGGGAGGACGCGTGTTGAGCCCATGAGGCTCGTGCTCTCTACCTGGGACATGGCCATTTATGGTGGCGGTGCTACGAAAGTACCTCGCTCTGCCTCCAGCCTGGTCCGCAACAAGGCAATTGGCCTGGAAATGTCTCGGGCAGGCAGAGGACCAGCTTAGCAGGAATCAATTGCTGGATGGACAATTCCCAGTGTGCGGAGTGTTGGCAATTACCACACCCTGTTGTTGCAGCTGTGGGTCGAGCTGGTTGGATGGAGCTCACGGGGCCAGCAAGCTCGCCGAGTAAACAAAGGACGGATGAAGACAAGGACGCTACCATGACCCACATACGTCAGTGGACATTGAAGCTCATGCTATGGAGAATAGGGCAGTACCTTTTACGTGTTTGTGGGCTCTCCTCGGTGCCGTACGGTACGGAGAGGACGGAGAGGACGGGCAGGGCGGACAGAGACGGATTTAGTGGCGGATGAAGCAGCTCGTAGTCAATTATGGCTGGAAGATGTAGATGTTTTTTTGTTTTGAAGAACAAGGCAAATGCGCGACGACACAAAAGCCAATTGCCCCGCTGCTGGCAAAGCTTCGTCGAGGTGCGAGCGAGTGCCAGAGACAAAGGTACCTAAAAGCAAGAGGCTGAGCGGCGAGCGAGAGGAACCAGACCACAGGGACGGCTAGATAAAGCTTGAGCTAATTTGGTCCGTCCATATGTTGGCGTGCGTACGTGTTCTATGTACGGATGGTCCCGGTATGCGGAGGGTCCTGTGTGGTCGACGCCAGCAGTTAAGCACGTACAGGCTGCTGCTGGAGCTGGACCTGGTCGTCTTTGGCAGTAGAAGAGAAGAGAAGGGAAGAGAGAGGCCAGCCTTGGGATGAGCGTCCTTGTCCAGCAGGTGCTTGTTGGACCAGGCTAGATTACAGCGCAGACACAGACAGCGTACGTACGGAGTCCCGGGGGAGAGCAATTGGCAAACTCTCAATGATTGGGTGGTGGGCGCCACCGAGTCTGGGGAAGCACGCTCGGACCAACGGCTTCTTTGGAGTTGACAGTACGAAAGCAAAGATGGCAAAAAGGAGAGAGAAGTGCAAAAGGTTGGGAGGTGCACGCAGCAGCAGGAGGAGCAAGTTGCAGTTGCACGAGCAGTGACGACGAGGAGCAGCAGAGAGCAAGCAATGCATGCTTGCAGACGACGGCGTTGTCGAAATGTAAGCAGATCACTAGGCGCAGTACTCTCGCACTCTCTAGGGCCTAGCTTGTGGTGTGTGTCATGCCACTGGCCAGCATCCTCGTTCGTCCGCCGGGCCTGAAGCACCAGGGGTCTTTAGTAGTGGATCCCTCGTTCGATAAACGGCATTTTACAACAGGCGTCTGCCCCGGAGTACATCCGTTCCCTTGAGCAGGGTCTCGCTTTTGCCTCCGCAGGCTAGACGCCTCTCGCTCTAGCATCACGACGTGCGATCAGCGACGCGGCCTCTTCGCGCTCTTGGCCGCATCGACTTGGGCCCACCAAGTGCAGGCCGCGGCTCACGGCTTGAGTTGGCCCAACATGCTCGACGATGCCATGCTACAGCCCGTATCGCATTTGGCATACCAATGCCCTTTGACCAAGATGGACCCAGCGAGTATCCACACCTACTATCGAGCCGCCATCTCCATGCTTGCCTTGTAGACAAGGTCGAGCTCATTTCGCCTGGCCGGGATACATGGACAGCCTCCAATGGACAGCGGGCCGCATATTAACTAACGACGGACAGCACCATGATCAATCGTCCCTGCATGCATGCTAGCAGTCCATCTCTGGGGGCTACGGCTCCAACTATGCTCTGGCTTCCGAGATGGACGGGAGTTTCATAGAAACAAGAGCGTGCAGCGTGAAGCGCGCACACAACGGGACCGCGTACAAGCAAGCATCCATCCATGTCGCTACCGATCAATCAATCAATCAATCAATCCATCCACCAACCGCCCAGAACTTTGTTGACTGACTGACAGCACGGGTACGCGAAGTGTGCACTGCAGTCGGGGACAGAAGGGGGCAAGGACGATGACCTGGCAGTGGCCGTGGCCGTGGCCGTGGCCGTGGTGGCTCGGGCGGGTTTTCACCGATCGTCCGTATGCGAGCTCAGCCAAAAACACAAACAAAAAACCTGGGGAAGCTGGCGATGGGGGTGAAAGTCGAGCTCGGGCGGGCGTCTCCAGCGGAAGGCCCGCGCTAAGCCGTTTGGGGCCGAGTCTGGGGTAAGGTGCATTAGCGGCTTGCCGTAACTGGGCGCATGACCTCCAGACCTCGACGGCGTGCACCAAAGAGCCCTGGAGCTCCCCATGGCCATCTAAGCTGGCTGGCCCTGCCTGTGCAGCTACTGTAGCTAGTAGCCACTTCGTACAGGCACCATTCCCGGCTGCCAATGGCTGATCGAGCCTGCTTTGGTCCTTCAATTCAACTCAATTCATTCGGCTCGGTTAACTGGTGCAGCAATTGTCGGGAACTGTACTCTGCGCTGGGCGGAACCATCTCGGCACCAATCCGTCCACAGACAAGACGACGCACCAGCACCACCTCCTCCACCACCGGAATACCGGCGCACAATGAGCCTGCGCGCGCCTCGTACCCACCCGCAAACCTGCCAATAGGTCGCTGTGGGTATCGGCCTGCACCTGACCCTCTGCAGCGACGAGACAGCCCCCGGAACAGCTTTCTAGCCATACGCTCGTCGTCCCAGTTGCTGGTCAGTGACGTAAGCTGGCATGCCTTTACATTGCCATTGCACGTTTGTCCCTGCGAACTACTCTCGCTACGGCTTCGAGCTCCCTCATGTTACTCTACATCGCCACAGGCACGGCTCGGCTACTGCCACCATGCCATGGCTTCTCTCCCCGTTCAGTCTCTGCAGCAATCCTGGCCGGGTGACGTCGCGCTCCGTGGCAAAGAAACAGCCCCTGCCGTCTAAGAGCATCGCCAAACTCGTGGCGGATCGGCATACTGGTGCGCGACTGAGCCTTCAACGGGAAAGCCACATACGTCAATCGAACAGTGGTGGAAGAACAGTCGAACAACAGACTGCCTCACATAGCGCACCAATCCGTCTACAGCCATACAGTCAGGCATCCTAACGATCGCCCGCCAAACGTCTGTAGTACGCAGATCGAAAAGTCTCCGCGCGCTCATCTCAAGTTACTCACGGTAGATCATACTGAACACGGAATTTGATGAACAACCATGCCATCCACAACAAAGCATATGCCACCATTGCCGCTGAAGTACCTCATTACCATCTTTGTCTCGTACGTATATATCGGTTTCGACAGTGCTAAGCAAATCCCATCATTCATCCTAGCAACACCTGCGCATGGTACATGGGCTTGGGCCAATAGTGTCGTACATGCAGCGCGCGCGATAAACCATCTCACAGCCTCCTGCTCGTACAGTACATGTCGTAGTTCTGACCGGCCGGACGAGAATCGAGAGCAGAACCCACAAGCTCCATGCCAACCGAGACGGGAGCACATGCGGACTCGATGACGAGCGTCCCGTTCGCTTCAGAGCAACAGCCTGGTGCTAACTCGACATGGAAATCCCGATGCATCTCCCTAGACGCTTACCCTGGTACTCTACCTGAACGCCTGCACACAACCGTCACGCTATCTCAACCTGCAGCCCAACCTATCAGGCTACCGTGTGCTGGCAGTTGCGGCATTTCAGCCCACTATTTTGTACAGGACCGACACCTGCGAACCTTGGGTGTAGAAGCATGGCGACTGATGAAGAAGCTGCAACGCCCTGGCCTGCATGATGCTCTGTTGCATCATGGTCAACGCGCATACATCGGGAATTCAAAGTGTTTCGACCATCTGCTGCCGTGCGTCGTAACGACGTTGGCACTAGACCGCGTTAAGATCTCGTGGCCTCGTTTCAAGCTATGTCGCTACCCGGTGTTGAACATGCGATCGCGTTAACAGCACAAACATTTGGAGCTTCTGGCCAACTACCCAATGGAATGGAACCGTGCTGACGCTTGCATTCGACTGTTGCACGAGGATGAACGAGGCCCAAGAGGCTAGCTGTGATTGGCATTGCCTAGGTAACTTGCAACTGGCGTGAAGTCAGCTTCAAAGTTTGCGTCTCACGTGTCTAGGTACGTACCTCGCAACATGCTGCATTTCGCTTTCTATGTTATCATTGGATATCGGTACGTCTAGATACCTCCAAGCGCATATGGAGAGTCAAGAGCCAGCCTTCGCGCTTCGCTGCAACACTTACCGAGTCATACCGCTAATGTCCACGTCAACAAGGCGTACGCTATTCGTCTTCATGACTTTTGTCGCTCCAGTCTAGTACAAGCCCATGGCTATTTCTATCCACTGTCGCTGTTCTCCGACAGGGTCTATCGCTAAGCCCCACAGCTTCGATCTAGCAGCCCGTCGTCATCCTGTGATACTTCAATTCCAGGGAAGTTTTTGCAAGTCATTCGCTTCATTGCCGGTTCGCTCCCCGGGCTTTTAGTTTTCCGCTTCCGATGGACCTCTGCCAAAATTCAGTTGCCTCCCATCCCGCGCCCGGTCCTAAAGGTCTACCCTTCGACATCCGGGCAGGCGGGTGGCGTGTGTGTGCCCCTGCACACTCGTTGAGGCATGCAATGAAGACCCAAAGAATGCTATACGCTACCTTTCACTAGCATGTATTCCGCGCATGTCACCTGTTTTCAGCCTCGAGGCACAATTCCAGTCTAATATACTAAACCCACCGCTTGACAACGTGTCGCCGTTTTACGCCGTTTTACGTCTCTTGATTTCCAACCCATATTTTATTCCCGAGTCTCTGATTCGTTGCGCAGGGTTGTGATTTACAGCTCCATCGCCCTAGTTGACTCATATGGCAGATTATTTGCCGGGAACAAGACGACAGACCCTACTAGGAACACAGTTGCACGCAGTCTCCTGGGATATCAGGGTAAATCATTTCTACATATCGGAATAAAACCCCACGTTGCGGGAAAGCCCTTTCATTTCCGCGCCGCCACAGATGTGCTCCACACCACTCGACTAGTATCCACACGTCTTATGCCGAGCATGGCACACATCTCAAACTCAACAGCGGCGAAGGGCCCTTCATCCAAGTTTGTTGAGATGCTCACTAGCAAGGCTTCCACAGCAGCTCTTCTGGGGTTTGTGCCGCTGATCTCGTCACAGGGTCTCTTTACATAGGGTAGGTACTTGACGGCACAATCCTCAATTCGGCTGCACTGGATGAAACACGGTCTACAAAGTATGCTCGAGGTCTACCGTTCAGGACCCCTGCTGTGTGACTGACAAGGTGCCACACACCCGTTGACGCAACACAAACATTGCTATTGGCGATTCGTTACACACACGGTGCGTTGCATGCATTGGTCGGTTTACCGATACGCCTCAATTCTTGCCAGTGCTGGGCGCTTGAACTGTTGAGGTGGGAAACTGATGGCCCTCCATCCGCGTCGTTCAGTTCGTTCTTCCGTTAGTTGTTCCAATCTTGAGCGTCCAAATGGGAAGACGGTTAGTGAAGCCTTCAGCTACTACCGCCTATTTGACGACGGCAAGAGTTATGCAAAGTTTGACAAAGAGTAGCAACACTCTAATCCACCAATTTATAAACCGGTATCTCTCTAGACTAAACCACTGTCAGTACATGTAATACTACGAATCAGTTGAGAACAGATTAGATTGACATAGCTTGCATAGCCTCCAAGGCGATATCATGTACAAAGGTCCCCTTCAGCTCAGACCGAGCCTACTTTCTCTACACATTACCCATCATGACATCATGTCCACCGCCAACCAGAGGATAGCCGAGAAGAAATAAACAAACAAAAAGGAAATGGGTGGGGTATCTCGAGCTCAGACGAAGAAACAAGGACGTAAGATGCGTCGCTCCCACCGACGTAACGCCCTGTCATGGCCGCCATGCTCAAGAGCCAGTAAGAGATGATTTAAAAACAAAGAATCCAGAGATCCGAACGCCGCGTGTAATGCCCATACAACCAAAGGCCCATGACCGTAAAGTTGAATGACGGTGCCTCTTCAATATTCGCCGTGTCGTGCCCATCAAAGGTTGAGAATCCGCGGAAAGGGTGTCGAAATTGCTCACAGCTCCATGCGATCCATGAGCCCCTCGCTCATAGTTCTTACACCGCTCTTGCCTCTGACCCTCCCCGCCAAGCTCTCCACGTCGCTACCGCCCTCACTTTCGTAGTAGTCGGCATCCATGCTCATCTCCCTGGCAGGGATGTAACTCTCCTGCTCTGCATCGACAATATCGCCCGGGTGGTCAATGACCATGTTGTCTAGCTCGTCAGAGTCGCCGTACGCTTCGAGTCCTTTTCGTGCCCGATCGCCTAGCCAGTATTCGGCACGCTTCCGACTGCCCGCGTTGGCCGAGCTCTCGACTTTTGTGGCTTTGAACTTCGACATGAGCGACATTGCGATGCTAGGCGAGTTTGATAGCGCAGACACGCCCCGGAGATAGAAGTAAGCCACACGTTTCCGATCCCTGTTATATAAGAAGAAATGATGACTCCATATTGCGCCGTCGTCGGCGAACGGGTCGTCCGAGGGCTCCCACGCGTAGTATTCGCAGGTTGACATGTCCATTTCGCTATCCAACAAGTACCAACTCCGTGGGCTCCAGATTGGTGAGCCAAGCGGTGTGACGGCGCCGGCGGGGAGGCCGGCGGAGTAGACTTGTGGGCGGAGGTAGTACATTGTAGTGTCGATCTTGTGCATAAAGGTGGCTTGTGTCTCGCGGCGGAACTCGTCGGGGTTTAGGGTGTTTGCAAAGTCGTAGTCGATGTGTGTCGCGTTTAGCGTTGCGATAAGGTAGGCAAAAGTATGTCGGTTCGCAGCCTCGTTGAAGGTGCCGAAGGGGGTGTCTCGTGCAATGTTGAGCTGGTCTGCGAACTGCGCGGCCGATTGCTCCGAGAGGCCTGCGACGGCGGAAAGCAGCTCTTTATGCCGTTCCTCGAGCGTCTTCTCGATGCGCTTGTACAGTTTCTTATCGCTCCCGGCGGCTTTGACGGTCCAAAGATCGCAGCCGCCGATGATGGCTGTGTCTTGGGTGTCGAAGTTGAGGGCGAGGTTCACCTCGTGGAGGGCGCACAAATCTAGGTACTGCGGACCCGCCTGATTAGCCAGAAGTTCGCTTTGAGCCTTATCGCTACGAGTACACACCTTCATTGCGCCGGCTGGGATCTGTTTCGCCTTCACTAAATGTTGCGTTGTCTATTGCGTTGGACGTGGGCTTCACAAGGACACGGTGGTGGTGTCAGCGCGCCGAAGCTGCTCGCTGAAGGTGCTCCTTTGTTGGTGAGGCGTGGCCTGCGCGAGCCGATACAACGAGTAGACACAACTCTAGGCTGGCTGCGGAGAGAAGAGGATACTGCTGCTCGGCCAGACGGTGTCTAGCAGGCAGGGGACATGTAGCTGGCGATATCGCGGTGAGTGGTGTGAGTTGTTGCTGCGTCGACGTGGATGCTGGCGATTGCGGAGAAGGGGATCCTAGCTTGGCCCTGCTGCTGAGCTAAGACAGCACGACGGCATGCGTCTATGCCTCATTGGTCCAGACGAAAGCGGCGCGACGATTCGTCTCCACCAACGACAAGAGTCGAGGAGACGGAATGCGAAGTTGGCGACAAGTGACTGGTGTGGAGCCTGGCGTTAGTGTTGCGCGATGCTTGCGAGATACTCGGCGCGACTCTGCATGCTGTGTAGAGCGTCATATCCGGTGGCATTGCCAAGCATGTCAAGACGAGACGAGACAGTACAGTAGTTGGGTTGCCTGGTAACGAACCCTGAGGGGATTCGGCAACTTTTTATTTGATATATGTATGCTAGGGTTCTGGAAGAAGGATCATGATATGATCCGAACCCGATTGCTGTCACTGAGTGTGCGCAACGTGTCATTACTTGAACAAGGACCCTAAACTAGATGGATAAGTAGGTTAGAACCAACAAAAATGAAAGAGAACGGATGGTCAAAGTGATAGCAAGGGTGAAGCCTCGATGGCATGACATTGTCATCATGTTCGAGTCCCATATCCGCTTGTGCCAAACCTAGCTGAGTCGAGCAATGCCCGCTAGGCCGAGGTGAATGTAATGTAGTAGACAGAGTACAGCCATCGCCATCCGCTCTACAAGGCAGAATGGCAGATGGTGCGTTCTCCAAACCCCCCAATGACCACGCTGAACTGTGTTGTCCCGCTATGCGACGACACCTATCCGTGGGAGAAAGATTTTAGCGTAACAAGTGCCGTCAAGGAACACAATGGTGGTATACGACCTCGCCAACCTGGGAGCTTGATGCGCCATGACCTTATGACGCCGTGCAATTCATTCCGTACCAGACGCTTGGTGTGACTCCATCACACAATACCGCTGTCTCGAAGCCGGCCTTTGAAGTCGTCCGCATCCTGGAGGCCGCAAGGCACCGTTAGTGAGGGCTCTTGCGGACGGTCGACGCGAACCACCAGGAATTGTGGGCTATGTAACTGTGCGCCTCGTACACGGATGTTACATAATCTTGGTGACGATGTCGTCCTCGGTCTGGCCAAAGAAAGGCGCGTCAGCCACAGGGCGCTATGGGTGCGGCGAAGCGACGAAGTTGATCAAGCCTCACTCACCTCCATGTCTTCGAGGCTGTCTTGCTGTCCTATACACCTCAACACATTCTTCTTGCTGCTCTCCTGCATGTCGCCCGCAAGCAGGAGCTCGTCGAGAATGAAGTATGCTTTCTGGAAGTTGAAGATGATGTCGAGCTCGCACACGTTGCCGTAGTATTTGTCCATCTGCTCGACGTAGCGATGGACGATTTCGAGAGTGATCAGCTCATTGTCGGTCGAGTCGCAGCCGGCGATGAAGAAAAGGGAGGCATATCGGCGGTATACGATCTTGGTGTCTGGGAGAATGGGTGAGCCTAGCGGAACAAGCAGTACCCCCAGCGGACCCACCAACCTTTGTACTCCAAGAAGTTGCACATGCGGGTGCGGCGGGCGAGGACGAGCTGCGAGACGTCTTTTACGATTTTGGCCTTGTCTTTGGGCGCGAGCGTGGTGAACCACTTGGCTAGACGCTACCGAGCTTCAGCAAAGGCATCTGGCATTTCAGGGTGAGGTACCAACCACTTTGCCCTGCCGCGAGAGCAGGATGAGGTATCTGCAGCAGTTAGAGTCTAGCACAGGAGGTAGATGATATGATGCCAAGGGAAAACGCACTTGATGGTCATGTTGTCTGGAGGGAGAGGGTTGTGGTATGGTTGGTGCACTTTTGCAAGCAACAAGTTCGGAGATCGGTCGTCCTACTAGTCTTCAGCCCCGCGAGGCGGGCGTGCACGTCAATGCGCCCTCATCCACACCCCGCCATAGATTATCAGAACAGAGTCACTTGAGCACCCGCTGATCTTTCTCTGGCAAATCGAAATATCCTTCGCTCACAATTGGCACCCTTGCCAGCTTTTCGCCCAGCACCCACGTACACGCAACGCGCCAACTTTGCCCAGACCCACCCACTCGCTGACAAACATTCACTCCCTCTTTCCTACTTGGAACTGGTTGTGACTTGCTGCGTAGCCCTCAGAGAGTCTCAACGCGCAAAGGACGACCCGTATACGGCTTTCGAGCCCCCAAGCGCCGCCATGAAGCTCATTCTATCCACCTCGTACGAGTCTTTCATCCTCTCCATTTCCTAGCTAACAACCCCAGGAACATCATGTCCGGCAGCCCCTCTGTGATCCGACGCCCCTTCTTTGAAAAGTCAAATACAGAACTCACCTCCTCCCTCCGCGCAAACTTCTCCTCTCACCAGTCCACAACACCCCCGACCAACGGCACGCAAGCACCCTCCAATACGTCCTACAAGTCATGGACCACAAACTCAGACGCCGCTTTATACATACCCACACATACACCCTCACTACTGAGCGAGCCCCGGAAATCCTACGATATTACAGTCAAGCTCTTCTACCTACCGAATATACCAGCAAATAGGCGATGCGCACAAACGCGAGAAGCCATCGAATTAGTGCTAAAAGAGCTGGGCACAAGCTCGATAGACTTACTAATTGTCAGCTTCCCGGGAATATCCTTTGACGCCGACGATGAAGACTCTGATTTGGACGACCCTCCCTCCGCTCCTCAATCTACCTCTGAGAACAACGACGGAGGATGCCTCGACTCTGGCGTCCCACCCGAAGACATTGAGACAATGATCACAACGTGGCGGACGCTAGAGAAGCTCCAATCGGACGGGCTGGTAGCGAAGCTGGGCATAGCCGAGTTTGGAGTGACGAGGCTGAGCAAGTTTCTGGAGCAGGCCAAGATCAAACCGAGTGTCAATCAAATTAATGTGAGGGATTGCTGTGTGGTTCCGAAACCGCTCATCCTCTACGCAAAGCAACAGCAGATTGAGCTGCTTACACATAACGACTGCACGAACATCTTACCACGGGGTACCCTGAGGCAGATATTGGGGTCAGGGGAGCATGGGTCGGGAGTGTTGGCGGGAGAGGGGAATGAGGATGGGCTGAGGGGGGATGTGGAGCCGCAGTGGGTAGTAAAGTACACCGCAGTAGTCAAAGACCGGGGCGTAGTAGAGAGTAAAGGCTACTTCGCCGCTGCAGAACTGAGGGAGGGGTGAGCGAGCAATAGCGTCAAGTCGAACAGCCGAGGCAATTGCGGTGTAAGACATATCCTCCGTTCACGTATCCAAGATGCCAATCCTCTGAAGTGCTGAGCTTGCTATACATTCTTTCTTTAGGATTTATCTTCAATCTATACCCTCTTCCACTCTAGAATATTGTGTTCCATACTCCCTTCAAACCTTTCTTACCTCCCCACATTCCTCACACGCCAAGGTCGCTTCCAGCAACGCATGCCCGCATATCTTACAATACACACCTTCTACACGTCCCTCCTTTTCCGCGGTCCCCTCTTCATAGCGTGGAAGCCTTGGATAAGGCGAAGGCGAGCGAGGCGCTACATACTTCGGTCCGGTACGTACCTTGTCCGTGGGTTCGAGGAACGATGTAGTACGCCGGCGCATGATAGGGGCTGGCGGTCTTTCTGGTCTCTCTGGTCTTTCTGGGTCTGGCATCGTCTATAATGTTTATACCGTAATTTGTACAAAGTGCTTGGGGGAAGTCGTCGGGATTGTTGATTGCTTGTTTACAGGGAACAGCACAGCGGGTCTAAGGAAAGAAGGGGATGAAGACGAGAAGAGCTGCTTGGTGAGGAAGTATTTATATTCGTGGTCGTGGTGGTGAATCTGAGGGGATGGGCGATGCCGATGTACTTCACGGGGTAACTGTTGAATTTGATGTCGATGTATGTAAGAAGCAAACCTGGTGAAGACTTCTACATGGATATAAGTTTCCAAGAGGATGAAGTTGCCTGTATTCATGATCATGATTCAATTCGATATGAGTCACTTCTACATTCTGGAAGACTCTCCTTCAGTAAGACTCATGTACCTCCCTACCTCTGGCCTATTTCTAATTCCTAACGCTCGTCGCGCCAAATTAACTATACGTAATTTCTGACAGTCGACCTGTTATAGCACCATCTCCACTCGACCCAAAGACCTGCCTTTCCAACTTCCGCAAGCAACCCCCGAATCTGGATATCGAGCGTTACACCCAACATCGTCTGTGGTACGTACTAAGCAGCCAGTGTACGCATCGGTAAACGCACGAATACGAATATAAACCCCCTCGCCCCAAAAATGCCAAATAGACCTTACGATGTCGTTCTCACCGACGAGGACTATGATAGTGGTGACCAAAACCACGACGATGACGACGAATCTGATGACGACGAGTTCGATGACGAGGTCCCCTATGGCGTTGGTTTCGGCGAGTGTTGGCACTGCAGCGCAGCTTTGTATTACACCCGATTAGGATTAGAGTGTGGGGAGTGTGAGATGCCAAACTGAAGACAAACACTCTTCGTTGTTTACAGTGTTAGATATTGCTTAATGATGACTTCATGCTTTTTCATGCTGTGTGAATCAGGATAGTATTCTAGCGAAGTGCAAGTAATGTGATGTTTCGTCAATCAGTATTAGACGCAGAACTCCTTATTTCGTGGTAGGAACTCTTTCTGTCGGGCTCAGATTGTTCGCTTGTTAACTAGATATAAAGATAGGCGGCTCAGAAGTGACGGTTCATATCGGTGTTTATCCGAGTTCTCAAAGTCCGAATGTTCGTCTACTAACAGAATCTGATAGTGTGAAGGAGTCTATGTTTCGTCTGCCAACATATACAGATCCTGGTAACACGTTCGTCTTACTCACGCTCAATTTATTGAATACTTTGGATAGCAGTGGTGTGATTTCAGTACTCTTATTTTCTCCCCATTGCATTCGCTTTGCATATAGTGATTGTTTACATGAACGAAGTTCAGTGCCGATGTCATTGAATATGCCTTCTTGCGCTATCGCATGGTTATTTGTCAAGTGAATATGTTAGAACTTAATCATGTCGTGTTCGTTACTCCTGTTTGTAACCCCCGTTCGTACCTCCTGTTTGGGTTCCAGATATTGAGTACGCTTGAACCTGTTGCTGTAGATTCACAGCACACTATTCAAACGCATCGTTAACCAAGACTTAAAACCCAAACTTGACACCCCCAGATCTACGAAAGTCTACAACAACTTTGCCTTCAAGTCGCCCAGCATGACTACCAATATCGAATCCGATGAGAACCCCGAGCTCAGAGCCCCAGTCCCAGTCGCCGAATATGATGCACAAGCTCCTGGCCATGCGCCATTATTGGCCGCAGCCGCTGTATCGCACGATCACCATAGCACAAACCCAGGATCACCATATGGGACTTCACACTCCGAGATGAACGCCTCGACCTCCCCTTATCATACCGGACCACCCATGAAGCACATCCGTCGCCCATCCACCACCTCCTCTCTAAAGAACGTTGAGAAGTGGGACAAGACAGGCACGTTCGGCACCAGCTCAAACCCTAAGACTCCGAAGATCGAAGAAGATCAAGAAAAACAGTACAAGACAACCTTGACGGGTGTAGAGATAGTGGATGAAGGAGAAAAGGACAGTGATGGAAATGTGCTACAGGCGAGCCACGAGCGGTGCGATGAATGCGGTGGAAAGATAGTATGGGCGACGAAGGGGGAGTACCTCATGATTTGTGGGGAATGCGGAGAGCCGCAGTGAAGGTTTGACTAAAATAAGGGGCTATCGGATCTGGAACGACTGAAGCTAGTCTTGAGTAATGAAACGTAAGCTACCAGCAATCCGGGGTACGTCATCTCGACGTTTATTATAATGATGAAAGTACTTCCATATCCGCAAAGGCAATGTTGTGCAAGGCAAAAGTTGTGTTCAAGACTGCATTGAAGCCAAGCCGTAGCAGACCGTGATTTCGAGCACCACTCGATTGCGTTGTAGTTAGAGCCGCCCGTACGCTGATTGAGCAGCATATTAGCACGCTTGCGACTCGGCGGTTTATGTGAGGCTTAGTTAGTAGTGCTGTTCACATGACGTAAATTGAGTAATGACTACTTGACTATCGATGAGTTTATGGGGTTAGTTAGTTGAAAAAGAACCGAAATGATCATGAGATTTAGTAGCTTGTTGTTACAGTTCGAAAGCCCATCGTAAGGTTTCGATCCTCATTTGCTATTAACTGCCTTTAAATCCTATACGGGGAAATAGTCGCCATTCGTACGTACACTACATGCTTCAAACCGCGCAGAATGATCGTCCACGACTCCACTATGCAATCCGGCCCTAAAAGAAAAGAATGGACGTTAGTTCGCATAGAATGAGAATGTATAGGCATAAACACAAGTTGAGCGCTTCGAACTCGAGGCGTGGACGCTCAATCAGTCTATAGTGTCGTCCAGGTTGCTTATCATGGCTCAGTCATCACCATTTTGCATATTAGTGGCTTATATGTTGGACCTTGTCACCGGCCTAGTCCCAAGCCGATCAACTAACACATCAAGGCGTCAAGAAGCACCTGTTGGCCCTGTGATGGGGACGAATAGAGCGCTGTGGATAATGAGGCTGATCATGTAAGGTTTAAGGGAAGTCCGCGCCGACCCGCGACCTAAATAGGTTCCAATTAAAACTAGCGACACGTTACTCCCCCCGCATTGAGCTCTAGCAATAACTATAACAGGCGAAGGCCAATCGAAGACCACTTATCATGGGCTGATTTGCGTTTTCCTAACAATTATTAACACCACCATCTATGCCACGAAGCGTGGTGTTTCTTCGGCCGATGCGGCTCCAAGCTAAAACGAGACAATGATAGCTAGAAGGTTCATTCACCTGCCTGGTTAGTTTAACAATAACTCCACACTTCAGACTGTGCCTTCGTATACGACACCGAGAGCTGGAAATCTGAAGATGCTCAACGAAGCGCCGAATCCGCCGGACGAGCATACATAAAGAACCAGATATCGCCCAACAAACCAAATCTTCACCACTCCACAGCCAGAACTTCCCACACTTGACTTCAAAATCTCATCACGATGCTATTCCAACAGTACCTTGGCCTTGCTCTCCTGTCCGTCGTCGGGACAGTTACTGCCTCGCCCATCGAACTCAGCAGCTCCACCAGCGCAAACCCATCCCATGGCATCTTCAAGCGCGTGGCCTCCAACATCGCCTGCAACAACAATCATGGCGCCCTGGGATCCGATTGCGTCAAATTGATATCCCAACACAACAACGATCAGACGATTCAGAGACCGGACAAGAACGGTCGCGTGGGCATTTACTACGGTAGTTGCCTCGCCACCGTCAACTACTACTCGAACACTGCTTTGTACAACCAACACGGTGGCCCGGTTTACACCAATGATGCTCTCGCCGAAATGGCGTACGAGGTTTATGCAAAGTGTTTCCAGGGGAACACGCAGATCTATAAGAGCGGCGTGGGTTATACGGATAAGACCAATAGTGGAGATGGAAAGGCGTTCAAGTTTTGCCTTTGCAACAACAATAGCGGTGGTAGCTGTTAAGCGGCTCGAAGTGGTAGAAGAGGAGCGAAACAGGACAAGAAGGACGCGGAGAAGCATTGGTAGAGGCAAGATGTGTGGGATGAGATGGATAGGAATGGAAATTGTGTAGGAGACGCGGAAGACATGGAGAGAGAGGTGGAGGAGAGAGGAAGGAGAAGGGGGTGGATTATTTATCTATTGTTATCGCTCGCTCATTTATATATTCACTGGTTATCCTGAAAACAAAGTAGAAGCTGTTTAGCCTGGCCAACATACCAACAGTCGCTCATTTAGATCTATCCAGTGGGTGCAGCATATTTGTGCCTAAAATACAAGATCTTTAGCTCACTTTGGGACATGCATTGGCGTTGCTACGTCTTCTTTGACTAGTTGACGACTCGCATCTATGAGTCTATACGGTTGACGTGAAGACGGCGTGCTATTGGCAATGCAGCTTCGGCTTGACCGTGTACTTCAAGCTCAATGTAGTAGTGCGGTTCACATGACACAGTGAGTAGTGATTACTTAAACTAACCAGGCTATAAAATTACAGTGCAGGAATCGAAACGATGTTATGAGATTCGGCAGCTTGTAGTCTGAGGTCAAAATATCCTTTCAAGTACGTATACTGTTTGCTTACTACTCAGTGGCGCAGAGGGGCCGTCCACAGCCCCATTGACACAGCAATCCAGTCCACAAAGAAACTAACGAATGTTAGTTGCTTGGGACAGGTATGAAACGCAAGTTAAGCGCTTCACACGCCCAACCCGTCGTTCACTTGCTTATCCCAAGTCGCTGCGTGCATGCTGCACCGTCATCACCACGGCCTTGCATGTTGGTGGCTTAGTGCAAACCCCAATTTGGGCCCTGAAACAGGCCTCGTGGACAGTGATATTCACCGATCAAGGTCGCACAAGCTCTGGGCCCTATATCAGACTTACCCTTAAGCATGAGGCCTACTAGCTTTATCGATAGTATCAAGTTTGCTATACCGCATGGCAACTGGGCGTCTTCACCGATGAGAAGCTAGACGGGCCACGCTTGATGCAATCCCAGCGCTACGGCTGCTGGGAGTTTTCCAGTCATGGTAATGTGCCGTACACCACTAGCTGACCACGCCGCAGAGAAGCCGAAAGTTGAGGCAACGTTGGCCGGGCGGGAGGCACTTCCGGCTGGTATCGCTTGGAAGAGTGTTCTTGCGTTTGAACTTGGGATGCACTTCGCCGTGGGACTGCCTAGACGCCGAGATGGTGTTCGCCGTCCTCGACTGTATGAGTGTGCAGCAAAGAAGATCAAGTCGACCACGCCGCAATAGGCGCTGCGAATGCCCTCACTAGTGCCATGGAGGTAAGCCACTCGTTAGGCGTGCGACGGTGTGGAGAAGTCTCCCATATTCATCAGCCTTTCACCGCGCTAAGGCGAGGCAATGGCCCAGTTAAACAACTCTCTGTCAGCCCTGCCGATCAGTGTCGCGCATGCGCTAAGGCAAGGTGCAGAATCGAACTGTCGCGATACGAGTTCAGCCTCGGCAATGTGCAGCTAGAGAGAAGCAACTCCTCATAGCAATGCGAAGTACGCATGATGTTCGAGAGTACTGTGTTGTATTACATTAGAAGGCTTAGGTGCATCAATTGAACATGTCGCTCCAAAGCGAATGATTGTGGGAGCTGGATGCAAGATTGACGTGAGTTTCAACAAACGTGGCGCTCTGTAAGCAATGCCCGGGCTGTTGGATCAGCAGCAGCGCAGTCAGCAGCTCCCTTGCGCAATCCCCAAGCGGAGATGTGATCGATGACTTGCGTGGCTATGATCGGTGTAAGCGTTTATCGCCGAGCCAAGTTTGTTAAAAACTGGTAGCGTGGATAGAACAGATAGACAAGTCTAGTGCTTGGACTTCCGTATAGCCGTAAGCCAAACCCACCTACGCTGGCAAATAGGACAAGTACACTGGCATAAAACGAAGCAGGTGACGGGCACTCCGTTACGGGATGGAGGGATGTGAACGCTATTGCAAGGTGGCGCTGTGTGTCTGGGATTGCTTAGCCAGCCACGCGTGACAGCTCAGCTCAGACACATTCGGCGATAGCAAGCGAAGTGTTGGCCAAGAACAAGCAATTGATGCTGCCGTGAGTACCGAGACTGGCGACTCAGAAAGGCACTTGTTACTTGGCTGGTCAGGAGGTTTGGATGGCTTTACAGTCGTGAAAGGACGTAGCCGTTCATGTCATCTAGACTGCCTGTGCAATTAGTTCGGGTTGTTTCTAGAAAATGCAATCACTTGTGGAAGTAGACCACATCGGGCTGTTCAATTACAAGGTTGCAAAGGTTCAGCTGTACGAGGTGTTCCTGCATCTCAAACTGCCGGTAAAGGCTGCACGTCATTTCGGATCCGGTTTTTGGGTGTGGAGCTGGAGCATCTGGTTCGTCAGGGAAGATGGGGGCCATTTTGGACAGGCGGGCGGACGGTGGGGGGAGAAACAGAAGGTGCAGTACTCGGAGGCAGTTTGAGTGATATGTAGCTGTAATGAGTTGTTTTGTGTTGCGACGGTAGATGGTTGGCTATACGCATTATGAGTGGCAGGCTCTGTGGGCTGGGACGTAGCCAATACATGGCGCTGGGTGAGCATTAGCGATAGTAGTGATGGTATTCGCAAGGAACGAGCAAATTACCACAGGCCCTCTCGTCGAAAACCATATCAACCAAGCGCAAGTGCCGTTGTGGTGGACATCAAGGCATCAGTTCTTACATTGTTCGGATATTGCGCTCCGTCTGTGAGGCTGGAAGGAATGATGGGGTGGTGGTCGAAAAGGGAAGGTGCAGGTGTGGCTTGGCGCCAGCCATTGGCCAGAAATGGTCAGCACTTTCTTTGTTGTTGTTCTCGAGGTCCATTCAGGAGATTCTTAGCATTCGGTAATTGGCAATCTCATCTGGAGAACGAGACGGCGAGTCTTGATTCCCCGCGCTCCTTGCGCCGACCTTGCAACGTATGCAACATGGACAATTGCCAGCAACTCCCTGATTGAGCCACTATCCATTGCGACAGCATGCGCAGTCGCCCCGGAAGCTGCTGGAGACGGAAGAGGCGGCAGGGGTCGTGCACCATGGAATCTCCCTCTGGGATGCTGTAGTTGTAAGCTTGGTAGCGCTGGGAAGCCAATGGATGAATGCGGAGAGGATAGTGACGCGTGGAGGCAGTCGTGGCGGTGCCCAACGCTTGCGAACCACGGTAGCACTGGCGCGAGGCATAGGCACAACAAAGAAGCGCGGATTCCGAGCAGCTCTGGAAGCTCGACGACACTCACGGTTCTGCGATCAGGTGTGACCAAGTGGAGCCCAGAAGCGAATGCTTGTTGGTGTTGGTCTTGTTGTTGAACAGAGCCTGCTCTTCTCACCGCTCGTTCCGCCCGGCACAAAAGATGTGGTCCCCAAGGCGGACGAGAGGTTACCAGTGAAGCCGTTGCGCGCGCTACAACCCACAGATCGGATCGCTAGGCCGAAATCACGCTGGCCGTGTGACGATCGGCATCGTCCCAAGGACGTGTTTTCGTGTTGCTTCGTAAAAATCTTCTCAACCTCGGACAACCTCTGGCCTTGTCCTTGTCGACGCCAAAGGGAGGTGGAGATTGAGAAGATGAGGATTTGCAGCCATGACGGACTCGGGAATTGGCACCGATGAGACCCTGAAGATCATGATACTGCTTATGACGTTGGACTCATCACTAAAACTAACTGCTCGGGAGGGCCGGCATGGCTCTTGCGAGCTGCTGGGAGCCAGCCAGGAGAAAAAGCGCCGACCCGAACATGTCCAGCTGGCACACGGCGTGCTCACAGCAACACATGCTTTCAAGTCGTACCTGGAATTCGCAATGGCTTGCATTAGCAATGCGGGTAAGCGATACATAGCTGGTTGTTGGGCGGAGCGACTAATAAGTGTGACGAGCATGATCACGATTGACGACAAAAAGCAAATCTGGAGAAAAGCAAAGCTTGCCGATGGCGTTGCACAGACGCCGACTGACTGTAAACCTTGGAACCCCCGTCGTGGCGGCTTGAGACACAAAGGGTGTCGAACCTTATGCAGCTTCGAGGCCCAGGTCACCGTCCTACCAAAACGATGTCTGCACAGCATATGCATCTGCACCGTTATCTATTACCTTCCGCCAGCCGCCATTGACGTTGTTCTCCAGCAATGCATGCTGAAAGTGCATGTAGCTACTCACCCTGCCTGCAACGCGATCTCCTCAAGCCTCGCACGGTCATCCTCCTGCTCACGACTGTGGCAGGCTGTACGCCCAGCCAGGCAGCAAACCACCGTTGCTTCTTTGATCCCGCTTCTCCGCAATTCGTCTATCACAACCTATTTATGGGTGGCAAGGTCGAGCTCGTCGATGATGGGATGGAAGAGGAAAGGCTCGGCAGTGAAGAGGCGTCGACTTGCCCCTGCATAGCTAGTAGGCTCCCAAAACGGGCGTCGCTAGGTCGATTGGCCGCCAACAGCGGATGCATATCAAATTGAAGCTTGGCCAAATTCCATCCCGGGTTGGATGGACCCACCTCGAACGGGTACGGTGAAACATGTCAGTCATGCCAATCTCACTGTCGAAGACTCGGACTCGGGCTGGAGGTGATGAGCTTCGGACCGCGTGAAGACGAGAGAGCTGTGAGTGTTGGCACGCGGAAGTGCAGCGGGCAAGTGGTATCCATGCGCTGTGATTGCTTGCCGTCGTGCCCGAGGAGGATTAGAGGGCAATAAGAGCGAAAGAGGGGTAGCCAAGAAAGATCTGAGAGATGGATAGCCGGCTTGAGCGAGTGGGAGATTCCCGCAGCGCGCAAGGGCTGTTCATCTGCTTCTCGCGGGTAGACAGCGAGAGAGCCGCATGCGGCAGTGTGGAGAGGTTGGACTTGTGTGGTTGTTGTTGTTGAAAAGCTGGCAGGGTGATTGCAAACGGACAGGGAGCTAACCACGCAGGTGCTCCAGTCTAATAACACGATATGAGCAGGCATTGGCGCAACCGAGGAGGAGGAGAAGAAGGAGGAGGACATGATGGGGGTGTCGTCTTTGTGAGAGGGAAAAGTAGGGAGATTGGCTGGTGGTGGTGGTGGTGCTGGTGCTCAGGAACAGCCGCATGTTTAGATTCACATACATGGATACATACAATTAGATACATACAGCATAGATACATACAACCATACATGCATAGGCCGCTCGGGATACGGTGGGCACCAGGCACCACGACGAAATGAGGAGGGGACGTGGATGACATGGGCGACAGCGAGCATTATCCACTTTGCAGGGGGGTCAGCCACGAACTGCGATACCCCTGCTCCCCCCAAGGCCATCCGTGCTAGCGCGTCGCCGTCCTGGGAAGGAACGACCGACAAAAGCGACGGCTTGCCCAGGTGCCTCTTCTCTCACCCACTCCGCCTATCTGCCCATCACCACCTCTCCCGCCGCTCCCCTCCGCGCCACCCCTCCCCCTCCTCCCAACCTTCGCCATCTCTGGAGCCCATCGTCGCCCTCATCCCCACCGAGGCGACGTGCGGTATCTGTCCGCTCATTTCCCTGTCATTCCTTAATCTTGGGTGTACTGGCTTCACTCAATCCTACTCCCACCACGCCCACGCCATCTACCCTACCAACATTGCGACTTACCGCGCCCTCCATCACCTCAACTTATATATCCTGTACGCACCCGTCCTGCTGAGCGTCACCTCACCTGCCTACGTGCTGACACGGTTTTGCGGTAGTTGTAATCGCGGCGTCAGCACCTTGTACCTCGAGAGCGCTTGTTTCGTCTCACTTCCGCTGTGCTCCAACTCGTAGCACCTCGTCGCCCGCCCGCCCATCCAACCAGACACAACCCGTCTGCATCCGCCGCGCTGTCCCTGGAACGCACTCTGCAGTGTGTCCGTTGGCGGTACCATACCTAATTTCGTCAAGCCTGTCCGCCGCAACTCGCGGCGACCGCAAGGGCAGCCAGTATAGTTACCATGGCTCAGATTGCCCTGCCACGACACCAGGCTACACAGTCGCAGTCTGCGGGTATAGGCTCACCGCTTTATCAGCGTCGACAACAATCCAATGCCGGCCCCATAGAACTCATCCCTAATCCCGAATTCTCATTCCCCATGCGAGAGCCAGACGCATCGTCTTCAGAGCCTGTACCGATCAGCTCACGCCCAATGTCGCTACAGGCCTATCCAACAGGCCGTCGAGCGTCAATGCCGCACCAGAGGCAGAAGTCTGTCAATGCCCTACCCGAGTTTTCGTTCAATCCTGCAGGTGCTGCGAAAACAAGCACAGGCACTTCTCCACCACATTCGCCTACGACACTGCCAACAACGCCGTCAAAACCGATCCACGGGCATAGAAGGGGCGGAAGTGAGTTCATTGGTGGCGCCGGCACGGCACTGATGAGCAGCAGTCCTACAAAGGGCGATGATGTCCTCCCTCCTCCGAGTACCACACTGCGACCTGGTCCACCCGCGGGCCGTCGTGGCCATGCTCATCGCCGCTCGGGTGCCATCTCCTCCCACGATCTGTCATCAATGATGAGCCCTCCCGCTCCTTCGCGATCAGGTAGTGCACCCTCTACACCGTCCGAAGGCAACAATGAGTTCAAATTCGGTCATTCGTTCAACAGGTCGACTTCGCAACCATCATTACGGGATACTAGTGCGGACGACGACTCGACTGCACGGCCACCTTCGAGGGCTCGGGTTGGATTCTCCGATAGAATCGAGTACATTCGCCCGCTCTCAACCATCTCTTCAGAGACCGAGACATCCATGTCTACAATTCGAGGCCATTCGGCGACGAACAGTCTCTCGTCAATCGTAGGAGGCAGCAGTCCACAAGCAGCTCGCGCAGGTCGTCCGTCTCTGAGCACGGTCGAGGATGAAGGACGACCAAGTACCGCCGGGGCTGTCTTAGACAAATTCATGAGCAGCCCGCTCAGTGGAGGACCGTCTGACCGGAAACGGCCCATGTCCGCTGTTTCTCCCATTTCGCCCACTGCCCCAAATGCTCGAGTTCCGGTCAAGCGACGAGGCTTCTTCCGACTAGAGTCACGACGTACCGATCACTCGAGCCACACGCTTCCCAAGAGTGTTTCTGATCCCGCTCTTTCAAACTCACTTGAATTGCCCCTCACATCGCCAATGATTGATGACGAGGAATCCGTAGAAGACGTTGAGAAGACCAAATCAATTCCACGAAAATTCACTCGCAAGCCTCGCAAAGTCAAGTCTTGGGCGAACTCGATCCTTCCACGAAAAGGGAAGCACAGCAAGAAATCCAAGGCAAGGGTCGCGACACCTCCACCAGACTCGGTCCCTGATGCTGAAGACACGGATGCATCGGAGGACTTGGATTGGGAACCCAATTTCGATGAGGATACTACTGTCACTATAGTTTCACCGACCGAGTCCTCAGCTCCCGAGCTAAAAGTCGACACTAACTATGCCTCATGGCAACCCCGGCAATTGACTCGTGTCGATTCCGATGTCATGAGTCCTATCATTGACCTGGACGCTGCACTGGGACCATTCAACACACCCAATGGCTCTAGCCCGCGAAATCATCAGCGTGGTTTCTCAGCTCACAGACGAGCTATGCACAGTGCTAGTGGTGTCACTCCCAATCATCGAAGAACGGAAAGTGCACCCGAATTGGTGCCGTTCGATCTTCGGTCCTCGTCAGTTACTACGGCTTCCCCGATGGCTGACGTATTCGAGGAAGAGGAGCCGGAAGAGGAGTTGAGCCTTCCAAGAAGAGATTCGAAACCTTCGTCTGTAACCGAGGAGGCTGAAGAGCCCAAGATCTCGGTCGTAGAAGCAGACGGCAAGCAGGAAGGAGCGGCCATCAATTGGAACTTCAATGATGGCCTTGGTATTAGGCGCACAGAGAGGGGCTTTGAAGTCAACTCTTCGGAGCCTTTGTCTCCCCGTGCGCTTCCACAGAATGTGTCCAGTGAGCATTGCCCTCAGCAACCCCAGGACGCCAATGTTGTCGAGGTAGTCGAGGATTATGAAGAGCCTCGAACTTCTTCGCTAACGCATTCTTCCGATTCTACCGTCACGCCACAGCCACCAGCGGATGAAGTGAAGGAACAGCAACCTGTGATGAACTTGTCACTCCCGCTTCCGCAGCAGAGCCTCATGACACCTGACACTGTTACTTCATCCTTTTCGTCGCCGGATTACCGTTCGAGCCAAATTTCCTTCGACACTCCCCGCGTAGGCACTTCAGCTTCATCGATGAGCGATTATCCTCCGATGCCCTCACCACGCTTTGGGGAACCTGGACCTGAGCTTCGTGTCTCGGTGGACGATGTTCCTTCCCTGACATCTTCCAGGTCGACCATGACTATCGCTATGCAGAACGCTTTCCCACTTGCCAGCCCTCGCAGGCCTGGCGACCGCACGGCATCGTTGTGCTCCGACCCGAGCGAGTTGGAAACCCGGCGCCGCAAGCGCTCTAGCATTGCTAGTTTGTCTCGACTGATCAACAGCTCTTCTTACAGCGAGAGAAGCAAGCTGTCCATTGAGCAGCGCCCGCAATCTGAGTGTCTCGAACCTACCAAGGACAAGAAGAAGAACAACCGGCTGAGCAAGCTCAAATTTTGGAAGTCTTCCAAGGACTCTTCCTCGCCACGAACTTGAACCACCACATCCCAAGACGTCAAAACGTCTTGCACACATCCTACGTCCCTCTACTTCGTGGGATTGCAGCCTTGCTTTCCCGCGACTACATGTTGATGCCACGACATTATGGCTTCCATACACACCACACCCCTCTCGCATGACACGGAGTTTATCAGCGAATGAATATTTAATGGCGCATTACACCTGCGATGCATACGCGAACCGGACTTCTCTAACTCTCGTTGACTAAGCATTTTCCTTTTGTATCTTTCTTCGCAGTACTGGGAGGATGGGTATCTATCTATGGGGTCCTGATTTGCATTGCATCTTGCAGGGAACGGGCCAACATCTGGGATACTTTGACTGGTCCTCTTCTACAGCGGCGGCATATATACACCGCATTTCTCGTTTTCGCTATATCTATCAACGGCATACTGCTTGGTATTTTGACTGCGTATCTCCAAGACATGCCTTTCTTCCGCGTTTCTGCCGCGTTGGCGGGCGCTGTATGACAAACCCTCTCTTCTTCACTTTCATTAGGGCGGCGCACACCTCTTGCGCCCGAGGATCGTTCACTGCATGGTTTGGTTGGCTGTGGCTGTACGTTGAGAATGGGCAATTTCGTTGGTATCTAACCAAGAAATTGCGAATAGATAGTCGGTTGAGCTGGAGGGGGCTGCAATCTTGAACAATCAACTCATCATACAAACTGTTTTTCGTCTTGCATTTCTTCAATAATGGAGCGCAAATGATATGTGCGACATTGCCAATCTCGCCTCTCCCAGCCGCTGTACTAAAGTTGCCCGCGCTTGGCTTCCGAATTACACAGATGAACTAGCATCTTCATCCCGCAGACAGGTATATTAAAGTTATCTCCCTCCTGCATGTCCCATATTGACATAGCATGCTCCACTTGCGTGAGCTTCGACCGTCAAGACGCCCCACGATTCGGTCCAGAAATCAAGATAACCCTGAAACCCGTACAAAATTGAAGGGTCAACGTTCATTACATGCAGGTGTCACGACAACGGCGGCTGCACCTGACCGTCGATCAAGCCGTGCGCCCCTGCATCGTCTGGTGAGGGTACCTGAATCGTAAGGGTGCGGGTTCGGCTGGCAATGCATGCCATCGCGGTTGATAGCAACGGGTGCGAGTCAAGCACCCACGTTTCAGATGCTCACGAGGGCGGCGTTAGTGCGGGATGCCATCGGCTAGAGCGCGCTGTGATTGTGGAGATGGAGATGCCATGAGTCGTTGAATACGATGCTGCGTAATGTGGCTGAGTTGAAGTGGTCGTGGTCGTGGGTGTGGTTGTGTGTTGCTAGGGGGCTGCAGGTGGAGATACGGTTGTTGTACGTTATGATGATCGCTATTATATCATCAGTACTAAGGGCCGCGCAACGTGAGGGTGGAATGTAGCTTGGCAGAATGGCAGAGGACACGTCTCCTCAGGTGTTTTTGGTTTCATAGCCAATGTTAACCATTATTGTCCATGTTCAGATGCATCTCGCAGAGCATTCGAAAGCACTGCAGGATGCGTTAATTTGCGAACGTTTTCGTTACGTGCTCGATGTCTTCGAAGGACGCAGTATCAAAGTAGAGCAGTAGCGCGCACTTCTAAAAACCTCTTTCGATATCGTAAATAAATCTAGAGATGAGCACTCCATATATACCCAAGTCGAAGTCTTAAGCCGCACCCGTGGACGGGCGATACCTCATTGCGTATGGAATGGACTAGTCCCTGAACGTCTTAGCGAGATGTCGCGGGGAGCATCTGGCATCACCGAGCCTCCAGCTTTAGAGCTCCAAAACACAACACACGACCTGCCATCACCATCGAAACATGGCGGACGAAGACAAAGAAAAGGCCGAGAAGGTCGCCGCGGCTAAGAAGCGCGTAAGTAGTTTTCATACTCTTGCGAGGAGGTGGTTACGATGCTACGGGCCTGACACGGCGTCCAAGTTCCCTTGATGGTGGTCGAGCTTGTAGCATCCTCTACATTCTGGCCAATGGCTAATGATATCCTCTAGGTGGAGCAAATGAAGAAACAGAAGGCGAAGAAGGCAGGCGGCGCAAAGAAGAAAGAAAGCAAGACCGAGGAAAGCAAGACCGAAGCTCCCGCTGAAGCTGAAGCCGAAGCCTCCACCACACCCGCGAAAGCTGAAACCAAGCCCGAAGAAGTTGCGACCGAACCTGTCGAAGCCACAAGCGCTTCGCCGGGACCCGTTGAAGATGATGAAGAGCCATCGAGCCTTCCCGTGCCAAAGCCATCGCATGGACGCAAGCTTTCTGTAGCCGTCGAGTCGCGACAAAGATCTGAATCCTTCTATCGCTCGGGCGCCGCTGCTACACCAATATCTCCCAATCCTTTGTCGCCTTCGGGTGGGGTTACGAGCGAGGTATACAGGGAACAGGCGCAGAGGATTGAAGAGCTCGAGAAGGATAACAAGAGGCTAGCGGGCGAGGTTGAGGATAGTGAGAACAAGCGGAGGAAGGGCGAGGAGGAACTTGAGGAGCTAAGAGAAGGTAGAGGGGATGTTGCGCTTGCTGTTGCGAAGGGCAAGGAAGCTGATCAGCTAGTACGTTATTCGGGACGAGAACAAAACTCTCAGGCTATGATATGCTAATCTGTGATACAGAAATCAGAAGTCGAGTCGCTCAAGCGACAGCTATCGCAAGCTCAGACACAAAGCACAAAGTCCAAGAGCCGTACCTCGACCGCCTCGCCTGGCCAGACCGCATCTATCGATGACCTCAATGCGCAGGTCGCTTCAAAATCCGCTACTATCGAATCGCTAGAGCTAGAGATTTCGAACGTGCACCGCCAATTGTCAGAGGAGACAAACAAGAACAATGAGCTACAGTCGAAACTGTCAACCCTCGAGATTGCCTTACAAAAGACCGAGCAGGAGGCCAGCTCAACGAAGACTGAGCTCGAGGAGCTCAAGGCAAACCTGGACAAGGCGAGCGAACAAGTAGACAAAGAAGGGTCAGATCGCGATTCTGCACAAACACGCATCGCGCAGCTAGAGGCGGAACTTGGTGCGGCAAATCGCAAGGCATCAGACTCGATATCCCGTGCCGAATTGCTGGAGAAGAAGATTGAGACTCTTACACAACTCCATCGCGACAACGATTCCCGAAACCAGACACGTGTACAGGAGCACAAGAAGGTCGAGCGCGAAGCAGCTGAGCTTCGAACTCGCATTGCAGGTCTCAGCAACGAAAATGCCCGCCTACGAGAAGCTGAGCAGCGTCGCCGAAAAGCCGATTTAGGCTCCATCGAAGACTCCAGCGTGCAAGAGCTTGTCGATGAAGAGCGCGACAGACTGCTCGCTCAAATGCGTACTCTGGAAGAGGAGAACTTCGAGTTGAGGCGAGGGGTATGGCGCGATCGCCGCCGCGACATGCAGCCCAACATCGACGACCAAAACGACCCTACTTCCGGTTTCGACGATGTCGATCTCTCCGGCCATCCCCCCAACCGCCAGCAACTCGCCAATCGCACACACTCCACCTTCACCGACGTGCTGAACTCTGGCATTTCTGCCTTTACAGGCCAAACGCCCGCACATCGACGTAGCGATGCCGCCACCAAGCCTAAGCCGCGGCAAGAGAGCTTGGGTAGCTTGGATGAGTTCGAGATTGATGAAGGTGCATTTAGGTTAGCGCAGGAGGAGGAGGCGAAGAAGCGGATTGAGAGGGTTAGGGAGGTTAAGAGGGGGTTGGTCAACTTCAAGGGGTGGAGGGCAGATTTTGTGGATATTAGAGTGGGGTTGGGCGGTGTCTTTGAGATTTGAACGAACGCAGATGTGATACCTCATGTGTTGGAAGTAACAGCATGACCAAAAGAGTTTATGGAGCATTCAGTCACGATACATTAGGGCAACCCGAAAGTTCAAAAAGACTACAAGCTGCGGAAAGACTCGTGTGCTCACCAACGCCTCAACCGCTTGTTGGGAACTATGGTCTACAGACATGATTTTGCCTCCAATTTCTTCGTGCCTCCACCATACACATGCGTATCAGCCAGCGGCTGTCCGTCCAGCACAACACTGCGACAAACCCACGGCAACTCCAACGATCCTTCCGTCCCAGTCGCCGTTGTAACATTTGCCACGAAATCGAAACACCCTGTCTCAGCTCCAAGTACTTCCCAAGCAACAGCAAACCTACCCAAGGGGCTATCAAACCCTGCATTGACACTCTTCAGACCCGCCGGAGCAGGCCTGAACCTCCATCTTCTCCACGCTACAATCTCCAAGCCCGCAACGTGTTGACTCAACGCGATGCTTGGCCCGGAACTCCAGCCGTGGGATAAGCTGGTGTAGGAGGCGTCGTTTTTATATCCCGCGTTGCCGCGATAGTATAAGCTTCCGTTCGCGGAAATGCCTTCAGCTAACGTGCTGCCCGTCATGAGGGGGGAGTCGAGCAGATAGGTCCATAATGTACGCGTGAGGTTGAGCGCGCGCAAGGGTTCATTGGCAGCGAAGTGGGCGAGGACCTCGACGGAGGAGATGAGGGGGGAGATGGTGTCGGGCAGTTCGGGCGTTACGGGGCCGAGGGGTGTCCAGAATTTGGTGAGACTGGCGCTGAGACGGGAGGCTTGGGCAGATGAGGTGGTGAGGTTATAGAGGAGAGCGAGGGCGTTGCCGTCTTGTGGGGTTAGGGTGGTTGTTTGATTGTCGTGGTAGAGTGATAGCTCGTCAGACCAGAGAAGGGCATTGTACGACTTCTTCAGGCGTTTCGAGGCGGTGGCCCATTGTGTAGCCTGGCACAGGATAATGGTGTTCTTTGACAATGCGGATGCCAGGTTGGCGAACGAAGTCAGAGCGTGGTAGTCGAGAGCATTGAGGGCGCTATTGTAGCCCCCTCCACCCTGGCGAGCCCAATCGTTTGGTTGTGTTTGGTTGTGCAGGCCGTACTCGTTGTCGTCGAGGGCTGCTGTAATGAAGTCGATGCCTCGCGTTATGTTTGTCCAGTGATGCATAAGCCATGCCTCGTCGCTAACGAAAATAGCGTAGTTGAATATGGCGATCAAGCTCCAAGCATGATACGTATCACTCTGCGCCCCGCTGCGAAACGAGCCAGTCGCAGGACCCGCGAAAGGAAATCGACCAGTGGTGGAATTTTGGTAGTAGAATAGGGTTTCCAACGCGTTCTTCACAGATGTGAGACCGTCGGCGCCAAGGGCAAGAGCAGCCGTCACACCTTGGATTCCTAGGTCGCCGGGCCAGACTGCCCTATCTCTCTTTGCGCCATCAACGAGGATTGACTCTCCAACGCCGATGGAGTTGTTGTACGCCCAGCCCGGCCGGACCTGTGGCAACCAACGTCCAGTCTTCCGTGGGGCGATGTTGGTTTGGACGGTGTAGGCCCCAGCGTACCAAGCTCTTACTAGCATATCATCATCAGGCGTGTAGAAGTGTCCGCCGTAGTTTCGTAGGTCCTTCGTCTGAGGGGCAAACCCAATTTCACAAGTCACATTCGATATTTCCACTTTTTCGAATGCATGAATCATCAAGAACCGAAACCCTCCACGGAACCTCTCCTCCGGGATCCTGTAGAAGTCAGAGCCTGGAGAAAGAGTGACATTCAATGCCTGGTCCCAGTTTTGTGCGGGCGTTGAGCCAGTGTCGTCTGAGATGGATCGATTTGCAAATGCAGGAGACTCGGCGAAGGCGAGAGAGAACTGGGGAGCGCTAGCATTGGTACTATTATTGATGTTGGCGTTGAGACTGATCCAGCCGCCGACTTCAATACCGAAATCCAGACTGATCTGGTCACCGGCGCCAAGTGAGATGTGCCGTGGCCTAGCATCGTCTGATATCACACTAGGTGAACCGGAGTGAGAATGGACAGAGGCGGGCTTGACATATCGAGATGCTGGGCTGTGTATGTAAGAGTTCCAGGGATTAGGCGAAGCAACGACGACTGTTGTGTAAATGAGGAGTTGAAGAACGGAATCGACATATCGGAACGAAGTACTTTTCATGGTGGCCGTTGATCTGAGCTCAGGTTCGAAGGGGCTTGCAATCGCAGGATGTGAGTGCTAGGTTGGGCGCCATCTTATCTCTATAACTAGCTTGCACCGCGCAACGTTTACCGAGAAGACGTGCAAGGTACGAAGGATCTGGGGAATTAACGCGGAGTAGAACATGGGGTAAGCTCCTTGTTGATTGGAAACGTCTAGCGCAAGCGAGAGCCGAGCTTGGGGACTCTGCAGAGTGCGAAGGAGCTGTTCACCGCTAAGGCGATTAGGCACTAGATGCGATACTTTATAGTTAAGCTGGCTGGATGAGGTGTAACAAACCTGCTGTATGATCAAGCGATGGTGACGTTTATCCGACGGCCTTTGAGCAGGGCGTCATCGCCCTGAAGGTCATTGCTACACCCGGCTACCTCTAAGCCTCACGGTACAATTGTGTCCGAGGTTAGGGTTAGGAAAGAGCAAGCGTCCCTGAAGAAACTACTCCCTAGGCCAGCTCCTTCTCGCTTCAAAAATTGTCTGTCTAGACGGCATTTCGGTTGCTTAGTACGTATATGAAGTGATATCTGAACTAAAAGCCTTGACATCATAGCCAAACTGACATGGGATTTGCAGTTATTTGCGCAACGGTGATCCGAGCCGGCCTAGTCTGTAGCGGGTTAGCGCATTGTAACTTCCAGGTATCTTGCTTCTCCTCACTGTCACAGTACTCGTGCAATCCACCATTTTGTCAGGCTGCATACTCTGCGTACCAAGATGCCGCAACGCCGACTAGAACACTATTTTGTCCCCTCTCGCGCCCCATTCATCCCGACAGGATGCAGCTTCCTGGATCTCCCCCACTCCGTGCGCAAACTCATATACGAGTATGCTGGGCTAGACCGCCTTTTGGTCGACCTCAACTACTCAAATCTTAAAGTCTACCGCAAAGGTACATATCCTGAGACACGCGATTGTCGTAAGCTTGATGCAAATGGCTGGTATGATCTGAAGAAGCTTGCTGTCGCTGAAATGGACGAACTTTGGGAGATCAACAGCGACTCAGAAGATGTTAAAGGTTACGGGACGTCGTTGTGGGGCAATGCCTATGGTACGCATCAGAGCATGCTTCTGGCGTCCAAGCAGATACATCAAGAAGTTGAAGCTTTTATATATGCCGGAGCTGTGTTTCGAGTCTGTCTGGGCCAACCCTTAGGATTTACGAGGTTGTGGCGTATGAGTGACAATGCGCTTTCCAACTTAGGTTCGTTAACGATTCGGCTTGATGTCCCCAAGACTGTAGTCTGGAATAGTGCCTGGGGATATTCACCTACGCCACCCAAACACATTGACCTTGCAACCAAATGGGGAACTTTGGTTTTAAAGAACTGGATTTTGACTCTGGAACGTCTTGTTCGGTCAGTCAGGCCCGGCCAGCTCAGGCTACGTGTCGTTTTCCACGCAAAGACAATGGGCGACGCGAGAGCCGTCATCGAGCCTATGATGCGGCTCCCACTTCTAAAAGACTGTGGTATATGTGCGGAACTACATGGCCAGAGTTGTTGGTGGAAACAGAAGCAAGTCAGTTTTAACTTACTCGTACATAGAGCTACATTGTGCGATGAAGATTACTGATTCCTCGAGGCAGGACGGCTACTACCACAGCCAGTATTACGATAAGCTACGGCCTACACGTGAAGACACGGAGATCTCCCGCCTCGTCCAACAGACCATCCGGAAGCTCACCCTTGTCCGCGATAGAGACCCTGCGCCGTTTAGGTACCTAGATCTCCCTCAAGAGTTACGCTTCGCAATCCTCGAGTATACCGATCTCGTTTCTCCAGATGCCGTGCAATGGCGCCCTCGCAAATGGATTCCTCGATCTCCGTCTTGCACATATTGCACAAACGGCTATCGTACAGCGATTAAAGAGAGCGAATCTCCATGCTTTTGCCATTGTTTTCCAGGCCCAAACATTGACGATCACATACAATGGTATCCTTGTTGCGAAGATTGCAGCCCAGAAGAATATTCTAGCATATGCTATTGCTCTTCCCGCGGCCCAATCTGGTCCTCTTCTTGCAAGTGTCGTTTTCCCCCTCAAATCCTCTTCACTGTTAGCAGCCAGGTCCGTCAGGATGCTATTTCAGTATATTATGCTAGTAATCGAATATTGGTAACGCCCTATAACAGTCCCGTAATACGGCTCTTGGGATTCGATGACGGCAGGTGGCCCGCGGCTGGCATTCATTTCATGCCGAAAATCGAGCTGAGTCTCTATCTATCCTCCATTGCCCACAATGCTCTTCAACACATTCGCTGGCTAGAGTGGATACTACCGAGTTCGCAACGGACATATCTCCTCCCGAGCACTCCGGCTTGGCTCGACTACCTCGATACTCTCTTACTAATGCAAGATACGATGAATATGTCAGCACTCACCTTCACAATCAACATCTCAGCGTCAGGAATGTTGTCGAGCGATAACGATTACGACTGGAATATATGTTTGCCTCTGAACGAGGATGCCTGGACGTGGTATGACACGATCATACTTCCAGTGAGACGATTGGGCGAGGCGGGATTGAAGGATTTCTTTGTGCACTTAAGGCATCTTGATATTGAGACGGGGAGGAGAGAAATTCATGAGCAGAATTTGGAGAAGATGGTTATGGGCAAGGATTATAATAGCACGGGGAGGGGGAAGCCAGCGGAGAGGGTACATAAGATGTTTGACGATTGGCGGGCGGAACGTGAATTTCGAACAACAAGAGGATGAAGAGAACTGATAAATCAATAAGAGTCAAGGAGAGTGATAACGGAATGCGAATGCGGCAGAAATACGAGACTTGGGACAAGCGATCACTGGAAACCAAGAAACAAGCCGCTGCAACGGTTGGCTTCAAAACAACGTGTAATAGAATGATGCCAACAGGCAGCATATTAAGTCCACTCATTCTTCGTTTTGATGTCCTGCGCGAATGGGAGAGCAAGTGCATCTGCATGGGGTTTAGGTAGCTTGTTGGGGCAGATGTCGATTTCGCGAACAAATTCCTCCCTAGGTCTTACGATATCTATTTCTTTCTTCCGTCATTGCCAAAGACCCCGACTGGTTTAATCCGCTACAGACAATATGGTGTACGAAGCAATTCTCATAGCCAACTCTATCCAATTGGTTCCAGGGAACTGCAGTGTCAGAAGCGTTCTATGCATGGTAGAATTATTCCTACAAGCTATGTTACAAATTGTAATAGCTAGTTCAACAGCTCTGTCCTCCCATGAAACGTCGAAGATTAGATGGATGGCCTTCATAAGGGGAATCGCTATGTAGAGGCGGTGTATGTGCTAAGAAACACACAGCCTCGAATTCTGCTTCTTTGGCCCTCCAATTATCCCAGACCACTATGGATCCCTCCGTGGCGCTGCTGACTCTTCGCTAAACCGCAACAGCTGTACCTACGTGGCTAGTTGGTCGCTTATACCTAGTTCCAATGGTTGCCTTGAGATGTGCGGAAGTTGCCGTGGCTGCGCCTCGTAATGCATCTGCCTCAACAGGCAACCAAAATGCACGGTATCATATAATATGCTGCCTGAATTCGGTGGACCTATCTGGCCTTTATTCAGCACTTTCTAGGTAAAATACCTGAACTGTGGTTTAAACCAATTCTCGGCGTTGACTTTACATACCCAAAAAAGATCCATTACCCTATATTTCAGACAAATGAACCTACTCGATTTTCCATTGGAACTATTCCGCGAGATCCTAGAGCACACCATCTCCAAATGTGCTAGGTGTGGTTCATCACACGGCGTTAAAGGATCCAATTACTTTTTCGATTTGGGTCTAGCACGAGTAAACCGTACGTATAGTAAACCGTTTACATCTTGCTCGCTGATATTGACGCTGTCGCTGCAGGTGTTTTCGAAATAGAGACCTTTTCAATTTTAGAAAAAAGCCTCTTTCTCATCAGAGCACCTAAATCTCGCTGGAGGGCCAAGGATAGCACATGGGAAGACTACCATAGCATTGCTCTCGCAAGATATGTAATCCGCAAGCCATACGAAGCAAATGTGTTTCCTTTGGATCATTTCCCCGCTCTCATCAATGCTGTTGTTGATAAGGTCCTTGAGCTCGAGGGTATTGACCAGAACAACGAACTTGTACGAAAGAGGTACATTCTTACTTTATGCCGCGCAACCGGCAGATCCGCTATTTTTGGCCAATGCAGAACGGATCCCTATCCAGAATCCCTATTGCGGGACCACGTGCTCGTTGCTAGTATCTATCTTAGCAAATCGGTGGTAGTAGAAGAGGTGCTCCACTTGCTCGATAGCAACGACAGGACTTTGCACATGAGATCTGCCGAGAGCGAATTTTGGGGTCGACCTCTGCTCGCTGCTGTTCGGACAGAGAATGTTCCTCTTGTCTGTCGACTGTTGGACTTGGGAGTACATCACCATCTGGAAGATTCTGACCATGCCGATTTATATTTCAAGGCAGCGGTCCATACAAAACGCGCTAAAGAGATCTTATCGCTTTTTCGCTGGCACCAGCATGGTCCCCTACGCCGCGAAGACGCGTTACACGACACCATACGCTATTCTATCGAAGTTGGCAATCTCGACGTGGCGAATATGATGTTGGACTTCCACCAAGCGATTCCTCACTGTTCAATGGGATCTGCGTTGCAAGCTGCCTTGAGGATTGCTTGTGGACAGGGCCTTGACCATGTGGTGACTCGACTCCTTGATCTTGGTTTGAATGTGAACGGGGATGGTTACATTTGGAATCGGGAAGAAGACCCTGCGTATTTGGCTTGTGCCGCTGGGCATGCGAGCACCCTGGATATACTGATAAAGAATGGCGCCGACAGTCACTGGAGCATGGAAGAGCATGTACTAATGGCAGTGGCAGTAAAAGCTGGTCACACAGGCGTCTTACGCATACTTGTGGATGCTGGCGAATCCCTTCACCCACTCCAAGCATTCAGTATTCTTGACCAAGCTGCTCCAAGACCGCAATCCTCGGAATGTATCTGGTACCTGCTTCAACGCGGCACTATCAACCTTAAAGACCTGATCCAAGGTGCTCGTACTAGGGGATTTCATTTTGCGCACATCATGACTTCCGCAGCGATATACGGGAACGCGGAATTCATCGAAGCTATGTTCAGGTTCGGGATACCAATCGACGACAACGAAGTGCTTTTCTATACAAACCAAGATTGTGCGCTACCCATTGTCGCTGCAACAGCGTATCGACAAACAACCACGGTGGAAACCCTGAAACAGCTTGGGGCACAGGAGGTAGATCCCACAAAATCCATCATTGCGCGCCATTTCCAGAGCGGCCTGTTTCCCAGTGACCCTCCAAGGCCTGAGGGTTTGCAACAGTGACGAGCACATGGAGGATTGCGGGTTCTCTAGGCAGCGGACGAACGAGCATAAGCTGGAGTTTCGCGGGTTTAGTTGGGTACCGATCTTCCCAATATCTTGGTAGCGGAAGGTGAGCACGTAATCGCGGAAGGGATTTTCCCCAGTGATTTTAGAAGCCTTATTTCTTTTGAAAATGGAGTGAAAGATGCAAAAATACTAAGAGGAAATGTGTTCTGGTTGCAATGCATACGAACATAAGGAGACGTGGAGAGATGATATAAATTCCGATATTCTCTTCTTACCAAGATTATAACATGTCATTCGTGAGCATACGATAGACGTTCAATAGAGGTGACAATGGTGTTCAGGCAATCGGGAGGGAGCATACGATCGAAGTGAGACGTTCGGCAGAACTCCGGCACCAGTCAAGTGGCTCAAGCTCAAAACTTATTCAAAGTTCATCATCGCAACCCAACTGCTGGCAGCTCCGTTCGACATCACCACCCACACACAGCACCTCACTACCCATCGCCAGACTCGGACCTACCTACTCTTCCTATCAACCAACCACTACACACCGCCAAAATGGTCAAGCTCGAGGAGGTCATGGATGAGGAGTTTATGCGCGAGCAGGATGGACCTCATGACGACGATGAATGGGATACCGACTCCGGTACGAAAGCACAGCAGCTATACTGATTGAAGATGTAGTAGAGAAATTAACAAATGATTAATATAGAGTCGGACACATCTTCCATCCATTCGCTCCACCCGGACGAAACGCTCTACGAGCGCGTGCTCGCCCTCCAAGACATAATCCCCGCATCTACACGTCGGTCCATTTCGTCAAAAGTAAACACCACCACATCATGGTTCAAGTCGGGGCTGCTGATGGGCGGCAAGACGCTGTGGGTGGTGAGCACGAGTGCGCTGCTGTTGGGCGTGCCGTGGGCGCTGGCGTACAGCGAGGAGCAAATGATTGTTGAGCAGGAGAGGGCCGAGCTTATGCAGCAGAGGGCACAGAATGAGGTATGTGGAAATTAGCCCTTTCGTGCAGAGGAGTCATTCAGACGGCTGCTAATAATCGTGTGTACAGTTCATGGCTCCTGGTACACCGACCCCGGGCATGCCGCAAGGCGCGAAGCCCGCCTTGTAAAAAGGCAAGACCTCGATAGCGATATTGTGCATCTCCGACAATGAGTTCTACGGTTATTCGCGACCATTTTCTCGCACGTGTTTTACTATAGAAAGTCGGAACAGGACGCAAGGAAGGGATTGAACTTTGCTGCACATGACCCAACGATCTGTACTATATTTCTCGACTCTTCGATAACGCATTGCGTCACATTACGATTACTACGTAACGCAAATGTGCAATTTTCAGAATTATGCATTGTACACTCGCATTTTATGCCACATGCTATGCTACTATGTTTACAAAGTGCTCATCTGGCGACAACTGTGTGCTCCGCCATATCCCGTCTACCAGTCGTAGCCCATTAGATGTCAACAAACAATGCGCCCCTTTTGCGACCGTCCAAACATGTCAGACGAGATTTGTAGCAGGAAGATCTAAACACTTCGCGCTCGTGCAACCCTAACCAACTGTCCGCCGGATATCGTGGGATGGAAACCAGGAAAGCAGGCGCTCGTCGTGCAGGAGAAGGGTATACCTTGCTCGCTCCAGAAAAGATGGTAATACAGCGAAGAGAAGAGTTATGAGATTTATAGTCGGTAGAGGTGGTCATGGGCGAGTTTAGAAGGGGATGGCGCCAGCTGATACTGCGGCTCCAGCCTGCTCCTGCTGCTCCATGACAGCCTCGTCGGCGGCTTCTATTGCAACGGCAAGACCGAGCTTGGCGGCGCTCTGGAGGATTGATTGTTAGCTGTGTAAAACTTCCATGTCATGTCGGATCGAACATACCTGCTTGTGGTCGATCTCGCCGGAGAAGGTTACGCGGATGGGCGGCGCAATCATCTTTTCCAACAAACACGATACCTTGCCCTGGTTGTCGACCTGGGCCCTGAATGACGACTGGCGGAAATCGTACTTGGCACCAATCGTGACGTTGCCCTCCTTTTGCGGGCCGGCCATGGGGCCTCCAGGGCCAATTCCAGCAAAAGCAAGGTTGCAGTTGATGCCTGTCTCGACCTTGTCGGTGAGCCTGCGCCAGTATGATGCCTCCAATACACCGCGATCAGGAATGATTTGTCCGCAAGCCATCCAGTCGGCAGCCCTGTATCGTGCTGCGTACGAGACATTCAACTCTGGTGGATATGCTGTAGCGGGGCGGCTCCAGAAGGCGTCGATGCCGAGCGACAGCTTCGGTGTGACAGCTTGGAGGTAGCTTGCCATGAGCATGCCGGTTACGCCGCCGTCGAGTACCGAGGGGTTGACAGCCTTTAGTGAGGCCGAGAAGTCGGCGCCCGTGTAGTCATTCTCGAGTGAGACCATGTTGCCTTGCGAGGTGAGCTGTACGGCGGTTTTTGTGACAAAGGCAGACGTCCAGCGCCAGTTGAAGCGGCCGGAGAACTGGAGGTCATTGTCGAGGTTGCCTTGCATAAACACCTAGAGAAATCAGCTTTGGAGAACAGCACACGCGCGCGCTGGGCGACCAAGGACGACGCACCCTAGGTGACCCATATAGGACCATGTATGAGTATGGCGGCTGCAGCTGCGAACCCATTGACAGTGAATGGGCAACCTGGAATAACGGGGCGGCGCTGAAGGCCTTGGTGAGCTCGGCGCGCAGGCCTGAGAAGCTCGAGTTGTTTAGGAAGACATCGCGCTGGACTTCCCTCGCAATGTTCTCCACGGTGCCGGGGTTGCTCAGTCCCAGCGCTTCTCTCCGCTCGTGATATGCCGCATATACATCTTGTAACCGTCCGAAGGGGCCAGTGTGGGCTACGCGGGCATGTGAGAGGACGTCGGCGACAGCTTGCTCCTTGGTCGGATTGAAGTCGAGAGGGGTGGCAGCCATGATGCTGGTAATGGCGAGGGTGACGGGAAGAAAAAAATGCGGTTAGGAGCTCCCTACAGGATAAGCGCAGCGACACGGGCGAGATGGAGATGGCAGCGAGCTAGGGCGGGTGTTTGGGTGCGTTCGCGTAGTCCTGGATGATGAATGATACAGTGAACATTTTCTCAGCGAGTCCTGATGACATAATGCACGCTAGACGGCCGCCCAGACAATTTTCCCTTATCATATCATGGACATGACGGTCAGAGAGGCTTGCTTTTTGGGCCTTTTAACCCAAACTCTGCAAAGCACTGCCCCGGGGTGTTTTATCCTCTTGCAACACTACCCGCCCTGACGAGAAGACGTTGTGCTGTGTTTGTCCCGGACCGCCCGTACTGTACCTGTTCGCTGACAGCGCTCGGCAAACGTACATCATCGCCGGATCCTTGGTTCCAGAACCGTGACGCTCAAACGCATTTCAGGCTTGCCTTGACATTTCGTTGCTCTACTACCGTTGTAGTTTTCTTCTTGTTCTCTTCTTTTCCTCTTTGTATATTCTACCTATAGAACGCTAGACATAGATCGGTGCAATGGATACGCTATTGTAAGTACACAACAACCCCACATGCGAAGCCAGTGTGAAAGGCCACCAAGCTGCACTTGTCCTCTTCAAAGAAGACTGACTCATTGCCGCCTATAGGACAGCAGAGATCTACGCAAACTCGCCCCGCTTCCGGCGGCGGTCGAGCACTTTTGTCGATGCAATCCACGATCTACCCGAGAGGGAGGAGATGGCGCCCGCTCAGTTGTACAGTACTGAGTCTGGGCGCCTCTTCCACTCTGGACGCATCGTCATTGCTACTGTTGGTCTACCAGCTCGGGGCAAGACGCACACATCCGTTGCCGTAGCTCGCTACCTGCGATGGCTTGGTGTCAAGACTCACGTGTTTCATCTCGGCGATTACCGTCGCGCTACGCTTGGCCCTGGCAAAGATGTCCCAGACGACTACTTCTTCTTGAACGCCTCTCCCCAGTCTGTCTTGTTGCGAAACAAGATATTGAAGAAATGCCGCGAAGACATCTACCATTTTCTGGAGCACGACAAGGGGCAAGTGGCCATCTACGACGCTGTGAATGCCATCACCCAAGGTCGAAGGTCACTGGCCAAGGAGTTTGCGAAGAACGGCATCCAGACCGTCTTCATCGAATCGCACTGCACAGATGAGCGTATTATCCAGGAGAACGTTCGTCGCGTCAAAATCTCGTCACCAGACTATCAAGGCTGGAAGGATGAAGATGCGGTTCAGGACTATCTTGCACGGATCAATTCGAGGATACCGCACTACGAAACCATGGAAGAGCCGGACCTGCACTGGATCAAGATGATCAATGCCGGCGAGCGAGTAGTGGTGAACAATTGCGCGTTTGGATACCTCTCGCAGCGAATCGTATTCTACCTGCTGAACCTGCACATCAAGTCGCGGCAAACCTACTTTGCCCGTGCTGGTACGACGCGAGAGGAGGACTCGTACAAGGCTGATGCATCTCTCTCACCCGAGGGTCATGATTATGCCAAGCAGATGAGCGAAGTGCTTCTACGGTACCGTGAGCAAGAGAAGCAGAAACTAGTCGAGTCAGGAGCGCCGGACGCTGCCTTGAAACCATTGACCATCTGGACCTCGACGCGACGACGTACTGTGCAGACGTCGGAGTACTTGGCGTCGATGGGGTACCGGGTCAGACAGCGATCGCAGATGAGCCAGATGAATCCTGGAGTGTGTGAGAAGATGTCCGAGGCAAAGATCCGAGAAGAGTTACCAGGCGAAGTCACAAAGCATGAAGCAGACCCGTACCATCACCGTTATCCGCGAGCAGAGGCAAGTTGTCACTTATTTTCCTTGACGCAACAAGCCTCATCACTAACATGTGACCAGTCCTACCACGATCTCGCAGTCCGCATGGAACCCATCATCCTCGAGCTCGAGCGTGAAGAAAACGACCTCCTCATCATCGCCCACGAGTCCGTGCTACGCGTGCTCTACGGCTACCTCATGGCCTGCAACGCAGCCGACATTCCCAAACTCGAGTTCCCCCGGGACGAAATCATCGAAGTAAGAAGCCAACCCCATCTCCTTTTTCCCACTACTCCCCTTTGAAAACGAACTATTACTAACCTCTTTTCTTCAAGATCATCCCCTCGTCGTACAACAACGTAGCCAAACGCATCAAAATCCCCAACCTGCCAGACTCGATGGTCCCCGGCAGTCCGCAAGACATCAAAATGCCCGTCCCGCCCAGCGGCGCAGTGAGTCCCTTTTCCGGCGTCGGCACCCCTCAGACGGGTGGCTCGTCGGGGGCCGCGACACCCCAACATTCTACTACTGCTACTACTGCTGCTGCTTCTGCTGCTACTCCCCAGCCGCTGAATCTCAAGAAGACGCATATTAACCCGTCTGACTGATCAGGGCCAGGTGCGTGTGCGCTATCGCTGTCGCTATGGCGAGACGTGGGATAACGAGCGGGCGAGTCAGCAGACGGAGTGGGATTCGGGCTTGGACGATTGACGGTTCTTGATGTTGGGGACGACATGATGGCATGGTGCTTTCTATGATGAGCATGTTCACTTTCGCTTTCGCTTTCACTTTCGTACACGACGGGATGAGATGGCTGGGTTCGGTGGGTGGGGGTTTTCTTCTTAGTGTGCTACAGCATGGGCGTTATGGAGTAGACTTGGAGAGCATGGCGGCGGGCTATGTATGATATTGCTATACACATGATATCCTGCTTGATCTCTTGTTCATCATATTCTAGTTTCGTCCATAATCTTTCTAGCATGGCATAAGAAGACAAAAGATTGAAGATAATCAGAATGTTCGTATTCGTGAAAGTTAAACTATACAGAGCCGACTTCGCTGCAGAGCAAACATGACGAGTCAGTTCATCTAAGGCATACGTCTACTACAAAAGTATAAAAAAAGATAACCGCTCCCAGTAAGTCATCGTCGCTCTTTTTCGAGCGGATAACCAAATACTCCGTAATGATAGAACACGCCCTCGGTATCCTTCCGTGGTAGTCCGTCAATAAAACGCCAGTGGGGGTAACATATCCATGTACCTACCGAACCAACCAAAAACAAAACCAAATCCCTAATTTTGACCGGGGAGAATGCTCAGTCGTCCTTGACGCTCGAGCTCACATACCCGTCATCCACATCTCCATCTCCTTGCATTTCCGAAAGACCGACAAGGGCCTTGCTTGCGTCCAAACAACTACCAACAATGCGAGTTCGCACTTTGTTGGAGAGTCCGCTACGGCGGCCCGTCTCGTGACCAACCCACATGCGCAACGAGCACGCGATGCGCTCGAGGCCAGCGCTGGTCTCCGTCTGAAGCGAGGGGTCCTGCATGAAACGCGTCATGACCTTGTACCCAGCGACAAAGCTGAGGAGCGTCGTGGTGATTTCGGGGAGGCGTGTGTTGTTGACGACAAAGGTGGCACGTTGACGTGCGCTCGGCGAGCATGACTCGATCAGGGAGAGGCACTTGGCCAAGGTAAGGGCTTTGCGGACATCGGTTGCAACATGACCTTCGCCGACGAGGTTCATGAAACCAGCGTCGGCAGGTCGTGGAGTAGATGGTAACGCATTGAGTGCGGCCGTGATGCGTTCCTCGCGGTCATCGTCTAGTACAACTGCCTGTGTGACCAGACCACGCAATTGGGCCTGTGAGTTGGGAGGAGCGCATTGAAGGGCGAGGTCCATATCAGCGATGACACCCTCCTTGGGTGAGGTGCTCTTTGTGGCAAGGGTACTGGCAAGTCCCTTGTTGAGCACAAGGCTCGAGTACCAGGCCGCAAGCGCGTCTAGAGGCGAGCAAATGGCAAAGTCCTCGACAACGCCGTCCATGGAAGTATCGACGACTGTTTTCTCTGCGCTTGGTCGGTTCCAGGCAAGGTTATAGGCACGCTGTACGATGGCAGGAACCAGCACCTCATCGCACTCGCGCTCAATGAGGGCGGCTAGATGCTCAGGTAGAGGCTCGGCTTCATGGCCCTGCTTCAATGCTAGATTCAAGGCGATTCGATGTTCGCTTCGTGCTGTATTCCAGTAGCTTCTGGCTAGCTTAGCGCTCAAAATGTCCATGATCCACCAGGAGCCGTGACCCGTGTTGGCGATTTCCCAAAGAAGAACCCGGATGTGCAACGCTTTCAGCATAAGCCGAGCTGGCGTGTCAGGCAGCGTTCCCGAAGCCATCAATGTCAGAACCAGACGACTCTTGCTGATCTCTGCATCGCCTCCCGTAAGCTGGGCGTCCAGCGCGATTTCCCACGCCTTGAGCCGAGCTGCTTCTTGTTCCTTGGTCAGGCCCGTGAGATAGGCGTATCCTGGCCAGCCGATGATTTTACGTGTGCTAAGCTTCAGCGTCTTCAGGCCCAAGGCGGCGACTTCAAGGATGAAATTGTGCTGAGGAACCCAGACGGTCTGAATAGCGGTGAGCCACGCCTTTCGACGTACCTCGACAGGGAACGCGAGTGATGGCGCTGGTGTCAGGAGTACTGCTGGCGCGGCCTTCTTCTTCGGCTTGGACTTGAAGTCAAGTAAGGGAGCGACTAGGTAGAAGAAGGCGCCAAAGACAAGGAGAAGTTTGGCGAGAGGAATCTGAGCGGTCGAGGCGCCGAACGAGGCGCGAGGGGCAAGGGTGCTGGCAAGGTTGATCGGTAAGGCGAATAGACCACGGCCGGCTGGCTCTTCTTGTGATTGCTCGCGCTCGACAATTCCTTCCAGGATCATCAGGCCGGCGAGAGAGCCGACCATGAGCTTGCCGAGCATTGCGTTGTTGCGTCGCCCGTTGACCATTGGCGGCCCGACGGCTTGACGGGCGCCGCCTGCGTACGGGGGATAGGCATGTGCATAGTGTTGTTGCGGTGGCAGTCCACGCTGGAGCGCGGCGATGTTGTCTGGGACAGGAATCATTCCTTGGGGCGGTCCTGATAGAGGCAGTCCATGTGTTTGCGAGAAGGGGTCTTCTTGGTACCTTGTCCCATCAGGGGTGCCGACAATGCCATGAAGTGACATGGGTCCTGAGATGGCCATTTTCTCGTAGCTCTCTAGCCGTCCCTTTAGCGTGTCCAGCTCATCTGAGATGCGTTTGTTGCGTTTTTCCAGATGCCGGATGTACTCGGTCGCTTTGGAGAGCACCGTGGCTTTGTTCAGCTTGTGGGCTGGGGTGAGACCTTCAAGATCTTCGGGGTCGTCGTCCTCTTCCGTGCCATTGGGACGTGACATGACGCGGAGACTGGGTACGCTGTCACGTAGGGCGGCAATCTTGTCGTTGAGATTGGTCCTATACCGCTTCTCGATCATGTTGTGCGCCGTCTTCTTGGGTGGCTGTCCCTTGTCTTTCTTGCCCGACGACGGCATGGAATCAAAGTCCTCGTCGTCGGAAGGCGATTTCCTCTTCTTGGAGCGTGCGACAGGTTCTGGCGAGGAATGCGACGACGATGCCGAGCTGGCTCGTCCGTTGTTGAGCGAGCTGGGGCTGTGGTGAAGACTCGGGGTGGAGACAGGCGGCGGGGGAGCGACAAAGCCCGGTTGGGTGTACCGCTCTGGCGAGAAGAGGGCATTTTCTGTGGCCATCTGCTGCTGCTGCTGCTGTTGTTGCTGCTGTTGCTGCTGCCACATGGTGGGCGAGTAGAAGCCGTCCTGCTGCGAGACTTGTCCCGTCAGCGGTGAGCTCAATGCGTTGACGTTGGCGTTGAAGTCGAAGGAGGATTGCATGTCGGCGGCGCTTTGGCCAAAGGCAAAGGGGACGCCATTCGATTGCGCAAACATGGAGGCGGTGGTGGTAGGGATGTTGTTGGACTGCAGCGACTGCGATTGCTGGTGGCGGTTGGCGAGAGGAGCAGGAGGAGGCGGTTGTTGCTGGTCGGGTTTGAGGTAGGATGGGGGCGCAGGAAGGTTGGCAGGCTTGGAGTCGACGGTCTGGGAGTTCTGAGACGCGGCGGCGGGGTCGTATTGCATCCACTCGTTCCAGTTGGACATGTCGTCGTCGGCCGTGGCAGGCAGCGTCATGTTGTCGGCAGCGGTGGAGAGCCAGGGCCCGCGCATGTTGCCAAAGGGAAAGTCGCTGGACATGATGGGATCCTCCATCTTGTTCGCGTTCCCGCCTGGATCTAGTGCGGCCGGGCCAGTCGGCTGGGGGCTTGGGGGCAGTCGAAAGTCGTCAAACACACAGTAAGGGCCAACCTGTTGCAGGGACGGCGAGTTAGCAAAGCGATCCAGAGTGTACTAGAGGAGTGCTCTGCGGCACGCACGGCGATTCTCTCCAGCTCCAGCCCGTCATCGGGGCTGCCATAGGCGTCTGAAGCCATTGCGGCCAAGAGGGGAGGGGAGGGGAGGGGGGCAGATCTGATACGTGGGACGAGGGCGACAGCAACAATGACGACAACAGGACAGGGCAGTGTATATACACGACAGTGAAAGTAGACGGGGCTCGAGGCAAAAGAGGGAGCGCGCGCGCGTGTGTGTGTGTGTGTGTAGTCTTACCAGCTGCAAACTACTCTATCTGGGTGCGTCCGTCAGGTCATGCCATTCATTCACCGACGGGACAGCGCGCGCAGCTCAGGATGCGGACTGGCGGCAGTCCGGGAGCCAGGCAGGCTTTGGGGTTCGTTGGTTGGTTCGATGGTTCGTTCGTTGGACAGACAGACAGCCAGCAGCAGCAGGAATTAGGGCAGAGGGCCGTAAATGGCAAGGGGGCGGCCACAAACTATCGTACGATGGTGGACTGATGGGGGCTGCCAAAGCGACCGGGGGCTTGCCGTAGCCTCGCAGAACAAGGACGCCTCTCTCGACGAGTATCGACTGCTACATGCGATGGGTGTCTTGGGTACTACGAAGGCGACGAGAGAGGGGAGAGTGTGTGTGTCTGCGGGACTCGATGTCGCACTGGCTTCGTAGGTGGGTGGTTCCAAGGTAGTTCGGGTGCTCTTTGCGCCAGAGAGGAGCCATCCGGGCCGGGCGCCAGCCGCAGCCGACTCGATTGGCTCAAGCCTCTCCATAGTACATAACAATAGTCAATAGTCATCTCAGTGTCAATATCTAGATCAATCAAGGTGAAAAGAAAAACCTCGCGCTGCATCGCACTCTCTAACTGTACTACGGCCCATCCACGACGTCTCTGCAAAGCAGCTCACCCACGCATGGCCCCTATCCCGCCAGCTTGGTCCCCTTTCCTCTGTGCCTGGCAGCTGACGGCTGCGCTACCATGGTTCTGCTCTGTCAGTTGCCGTCATCATCTCTCGTGGCTTGGCACAAAAACCCCCTCGAGTCCACCATCCCACACATGAAACTATTTGGTGCGAAACCTTGATACGCCTCCTCGATGCGACGTGCAGCGCCTCCAGCCGTACAAGAGGCTTTCAATGTTGCTCTTGAACAAAACTAATCTCCACAGCGGGAGGCGGGTGGACAGAGGCAAACTTTACGCCATCGCTTAAGCTCGAGTTGCACGCAGCACAACGACGCGTCCTCGTGATGATGCAGTTGCACACTTTGGGAACCTCTTCTCATCCATGGTCTAGTCGTGGCTTCAGGACGCCACCCGCGTCGCTTTCCCATAGGTACTCGACAAGGCACGTCTCGAGTACAGCTGCAGCCACTGCCGACCGGGCTTTTCCAAGCGATGATCGAGGCTTCATCCGCTCCCGTGTACTCCAAGTGCAGTCGGCTGGTGAGAACACGATTGGAGGTTTCGCCCATGGCGGTTGCGGGACGAGCCTAGACATGTTCGTCGTCGGATTCGGCGTCGTCAAAGCTGGAACAACGAGCATGTTACGTCGACTACGTGCCGTTCAGTTGGGACGGTGGCCGCGCTGTACATCATTGGAACTGGTACATCTCAGGATACATCTCAGGACGGGTCGACGCCGAGTGGTAATGACAGGCGCTCGCTGTTTGAGCTGCACAGAAGACGTCTCAAAGCCTCTCCATGCTCTCGACAACTATGCAATGCATTATTATGTATCTGTAACACAAAAAGGGTTCGTCCAGGCCCTGCGGTGTGAAGTCATGGATAGCGTGTCATAGGTGTGGGCTCTCGTGAAGATCGAAATGCTTGTATTGTGGAGCCCACTCCCTACGAGTTATGTCAAAGATAAATCCGAGTTCGCGACGAATAGACCCGTATAGCCTTTGATTGAGCGACACGGGCGAGATGTGCGTGTCGTAGTGGGATCTACATGCTCCTCGAAACAGTTCCCTATGCGGCCCGTAGGCTCCTGTACCGTGTGGCCAGAGCCCCGGCTTCTGCTACGAATGGTTAAAGGGGGCGGGCGTGTTCGCCGCGAACGACTCATCTGGGGACAGTCAAACTCAAAAGTCAAACTCAGATGGCAGTCTGCTCGCCCAAGGCGCCAGCCAGATCCTACGGCGTCAAGACGATTATTAGCAATGAGCAATGAGCAATCTCTGCCATCATGGAGCTGCAGGATCGGACTATGCTGTTCATGCGCGTAGCCGTTGGCGAAACTCGAATTTCGACCCGAACAGGCCAGCAATTTCACCAAGCGACACAGCTAAGAACCTGTTGGGCTGTATCCGCTCCGATATAGGCAAGTCCTTTACACCCGCTAAGCCGCAAACCAGTCCAACCAGAGCAGAAAAGGAGGCATGCGAATGTCGATCGACATGTCAAGCTGCAGGGCGCCCAAAAGAGGTCTGGGCTGTGCCGTACCGCTCCGTGGACCCTGGCGAGGCCGGCACTTTCCACGTTCCTTTTTCCTGCGTGGTGGTGCCCGGCCCATGTGCAACAGTTGCTGGCTGCGCCGCAAACGCGCAGCTTGCGGGTCCGAGACGGATCATCTTGCTCCCAAGCCGTTAATGATGGGCAAAAGGCCGGATCTGCGCTCAGAAACACAGATGGCCCAACGGCTCGCGTCGAGAATCGTACGATGTTAGTGCTGATCTGAATCGACTTTACTAGTTTCTGGGCCCTGTCGCTTACGCAGGAGCATGCCTACTGGATGACTAGGTCTGTTTGGCTACGACAGCTGCCAATACCTGGTAATGCAGGAGAACAAGGAGAAGGAGAAGAAGCAAGTGTGCTCGCAGTGCGATCGAGATCTACTTTAAGCGATGGTGGAATGACTGAAACTGAGGCATTATTGAGTCAGGTGAAGGCTTCTTCCGTCACTTCACTCTTGGAGGGAAGGATTGCTGCACAGGGCAAACCATCCTGCGCGAGTCGCTGGGTGATAGCTGCATGAGGTGGATGCACGCCTCTATGTATTGCGCTCAAAATGTCCGACGTTGTTAATTGCCTGGGGGTCGCATTAAAGTCTACACTGTCGCTGGAGCGCATGTGGGGCTTTTCACAAGACTGTGGGGTACCAGGCGGAGGAGGCTGGTTTCCTTGCCCCTTTCAGGCTCGCAACCTTGGGTGATGATCAGATACTGCACGGTGTCGGCAGTGCGCTCGCTATCCTGGCCGAGGGAGGCATACCGCGGGTAAACAAGATGCCTGAACCATGCGCACTCGAATCGCGTCGCTGAGAGGAGAATTCCGTGCAGAGCAGTGCAAATAGCCGGTATGCAAGATCTTGTGCTGGCGACCGGTGGAGCTTGGCCAATCACCATGTACCAAAAGTCAGTGTTTTTTTCGGCCATATATATCGCGATTACCTGGAATGCCTGGCCTATAACAACGCTGCTAAGAACATGCCACTGCGACTAACATTCCGCTCACAATCTCTTTCCCCCAGTATTGTAGTTCTCGTCGGCTCTCCCAGCCATGGCGTTGGTAATTGGGTTCCCTATGATGTTGCACTGAGCGAGTTCCTGCAACACAAGCACGCTTTTCGGATCTGATACTCGTCAATCGGGTGTACAGCGGGATTTGCAGAAGTGTCTAGCTTGGCGAGAACTGTTGTTGGTGTAGCCGAGGATTCCGTGCGGGTTCGACGTTGCAAGCCACCCGATCTTACGTCAATGTTTGCGGCAGGTCATGACACGCCGATTTGTAACACTCGGTGAAGAAAAAGCAGCAGGGCAAGCGAAGGTGCCGTGGCGTGAAGGCTGTGGCACATGGTACCACATGTTACCGCCATGGATGATGCCTGTCGTGCTGCTCTGTAGTGTGGACGCCTGTTACACTGAACGCTCGCAGTTCACATTCACAGCGCAGAGGCACAAAGACGCCAATAGTCGCTGTGCTTGCAGCTGGGGCCCTCTGGTGATGACTGTGATGACTGTGGATGAGCGTCTGAGCGCAATGTCAGGAGCAGACACGGTGCAGATCGCGCAGCTGAGGCAGGAATAGGCGACCATGGCGCGCCTTTGATGACAAGGAAGCGAATGAAGGAGTGAGTGAATGAAGAAAGATGACCCAGGCGCCAATGCAGCTAACAAGACACCGGAGGCTTGTTGGTAGCGTGGACGAGATCGTTGGGTCGGTACCGACTGCTCACGCTTGACTTGACAGCGGCGCAGCGCATTGCCCAGGTGGTCCTGGCACGGGCCCAAGCAGACAGACGAGGACGCATCCCCATCCAAGATTTGGAGCTGCAGTGTTGCACGAGACACGTGTAGGCGTCAAACGGCGTGGGTACCAAAGAAAGGATTAGAGTAGATAGGCAGGTAGAAAGGGAAAACGGTGAATTGAGGAGTTTTGGTGCGTGCCCTGACGTAACCCCGAGGGTAGCACGACGTCGGAACCAAGCGTGGGAGAAATGGTCGTCTGGTGACAAAAAGTGGCCTGACGAGTGCCTTGAATGCCAGCAGTGCTGATCATTTTTTCAATGAATGAATGATGAATGCTGTGAATGCGTGAGTGATGAGACGCCGAGGCGATGCCCATCTCGATCAAGTCTTTGCTGGCAGCGCTGAATGGCCGGGAGTCCATCCGCGCCCCCCGCTTAATTTGATCGTGCCGCGCGCCGGCCGATTCAGATGCAAAAGCCCCTTGTTATCGTGGAGATTCCCGATAGCGCCGAACAAGTCTCGTCTGTCTCGTCTGGCTCGTCTCGTCTGCCCTCGTTTGGGGGTACAAACTGTCTCGCTAGCCGTCGAGGCGGCGAGGGGGGGACCGCTGTTGATGCCCAACCGCGCTGCAGCATCGACATGTTCGGTACCGACCCTGTGCTATTTGCGAGCGAGTGACGGCCACTCGTCCTCTCTCCCGAAGTGGCGCCAGCGCGCAGGCAGGGCTTGTCTGGTGTGGGTGTGGGTGACAGCCAGGGGATGCATGAGGGAGCTTCTCTCGGTTGCATCTCGATTACATGCCGCGACGATAATTCGTTCCAAAGCCCCGGGCGTTTCCCCAAGAGGACTGGGCCCATCTCTACTCGTGTCCGAGGCGCCTCCATTCGCGCGGATAGACGGTCGCGATGCATGGCCCTGGTCTTAACGGCATCGGATCGAACACACACTGCACACACACACACACACACACACTGCCATCTCTTTTGTCGTTGCTGTGCTGCTGCTGCTGCCCGGGCGGAGATGGCCCCGTCAGTCTTCAGGTCTAGTACAGTGACAGTGGCCTCGACGGCGCTGATCTTTGCGCCCCAAAATAACCCCCTAGCCTCCTCGTCGTCGTCTCCTGTGCTGTGCTGCCTTCATTCAATCACTTTAGGGGGGCGCGGCGATCCGATTAAGCCAGCGTTGGCCAGGGTTGCTTTCGCGTGCCGCATATCCTTGCCCGCTGAGTCGAACGCTTTAGGGCGGCTGCTGCTGGAGGCCCTGGCAGAGGTAACACCTCTGGTGGACACCCACATCCTTGCTGGGGCAAACAAGACGTGCCGTATCGTATCCAAGTCTGTCTATCATCCTGGCCCGCTCCTCTGCAAAACCTCGTCACACACCCACAAACCACTCGCTGCCGCCGCGGTTCATCTCCGATCGCATCTGCTCTGGCCTGCACTCGTCCTCACACCATGCTTGCAGCAGCATGCTTGTCTGCTTAATGAGGCGCTGAATCCGAGTAGCCCTAGTAGCGTAGCCCAGCCATCATCATTGCCATTGCTGCTACTGCTGCTGCTGCTGCTGTCAGATCACGGGATTGGGCCTTCTGCAAGTCGCTCTTTCTGCCCATGTCACACCAGACGAACCCTCCTACACATGCTCCAGCACGTCCGCGCAAGCCCAGAAGCACCGAGAGCCACCCACCGCAAAGAGAAGGACACTGAGTTTGCCGTCATTGACTCTCGTACCCACCCGGACCACCCCTCCACGGCCCTTGTGCCTGCGCGACACTACGTCAGCCACACCAGCGACAGAAGAAGAAAACAGCAGCAGCAACCACCGCCAGCCAGCCGAGCCGTTGTGAGAGAGAAGAGTAGGACCCTGTCCGCCGAATCTGAGAGCCTCTCGGCACATATACCCACTGAGAACTTGGACCTGGCCACTTTCACCCTGCTATCCTGAGCTATCCAACAGAATTGCTTGGCTGCGCCGAGGAAGGAACGACTCGCCGCGCGCTGCTTGACGTTGAGCGGGAAACCACATAAGGCCCGGGAACCACGATCCCCGTCTCGCATCGCTTCACATCGTCTCGCCGCCGCCGCCTCAGCAGCTATCGAGTCGGCCATGGAGACATTAGACACTGCCAGTAGGCAAAGGTCCGTTGTTTGCTCCTCTGGCCGCCCCTCCGCCGTCGCTTTCCGTCTGCGTACCTGTTCGCTAACTGTTTCGTTGTAGTGTTGGTCTTCCCTCGATAAACCATCTTGACGCCGCCGACAAAGTCAAGCGAGAAGAGGTGGATTACCAGAGAAAATATCCCACAGCCGCCATGGTCAGTCCGTTACACCCTTTCGCGGGCCCGTCGCATTTGCATGCCAATCACCAATCGTCGCCCGCCAGCGCAGTATCCGCCTCGCTTGGAGGCTTGCTGTCTCCCCCAGAATCCAGGCGAACGTCTGGTGATGAGAAGGAATCACAGCGACCGACGGCCCGCCAGTCGTTGCCGTCAATACATGAGGCCCTAGGGACGGAGCAGCCGCTGTCATTCCCTGCTCCGGTACAGCCAACTTCTGCTCTAGCGCCAGTTCATCAGCATTATCTCCCGCTTTCTGCGACCTCTTCGCCTTCAGATCAACGAATACGAAATTTCCCGCCCGATTTCAACAGTAGTCAGGGACCTACGAATCCTTTTTCACATCCAAGAAGCCCATTTTTGGGCACTTCAATCTCGCAACCGCCGCCGCCGCCGCCTCAGACGCAGCCCGAACCACTCCCTCGTCCATCTTTTGCGGCCCCTCAGCATAACCCGAAGCTGCCGACCCTCCATCCACTAAAGACTACGCAGTCCCCTCCAATGAGCGTTGCTCGACCAAATATGCCCTACCCCTCGTATCCTCCGCCACCAAGTACTTACGAGAATCCTGCCCCTCAATCAGCGGGACCCATGAACCAACATTATTCCTACTCCCAATATCCCCCGAGCTATCCGCTTTCAGCACCTTCGGTGAGCGCGCCCAACTCGGCATATCCACCATCGACCTCGACCTACTCTGCCCCACCACGCTATCCCCCACAGCCTTGGCGGGACAACTCGGAGATGGTTCGTTTGGAAGATAAGAAGATCAATCGCGCCAGCTTGGCACCCTATGGTGAATCGGTTAAGCGACATCTTGAAAGCTTCGACCTAGAGGCTTCGCTTAATGAGGTACTTGGCTTGTCCTACTTTTGCTCGCAATTCCACTAACCTTGCTAGATGGCCGACGGCTCTGGTCGCATTGGTGAATTCTCCAAAGTCTACCGACAAAGAGCACACGAGAACCAACGTATTGGTATGACGCCACAGTCAATGCCCAGGCTGGAAGAGGTCGACGATATGCTCAAGCAAAGTGAGAGAATTCAAATGTCACTTCAACGCATGCGGGACGTCGTTCTCAACAATCATCAAGCGAGCATGGTAGAACCACCACGAGATCCATATCGACAAATGAACGGATACGATCATGATGGCCTAAGCAATTACGGTGACGACGGCAAATCTGTCAGCGGCTTCGCTGGTGGCGACAATAAATCCAGAAAGCGAGGTGTAAGTACCTCTTTTGCGATCTGGGGATCAGTCAGTGTTAACGCTTGTGAACAGCGAGCTGCTCCACCAGGACGTTGTCATAGTTGCAACCGTGCTGAGACGCCAGAATGGCGCAGAGGACCCGACGGCGCCAGAACCTTGTGTAACGCCTGCGGTCTTCGTAAGTCACAGCTCAGCATTCAACAAGCGTTCGTAGACTAATCTTGACCCAGACTATGCGAAATTAACCCGCAAGATGGGTGGCAAACAAGCCATGACGAGTTCGAATCTACGGCCTAAATCGCTTGACCACGGGTCGCCAGCAATGTAACCTTTTGTCTTGCTGACGTTGATCAACAAGTCAGTTTGGCTCTTATATTTCCTCAGGACCGACCTCTTTGACACTATCGACGAGCCGGTTGAGTACATACTTTTATCGACATTTTCCTTGGATCTCTGGATGGCATCGTGAGCTTCTATGCTCTTCATCATCGCGGCAGCGTTTGGGCGCAGGATTATGCTTGCATTTACAGGACGGACACTTTATCTGGATTGAGCCTGTTTTATTAGAGACAAATGCTCTATACCATCTCCTGGCTCGGTGGCAATGTACATCAACTCATACGCATCTCACACGGCGAACACCAACCTTCCAACACCCCATTTGATACCAATACAACATGGGAACAAGAGAAGGTCGTCGGGCCGACAATCGTACCACCTCGGCCATCACCAATCAACCACGGCCGCGTTCCCCGCCGCCTCTCTAACTAGAGATTGTTTCTTCCCTTAGAGGCCTATGCATTTGTTTATAGTTTGTCATTTATACTCTGTCTCTTTTATTCTCAGCAGCAGGTTGCATGCTAGCATACACTGGGCTGGCTGACGGCGTTTCCTGTACTCCACCATGTTGGCCGGTGTGGTTCCATCATAGGGTCGGCGTTTGGCGCGAGGGATAGCGCTTACTATCGGACGCTGCGATCTGTTTTCTTGTATCTTTGCACGACACGCACTTTGCTAGAAGTGTATGAAGCCCTCGGGATGTTTTGACAGGCGTTCGCAAAGATACCATGTGGCTTTCAGGCCTTGCAACGTAGCAGCTAGTTGCAATTCATCGACCAACTCTTCGCAAAGAGTTGTTTTCCCGTGTCCGTATCCATACACGGCTTCTACGCGTTTCTCCCTTGCACCGCACAAGTCATCCTCATCCTTTGCTAGTAGCTAATAACGCAGGCTCGACCGAATATAGCTCCGTGCTCCTGGGGTTGAGCCTGACCCGCCGAGGCCCGTCATGTCGGGTTCCAATCATATCATCGGTACCATTAAAGCGCATTGGGGCGACGGTTTGCCACCGCATCTAAAGCCTCAAGGCACTTGTCCGACTTGAGAATCTGCAAAACGCCTAGAAGAGCGACGACACGATAACCTTGTCATTCAGTGTGCTTTCGCAGGCCCAGGTCATGCAGCGCGCAATGGGCACACGGACGATCCTGACCACGACGGCACGCGTAGTAGCAACCGAGGCTGGACGCGGTACCATTGCGGCGGTTTCCTCAATCACCTACTTGGGGAACGCGAAGACGACGTGTACCAACTCACATGAAACCTTGCAAAGGGAAGAAGAGGTCGCTTATATTGTTGAAGAGTAGACTGGTCGTTTTTGTTTTGTTTTGTCTTGCTTTTTCACGCCCCCATGCATGTTCGCTGCAGGTGTCATGCCACTGCGGCCCGGGGACAACGGTCCCGGAAGACGCCTTTGTGGAGGCTAAAGGTTGAGATATGCAACAGCTTCACCGATACCGTCTATCACCAAGCAGGATTTGTTTCCTCTCTCCCGAGCCAGTTAGAAGGGCTTCGCGCGCGATAGCTGAGGTGGATGCACGTGGACAGGCGAGGCACAGCGGTAGGCAAGGCGCTCTTCTTGGGATACGGCTGTCGCACACGAGATATCAGCCCGTGCTTCCTGGCTTGCTGTCAGTGCCTCCAAGCACGGTGGTGCAAAGAACGATCGATGTGTGTGCCCACGAAGCTCAGGATGGGGGGCGAGGTGAGGTTGAGGTTGTTGTCCACGGGTGCCCATGCTAGCTCTGGCTAAGCGTCATCGGCAAGCGGCAGGGTTTTCCGTGGTTGGAAAAAGCATAGCCTGCCTGCACACTGCCTGCACCTCACAGCACTGCATTAATAAGCCATAGAACATCCGATGCTAGCCTCGCAATCGCTTCCCTATGTCGGCCATGTAGACAAATTATCCTTACTTGCTTCCAACTGCTCCCTCCTCGGCGACGATCGTCACCACGGCTAGAAAGGCGAGGCGCTGCAGCTGCACGAAAACTGCAATCGCCTGGGGTCCCGCCAAAAAGCCCCCCGCTTCCCGCTAAAGTGAGATAATTATCTGCAGTGCTCCCCGAACACATCCCCCGCTATCGCCGTTCAAGAGCAGAAACCACCCATTCACACGTCTTCTGCCCGAGCCAATCGAACCTTATTGCACGGCAGGGCTGTAATTGGCGATGGGCTTGCTGTGAGACGCTGTACCAAGTATTGTCGCCGTCCCCGCTAATGTCATGTGAAGTGCCCTGGGAACGCCGCTTGACTGGCCAGAGGCCAAGCAAGTCGCCGGTCAAGTCAGGTCATGGGGAATCGAAGTACGCTGAATGAAAAATGTTGAGCGAGGAAACGGCTACTAACGTCATCAACAGCAACTACTCGCCATCTGGCGAAACGCAAAAGGCAAAGAGCGAGATGCACTACTTTGGGGAGACGAGGTAGAGCTCCCACATCATGTAGCCAGCATAGGGCCCGGCCCGAAACTGATCGACGTCTAGATTGAATACCTAGTTGTATGCTACGACCAGGATAATCACAAGGTCCGGCTGTCTCTTCGCCAAGCGGATATCCTGGCTGCACTGGCTAGCGATGAGAAGCTTTTACAGCAAGGCGGAGGCGTGTCTGATCTAGTAACAGGAGATGCCGGGTGAGGATAGAAGCCTATAGTTCATGATGTGTATTGACCCTGGCAGGGCCACGGAGAATCCTGCTCCAGTCTTCCATCCCGAGTTTGGGAGGTTCATGCTCGAAGCAACCCCGGGGAAACCATGGGGCATCGGGTTCAAAGACCTCCTTGACGTCGAGCCAAACATGAAATGGAGACGAACCATAGCCAAGGACCACATGGCGGAGACCGAGTTTCCCATCACATTAACAACGTTTCCCCGGCTCGGATCAGCTGACTGTATCGTCCCAAGTTACCCAGTCTCGGGACCCAAGCTACGCTCCCAATTCGTCCCGGACGAGATTGCTAACCCCCACATCCGCTTCCCGACACTAGCGGCGAATATCCGCTGGCGAAGAGGAAGGAAAGTGGAGGTCAATGTGCCTGTGTTCAAAGACGAGAACACGCCGTGGCCGTGGAAAGACCCTACGGTCAACTATGATCTGCACCAATGGCCTGAAGACGACGATGTTCGCAACGGTGCAGCCAAGGATAACTACATCCACATGGACGCAATGGCTTTTGGCATGGGAAGCTGCTGCTTGCAAATCACTTTCCAGGCGAGAGATATCGAGGAGGGGAGGAAGATGTACGACCAATTGAGCCCGTTGGGACCTATCCTGCTAGCGTTGACGGCCGCAACACCCATCTACAAGGGCTTCCTTGCTGACACAGATGTCCGGTGGAATCAGATTAGCAGAGCTGTAGATGATCGTACACCTGAGGAGATTGGGGAGAAGGTATGTTTACATGACTTGACTTTGTAGCGATTTGCTCATCTAAGATAGCCACTCAAAAACGACCGGTGGCGGCTCCCAAAATCCCGCTACGCATCCAACTCTACCTACATCTCGCAAGACCCGCGCTTACGGCCAGAATATCTCGACCCCGACCTAATCGTCGACACTGACATCAAACAACGCCTTGTGGAAGGCGGCATGGACGATCTGCTAGCAACCCACTTCGCCCACCTCTTTATCCGCGACCCCATTGTCGTCTTTGCCGAAGATCTCGAAGAACTGGATCTCACAAACGCCGACCATTTCGAAAACCTGCAGTCGACAAACTGGCAGCACATGCGCTTCAAGCCGCCGCCAGCCGGCTCCGACATGGGCTGGCGCGTCGAGTTCCGCCCTATGGAGATCCAAGTGACCGACTTTGAGAACGCGGCGTTTTCCATCTTCATCGTCCTGCTCACGCGTGCGATCCTGTCGTTCAATCTGAACTTTTACATTCCCATCACGCTGGTGTCTGAGAACATGGAGACGGCGCATATCCGCGACGCCGTGTCGACGCAAAAGTTCTGGTTCCGCAAGAATCCCTTCTCATCGCACAAGTCCAATGGCAACGGCAACGGCACGTCGTCGAGTCCCGGCGGCGAAACGCAGGCCAGTCGTCCCGCCACGCCGGTCGGCCCCGTCGAGGATGAATACGAGCTCATGACCATCAACGAAGTCATCAACGGGCAGACGTCGACAGACGGCGGCTTTCCCGGCCTCATCCCGCTGGTCGAATCGTACCTCAACAGCATGAACGTCGACGTCGAGACGCGCTGCGACCTGGCCACGTACCTCGATCTCATTCGGAAGAGAGCAAATGGCACGTACTGGACGGCTGCGAAGTGGATCCGCAATTTTGTCGCGACGCATGAGGCGTACGAGCGGGACAGTGTGGTTGGCGATGAGATTACGTTTGATCTTGTCAAGGCGGTCGAGCAGATTACCAAGGAGGAGGGCAGAGATGGGCTCGGGAGGGAGATGCTGGGTCTGCGACGCTGAGGGGGTTGGAATATCATGGTTTCGAGGGTAACTGTGCTGCTCAGTGAGTTTTACCTCTAGATGAATAGAATGGCTAGTTGGCTAAATCTAAACAATATGGGTATCAGTCTCTTTACGCCCATGCTGCTCCTTGCTCATCACTCACGACAATGACGGGTGAAGAGAGTATAAGTATTGAAAGTAAGACTCTGAATATCGATAGATGTATTGCATTGCATTCCAAGCCCTTGTCCAGCCGCAGAACGCCCTCAAAGTAAAGATAAGATCAGACTAGCTAGTAGTAGCCCATCATCGAACTAATGCCAAAGTCCCCATCACACTAGATCCTGTGCTATGAAACGCAAACTATACCAATCAAGTCAGCGAGCTGCAGCCATTTCGGAACAAGGCGAAGCAACTTACCATAGCTAGAGAGGAAAAGCAGTGACCAGCACCATCCATCTCCCTCTATGGCCACATTTCGCTTTTTTTCGATTCGAGCAGAGCGGCTCACATGACTGCGCACTGCATGCCGCCCATTGGCATCTCAACGAGGGACGGAAGCTTGTCGCACACATGCCCGCTGGTAGCTGCGGCGTGTGTAGTCCTGAGGGTGGTACTCATCGATGACGAGTTGGTCTTGAAGTTTGGTAGTGAATGAGAAAGGGCCGTAAGGGGCGCGAGTTTGTAGGCCAGGCTCATCGCTGGCTTCTTCCAGGTCTTGAGGAGGATGTCTGGGTCGGCGAAGGTGGACATGGTGGCCGTGATGGAGAGGCAGGAAGCGTACAGCTGAGCTGCGATGAGAGTGAGGTAGAGAACCGACATGGTGATTGACGTCGGGAGTGTTGGAAGGATTTCGATGATGGAAAGATATTGCAGCTATAGTTCTCTGTGCTGTCAGGAGTAGCGTTCGGTTGAGGTTGTTTGTATTTCGTTGGCTATGCGTCAGAGCTCGAGATGGAGAAGGTCGTTGGTAATGGTGTCTGGAGAGGAGAAGAGGTGGACTGTGGGAGGTTTATACGCTCATGGGCAGCAGCGTTCTTACCCTTACCATTGTTGTGTGTTTACCATTGTAGTCGCGATTTTGATGGACGTGGTGGGGCGAAGATGAACAATCGCTACGTCGTTGCGCTCGATGCTATTGTTCTACACTCGTACTCACGATGGATTAAGCGGGGATCTTGAAAATCTACTGTACAGACCAGGCGGCGAAACGGTGCCTTGTCATGAGTGGTATGTGTGCTCTCTTTCTTTGAGGAGTTGCAGCGAGCTCTCAAACTTCTTCTCATTCTACAGATAGGAAAGGTGTAGCTTAGTGAACGATAGCTAGACTCAGTCGCGATGAGTCGAGTAAAGAACTGAAGTGAAAGTGAAGACGAAGGTTAACACCAAGACATGATTACCCGACCACATGCATGCTGAGCTTATCGAACTCGTCTGACAACTATCATGTGCAGTCACTCATGTATACTCCCATCACGTCAGGAGTCGCATTACGTGGAATGAGCCGGCCTCAGGGCTGAGCGGGAGCGGGGTTGAGGTGTTTGCAACCATGCAAGGAAGTCCATGTCAATCTGACGCGGTTCCTGTCACAGTGGTGCTGGTGAACCAGGAGTAGCTTTCCCTTGTACTGGGACGTGATGATGGTGCGATCGCATTTCGGTATTCTAGTTATCCCAGGCCCGAATCTTACGAGCACGCGTAGTCAAGTGTGGACGGGACCGTCTTGCGGCAAGATATCGATCTGCAGCCCTGACTAGCTGTCTGTTGGCTATGATGTGCCTAGCCTACGAGATGTGCGGGCAAGCAGCATTGCCGAGTTCCAGTGCCTCGGAAGGAATCGCCAATGCCACGAAAATAGGAGCACCTGGACGTTTGGGCGTTGCTGCAGGGAGTGGTTAGCGAGATGAGACGGCGCCCAGGCCGCGTTAGTTGAGACGTTTCAGGCGTGGACAACAGGGCAGACCCGGCGATGAAACGGCATCTAGCAGCACAAAGGGTGGCCACGCGCGAGGCGATTTTCGAGTCTTGAAGAATACGAGGGCGAAAAGCGGACGGGTGGGAAGCAAAGAATGGAGCATTTGTGGGCGTTTGGCAAGGCTAGCAACGTGGATATGCAGACGGCAAGGTTGCAAAGAAGGCGTGACTGCTTAATGGTTCGGCTAGCTCCTCGTACAGGGAATGCAATGCACGCGGAGAGAGAGACGGACATTTAAGATGGGCTTACGGGCGACTTGAAGCCAGGGTCATGCAATGGTGCAAAGTCGGCCTTCGTATTCATTCATGCGTGTGCTGGTCAGCATCGAGGACGCTGTTCCCATTTGCACTGACTCCAACGCTGTTGCTGATGCTGATTGAAGAATGGATGCTGGATGGATGGATGGTTGGGCTGGGTGTTGGTGGTATTCTTAGAAAGCGAACCGTCTGTGGCCCTCGAGGGCGCTGGCCACTCATGGCGTCCAGGCTGGGTTTTGAGCGCGTAGCCGCCCGTTGGTCGCTACCAACGAGTGGCCGCGAATGGCCAGTATAGACGCTATCGATTTGGTGGAGCACGTCTTGCGGTGTGCTCTGCACATGCCGCTCGAGCAATGAGAGGGCGCTGTTTCGCATCAGTTGTTTGCTGTCCTCGATGGACCCTTGCTAGGTGTCTTGACGCTGCCGTGGTGGCGATCGAGGGCGGCTCTCCAAGGCATTTCCTCTTGTTCTTCGTCGACATTGACGATTGATTTCAAGCATGAGATACAGGGCAGACGAAGGAGATTGAGCGCAAATCACCCCCAGGAACAGGACCAGGGCAGGGCGCAGTGGTGCATCGGTACCAGCGTTTCAAGCGGGCCTCCAGCTCGTCTGCAGACCATCAGGGGCCGCAGATGGGATGGGATGGATGTCGACGCTAACCGCTTCTGCAGGGCCTCGCCGCCAACGAGGGCAGGAGCCACTCGCCTTTCATATAGCCTCCCACCCGTCCACCATCGCTCCTTCCTCGCTGCTGCTCGTTCGCCTTTTTGCTCCTGGCCCCTCCACCTCGCCCTTTCCTCTCTCCCCCCCTCTCCACCTCACGCGCTCTCGCTCTCTTCTTCCCAGCCAGTGCTGCTACTGCTTCTACTACTACAACTACAACTACTACTACTACTACTACTACTACTACATCTTCTACCAGCTCCTGTTCTTTGAGCCCGCTTTATCTCCTCCTAATCCTCGCTTTCTTTGAGCGCGCCAGTCCCGTCGCTCCTGACCCCGCTCGTGACTGCTCGAGTGTCTTCAGCTCCAACTGCATCGCCCATCGGCCGGTTTTCGATTATACCTCTACCTTACCAACCAAGATCTGTACGATCCTTAATCTCGTAATCGCCAACCAACTTCCCGCGTCTGCCCCCCCGAGCAAACGCCCTGTACATCCCCCCACCCCCGCCCCGTCTGCTCATCGATTGCGCCGCCCAACACTCCTTCTCGGCCTCTTCGATCACGGATCGTGTCCGGTTTTCCCGTTCGATTCCATATCCTTTCACGTGTGCTCCGCGCATCCCTTTGTTGCCGCCTAGCGCTTTGTCCGCAACTTTTCGATAAATCACCACAATGAGCATGGACGCTGGCGGTCTTGCTCAAATGACATACAACAACTTCCAGGCCCCAGGCGGCTTCGGCGGCCCTACCGCGAGCTTCGGATCTCGTGGCAAGGGTGCTGCGCTGAAGCGTCTCAGTGTCGCCTCTCCGCCCAAGGTTGCCTCCATTGCCGAGGACTCGGTCGCGACTCCTCGCACGAGCCGCTCCCATCTTCTAGCTGGTCTGCGCACTGCTCCCAAGACCCCGACGTCCGCCCAACCTCCCGCGTCGGCTCCTTATTCGCAGCGACAGCACAACATTGGTGCTAACAACACCAACCGCTATCCCAGACAGGGCTACAATGGCGCGAACCAGGCTGTCCCCCAGACTGCCATTGGCAACAGCTTCACGGGTGCCAACCAGTTCAACAACCAGCAGCCAGCCCTCTATGACCAAGTCCTGGCTCCTCCCTCGGTGCAGTATGATGACGCGGAAATGGATCCTAGCGTCGCTGCGCAGCTATTGGCCACAGAGATGTATCTCGCCCAGAGACAGCAACAGCTTCAACAACAGCTGCTTGCCCTGACTGCGCAGCAGTTTGGCGGCATGAACATGAACGCCAGCATGCGCCAGTCGCAGCAGTTCTCCAACCCATCCTTCACGCCTCAGATGAATGCCTACGGTCAGCAGTTCCAGAACACGCCCGCTATCCAGGAAACTGGTCAACCCGGCGTCTACCTCGTCTTCAACCAAATGACTGGCCAGTACCAATATGTTGTGGACCCCAGCTTCCAGCACGATGACGGCGGCAACGTTCAGGCTCAGAATGGCACATCCAACTTGTCGCACTCGCCACCCCCGCCAACTCCCAACTTCACGTCTTCGCCGCCAAAGGGCAGCACCCCAGTGCTTCACGTTTCTCCACCCAACGAGGTGAACCCCAGCCCCTGGGGCTCGCGCAGTACGTCGCCCCCCAAGAAGTCCTCGACGCCGCCTCAGGACGTTGTACCACTTCCGCCGCCATCCGCCAACGCTTTCCGCCGTGGCCACAAGAAGAATCTTTCTACTCTTGCCGTCGATGCCAAGGCAGACACGCCTGAGGGCCCTCGATCTGCCTTTGTCCGCCCTGTCGGCTTTCCTGCTACTCCGATGACCGGCACCTTTGGCCCTGGTCAAGCACGAGCTGGAGAACACCCAGTCCGTCAGCCTCGCAACCCTCCTTCGATCGAGGAACTCAAGGAACGCCCGACCACCAAGCATGAGGGCAGCAAGAACTTTGCGACCCGTCAACGTCGACAGGCCGTTGGTAACCTTGTACGAGCTGGCATCGGCCGCCGTGCCCACCGCACTAGCAGCGGCAGTGCCTCTCCCGACAGCGAGAACTTCCCATCGTCCGACAACGACTCTGACAGCGTTCGAAGTGGAGGAAGCGGCAGCCTTTCCGGCAAGCCCAGCATTGGCAGTCTGCGCGCAGCTGCCAATGGCGCCATCGGCTCAGAGCGCAAGGCCTCCAAAGAGCGCTCCCGCGACCGGACTCCTATTGATCGTTCCTACACCGCGAACAGCGTGAGCAGCGACGATGGCGCCTCCATCGGAGGTGGCCTAGTTGATATCCGCCCGGAGGAGACATACGGTGAACGTCGCACCATGCCAAAGCTCGTTCTTACCAGCGCCGAGAAGCGCAAGAGCACCTTATTTTGAGGAGCCAAAGATGGTGTGGAAGAAAAAACTCTAGGGCCTTGATTCCCTATGTGCATATTACCGCGGCACCAGCTGCACTGTTACGGCCCATTACGACTTTTTCCTTCGCTGTTGTTTTGTTTACTGCATTCGGTCGTGGTCAACTCATTTTTTCAATATCACGATTACCCTTCTTGTCTTCTGTGGAAGATCCACTTCTTGTCCTTCTTGTTTCCGAACTTTATGCGAACTGCTTTTAATGAGCACCTGGTGGCTCTCTTATGTTTTCGGACTGGCAGCTTGGACTGAAATACGCTTCACGGACAACGAGCTCTATGCCTGTGGCTGGAGCTTATTGCACTCCCTTTGGCTTTTTGTTATCATTTGTTGGTTTGACTGGCGCTTTCTGGCCAAATCATCCAGTGCGATGTTGTAGGATGGGTAGCAGAGTAGAGCGACGGATGAGGAGATGAGTGGATCATGTAGGATGAGAACCTAAACGTCATCACACTCGCTTACAAGAATGTTCACTGTATTGCATTGCATCGTGAAGTGTGTACTGGGAGACTCGTGCGCGATTGCCTACTGTTGTACGTAGATCAGGTCTCGGGACTATGCTTGGATCCGAGCTTGTCGATGAACCACAACCCGTGCTCATCGGATCGCCACACTAAGCAGCTTCTTCTATGTTTGGCCTGTTAACGCTTGGATGCGGCACTATGCTGATCGGCATACCCTCGCGTGGTGTTTCGGGCTAGATATCGATAAAGCTTCGTAGGGCTGGTGTCACAATGCGGGGCAACAAAGTCTCAATTCGTAACAAACACAATTTCTGGACAATAACGTTACACCCTCACCAGGTTCCAAATCGCATCACCGCAGCACACGACAAGCTCCACCTCCTTCTCCGCTAGCTGGTCCCTCAATTGCGAGACCAATTCTCAAATACCCGCGACAATGGCCGAGCCAGACCCCGTCCCACCAATCGAGCCTCCACCTGCACCAGCAACCTCGCGCCCGCTCCACACCCTCCCACCACCCTTCTCCCACAAGAACCTCGAACCCATCACACAAGGGGCAGAAGCCCTCGTCTACAAGACCACCTTTCTCACACCGCACATACCCGTCGTAGTAAAGTACCGACCACCAAAGCCCTACCGACACCCAACCCTCGATAAGCGGTTGACCAAAACAAGACTACTAGCTGAAGCTAGGAGTTTAGTCAAAGTGAAGAGAGAGGGGATTAATGTTCCGGGCGTGCTTGGTGCGGATTGGGAGGCTGGATGGTTGGTTCTGGAGTATGTCGAGGGGCGGACGGTGAGGAGGGTGTTGGATGGGTGGGCGGAACGCATACATGAACGAGACGCAAGAAGGAAAGAGACAGAGGGGGAAGAAATGGGGGAAGGGCAAGGGAACGAAGAGATGCTCGATCTTATGCGCAGAGTAGGAAGAGAAGTGGGCAAACTGCACGAACTGGGTGTGTGTCATGGGGACCTGACGACGAGTAATCTCATGTTACGCCAACCTCCACAGCACGTTACAGCAGCAGCAGCATCTGAACAGCCTCGCCTACCCACGGGGAAACAGACGACGTCAGCAATGCGCGAGGCAGCCATGTCCGGCCAGGGCCCACCCGAGCCGCCTTCCCCTACTCCCCAACAAGCTCCACAATCATCCTCTTCTCCCTCTGAATCCTTGCAAGGCGCCATCTACCTAATCGACTTTGGCCTGACAACGTCCAGCATACAGGACGAAGACAAGGCAGTCGATCTGTACGTTCTCGAACGAGCGTTTTCGGCTACGCATCCCGCTGCCGAACCGCTGTTCCAGGAAGTGCTCAAGGCGTATGGCGAGTCGTATAAGGGGGGGAGGGGCGTGCTGAAGAGACTGGAGGGAGTCAGGTTGAGGGGGAGGAAGAGGAGTATGCTTGGTTGATTGGAATGGAAATGGAAGTGCTGATTATTGCAAGAGCCTTTAGCAGTAAGCGTACTGGCACTGCGCGGGGGTTATATCCTGGCTGATATGCCGAAAGTATTCTCTACTACTATTATTACCACCCTTCACCTCCTCTCCGCCATAGAAGCTGCTTCAGCTGATATGCGTGCAAAGCCTGGAGAAAGCAGCATGAGTGAGCTGGTTAGACCTTCGCTCTCGATTCACAATATCACCGGCCATGAACACTTCACTCGGTGAATGCTCGACGTCCAACACATGATTTCTTCTTCGTATGGTCCATGAAACCAGTCAATCACAGCATCTGTCTTGAAAGAGCATCCATGATAATTACAACATGGTGGCATTCGAGGGGAGTGGGAAGATGACGATTTTTGACCAAATTTCTCTGTAGATAGGCTGGTGGAGTTAAGGAAGACTAGAAGCTGAGAGAAGCTGAGGTGATCTGCTAATCACTTATTCCGACTCCGCATGCCAAGAGCTCGTTCTCCTCCTCATCATTGGATCTTGGCAATGGAGCGAGTTCACTAATCTCGCCTTGGCAGCTGAGAGAGTCGTTGGATTTAGGTGTAATTCAAGCAGTGCATTTCCTCATGATGACGCATATAAAGCTCGACGTGGGCGTCAACATCTTGCGGATTACCACCCTTTCTTTGACCACCCTTCACTTTTCTGACGACCGAGTCAGTAGACACTTGTAGTTCTCACAACTTGAACTCTTTGGACGGCATCGTCAATAATGTCACATCTCCAGTACTTTGACTACCCCGGCTTCGGTGAGCGATCCAAGAAGGAATTCAACTACAGTCAAGCCGTACGCATTGACAATCGCATTGAAATATCCGGCCAAGGTTTGCACTCCTCCATCAGTTCCTTCTCCACCACTAACACCTACAGGTGGCTGGGATCGCCTCACCGAAGAGTACCCTGAAGACACTGCCAAAGAGGTCGACCAGGCTTTTGACAATGTCGAACACGCACTTCAGCAAGCAGGCGGAAAGGGTTGGGATCAGGTCTACAAGACACGTATCTACATCACGGTGCCCATGGATGATATTGCGGAGCCCATTGTTCGGAATATCCACGCGAGGTGTACGAACCATGGGCCGCTTATGACGCTAGTACAAGTTGTAGCGTTGTACAAGACTATGAGAATTGAGATTGAGGCGGAGGCACATTTGGGTTGATCTAACTTTTGCGAACCGAAATACTTGTAAATCACATCCGTATCACGTCGCTACATCGAATCACCTTGACTTGCCATTATCTTTTCATTCTGCTTATTTACTCCCCAGCTATAGTATGGTTGTAGGTAGCCGTAACGCTATTACGTAGTCACTTTAGCTCTATAATTGCTATCCCTAGTACTGTTCATCACTACAACACGGCTCCTACGATTTGCAGAGAGATCTGGGCGAGCTTTATAACTCCACTTCTCTCTTCCCCGCTGCGCCACTGCCATTCCGGCTGACTGCATCAGAGTAGCTCTGATTGGCCAACCAACCGCGCCGCAAACCCCAGCTCCTCTAACAGTCTTCTCCGCTTCATTTCGTCGTCATCTCACACATTCTACTATTAACGATTACTACATCTCTTCCAGCCTGAGCACGATATGAAGGGACAACGGGTCCGCAGCAAGCTCAAAAAAGTCGGAAACCAGACTGGAAAGTGTCTCCAAACAGCTGCTTGGCAGGCCTGCAAGTGTATCTTATGGACGTGCTGCGCGCCGTGCATTTGTCTCCTAATTTGCCTTCCGCGACAGAGGGTTGGATGTGTACGGCACGGCAAGAAGTATCGTGAATATACGAAGCCTAAAGTGCCGTCCCCACGCCGTCGAGCGCTTACGATACCATCGTCAGACTGGCACAAAGATCAATCCACCCTGGACCAGCCGCAGTCTGCGTTCATGACTAAATTGCCGTTGGAGATTCGGCGAATGATATACGAAAAAGCGTTGGGCGGGGCTTCGATTAAAGTAACGGATATAAAGGGAGCACTATTTTCGAGCCGTTGTAGGCTCTTCGAGCAGCTGGACGGACCTGCCCACGTGTTGCTCGATTTGGCACTCCCCCTTCTGAGGACCTGTCGACAAATGTAAGTGCATAGACAAAAACGGAATTCTGGCAGTATGTTGTAGGCCGGTGGCTAATCTGCTCTCAGCTATTCGGAAGCTATAGAATATCTCTACAAGGCAAATTATTTCTTATTCACAACGGACGCATATAAGCAGCCGACACTAGAATACCTCCCATACTACTTCCTACCGCAACGCCTGACTCAGATTCGTAGTGTCCACTTCTTCTGGAAAATGGACAGCCACCACTACTACCTCATGACACATGGGTTAGACCCTCAAATGGATGAATGGCTCAAGTCTTGGGACGCATTGAGCAAACTAACCGGGCTGCAGCACCTGCATATCACACTCAGTTATACCTACTGGAGCGAAGCCTGCAAGGTTCTTTGGGAAGAGCATGGAGCGAGGCTTCTTGAGCCAATAAAAATGATCACGGCGCCTCGAGACTTCGTCATAACACTTCCAGGTCGCAGTTGCTCGACAGACATGGACGTCGGCGAATCCAAATGCATCTTTCGACTACCAAGCGGAGATGACGGGGACGGTAATGCGGCCCCTGTGTGAACGGATGGCGTTCGCGTAGCAAGCCAAGGGAAACAGGTGCTCATTGGGTTGTTCAGTATTGCTGCTAGAAGAACGGTAGAAGAGAGAACAAATGGAAAATATTGCTATCATCAAACCCGTGTATAGTGGACTGTCGTGGTAGAAAAATCTGTCTCTAACGTATTCATCATCTCAAACATAATATACCCTTCAGGCAACCCCTTTCCACATGTAGCATGTCAATCCACAATACTCATCATACCCTATACAGTCCATCAAGAGTACCTGCAATAACCACACCCTCCTCTAGGATTCATTTACTACTTATCTTAGCTTGCGAATATTTATATAACTGATCAGTGGGCGCAGGCGCTTTAAAAATCCCCTTATCTGATACGTTCCTTAGTAGTATTGTCCCTTCTTAAGCTGACAAACTGCGACAAGATAGACAACGGTATTCACGCATTTGTTGAAAATTATTATGGAGTTTGATAGGGCGCGATACTTGATCGAGCGATAAAGTGCGAGGAGGTATGAGTCGTATAGTATAGTGAGGAGGTATCGAACAGGTAAAATGCGAAGCACATCAGTATATAAACATCATCGAAGACACCCAGTGATTATCTTCATGTTGATAGTCTACTCTTGCTACTTGTCTCATCAAAGCAAGGTACGAGTACATCGGCCCTCATTACCCCGTACCCCCGCCCCATTCCCCCAAGCTTTCCCACGCGGAGCTTGAACGAAACAAGCAACGCGGCGGATTCCCCGCGCAGCAGAATCCACCCGTCATCCACCTGTAAACGCAGGGGGAAACCAATCCACCCGTCATCCACCTGTAAACGCAGGGGGAAACCAATCCACTCCTTCCAACCTTTTCAAGTCCTTCGGGACGATTTAGTCTGTGGCACGGCATGCCATTGTCTCTACGCACTTCACCCATCATCTTCAATCATGAAGGGGAAGCTGCGTGCCCTCATGCCAGGCATGCGCTGGGTCCCCCACGACATCCCCTCGCAAGAGAACCCCACCAAGAAGCCCAAATCGCGCAATCCGTTTTCGCTACGCGCCTCAGAACCAGACCATGGCTCGCTTCGCCCCCGCAAGTCAACCATCTCGTTGACGTCGGAACCAGACGCTGAGATCGATACGCGCACGCATGCCCAGGGCCAGAGCATCTTCTTCGCGCGCCTGCCCATTGAGTTGCGCCGCATGGTGTACGAGTACGTCATGGGCGAGGAGACTGTACATTTGACGCTCAGCGCGAAGAAGAAGTTTGGACATTTTCTTTGTGATGCGCGAGAAGAAGTGGGGTTGGGAGGGGAAGTAGCGGGCAGCATGGAAAACGAGAGGGACTGTTGGTGTCGCGTGCTCGTTGGTGGACGTAAAAGCGAACGGCTAGGTGGTGCATGTGCGAACATGCTGAGGGTTTGTCGAAGGATGTATGCGTTTACCAATCCGCTTTATTATCATTTGACGAAGCATGAACACCAGTTCACGGCGAACACGGCTAATGGCATATGTTACTAGGTACTCGGAAGCAGTCCCCCATCTCTACCGCCCACACATATTCTCTATCCTCCACCTGACGCACCTGCTCTACCTCCCATCACGCGTCCCTTCGCAGCGCCTCGATAGCATTCGAACATTGCGATTGCGTTGGCACATTCGCGCGCTTCCGTACCTAAGACGTGGGGGACGTCTCGCATACCGTGAAGATACAGCAAATTGGGAGCGCGGATGGGCGATCATCGCCGGCATGCAAGGGCTACGGGATCTGTATGTGGTACTGGTAGACTCAAGTCCACAAGACTTGTGGGAGAGGAATTGGCTGGAGTTGGAGGAGCAATTGCTTACGCCTGTCAAGAAGGTAACCAAACCCACGTGGTTTGAGTTGATGCTGCCGTACGCGACATGTAGGACTGAATGGGATATGGAGGAAAGTAGAGTGAGGCTGCGGAAGCCAGACGGCGATGTCAATGACGAGGAAGTCAGCTGAGTGTATCGTTAAGTAGCTAGGATATCTTCAATAAATTATGGCAACCAGGTCGGGCACTGAAAGATTAGGTGGTGGCATGCAGGCCTCTCTTGCTTCTTTAGACTAGATGTCACCCAGGCTGGTATGAGCATGTGTTGAGGCTCGGACTCGTCGCTAAGTGACCTAAGTCATCCATTATTCGTTATGTACACCCCACTCCTGCTTTTTATTTACATCCGCTTTTAATTTGACTTTTTACATGTAGGTCGACCTTCAATGACGCTTACAAACCAAAGCAGTTCGCGTAGTACGTGACGGTTGCAGGCCAGTCCGAGAACATAGCCTTGACCTTCACCTGCTGAGCCAGAACGTCGAGAACAGTATACATGTCGCCGTCGTTGTTGAGGACATTCTTCACGTAGTCATAATAATATCCACCGCCGCCGATCTGCAACCACCCAGAGCGCTCAAAACTCCAAGCAACAATATCAAGACCGGCCTTCTGGCAAGCGATAGCGTACTCAGACGGCACGATCTTGCCTGCATCGTTGAGCTTGGTCAGTGCAAAAAATGCAGGCGCCATGATCTTCACACCGCGCTTGGCGAGCCCGGGAATGCTGGCTGTGGCGTTGGCATAGCCGGCTGGTGTGTCAACGCGCTCGTCGAGGTAAACAGCTTGTTTGCCAAATTTAGGCTCATTGTCGATCCAGTAAACTTAGGTTGGGATACACCGTCAGTTCTTTTCACTTTGCATTTCGTACGCTGGGTTACTTACAGATATCATCTGGGAGGAAAGACTGCAAGAACACACGACTGGGATTGATGCCGTGCTCGTAGAATTTGTTGACGAGGTCCTGGGCGTATTGCTTCTGCGTGTAGCCATTGAATGGCATCTTGACTTCTGGCGTCTTGAGTTCTGCAGTGAATTTGAGATCCCAGGAGTCGACTAAGGGGATATAGGAGTCGACGGTCATGAGCTTAGGGCAGCCTTGAGCATAGAGGTTGGTGCGAAAGTAAGGTGTGCCGTCCATGTATTTCAGGGGAGTTGTAGCGTTGGGATTGAAGCCCTCCATCTTTCCACAGAGCGTCTCGAACTCTGCGAGTGTGATGTCCGAAGTGCAGCACTTGGCAGTTGCTGGTGCGGTGCCATTGAACGGCGTAAATGGCGTCGTGCACTTCGAGGCCAATGTGGTGTTCAAAATGTTGGTTGTAAAATGCAGATCGCACTGTGCATGGCGGCAGACGAGCTGCTTGTCCTTCGTGAACGCAACATCGCATTCAATGACACCAGCCCCCTGACGATGGGCCGCCCTGTAGCTTTGAAGCGTATGTTCGGGGAACTCAAGGGGTGCTCCACGATGGGCGAAAACGAAGTCTGAGGTCTTGAACTTTTGCTCCGAGCAGCTCTCGAGCTTCTCTTTCAATGGACTTTCGTCCATGTCATCGACAAGATAGTAGGGCCGAACACCGACTTGGACATTGAGCTTCTTGTGGCCATGGCTACCTCGAGGTACGACTGAAGCTTCGACAGGTACGGCGGCCGCGTACGCAAGCCCTAGAAAAACTGATGAAGCAATGAACGAGCGCATCGTGAATGACTGGCTTGCCTCAAGACCTGATTGAGCTCCAACAAGATCCGGGAACCTGAAAAGCCAACTGTTCCTGCTGGGCATCTTCTTATCTAGTAAATAATGTGGCTTCATGCATCCTTTCCCGCTCTGTCCACTACATCCACGGGAAATAGCCACACGGCTGATACTTCTCGAAGTGCATACCAAGAATGCAGCATGCTTGCTGCACGTGGGGAAGCTACCCTGGCCTCGCGCTCTTGGAGATGCATGGATGCTGGTGGTAGATGAGATGGTTGTGGAGAGCTACCCGGATGAAGTAGGAGCTATCTTAACTTAGCTAGAATGCCAATTTGCCAAGAGCACGTTGCATGTCACGTTGGTGAATGGCGGGATAAGAGTCGCGGACGATAAGATAGGCGGCTAAAAACTAATGGTAAACCTGCCGAGGTAAGGTTTTAGTTTGTCTAGGCGCATCCTTCTGGTGCGTCCTCGTCGTGTTGTGTTAGGGCTACCATTTTCCCTTCTCTTATTTTGAAGGCCGCAGCTGAATTTGGCAAGGCCGACAGCTGCTAGGTTGCGGTTCGTTGACGAACTAACTGAGCAGACGGTCATTCGATTTCATGTGAATACGCTTGACAGACCATAAGAACGCAGAGTCAGCCAACCGGTTGTCGGGTAGGAAGAGTGAGGAGCAGTCCAAGTTTTTGATGCTTATGGTATCAATTGGTGTCGAGCTAGAATTGTTGTGTGTAGCGATAGCAACTCTTGTTTGTAGAACCTATGGACCAGTCCTGCCCATTAAATCAGCTCTCCCAGGACTAGGTTCGTATAGCCTCACGAACTCTCGACCTTCTTCCCACCTTGGTGGTTCCCCTCCCCCTTGTCCTGCTCTTTTTGCAACTCCGGATTGAGTGGGTGTTTCGGATCGTAGCCCACACGCTTCACGATACCCAAGCCCTTCGTCCTGCCCTCACGGAACAGTATCCGGTCGCCGACGGTCAAGTACTCCGGCCGCTGCACGAATCTGAAAGCTACCTGCGCACGGTCGCCGGTTCGGATGTACTGACGGTCGATGTCGATGATCGCACATGTCTGAGATATAGGACCAACATGAAGCATTGCTTGGTATTTGGTCTTGATGGTAGTCGCATGAGACAGAATCAATACCTCCGCAACAAACTCGCGATAAACCTTAGGGTTCGGTATGATGCCTGTAGTTGGATCAGGCTTGTCAGCCTTGTGTAAGACGACCATGCCTTTCCGTACATCCTTCCGTCGAACGTTGCGTAGTGCGAGACTAGCAGATTGGCCGGCGGAACATCCAGCCACTTGTATCCGTTTCCGCTCGACGGAGCGTACTTTTGTGCTCTGAAACTGACCTAGGCCATCTGGTCCGATAAGAACTGTGTCGCCAGAGTGAATGATACCAGACTTGACCACACCAGAGACAACGGTACCAACAAATGGAACAGAGAAGGTGTCGTTGACATGGAACTCGAGGGGTGCAGAGCTATCGTAGTTGCCGTGGTGTGGAAGGACGTTGAGGAACATGCGGACTAGATCAAGATTTTGTCCCGTGACGTTGGAAACCTGGAAAATGGGACAGATTCGGTGAGACATGAATTGAGTAGCAGTCTGAATGCAGTCTTCCCTGTTCTTGATAAAGATCGGGATCTTTCGTGCGCCTGGAGACTTGAGAATTTTGGTCAACTGAGTGATGGTCTGCTCAAGAATCTGCGGTGGACATATGTCGATTTTGGTGATAACAACCATGACCGGCACATTGAGCGCAAGAGCGATACCAAGATGTTCTCTGAACGTTGTCAGTCAAATCGTACACTTTGATGCGGAAGGGTAGTACTCACTTGCTCATGCCCACCAGGCCGTTGTTAGCAGCCACCATTAAGAGACAGTAGTTTGGCTCGCTAGATAAGAGGCCGAAGACAGTGGTGCGCAGGTACCTCTCGTGTCCCGCCAGGTCGGTGAAGCTGATCACTTTCGCCTGTGGATGTTAGCAGATTCAACTCATCAGCTCCATATAGACTGCTCACAGAGCGCCTTCCAATCTCCTCCCATGTTAATTTTCTGCCGGCAACATTCGAGACAACAACCTCACTCTTGCTGTCGAAGCCCATGATCTCCATACCGACGGAGCTGGTTCGTCCACTCTCGACCTCGTGCTTGTGGCGGAAGAGGTTCACACGTGCTTTGCCGCGGCCATCATCTAGACCGCCTTTGACAAGCACGCCGAGCATGGTACTTTTGCCAGCATCGACTATTGCGGTCAGCTTGATGTACCTACGTAGGCATTGTCCGTCTCACCATTTCCCACGACTGCTATCCTCGTCTCGATCACATCATCGACACTCTGCGGTCTTTGCCTCAGGATCATCTTCCCACTTGCTCCTGTATCCTTTGCGTCTCGGGGTCCTACTTCAACGTCGCCGTCCACATTTCTTGTCATCAAAAGCTTGTAGTCGGCCTTTATCTGCTCGCATACTGTCCCAATTCTCTCCAGTGCAAAGCTCCAGTTCTCCTTCGAAAAGCCCATGGATTCGCCGCTGTCCTCTAGCCCAACATCGAAGAGGACCTCACCATGGCCCTCTACTAGCCGCTCCTTGACGTGCTCAGCGAGGGCAACAACGTTCTCTTCGGCGGGATCGGTAAGGAGTGTCTTCAAGCGAATGTGTGACTTGATGTCATCAGACAGACCAAGCTCGTCTAATATGCTCAACTCATCGTGGTCTTCGAGGACGGCGGGCGGCTGGCCTGGCGGGCGGCGCAGTGCTTGCTGTTTTTGTACGTAGTCGGCGAACTCGCTGAGCGCCTATTATTGTCAGCCAGATAGACCAGCATACTCTGTATAGTCTGCACCTACAGACTCGCCCTTCCGTCGGTCTATTGGGTTCTGTTTTGCTGTGTATCTTGAGGTCATGCTGTCTATGTAGGGTGGCTCTCTCAGGACGTGTTCCGTAAGGTTCGCCGTACGTTTGGTATTCGAGGGAGACGTGAATGTTCCATGAGATGTCTTGCAACTGTCATTGAATGGTGGCGATTGCTGGAGTGTGCGAGAGTTCTGGCATTGACAGGAGGCAATGATGGCGAGCTTCTTATCGATACTATACCTCACCTTGAGTCATAGCGCGATGACGCTTATACAACTGGACACCGGCTTGACTCACGACACTACGCGACGCGACGAAGAGACGAAGAGGGCGTCCAATACGCTGCGAAGTACTCTAGGCTACCGTTTTCTGTCATGTTTAAGACACGGTGTTAATATTACGCCCTTGCGATGCGACATTCTCGGCCACAAAGCTTCAGGTGCCGCCACGAAACTCGCGACTACCAGCGCAAAGGGCGCAAACACGAGAAAGACACGAAGAGCACACAATCAGTACATCGAGACTTACACCTTTCCTACTGATCACTACTGTCCGCGCTGACGAAGTTTCATTTGCATGTTCAATGTCTTTTGTGAGTGAACAGGGTCGGGTGGTGACTGCAAAGTCTAGGGGTTTGTTTCTCTATGCAACGTTTGCAATACCTTCAGATCTCTAGGCTACACGAGGCGCAGGGACTCTTTGCAGTATCTCCAACCGCTGAAATACAGCGACCAAGATATCGTGTTGATGCCTTGGGCCTAGATCTACGGCGCAGCAACGCCTCGCTCGCCGCAATACTTCGCCACTTCCTTCTTCAGCGTTTCCCGTTGCTGGTTGGCAGTGTCCATAATGTCACTAACGCCCTTTACTGACTTGCAGAACTCCGACGTCTCTACCATCTGGATGAGTACAGCAGTCAGTTGGTTTGGCAACCACTAGGAGGAGATTAGCATACGTATCACCGGACTAGACGAGACCACCTACTGTCACGATCGGGCTCCCTCCAGTCGCCGTGGGATGCGACGTATGCTTAAGGATGTACTCGCGTGTAAAGCACCAGTGCCGCCAGCGGAAGTCGCGGACCTGGTCAAGAGCCTGGAGATACAGCGCAGCCGATATAGAGTCGCCTTTCGCAAACTCTCGAACACCCGATTGTTGAGCGCAGTCGCGAACAGCTTCCAGGAACTCGCGGTGGTTACCAGGGCGGTATTGACGGAAATCCTCGAGGATTTCGGTGAGTGGCGTCTCTGGCATCTTGATCTGGAGAAGATTGTCACACATCGGGATCATGCTGTCGTTGGCTCCAGATTCACCTCGAAACGATATTGACTCTTCGCTCACACCTTCGTAGATGACCCCATTCGGGAACATTGACTGCGATGTGATGCCGAAAATGAACGTACGGAAGGTGGTGTAGCTCTGGGGCTTACTGCGATTCCACATTGCTTGAAGGTCGGTCAGCACTGGCGAAAACGGATCGCGAGCATACTTACTATTCATGACAGCATTGACATTTCTCAAACCGCCGACCAACGTCCGCAGACCTTCATCAAACCGTTCTCGATCACGCGTCGTGCAGCCCTCCAACATATCTACAGCACCTTTAACTAGCGCCCCAGACTCCTTGACCATCGCGATATGGACGAGCACAAAACCGGCCTCGGAAGAAGTAGGGTCCAGGCCATGCTCAAAGGCGCGAATTAATCTAAGGTTCTCGTATTCGAGGCCCTTTTCTGGCTCCTCCAAACGGTAGTTGAAAAGCGCATACGAGCCAGCATACTCCATGAAGGGCTTGAAACCGGCACTAACGCACGATCACGTGATTAGCCAACTCCCACATACAAGAGATGGGTAAAGAGGTCAATTGGACTTACATCTCAGCGACTTTAACAATGGGCAGCGCAATGCAGCGAGGCAGCGATTGGCGGCCTAAACCATACGGTTCTCCCCTAAGGTATCTCTCATGACATGGCTCGAGGAGGTATGCTGAAGCCAGGAAGGAATAGTCGCGGTACAGAGCATTCATGACAACGAGGTCATCGCGATGCTTCTCGATCTCGGCGGTCAGGTCAGGGAGTTCTTTTACCAAGGTGTCGCCAAAGGTGAACTTAGCGAGCAGGCCCGGTTCCCCTGACAGTGTCTTGACAGGCATGCGTTGGAGTAACGATTCGACAGCTGCAAACTCCTTTGGCAGCTCAACGACAGGATTCTGACGAGGTAGAAAGCCACGGGTGGTTGATACCATGAAGGCAGGTAGGGAGTGGTCACCAGGGTGGGTGTCACTGAGGACAGGAAAGGCGAACGATGAAGTTGAAGATGACATGATGCAAAGAGCCAACCAAGGTAAATTTTTAGCCCGCTGAAGATATTCAAGCTTGATGGAAGAGACTAGGTCTGAGCGTTAAAGTTTTGTCGGTGTTGATGGAAGGACTCAGGCCAATTCTCGCGACTCAACGCGCTTATATCCTACGAGGCCGGAACAAAACCGTGGCCGGAAACGAACCGGCCTTGACAAGATAACACGTACGTAATGGCTGGATCACTTGTCTCTATCGGCAGGCTTCGGTCCGCATAACTCCTGCAATGCCCGCCGCGATCCCTGACGGACCCCATAATGTTTGACCCGAGATAGGATGGAAAGCTCGTCGTCGCCAAGACCTGAGTTGAGGGGACAAAGAGGGTTAGGATAACGCTGCGCCAAGTTTTGTCTTCAGTCAAATGATGACAAATTTATTCAGCTTCTTCGAAGACTCATAAAATTTGGGTTAGGAAAAGGGATGTTGGTTCACTTATGACCGCAAGGCTTACATTGTGCGGTACTGGTAAAATGGCAACCTCGCAAATTTCAAACAGGGTAACCGGGTAGGATAGATAGCTATTTCATTTTCCTTCTTGGTATGATTTTAATACGCGAGCTAATAGCCGTGATCCTTCTCACTCGTTATTACTATGCTTATCCTATTTTCCTCCCGACTTGAAGGCAGCTGCACACCTCAATCTATTTCATAGATAACGCGCCGGTAAGTTGGGTACATAGCTTAGACCCAACTTGTTCATCATTTTTCTCGCGATAGTATACAACTCGAAACATCGAGAATTCTTCATACTACTGCTCAAGTAAATAGACGCAACGTTGGGCTGATAGAAGGAAGACATGGCTCGGTAATGTGCCAATCAAAGTGGAGCCGATCGAGGAACCCCGCAAGAAGCCGAAATGCTCGCCCGCCTGTACTAACTTGCAGGCTCCACTTCCATCGTCGACAGCATCACCATCATTTCTTTGCAAGTCTAGACAATTGGGCTAAACACTGTGCTAAAGTGTTTTCTGCGACTGGTGTGATTACCTATATCAGTTTAAGATAACAATACCCATTCCTAGCCCTGGGGTCCGCTCGTGATCTTCCGGCTTCTCATGTCCCACCAAACGCTTTCAGGACAATCAGCCTACACTCTACGGACCTTCGTATATATTGACATGCATCTTCACAGATCTTTATAAAGATTGATGCGTTCGAGCATAGCAGCATAGCCATGCTGACCGTGTCGCCCATCGCTGCGCCACACATCTGTTGGGGTCGAGGCGAAACAGTCATACTCGACTTTTTTCTTTACATATGTCAGTCGAATCTTTCTCAGTTCGAACCATCACATCCCACTCACACCACTTCCTTACTAGATACCAGCATTCTCTGATTTCTGGCCTTCGATCGGGTAGGAAATATTGTTGCACGTGACCTGAAATATCTCCACGCAAACTAGGAAATCACAGCATTCGAGATGCCTTTTGCGAAGCCCGAGTCCCTTCCAAAAGCAGTCAAAGATCCGCTACCGACGACACGTCGACCAGCCATGGTGCCTACAGTTGACACAAAGTCAACACTATATCCGAAGATCACGAATTACATCGCCGAGATCGTCCAGGGCTTACAACACCTAAACCACGACCCCGAGAACCCTGAGAAGGAAGTCATACTAGACCCAATACCTATTTTTGGCACAGTCAAGCTCCATGGAACACATGCAGACATCGTCATCTACAATGACGACCACATCGTTTTCCAATCGCGGAACGTGGCAGGCCTCTCCGCCACCAGGGACAACCAGGGCTTCGCGACTGCAATGTCAAAAAAGGGCAAAAACCTCCTCCGGCTACGCGATCTATATCTGGCGCGGTGGACGCACCTCAACCCTAATGCAACCATCGACGCCTTGCACCCGGTTGTCATAGCAGGCGAGTGGATTGGCGAGAAGATTCAAAAAGACGTCGCCATCGCTCAACTATCCAAACGCTTCGTCATCATATCCGTGAATATCAATGGCCAATGGCAAAACGACACCTGCTTCTCAGGTATTAGCTTACCAAACCACGACATCTACAACATCTCCCGTGCCGGCCGCTTTAGCGCGACATTATACCCCGAAGACATCCAGCGTACCATCTCAGAGGTTGAACCGCTTGCTGAGCAGGTCGCCAGCCAATGCCCCTTCGCAGAGACCTTTGGAGTCAAGGGTGAGGGCGAGGGCCTAGTATGGAAACTCGCGCCCCCGCAATACAACTCAAACACGAGTCTCTGGTTCAAAACCAAGAGTGGTAAGTTCAAACCAACTTTCGCGCAGCCACCAAAGAAGGTGAAAAGCTTTGATACAGTAGAGGAGAAGCGTAAAGAGGCGGCGAGTGTAGCGCAGGTATGGTGTAGCGAGCAGCGGCTAGAGCAGGGCTGGGATGTGTTGAGGGAGAAGGGGATTGAGCATAACATGCGAGGGCTCAGCGACTATCTCAAGTGGGTTCAACATGATGTTTTGGTTGAGGAGAAAGGGCACATTCAGCAGTACAATATAGATGAAGGGGCACTGAAAATTGAGATTGCCAAGATTGCGAAGCCATGGTATGTAGGACGATTGCATTTCGGGGTCAATTGAGTACCAACGCCGCCGAAGAGGGACTTATTGCTACACTAGCTGGGGGAGACGAGAAACAAACGATCCACCGGATTCTGTACGAGATCGTATCTCGCATCCACAAGCGCTGTGCCCAAAATACGAGGATGGTCTTCCCCGCGTTTCCGCCCCCAGAAATAGATGAATACGAGTGAGCAACCTTGTGTTTCATGCGAAACGCGTTCAGCCTCGATTAGACCGATACGGAACGTCGCTCTCGTCGCGTTATGTCTGTAACTGTGCACTCTGGTTGCTGGCAATTCGATCACAACATGAATACAATTCATTGTCCTCGCGTCTTGACAGTGCTTATAGACAAACTTACTTCGACACCAAACTGAGTAAAAAAAACTCTACAGCTCATCAAACCCAAGACGACACGGGGTTCGTAGATGGCATATGTGCTATTTTGAGTGTTAGAGTGAAGACGAGTGACTCTGAATGGTTCAAATTCTTGTGTTACATTCCCCTACCCTCTAGTACTATTCCTAGCACTGAGATCGTTAGCATATATATTAACGCTCGCATACTTCGCATTGAAATGTAGTATCTTTCCTAGTCCTACTGCATGTCTCTGCTCGAAGTATAAAGGCATGGAGTCCGCGTTGTCTCTTAACATCGTGCACTCAAGCAGCCTTCATCATCATCAATCTCAAGTTTCCAAATTACTCACATTCTCCACCAATACCCTGAGCAAGATCTCATCTCCAACATGAAGTCCAGTATCACTCTCATCGCTATCCTTGCCGCTCTCGCCGCCGGCACGCCTACCCTATCCGGCCTTGAAGCCCGTGAAGCGGAAGCTGAAGCCGCTGGACTCGTTCCGAGGGTTCGTTGTCATTCATTCTAATCTTGTTCATATAGCATCCAGTCGAGTAGCTAACGTTCAAACGTTGTAATTTAGGCCTGCCCCGGCGCTCGCTCCAAGTGTGCGATTGACTGGGCGAAGAAGTGTGAATGGTGGTGCCAGAACAGGGGCGGCTTTTATATAATGGAATCCTGTATCCTTGGCGCTAGTAGATGCTGCTGCAGGAACTGAGTTGTTTGTAAGGAGGGGTTTGAAGAAGGTGAATTTAACTAGTCTTATCAAAGTTTCGTCTGCGTTAGTGCATTCCGCAGTCTTCACCAGCTCAACTCTCGTAACCATTCAGCCCGTAATCAGAGTTAGGCCTATGGCACTTGTCGCTGGCATTTTGAGTCGAATCACTACTACATTTGAATTCGTGTTATGTATTTGATACAAAGCGTACATCAACCGGGTATAACTATGACTAGAAGACACATGACTAATCGGTCTTTTTCTTTCACCCTCACTTTTTCTCTAATAAGTGCGCATTAACTGGCGTCAATGCCTTCCCCTCTACTAAGAATGCCTCAATATTTTCCATGGCCAAACTCTCAAACCCACTCGCCGTGTCCCATGCACCGCCCGCATTATGACAAGTCAATGTCACATTCCTCATCTTTGTAAACTCTGGATGAACATGTGGTTCATTAGCATGAACATCTAGCCCCGCCGCAAATATCCAGCCCTCCTTCAGCGCAGCCACAAGCGCATCCTCGTCTACCAAAGACCCGCGTGCGATGTTGACGAAGCGGCTCCCACGCTTAAACTTGTGTAGTCGGTCTGCGGTAATGAGTGTTTCGCCGAAGAAGGGCGTGGCGAGGATAACGCAATCGCTTTCTGCCAGCATGGCGTCCAAGTCGGGGTAAAATGTTCCCTGCACCGCGGACTCGAGTTCCTCACTCTTCTTCACAATGTCGTGGTACAGGACTTTCATTCCAAAACCGCGCCATGCCTTTTCCGCGATTGTGTAGCCTATGTTTCCGAGGCCGATGATGCCGAGTTTGCGGCCACGCGGGTTGTACGCCGTGTCTTGCTGGTGCTTGTGGGCCTCTTGCCATTGGGAGACGGAGCCCGACTTTGCGGCCTCGGCTGACCAGATTAAGTTGCGGAAGACGGAGAGTATATGCCAGATGGCCATGTCAGCGACAGCTTCAGAGGAGGCGCGTGCGCCGTTGCAGTAGGTTATTCCATGGGCGCTGAGTGTCGGGATGTCGGCCCAGTCATAGCCTGCACCGGCGGAGGCGAAGATTTTGCATGTTGGAGGAAGGTGGGGGACGAGCTCTAGGGCTTTGTAAGAGAGTGTAGATGCCGAGAAGAGATATAGAGGGGAGTGTACCTTGATCCCAGCGGCCCATTTCACCACCTGAGTTCCAGAAGGGACGGAAGACGGCGTGAAAGCTGCCCCATCGCTTCTCCTTGAGGGCTTGGATGAAATTCTCGCGTTGCCGTTCTTCGAGGGTGGGTTGGATGATGTCGAACTTTTGGGAAAAGGCTTTGTAGAGGTCGGGGTTGTATTTGATGTCGTCTCCGATGTGGAGGACGGTGTACTTTTGCGGGGTAGATCCCATGATCGGACTTTGTAAATGAATGAGACGTAGGGAGGTTCAATATGAATCGGTAGTATGGAGTTTCTTATGCGAGTTTGTAAACAAGTTCGACAGACTCAGGTCGTCTAATCCTTTGTACTTCAACTACTGCTCGTTATGCACCAAATCTTTGGTACCGATTCCCAACTCTTCAACCTCTCAAACCCACAACCCCACCACCAACATCCGAGCTCGGAAACCAGTCGGAAACCAGCCAGAAACCTCAGGCGTCCGACACACGCGAACGCGAAACCTCATGACGTGCAGTCGGACTTCCCCGCAGAACACTAACGGACTTGGGCAGTAAAATGTGTTCGACGAGAGAGAGATTGTAAAGTTCCGGCTGGATTTCAGGTCGAGTCCACAATCATCCTACTCGGGTCGTCAGACGTCGGCTCGCATTGTAGTATTTCAAAGGCAGATCAGAGCTTTAAGCTCAGACCAATCAGGCTCGCTCGTTGGAGTAAAAATTACAGGGATGCTAGCCGACTTCCAACAATCCAGTGAGTTTCTCCATTTCTCCACATCAGGCCAGCGCAACCCCACCCTAGACAATACGCCCCGCCCATCTTTAGTCATGCTAAATGCCCTCCATTGGCCGAGCTAGTCATGCTACACGTCCTCCAGGAAGCCCGGCTAGTCATGTTCGATGCCACCAGAGAGCCGAGCAAGGCTCTGAATTCGAAAGACAGCCAGGAAAGGAAAATAGAGGGCCTCTTCGGTTGTCGCTTACGCTAAAGCAGAAACAGGGAAGAAATATGGGGTCATCAGGTTTCCCCAGGGCGGGGAATTCGAATTGGAAAGACCAGGGAGCGAAAGCTGGAGGGCCTCGTCGGTTGTTGCAGAAATGATGGAGAAGGGTGGAACTAATGCTGAGTTGCCGATCGGGGTTTTCTAGGACCCCAGATCTGCACGACTCTTGTATTTTCTGGGGCGTTGTGGCAAGGGTTCAGCTCGGATGTCTATATGAGACACGGTGTATCCTGGGGGATTGGAAACCACTTTGAGCAAGTCGACCTTCATTGCAGTTGTGGAAGAGCTGAGTTGTCAACATGGCCGCCGACAAAACTTCGTTGAACGAGAAGAACATCATGGGTGATGAGAAGAAGCGAGCATTGCATCTGGCCACGGTCGATGCTGATGTGAACCTCGATGAGATGTTTGGCGAGGATAGGGAGAAGAGGGAGAAGGCCCTTGTCAGGAAAGTCGACACGAGAATGATGCCGTTGATGATGTTGATCTGTAAGTCAAAACATTTGCGACTCGAGATTGCGGATTTTGATGCTAGCTAGACATCCTAAACTATCTCGACAGGAACAACATCGCTACAGCACGCTTGGGTTCGCTCGAAGAAGATCTCGGTCTTGTAGGAACGCAGTACAACACCATCATCTCCATCTTCTTCGTCGGTTACATCCTCACCCAGGTCCCTACAAACATGATCCTCAACAAGGTGCGGCCCTCCATTTTTCTGCCATGCATCATGTGCATGTGGGCTGGCGTAAGTGCCGCCACCGGTGCGGTTAAGAATTATCCCGGCATGGTTGTGTTGCGTTTTGTGCTGGGTTTCGTCGAAGCGCCCTTCTTTCGTAAGTTCACCTGTTCAGACTGATTGGAACATGGAATCGAGTCTAACCTATCTGTAGCGGGTGCCCTCTATCTCTTTAGTTCATGGTACACAAAGCGTGAGCTCGCTAAGCGCATCTCAATCCTGTATGCGGCTGGCCAAATGTCGGGCGCGTTTGGAGGTCTCCTTGGAAGTGCCATTATGAAAGGTATGGATGGAAAAGCAGGCCTCCCAGCGTGGCGCTGGCTCTTTATTATCGAGGGAGTTGCTTGCTTTCCAGTTGCACTCGTCGCGATCTGGATCCTTCCCGACTACCCGGCTACAACGAAGTGGCTAACCGACGAGGAGCGCAAACTCGCCGTGCTCCGCATTGCAGAAGAGGCAAACCAGGAAGATGATCGATCCGAAGTCTCATCCTTACAGGGCTTGAGGATGGCATTTACCGACCCTGCCCTATACATGATTTGGTTCATGCAACTGGGACTGAACACGGCCTCTTCTTTCATCAACTTTTTCCCGACTATCGTCGCTACACTGGGCTATGGCCAGACAACCACTCTCCTCTTGTCTGCCCCGCCATATGTATTCGCTGCTATGCTCGGCATTGCCAATTCCTGGCACAGCGACAAGACTAGTGAGCGTTACTGGCACGTCGTCTGGCCTCAGGTATTTTGTTGTATTGGATTCATCATGTCCATTGCCACGATGAACCTCGCTGCTCGTTACACCGCGACCTTTATGATGATGAGTGTATACGGATCGTTCGGTTGCATCTTATCCTGGATCTCTACCACGCTCCCGCGTCCGCCACCGAAACGTGCTGTGGCGTATGCTGTCGTCAACGCAGGATCGAACCTCGCTTCCATATACGCTTCGTACTTCTACCCAAAAACGCAAGGACCAAGGTACTGGCAGGCGAATGTTGCGAACGTGGCCTTTTCGGGTGCTTGTATCCTTTTTGCTACCGTGTTGAGGTTTTATTTGAGCTGGAGAAACAAGCAGCTTGATAAGGCTGTCGAGGAGGATATTCGGGATGGCTTCACGGGCCACGAAGAGGATTCGAAGGCCGCACTATTTGGCGCCAAGTGGCAGTGTGATCCTGCTTATCGCTTCACGTTGTAGTTGGACGAAGCCAACTAGTATGAGAGTCGCAGGTTGGATAACTGTAGAACCCCTGTAATTGTGGGTAGGGGTAGATGTATTTAGGATAATTATCTTGTTGTTGCTGAACAAACTTAGGGGTAAGGATTATATTAATTACGTTATATAAAACGACATTTTTCTATCTATCTATATATCTAACATACTTTACTTTATTTTTATTGTATAGTGCTATGCGTGCTGTTACTCTGGGGCAATACGCCTGTGTCGATGCCGGCTCCATCACACCTATTGATGATTAGCCAACCGGCCAACCGGCCAACTAAAAACAATCTACGTACGACAGAAACTCTCCATACCACCAGAATTTACCACCCCAGAGTTCCGGTGTTTTCACATACGGAGGAGGATAGCGAACCAGAGCATTCCACCCGTCCGCATCATTAGCGTCTACCCGCGCGAATACTGGGATGAAACGACCCACGAAGTGCACATCCCGGATGGCACGACGCATATTTTTGCGGCGTTACTACTCCGCGTGCAGTCGCCTGCCTACGCAGGCTCACTGACTTTCCCTGTCGCGTTTGGATTCGATCGCTCAAGATGCCACTACTGGGTCAAAGCAGTTCCGGACTTCGTCTCTTCAGTCAATAGCACAACACGCGACGTCTCTTGGCTACAAGAAGTAAGAAAAAGGATATCGGAGGAGGATTACGATGCACGCCGAGGCAACGATGTGCGACATGATATCTTCGTGGTTGGGAATAGTAGGTTGGGGATGAACGTTAGTATGAAGCCAGGCTTATGTGGGGATAGTATCGCGCTACAGGTACATATCGATGGGCTGGTTATGTGGCAGTGAATGGTTGGAAGGAAAATCCACATCGACTACTCAAAAGCTCATCACGTCAATAACCTCATGTGCGAAAATGAATGAAAATTTGTAGCTAGATGTGACAAAGGCCCCTGAGGGCTGATAAGATGATCAAAAGAAGGCAAAAGCATCGAAATGTCGAGATGTGACGATGCTATCTAAATGCCGTGATATGAACATCGATAAATCCCTTCCTCACTGTACCATGAATAAAAATTTGAAGTAAAACACCCTGTTCATCCAGTAGACAAAGCACATTCCGGGAATAGCTACCAGCTCTGAGTAAAAGCGCCATTTTGCCCACACTGCACCGTCTTGCTGATGTAGAAGCCTATGACATGCAGTGATTTCGAAATGTACGCAGGGAGATGATGCTTAAAAGCGACTCTTCTTGAAGAAAGTAGCGCAGGGAACCGATACCTCGAAGGAAAAGATGCGAAGCACTTCTAAACCTGATCTGCTGCGTCGCCGTGCGAGAAACCGAACTCATGGCCAACGTGAATGCCGTCGTCGTTTGTATGGGTCTTCTTCCGTGGCGAAGGAGTAGTTGACGCACTCTCGATTTCATTGCTCTTCGAGTATGTGGAGACACTCATTCCACGACTCTTGTCGAACATGGTTGAACTTCCGCTGGTTTTAGTAGATGCCGCCGATCGGTAGAATTCGCTATGGATGAGTCGCTGATGCGAGTCTGGTCCGCTGCCGGCCATGACGGAGTCGTTAACCACGCCAGCCCATATCGCGGAGAGAGGCAGAAATATGGAAACAATGGTGAGAACCTGGGTTCCGAATTCGGGAACAGCTGACTCGAATTGAAGAGACGAGAAGATGGCTATTGTGTGTTAGTCGAGTTCTGTGCAAACAAGGAAAAACGTACCGGGAATCAACATAGTCTGGCAGCCCATGATGAACACAATCTGCATCGGGCCGAACTGAGGCATCTTCAGTCGACGTCGCTGGATTATAGCGTATCCCAGTTTGTACGTAAAGACGCAGCTGAACAACCAGATGGAAACGGCTTGTACGACGTAGGAGACCGACACCAGCTCCTTGTAAGGTTCTATGGACTGGAATAGGAGTGCTTGTTTGATGTTGTAGATGACTACCGCGGCCTTGTACCCAAGCGCTATGCAGGCCATGCTCGAAGTAATCGCCATGATAATGTATCGTTGAAGAGGCATCGTGGTCACACAGACTACCCAGACCTGGAGACTGAGCGAGATCATAACCAGGGTAGCGACGAGGAGAGTCAGGGCATTGGCGGCAACCACAGTAGCGAGGTCAGATGTTGTAACGCGGCTCCAGTCACCAGACAGCTGCGTATAGGGATGCCACATACTGCCTGTTAGGAAGCAGCAGAGCAACGTGCAGCGGATGGTGTTGGCGGTCAAACAGAGGGCATTGATGAGGAAGATGAATGACTTTCGCTTCTCGGCCCTCGTTAGCAGGAGGAGAACGAGCAGAAGAAGGAATGAAGCTCCGATCTGGGTTGCGTCGTTGATCGCAAGGCGGCTGCCATAAAGACGATAGTAGTTGAGGGATTCCATGTCGACGGTGAAATTGGTGCCGTCCTGGTAGTATAGAGTGACTGGCTGCGTCCAGGGATCGAAGTCCGGTGATGGCACCATGGTGCTCTCCATGGCTCAGTGCTGTCTAGTGTAGTCGTGATTGTGCTGGCAAGCAAGGTGGAGAGTAGTGAAAGAGGTGCTTCGGTATGAAGCTAGTGTGATATGGGCTAGCGGATGAAGAAGGCTGCACTCGTCGCCGAGGAAGGTGCTCTGTGGATAGGTCGAGACTTGCAGTTGCAGTTTGAAAGAAAGAGAAAGAAGTGGTAGCTGAAGAAAGAACGAAGAAGTTGAGCAACCTACGGGGCAGAGAAGATATACTTTGCGGGATTCAGGACATAATATGTAGAGCATATGCGTTGAAGCCTAGCTAAACATTGTCCAGGTGCTGAGGATAGACAATAGCAAGTGCGCTGCGACACCGCAACATTGTCCAATATTTCGATTCACCCCTACAACCAAGTAGAAGAATAGCTGAAGCGGAAATCTTAAGACAGTTTAGCTCTTACTATTGTTCTTTGGCTGCTTCACTCGCTTACATGGCGATACTGGCTTTCGAGGAGCTTCATTCGAGTGACGCACAACCAATGCGCTCCATTGCCACTTTCCCCTGTCTTGGAGCAGCCGCAGGTTCCCCCAGGTGCAAAAGTATCGAGGATCTTTAGAGGTGCTGGTTGCGGCCTGGGAAGTGGTGGTGGTGAGATAGCGCAGATTTCTTACTATTGTTCTTGAACTCCCACCGTCATCGCTCTGAGACCTTTGCTGGCTCTCCCGCCAAAACAAAATGTCCGCCTACGCAGTGAATGGTAACAACTAAACATTAGTAGTAAGAAGGGCTATAGAAGCCAGACAATTGAGATACAACTCAGGATGAGGTGCGGGTTGAGCATCTTCACGAGGAAGGGTGCGAGTGACGCCAAGTGGTGCTGTCCCAATCAGCACTAGTGTCCCGCCTATTCCTGTCTGCGCGTCATTACTAGCTTACCTCGTGACCGCGCGTTCAGCAGCACTTTGACATCCTCGCCACAACGCGTCAACAACTCTGCTTCACCCTCGAAGATGAGCTGGACGTTGCTTGCGTCCCCTGTCGCGGGTGCAGCTGGTTCTCATCCCTTCCCACTTACAAATGACGCTATCTCCCACATCGTACTGACTCCAAATGGGTCTACACGTGTCGGACTGGTAAACCACCTCCTTCCCGGACTGCACACCGAGTTAGGCCGAGTCAGTATGTATCCTTACTACGTGTGGGTTCATTGGTACACTCTCACTAACCAAGGAAGGTGTCGGACCCTGGGGCGCGAAGCTGGAGGCTGTTGACGACAGCTTGGGCATCCTTTCTGCGCAGGTGCTTGCCGATCCGAATGCTGATCCACGAAGTGAAAAATACGAGCTGAAACCGCGCATTGGCGAGAGTTCGGAAGTCATTCTCCTGCGCCACGGAGACGTAATAAGTTTTTCGAAATATGCGGCTCGTCTCACCTGCCGGTGGACTGCCTCAGAGGTCCAGGTTAACTCTTCAGCTGCGGACGCATTAGCTGCAGAGCCAGCTGATGTCAACGGTGATGAGGAGATACCTGAAGAGGAGACTGAGGACGAGAATCTCGACAACACCGTCGTTGCAGGTTCGACTACGCAGACTAAATCACCACCGCCTCAGCTTTCCAATCAGCCGTCTGTGGTCGTTCAAGAGACTCCAACAGCAGCTCGTTTCAAGATGGTAGCGGAGTATGCGAATACGCCTGAGGACACGAGCAATCATTCTGAGCCCACACAGCCCACTCCCTCGCCCAAAGGTTCAGACCAGGCTGAGACGAGGGCAGAGTATTTCTCTACTGCCCACACCGGAGAGTCACAGAACAAGCCGCCCAAGAAGGTCGCGAATTCAGGACGAGAGTTAAGGGTGCTTTCAAACGCGGTTGCGACAGCACATAGCGACAAATCTGCCGCTGGCTTAGACGATCCCTCTGACAATGTGTCTCCACACCAAAGCAAGAGCTCTCCACGGGTTGAGATTCCAACAAGACTATCTCGAAAGCGCGCTAGTAGTGCTGTGGAGTACGCACCGGAAAGGGGAAACGAACCATTGAGCCGGCCCAGCAAACGTACGAAGCAGACTATATCAAGCGACTGCGACACCCAAGACAGCCGAATGAGCAATATCGTTGTCGAAACATCGCGGAAACCTGCAGCAAAGGGCAAGAAACGTTTATCGGAGGTCTCAGAAGCATCAGAGGCAACCCCACCAAGGTCACAGCGCAGCTCACAGCGGTCGAATACTATGACAACGGCTGAGCCGTATGAGGGACCGACACCGCGCGTTGCGTTCAGCCACTCCGCTATCACACCCAACAGCCAAGGGATGAAGTTCCTTAAGAAACACAAGGGCGCTATAGTTGAGTCTATCAACGAAAAATGTAACATCCTGTGCGTAAGACCTGGTACCCTGACCAAAACCATGAAACTGCTCGAGTCCATCGCTCGCGGTATTCCCATAGTCACCGACAAATGGCTCCTAGACTCGGCCAAAGCTGGTCATTTCCTCGCGCTGCATGACTACCAGCCATCCGTCCCCAACCAAGAGGAAGATTGGAAGTTTGAGCTTGGCAAGGTCTGGGGTAAGCCTCAAGCGCCATTCCAAGGCTATACGATCCACTTCACCCCTGAGCTTCGAAAATCCTATGCAGATTTCAAAGAGATTGAACATGTGTGCAAAGCCGTAGGCGCGAAGGTGGTAACCAAGAAGCCGAGTAAGAACGATAACCTCATCGTCCTTGCAAAAGAGGATAGGGATAAAGAGGCGGAAAAATTGATGCAGGATGGCACAACATGTTATAGCAAGGATCTTCTTACCAACAGCATCCTTCGAGGAGAAGTCGATCTAGACAGCGATGAGTTCATGATCAAGCCGGAAGCACCCGCCGCTGCTACTACTACCACTGCGAATCAGACGAAGAGGAAAGGGAGACGAAAGAGTTAGTTAGCTAACACTGTTGATGATCATATGGCGATTTACTATAGCGTTACGTGTACGAGGGTGAGGAATGAGTAGATGCTCAGTTGTACTTATGGCTTTGTTTTACTGCATAGCGAGCGGAGCAAACCCTCGAATGGGCCGAATAAGTGCAGTCGGGATCACACCAGCGTTATGTGGAGCGACGCACTCGAGGTTTTCTGTATAGACTTACGATATTATGTACATCAAGCGAAATAGTTGTATTGTTTTATATCATTGAATACCAAGCAGCCCTATGTAGGTAAACGCTTACCCTCGTAAGCGAGCAAGACCCACATATGCAACGTAGCCCACACAAATCACCCCTGCCGCCAACCTCAGGACACCGTATCTTCTTTTCCTCCCTTTCGGCTTTTCCAATATCGTATATAAGACTCGAATTTTGGGCGACGTTCAAATCACGTGCCGCAAGCCACGAGCAGCTTTACATTTGCTCAACATCCTCCGTGGCGCAATTGGCTAGCGCGTTCGACTGTTAAGCACGGCAAATCGAGAGGTTGAAAGTTCGAGCCTTTCCGGGGGAGTCTTTTTTGCTGAAATAATGTTCTAGCGGGTTCGTGAAGGTCGCGGATGATGGGGCGACGTCCTACTTTTCTCTGATTCCGAATATCGAGACTGTATGCCTAATGCCGCCACGCGACCCTTGTGCATGAAAATGCTTCTGTAGCACCTGTTGCGGCGTTGTCGTTGGCCTTGGAATCAGCTCTGGCTAGTATTCAGCAAGCTTTACAGCGTATTATCTGTACATTAGACTATGTTCACATGGAGACAGTTACTACCCTTCTGAATTCTACCGATACTGTATACTTTTTGGATAGTTCATAACCTGAGCGACACAGTCAAATGGTTCGTGGATGGCAACATTGGGGCTACCCACTTGCTGCTGGAAGCTGAGGGGTCGCTTTATTTCCATGCCCGGGGAGTCATCATGGTTACCTACACACTAACTCAAGGGTGTACTTCTAGCGTGACTAGGAAGCAGTTCGAAGAGAATAAGAATAGCGTTACGTGACAACGGAATTTCTGACTGGAGCGACCAGGGTGTGAAAGTAGCTTCCCAGTTTGACAGTGGGGACATGTTGCGAGTAGAATTTCATTCCCTTTACCTACGGATATCTCGAACTGCATGATAGTACTGTAACGAACATAGAGTCCTAAGATGCTGATACATTTTAAGCATCCCTTTCACTAGGTCGTCAGCGCGGCGCGGCGCTTTCTAGCCTCCTGATCGGTCTGCCCTTAACATGTTCGGGACATGTGTCAGATGATCTGATAGCAATCATAAACAAACTTTCACTCAGTAGTCTATATCTATAGGTAGCTATGCTCTCTTATGCAAGATATCAATTGTGTTTCACAGAGTATAAGCGAGCTCATGTGGGACAATTTACGGAAATGTGGAGTGAAATTTCCAACCCATTCACTCGTACTGATCTCTCGCGTATACTTTAGGCAGCTCCCCGGAGGGCCACTCGAATTATTTATAAGCTCACAGCTAAAACACCTACAAGGCACACACAAGAGTCTCTACCAAATCCCCGAAATCGTAACATCATGTCTACCAACAATGTGTCCATGATACCAAATGGCTATACTCTACTACGCCGAGCCGGTCAAGGCACCCAAGCCAAAGTATACACATGCCTCCCAAATCCCGCGATAACCTTCGCTCGAAATGCTCTCGACGACGGAGATGAAGTCGAACACGTCGGCTCCGCCCTCCTCTCTCAAGTCGTAGCCGTGAAATCATCCTACACAGGCTCACTTCGCGCTGAAATCCGAATCTTGAACGCCATACGCACACAATCGAGCCATCACAAGGGCGGCATGCATTGCACCCAGCTCTTAGACTACGAGCGTCCATCTGCATCTCCGAATTGGTTCTCCATGTCCACAACACCTGTTTGCTGCGACCTCCACGCCTTCAGTGAGCAGCTTCCCGGCCCGCTTCCGAAATCAGTTCTCTGGCTCGTAGCAACGCAGCTCTACGATGCATTCTGGTTTTTGCATAGAGTGTGCGCGCCGCCAATTGCGCACTTGGACGTTGGCTTGAGCAACTTCACCATAAGTTACCCAGGCGCGGACAGTATAGGTGCTCCAAAAATCACTTTGCTGGATTTTGGAGCTGCTGTAATTGTTCCTGAAGCGGAGAGTTTAGGGCAAACGCGGACTCGAGAGGATGACGTTGCGAACTTCTGCTACGAGATTTACACTTTGTGTTTGGAGTGCTGTGATGGGAGTGAGGAACCATCGGGAATTGGCGCTGAGAAGATGCGGAGGTTCATGAGAATCTGGAGCGACGTTACGAACCTTGAGCAATTGCGGGTTGAGTTTGGACAGTTTGCCGAGGAGCAGTTGGCTTTAGTAGAGGAGCGGGACTGGCAAGAGGTTAAAGACCTGGTGCTGCAAACTGTGCAGAGAGTAGACGAGCAGGAGGGCAGCATTCGCGATGCTGTTCTCAAAATCTTGGAAGTGAACAATTAAAAATTATGAATTGTTTCCATTTCTTTTCATAAACGGGAAATGATGTACGCTGTGTTTGAAACGAAGAACACGTGCGATGATGCTGCACATTGTCTAAGCAATCTTGCTTCGTGTCATGAACTGGTCGGATGTTTGGTCGAAAGCCATCGAGTCATGCTCTTCATTGGCGAATTGCTCGTCTTGGCCTCATTTGCATTTATACGAGAACCATCCAATGTAGTCTCCTTTAGAGATACGATGCCTGTGTTAATAGTTTGATGAGAGAGAAGTGAATCGTAAAGCTAGCTTAGTACTCTCTGCAGATCGTAAAAGCGGTGTTGTAACTGACTTATTCAAGAACTGGACTGAGCTCATAACAACGATGCCGCTGCCTAGAGCAACTTGCACAAAAAGCTTTCATGTCAATCGTTGAACTTGTTCGTTGACGTGACTTTAAGCTGAGCGCGAATCTCTCAAGTCCTCACAGATCAGTCCGAACGCCCTACAAACATTAGGAGAACACTCGTGGTAGCTTGCGAAGGTAATTAGGTCTACTGTACTTATTCGAATACAATAGGCCAAATGTGGTAGATGCCGAGACCTCCGAGGAGGTTGCAACGGTAAAGAGAGCGAATGATATTAAGTTGATATCTCAATGGTATCGACGTTCCTGTAGCAACACCCGAGATATTCTCACTCTATTAGCCTAGTAACGCCAAGAGCGAGCGAGAACGCATAAGCTCGCTCCACAAATACCTCCATGCTATGCTACAAAACAAACACCACACCCAAGTTAAGCGACGAGTATATACAAACGAAAGATACCCTTAAGTGAGCGCCGAGAAATGCATGATTATATCAAAGACATTAAAAATAAGGTTATGAGACTGCAAGTGTTCAACTGCCGCGGCCTAGGAGCTTTTTGCCCAAAGCCCTTGCTTTCTTCTTCGGGCTATGTCTAGTCAGTACAGTTCAAAATAGAAAGTGTTCAAAGATTACTTACCCATCACTCTCTTCATCCCCTGCAACACTCCCCTCCCTCATGCTGGTCCCCAAACTCGCCGCCCGATCTCTTCCTCGAATATGTCCCGCAAAAGGCCCTCCGCCTGTCAAATGTTTGCTCAAGCTATGGATGAGATTCGCATGCACCGGTTCCGTATTATCTACTCTAGACAGCTCATCCGCAAATGCGCGTCCGTCTTCCACATCATCGGCAATACCAAGGCCGTTTTTGTCGAGGCGAGCCCAATTGCCGCCCATGATGCTACCGTGCGTGGATCGGGAGCTGGTAGCGGGTCGGTTGGACGGGGTGATGGAGCTAGATTGGATAGATGACTCTTCAGATACTGTACTGAACATACTGCCCTGGCGACCCGAGGTAAAGCTGCGCCGAGGTATGCGGTCTTCTGAGGCGTCGGAGCCTCCGGGTGAGTGATCGCGCATGCTATTTGAGTCTGTACCTGAGAGATCGGGCGAGGTGTTGAGCATGGCACTGCTATTTGCAATCTGCCGAAGCCTCGATTGTGTATTTTTGGATGGGCGGTGGTGGGAAAATTTGTTACCGACAATCGCTCCAGCGTGAGAGATAAGGGCGCGCATGACGTCTTTCTTGAGCTGGAGCGCGAGGTCGAGGTTTGACCACGTTTTGTTGCGATATTCGAGTGTTGGCAACTTGAAGACGAGGTCGTGCACATCTTCAAAGTTACGCTGGCCTTTGCCCTTGTATGAGAGGCAGAGCACCATGGATGGGATCTTGACATACGCAAGCGTCATGTAGTTGCTCGCGCGGGTCATCATTTGCGTAAGATCATCGCTTCGTGGCTCCTTTTTGCTTGCACGTTTCTCGCTCAACCCCGTACCCGTGCGGTAGAGCGTAAACCGTTTGGCTGTTCGTTCAGACTCGTTCGACACCATTGCACTTGACGTATTTGAGCCCGAACGAACCGAACCCGGCCTAGACGGTAAGGGAGTCGAGTTGTTTTGAGCCGCTAGCGCAGAGTTTGGATGCAGAGTCCTACGAAGCTCTGTTCCGCTGCGCGATGGGTTATCGCGGAAGAGGCGGAAATAGTGAGCACTTGGCCTCTTTTCCGGGCTCTTCCTTTTGGATTCGGCCTTCTGCGTCGGATTGGGCAGCTGTAACGTGGGCGTGAGTCGTTGTTTGAGAGCATTGACTGCGGCTTCCTCTTGCGAAAAGGACGCAGTGGCACTGCTCATAGTGCCCGAGATGATACTGTCTTCGTCCTCATCCTCTTCATCTTGGGTCGGCAAGGTGTTGATTAAGAAAGGCGAAAAGTTGCCATTCTGGTCTTTGTTCTTCATGGCAGGAAAGACGTACTCGAACAGCTTCTTGCCAATCTCATACTCTAACTGCACTTTGAGCGGGTACAGATTGACTTGGAAGTGCTCCATGACCGGGATACCCGCAATGGGTTCAAGCATAACGAACTGGACCTTCAAACACTTGGCATTTGCAGGCAAGGTACGGTTGTTCTCCAGATATGGCGAGAACATCTCGGGGTAGAGCGCATTGGGCAACAGGTTCAGGCCGCGGACCTGTTCGATCTCCAACATGTTGAAATTCGAGCCATCATTGTTGTCGGTGCGGTCAAACAGCACGTTCTTCAATTGGAACTCTGCCAGGGACTCCTGTCCCTCGCGGAGCAGGTGCCACACGATCTCCGAGGCAGAGATATACCATCGTAGTAGACCAGTCGATTGCTTTGCTTGTGCCCGGTCATCTTGCTTGCGCTGCGCGGTGGTGATAGCCTTCATGACGAAGAATAGCTCATCCTCGTAGACAGCTATGTCTTTCTCAACCTCCACGCGGTCTTCCCATCCTTGCTTGTCAAGATACTTCTCGTTGATCTGGAACACGGTTTTGATTTCTTCTAGTTGACGGATGCGCTCTTGGAGACCCATGACTAGATCAGGAGCACCGGCGAGGTCGGTGAAGTCGGAAGCGAGCATAATTTTCTCAAGGCGTTCATTACGCGTTTTTTCCAGCGGTTCGTGGTAAAGTAGGAGGTCTAGCACGATGACATACATCGCATAGTATTGTCTAGAATCACAAAGAGCTCGAACGTGAGGAAAGTCGACCCAAAGGTGATCGATCCGGCTCTCCTCCACATCCTGCGCAGATGAGGTAGCGTCGGCACGGGAAACGTCGTCGTTGTACTTGAGACGCAAAGTGTTGTGCTTGTCGTATCGCATACTAGCCGAAGTTCTTTGAACAACTCGCTGGAATCCGTAAGGATTTGTGTGGAACTCAAACATCACCTCGAAGGGTACCCATGGCGGCCAAGCTGATCCAACTGGCGCTCCGTACGAGCTTCCAGAGTACATATGGATGTCATCCATATTACTAAATGTCTTCGCATTCGTGACAAAGATTTGTAAGCTGTCCATAGCAGCTGTAAAGCGTCGTTGAACTAGGCCTGAGACCTCGTCCATCACCCGGTCTCTGTCCATGATTTGGAGAACTTTAAGCTGCATTCCTTTCGCTGTAACAAGAACGGCGGCCTTTGTGTTTCGTTCGCTTTGTAGCTGGATTTGCGGCGCGATGAGGCGCACGATGTATGCATTTTGAGGGACGTAGTCCGCTGCAACATCATCTTCGGCATTGGTTTGATTCGCCTGTGATGGGTCGACGCTAGCGCGAGCTCTGTCATCCGAATCATCTGCATTGACGAACTTTCTGCCATCTTGAAGCAGCTGTTGAACAGTTTCATCAATGTTTATGCCGGCTTCATTATCTCCAGCTAAAGGCGTAGCGTCTGGATCAGAGGTAGAGGGTCCGCGTGACTTGTTCTGCTCTTCAACAACATCGAGGATGAATTTGACTGCCTTTCGAGACATGTAGTAGATGAAGCCTCGACGCTGACTGACTTGGTGTATGTAGCGGAGTATGATGTTTCGCAATGAGTTGCTCCATTTCAAGTGGATATTGTGAATGATAAACCGGTTGTTGAAGTCGCTGATGTAATCAACAATAGGTGCCGAGTCCATGCCCTTGGTGTCAGGATCTGGTGAATCGTACTCTTCGCGTGCCTCAAAATATTCATCTTCTCCATCTGTCTCACCGGTGTCCGGAACGGCACTGCGTTGGTTGGATTCTAGTCGCTCTAACAGACTTGTGTGCATGGAAGACAGGAACTCCAGTTTTCGCTGTAGAAACTGAGCATGACTTTTTAGAGTGTCTACGCGGCGCTGCAACTCTTCTGTGCTCTCAGGTTCGCGCACAACCTTCAATTCTGCGTCGCCAACTGCGCGCTGATTATGCGCCACCTGCTCTTTAACGCGCTCTATTCGCTGTTCGATCAGGTGACACTGAACTCGTCGTGGATCATTGCGTTGCGACATGACACAGTGATGAGTCGCCTCATTTCCGAAAGCACTGGTCCGGTATTTGTCTCCTGAGATATTGTTTGCGTGATCGGTTTGACGGAAATAGGTAAAACGCGGCGCGAACGCTAATGGTAGGATTTGTGTCTCGGGATGGCGTCCGGAGGGCAGCACCCAGCCGAGCTCAATGAAGTCATCCATATCGACCCAACCCCAATCATTGTCTGGTATCGTGAACTTTGATAGGTCGGCGGTAAGGTACTCCTGGTTGAAGCTCGCGACATCTTCGGCTGTCGCAGTATCGACATCTTCAGAGTCCGTTCCTGCGATACTTGCAGATACAGCCCGAACGTCTGTTCTAATTAGATCTAATTGCACTTGATTGATACGCATGCCAGTAGTCTGATTCTGCTTGCTGTCTTCTTGGGTCTTCGGTGCTTGCACCAAGGTTCGAAACTCTTCGCGCCTCTGATGAAGATCGAACATGAAGCTGTCGAGACGTGCTTTGAGCCCAGTAGCGGACAGCACACCGGCACCATAGTCCTCGGCATCTTTGTGCTTGTAGATGTGGCTCATGTACAGTGGCGAGAGCAAGATGTTGTACTTGATGGTCGCCAGATGTCGTCCAAACTTCTTACTGGATTTTTCCACTCCAGGCCACAGCTTGCCTTGTCGTATAGGTAAAGACATAGCACCGGAGAACATGGACCACCAGCTATAGAAGTGTGTGAAAAATCGAGGGGTGAGATGGACGCTGTTATATGTCTTAGATGGCTCCAGGTTAGCAACAGACCACTCTCGGTCATAAGGAGCAGCGATAGCAATGGACATGTGTATGTGATGACTACGGAAGCCTCGGAATGCATCGTAATCCTAGAAGGAGTTAGTGACATGAGAAAGTCGAGATATGAGTAATAACTACCTTTCCATTAGACGGCTTAGCATACTTTGGATTCCTGAGGGTAACATTGTAGTGAGGAATGAAGTTGAAGGAGCGGCCACCGTCGTCGAGGTTACGCTCGAAGACGAGACCTACGACCCACCTTACATTGCCATTCAACTTCATTACCGTTTTCTTGAACACGGCGAGTTGCTTGCGGCTAGACGTGCTAGAAGCGGTCTCTGGGCGGGAAGTCGATTCTACTTCGGCTTCATGGCGGGCATAGTGACTTAGGTCTGGAATAGCTAGGACATAGCTTCCGCTTTTGACAACCATGAAATTCCTAGGATCTTCATCCTCGGCAAGACTAAGCTGAACGTCGTTCTGCCAGCACATGACGAATCCTGCACCGTGGCCGGTGACCATATATGGATCTCGCGAGCCTATAACGTGTTAGTAGGTGATGACGGGCTAATTCAATACTGCACTAACCCTTGAGAATGAGGTGGACATCGCCGTCGCCCTTCCAAGATATATTGATGCGGGAATGGAAGGTCAATCGTATCTTGTCCCAAAATCCCACCCTCTCCGACGGATCTATCGCAGGCTTTGTGAAATTCTCAATAATCTGCATCATGTCCTGTATGGCCGGCTGGTATGAGGTACCCCATGTGATCCGAGTGGGATATGCTGAGTTGATGTCGATTGCCATATCGGAATAGGTCTTGACAGGTGCTACAGTTCGGCGAACATCAACCGCAAAGCCACCTGTAAGTTCTCCTGATTCCGTGCGCTCCTGGGGCACGACGACGACCCTGCTCACCCGCGAAGATTCGATATTTCTAAACTCTTCTGCAATAACGAAGTCGGTCTTCATAGACACGCTTGGCAATCGCGATGACTGCATAGTACCTATCGCTGGAAAATGTAATAGTGGCAGTGGGTAGTCCCTCAGGTGTATTTTCGCCTCTCCCATATGTATTTGGACGTTCATCGGTATTAAAAGAGCATATTGCGTGTCAAGCGGTATACCCTTTCCAACACGGTGCAGAAACCGGGGGTATTCCGATATAGGAAAGGAGGGCTTATCAATGACGATGTCCAGATCGCTGACAGTAAGCGCCATGAGCGCTGGACGTTGAGGAATGGCGAGAATGGTTTCCTTCTGTTCGATGTCATCTGGTAGTTCGTCTAATCCCCAGAACATAGAGCGGATATCGTTCATGGAGCGGTTTTGGGTAGTCATTGCAAAGTCGATGCGCTTCTTCCAAGTCTGTGCGTTCAGTCGATTTAGCTTCTCGCGAGCTTCTTCGACAGAAGTCTGGCAAGACCCGCTGAGACCGCTAAACCCATCCTTGTTGTACCGCATAGGATGATCTGAGCGACCTCGGTTTGGCGAGTCTCGATCGCTAGAGTCTTCGCTCTTACTACGACGATGAAACCTGCGTTCTTTCTCCCGCTTCTTAGCCTTGCCCCGTCCGCGAGCATCATTAGCAGACCTAGCCCGATAGCGTGAGTTGCCGCGCTGTTCATCTTGCTGTTGCATCTTCTTCACTTTTAGATCGAAAGCATGCTCGCGTGCGAGTCTTTGCTTCTGCTCCATCAATCCGATGCGGTAGATTGTTCCTAGTTTCCATTCGAAGGAGCTGTCTTCCAGCTCGAACAACACGGCTCGACTTCGTAAAGAGATCTTTGGTACAAGCTTCGGACCTTCTGGTTCTTTGTCCAGGATATACTCATCAGTCCCAGTATTGAAACGGTGATGCACTTGCTTCAGCGTCTTCGTGAGGTTGGCGATGTTGTCAAAGATTTTGTGCATGACCAATTGATGAGGGACAGCAATTCGTATCGCGTCTGTTGCAATGTCGAAAGATCGCTCGTCCGTGATTGTATGTCCGTACCTCCGCTTTGACTGTCTATAGTCCATTCGTAGAGACTTGACACTTACAAGCCTGCTCCAAACACGCTTGACGTTGGGATTCTCAGCGTAAAGTCTCACCAAACGTGATCTGAGGAACGGGTTGGTCCACCGGTGCCGACCTGCTTCCAGTCCGTAGATCTGAAGCATGAGAGGTGGATCAGCAGGCATATCTGCTTTGATTTGGACGAACTGAGCTCTGACGTCAACTGTAACTATTTCGCGCTTCAGTCCATTTGTAGGGTCGATGAAGTTGTCATCGAGGGACGGTATAGCAAGATGGCGAGATGAATTGAGTGGAGTTGACTGCGCTGGCTTGGCATGTCCAGTACGCCAATCGAAGGAACGCTTTATAACTTGCACCGCCATGCCTAGTGCGAAATGGCGATAGAGCGAGTAACGTAGAAACAAACTCTGGCTAAAAGAGTGGATATGGAAAATTGGGCCTTGTTTGTCTGATAAGGTACTGAGAGCAACCTCCATACGGGGGAGCGATAGCGTTGGTTCCTGTTCCGATTGATCGTTCTCCTCGATAACGAGACCTTCTAGTCCATAGAAATGTAGAGCAAGACGTCTCCCGTCGGTCGGGTTGCCTTGCGGCGCCCTAGGAGATTTTGGTGACGAAGGTGTTGAGGGGCGAAGCAGGTGTTCATCTCGGTTGATCGTTCTGCTTGGTGCTCGCCGTCTTATAGGTTTCATCTCGTTTTCGTCATCCCGGCTTTGCTTGTACTCCGCGGTCCAAGACTCCAGATGCAGAGCCACGCCGCGACTATGCTTTGATACGGCTGGGTCGAAGCCGGCAACTTCCACGTTGAAGTCTGAGCCTTGGAGATGAATGTAAGCGAGCCATGGAGGCAGCTTCCGGAGTAGTTTCAATTCCTTCTTCGTTCGCATGCTGCGCCGTGGACCCATATCCTTCTGAATTTGCATAAAAATCTGCCGAAGCCCCTCGCTGATCTCTGGTCGAATGAGATAGATGGAGAAGGTCTGTGCCATTCCTCGTACCTCGACTACGGCGTCTGGAGATGCGCTCATTTGTACCTTGAACTCAAGGTAATCGGTGAGAAGTAGATTGTGCTTCTCAATGGCGGCAGTTTGGTAGTAAAGCTGCTGTGCATTCATGCGAAAAGTGGAATTCAGGGCATAATGAAGCTCACCATCCGCAGAATGCGATGACTCCACGTCCAGGGATACGGATGAGGAAGCCGATATGAGAAGATCGAACTCATCGGTATCCTGCAATTTAGGGTCCATTGGAGGAAGTGTCACGCGAATGACAGGTTCGTGGATTGAGATCTTTATGTTTGCCTTTGGTAAAAGTCGACGTAGAAGGAAACGCTTGCGATGCCGGGATTTTGGTGGCTTGCGACGAGATTCGTAATTTCGAGACATGGCCAGGAGTAATGGTAAATGTTTCGGGTCGAGATCTACAGATGGGGAGGTGATGACGAAATTAGCGAAAAGAATGTTGGTATTGCGCTCTGCGCTATCTTCGTCTTTGTAAAACTGGATAGTCTTCGAAGGAAGGGTTGTATTCAGCGTAGTTGTTGCCATAGGAATGTAGAGAAGACGCTCAGGATGGCCGTGGCCATCATCGATGCCGAAAGATACTGATATAGCAGCAAGGAGAGCCTGGTGAGCAATGTCTTTGGGTGAGAAATACATCAAGTGGGCAGGGCTACGTGGGTCTAGTCGAAGCAAGTCCATGCCGACTTCCTTCATTGAGACATTTAGAAAGACTGAAGAGTCCGAGTCATGGTCCGTTTGAATCTTTTTGGTCATACCGAAGAAACTAACAGCGAACTGAAACTCGAGAATACCACGTAGGATAGAACTGGCAAATTCCCGCGAATCAGACACAGTGCGGACAATGCTCTCTTCGTGACTGCTCGGGTGATTGAGCTCCTCGATGACATCGGCGAGTGACACGTCTGAGTAACTGGCAGTGGCGGGTTTCTGGGGGAGGGTTGCCCGGCACTTTTGGGCACGCTCCATACACAGTGTGATATCGTCGTAGGGAATACTAAGACGACCAAGCTTCAGGGCGATGGAAGCATCGCGTAAGCCTTCGAGCTCTTTCTTGAGGAAGCCATGGACGTTGAGAGTACAGTGATCGAGCACCTCGGTCGACTCTTTTCCCTCGGGCGTGAACAGAATGCTACGCGAGGTAAGGCACCACTCGGCGGGTCGCTGCTCCTGGTCTGGCTTCGGCTTGTGGTGGTTGAACAACCGACTACGGTCTACCGTCTTGCGCCTAGTATCCACTGCCACAGTCAAGCCGCCTATCTGAAGAGAGCCTACCTCGACGATGACAATCGATGTACCATATGCCACCAAGTCTACCAGTCGAATCCAGTTGATCTTCGTATGCAGGTGCTTGATCTTCTCTTTCGCATCCGTTAGCCGCTTCCACGTCTGGCTCCTCGGCGTTTGCTCGTCTCCCGTCTCATCCTCCTCAACTACTGGCTCCGGTGTGTTCGTCCCGCTCTTGCCCTTGTGTGTCGTCCCGTTGGCCCAATGTGTCCATCCCGTCTTCTTCCGTGGCTTCTCTCCCAGCGTCTTGAGATCAACGGTAACCTTGAGCTCGGTCAGAACGATGCTGACCCATGTCGGCTGGGCGAAGGTGGGCCGGTGGAGGGAAAAGCCGAGTCCGCGTATCTCGATGCGAAGGCCATCCTTGGGCGTGAAGGCGATGCGCCGCAGACCCGAGTAGCCCAGTCGTTGGATCGAGACGCCTGTAACGACGCGTATGAAGGCAAAGAGGACGAAAGACAGCAGGTACAGCAGCAGCAGAAGCCCCGCCAGGAACTGGAGCGTGGGCAGAGCCATGGTCGCTCAACTAGGGGCCATTGACCGTGTACAGTGTTATCGTATGGGTTGTGCGCGTGTGCACACGACGTGCCGAGGTACCTGAAGCTTCGCCCTCCTGGACATAATCGAGCGCCGGCTACGAGGGGAATTGCATCGAGGCCTCGAGACTTGAAGATGCGGACTTATCGGCGCGGTCCGAAGAAGGGTGGCAAGCAGCGGGAGTGCAGGGGAGCGCAATCTCGCACGGGCTCGGGCAGCTAATCGATACGAACGTAGCTAGAACGAGATGTGTAGTCGAGCGATCGTGTGCTCCTCGAGGAAACTGTATGGGCTGTTTGCGGGGTTCTGTGCGCTTCTCACTGCTCCCAGTGATTCGTAGTGTGCTACATTTGACAATGCACGTCAGAATTCCAGCCTTCCTACATCCCTGCTCCGCCAAGGCCGCCCGGGATTCTGGAAGGAGCTTGTCACTAGTCTATTCCTACCCATCATCCAAGACATTCATCATCCAAGACATTCATCATCCAAAACATTCATTATCCTATAATTAAGGGTTAGCACTACTACGACTCAATGGCGGGCCATGTCCAGAAGCTTTTTGCGACTCTTGGCGCTTAGTGTAAAACGCTCGTTTGCATAGCTTCGAAATCTCAAAGAAAACCTGTTTTACGAAAGTCTTTCTCCAGCTTCGAAACTCTCGGGAATTAGCTATGAATCGACTCAAGAATGGACACTGCCTCTTTGTCGAGGAGGATGAGAAGGGGATGTAGAGCTAGTTGAACTATTCAACATAGGCTTGTAAGGGATTAAAGAGATTGATTAAATAAGTAAATCTACAGAGGACTAGCAGCTTATATATACTTAAGAGGTTAGAAGTCACATAATATATACTGGTTCTACACACCTTCTGGAAAATCCTGTCTTCTCTCACAGTTACAAAAATCTAGCCCAGAGACCTCCAGGAGATGCCTGATAAGCCCGATGCGCGTGTCTTGGAGGCTCGCTGTGGCATTGGTGGTGTAACGGCCCGATGTGGTTTTACGGGCGTTTGACTCGCGCTGCACTTGGTCAGCTCTGAGTAATCGTTCTGATCTTACCTAGGTATCATCTTCCGAACGCCGACATCCTCTCTCGACTTCTCATTCACATCTCGAACTCCGTCGCAACAGAGGATTTCCAAAGCGCCTACGCCTAGTTGAGCTATCGCCGGTTCTGTCAGATTCTTCCTGGCTAAGTTTAGCCGCTCTGAGTCTGATGCGATCCGTGGTTGTTTGACGAGTCACTTGATCCCAAGGCATGTATAAAGCTGCTCCGTTGTCTCTATCCCATGTCTTGAACTACACTGCACATCAAGTACAAAGTAACGCGACAAATTTCTCTTTTCCTCGCCCACCCGCGCAATAGCCTTGCGGCTTCGAAGACCGAGATGTATAGGGTTCAGAGCTCGCCCGACTCTGTCAATCGTAGCGGCGTAGTTTGCCTAGAACTCCGCCGGGTATAAATGCCGATGAAGGGGATCTGCTTGACTGACACACCCGATGAGCTGTTCGCTATCCCGCAGCCCACTATGGTCCGTTGACAACACACAGGGCAGAGACCCATGTGGTGACCCTGCCTGTACCGGTGTCTCTATACTATGTTCGTTGCGCGCAAGAGCAAGGAGGATTTGTTGTACTCTGTTGGCGCAATCTTGAAATTTGTATGCGCCGGTCGCCGCGAAGCTTGTTTGAATGAATGCCAGTCTTGTTGAAGTCGAGGCACGGCGGCAACCACTTATAGACCGTGAAAAAATGGTTCCTCCATCCTCGAAGTCTCGGAGACAGGATAACTAAGTTGCAGTTCGGGCTGGAGTAGTGGTGGGCCTGTCTTGGACTCTGTTGCAGACATGAGAAAATCAAGTCTTCTGTGCAGCCGCGATGAGTCGTGATTGCTGTGTACGCTTGTTTCGATATCTCGTATGAAGAGCTGGAAGTAGAGGATTTGGATTGGTAGATGGGGAGTGGTCTTCTGCTTTGTTAGCCTAAAGACCTACTCTTTTGCACAAAGGTCACGATAGATGAGTAGGTCTCATCATGAGCGGCTCCAAAGGTGAACGCCACCTCGCCGTCGCTCGGGGGCTGGCGCCGGCTGGGCTTGGCACACAAAATATCATAATACCGCCGCGCTCACTACCTTTTGCTCCTTATCACATACCGCAAAGTTTACCGCACTTGTGCTTGCACGACGCAACCATTTTCTGAGCCTCCTGTGTGATCAGTTTAGGTGTCCACCCGTCTAAGTGGAATAGGCTTGCAGACCTGAACGTCCTGCCGACGAAAGTCACAGATCTAGTCTCTAGTCCCTTTTGAGGTGCACTGGTGGTTAGGACTCTCTTGTTGTACATTGTACATACGTAGGGAGGATAAAAGATACAGGTTCCTAGACCGTCCTACTTGTAGGCGCTCTTCGAGTCTCGAAGGATTCTGTTCACAGTTCCTTCAATTCTATACAACATGTCTGCTTCTGCTAGACAAACCCCCGCGCCTAACAATGGCGAACCCAGCCAAGGCAGCGGCTCTCAAACCGCACCGCCGGTGAGCGTCGGCACTGACGCCATGGACGTCGACAACACGACGGAATTGCCATTCCGCTCTGCACCACCGGCTCCCAGCAATGGTGAACTGACACCCGCACAGGAGGGTGCCAATGAGGAGGGTCTCACGGATGAAGGTGTCATGGAGGGCATATCATATCAGGGGCGACCGGTGCGAAAGCGCCTTCAGGACTGCAGCGACGCCTTGAGGAAGCAGATTCTGGACCGTAGGCCGGACCTATACCAGAATCCTATGAAGCTTTCCAGTGGCGAGGACATTGACTTCGGCGACATCTTCGAGCTTCGAAGCAACGACGTACCTTCCCATCTGCCGAAATGGGTTCGTGAACGCAGCAGACAAGTGTGTGTCCTCGGTTTCCGTGACACAGCAACCCCGGACGAGGCGGTCTTTCTGGTTGGCGCGAGTCTTCTAGCGGAGCCTAAAAAAGTCGAAAGCGAAGCCCAAACGCAAAACCAATCGAAGAAGGGCAAGGACAAGGGCAAGGGCAAGGCTAATGTCGACGAGGCTGGTCCGGTGAAGCCAAAAGTTGCCAAAGACGCTGTTAAGGCTTCGTTGCATTTGGACTCCCAAACGCCGAACATTCAGCTCACGACGCGGAAACTTGGTCAGGAGGCTGGCAAGAGTGACATCTTGTCGACGCGTATCTATGGCAGCGACCTTGCGATTGGCGAGGACGGCAAAGTCATTATCCAGATGCGTCCCACTCTCGAGCACATAATGGCAGAAGCCTTCGAAGCCCCTGGCTACCTCGAATCGGGCAATGCCAGTATGACTGAGGTCAATACTCTTCGCGAAGAGGGTCGCCTGGTTGAGATTTCCTTCTTGATGGAGGAGAAGAAACAACGCGTCTGGACCGGTCTGCGCAGTAAAGAGATTGACGAGATTCGCACCCGGGGCCGGGCACTGTCGCTCAAAGAGAAGACGGCGACTCGCGACTTTACAGTCCAACAGCTCGACAAAGCTGAGAGGGTGTGTCTCTACTTTAGGGTCGAGAACGAGTCGCAGTTCGATGCCTTTGCTCATCTTTCGGACTACATGCGACGCATTTTCACCATTGCGTGTCATGGCCAGCACTACTGGTTCTACCGCCGGCAACTCCAACTGGGAGGTCTAAAATCAGCAGACCTTGAAGAGATTCCGCTGCCCAAGATCAATTTCGAGGTTCCCCGTTGGCTGGTGACTGAGTGGGAGTTTGACGAGGCCTGCGACGAGAATGGGACGGTGTCGCACTCGAACCCCCGCCCGTACACATGGCGATATCACCGGTTCTTCGACCAATACCCGAACTCCAATGAGGCTGCCTTTATGCTCAAGCTGGGCATTGAGAGTGAGGCTGCTCGTCAGCAGCGTGATCTGCACGAACTCGTTCAGAGCAAAGACCAGGTATACTTCCGGGGTCTTTTCAAGCACGTGGACCGACCTGGGACATTTGTCGTTCAGATCTTCCTGGCCGACAATTCGGTTTTCACGGACCGCAAGCTCAAGATGCCTAGCATCGATACTCGGATCAAGCTTCAGATTGATCCAGTCGATCCCTCGCACCCAACCCCGAGCAACATGAAGACGTACCGTGGTGTGGTATGCGAAGATCTCTACAACAATGGAGCTTCTTTCTGCTGCATCGTCCGGGGTACCGAGGCCATTTGGGGAGACAGCAAGACAAAGCTCAATCCGACTGTCGAGCAGCCCGTGTACATTAGCTACACCATCGACACCGTCCCACATGAGCGACAAATGATGTCAGTTCGACGGATTCAAGAGATTGATTCTGATCGGAAGCCTTTCGGGGTCGACATGAAGGCACTTTTCCTTGCTGATGCGACTCCTGCTCCGGAGACAAATCACCTCGCCTTCAACACCGTTCCGGCCGAGCTGAAGAGGTTCGAGGAGTACATCGACAAGCAGAAGCCCAAGCCGAACCACATGCAGAAGCTGGGTGCCATGGACACAACCCAGTCCAACTCGGGCATAACCTGTATCCAAGGCCCACCTGGATGTGGCAAGACAGACATTGTCAAAGTCATTGGCAATGCGCAAGTCCTTTTGGATCGGAAGGTAATGTACTGCGCTCCGCAGAATGAGGCTGTTCTCAATCTCTTCGAAACCTTCGATAAGACAGCCAAGGCGAATCCCGGAGTACCTCTCAACGACGAAGAGTACGTGCATTTCACAGGTGCATACCAGTCCATCAACGACGCTGAGAAGCTCAAACTCACGAACGAGCTACTTCGCCAGGACCCTGGCATGAGCGCGGAAGATGCGGAAGTCATGGTCAGCGGCCGCAACATCTTGGTAGAGTACGCTCGCATGTCTTTGGGTCGCCAATCGGGTATGCCAGAGCATGACTGGACCTTTGGTACCAAACTCCGGACCATGATCGAACGATGGGCTTCGCAAGAGCTGCACGTTGACTTTCCCAATCGTCAGCATTCGAGGGAATACGTCAAGCACGTCATGAAGCTGCCCGAAGTCAAGAACCGCGACGCGAAGAAGGAGTATCTTGACTACATTGGCCAGCTGGAGACTCTACTTGGGGCTTATTACCTCAAGAATGTCGTCAAGGTTGTCTTCTGCACCCTCTCGACGTCAGCGCACGCCCTCCTCGCCGCCAATTTCACGCCCGACGAGCTGATCATTGATGAGAGCGCCCACGAGTCTATTGGTGGCATAATCACCCCATGTGGTGTGTACTAGGAGTCGATCAAGCACATCACCTTCTCGGGTGATCACAAGCAAGGCCGAGGTATTTCTATCTCTAGGGACTCGAACCTTGGGCACGCTGCGCTCTCTCGCAACCTTTTCCAGGAGATTGCCGAAGATCCCCGCCAACAGCACAGCGTCTTCCTGCTCGATGAGGGCTATCGTATGATTAAGGAACTTTACAAGTTCGTCTCCCAGTTCTACGGCGGCAAGCTCAAGGCACACCGGGCCACGCCCAACGTCGAGAAACCCCTCCAGAACACAGCTGAGGCCTACTGGACATCTCGTCTACGACCTTCCTTCCAGGGCTCCGTGCGCCAAGTTGCGATCGACGTCTCCGGAAGCTTCACGGGTGGCGAAGTCATCAAACACGCGCAACTTTCAGGTACCACTACCAAGGTCAACACGGCTGAAGCGCTCATCATCGCCTGGACAATCAAGGACATGCTTCTATTCGAACCGCCTGCCAATACGGACAAGGTCAAGTACCGTCGATTTGTACCGTCCGACTTCATCGTCGTCACACCGTACACGGGTCAAGTATTGGAGATTAAGAAGCAGTTGAATGAGCCGATACAGTATCAGCCTGCGGTGGTCACTCGGGGTGTGCTTGTTGCTTCCACTAACCATTCAAAGGGTAAACAGAAGCCTATTGCCTTCTTCTCCTGCGTGGTCAATTCCGGGTCGACGCATCTTGCGCCTGACGAACGCGTGCCGATTACTTTCGTTGCTGATGACCACAACATCAACGTCTCTTTATCCCGACAGCGGATCGGACGGCACATCGTCGGTGGGCTGGCTTACCTCACCCAAATGGAATTCGACGACCACGAGCAATCGAAGCGACACGCAAAGTTCTTCCAGCATCTGAAGGAGCTTTGCAACAACGATTGCATCTTAACTTTGGATGAGTGGGTCCATGCCCTTCGACATGGCGAGAAGCCCGACTTCGAGAAGCATGGCGTGGGCAGAGCGATGGGCTTCCAGCTCACCAGGACGAAGCCGGCCCCCGCGGGCGCCCTTTCACGACGTGGTGGCAAGTCCGCCGCTGCTCCTTCCTTTGCCCCCCTCCCGCCTGCGACTACTACGCCATATGGCAACATCGACACCCGCTCTAAGACTACCGGGGCAGACATGGGCTTCGGTGCGCCTCCCGAGGGCGTCACCTTCACCGGCAATCGAAACGAGCAGGGTAGCCTTGGGGCTACTTCCAGCGCAGAACCACCAGCCAAGAAACAGCGTGGCGGTGGCAGTGGTGGTAGTGGTGGCCGTGGAGATGATCGTGGTCGGGGTGATCGGGGTCGAGGTGCCCGAGGTGGTGGTCGTCGTGGACGTCGTGGACGAGGTCAGGGTGATCGGGGGTCCTGCTAGTTTGAGACGAAGTCAGTGTACCTTCCCAATCCAGTTCGTACATGGACCTTCTTACCACCCCCTCTTGGTCCATCAGCAAGTCTCACAGGCTGTTCTTGCCACCTCAGAAGCGGTTGTGTAGGCGCCCCAACAAGATTTCTCAACATCCTCAAGGTATACGATGCGCACACCTCAGCATCTCTGTACCATCGAAACATTGAATTGATGGCTTCCTGGAGCTCTGCACTGCTTGACTTATCGATGCAACATGTGTCGACCCAGATATAGTTGTATCCCTGGCTTCGAGCTTGTTCTGCGGCATGCTTTAATTTACTATATCCAGCTCGTTTCATGAGGTCTTGCTCGGTGATGCTGCCCAGCGATGTCCCGGAATTACCCCGAATCATCATCTCTATAGCAGCCAGCATGATTGTAGCCTGATCATCTTCACTCGTGAATGAAGCAGCAGAAGATGATGGCTGGTCCATTGAGGACCCCGAAAGCGCTTTAGCTCTGTTGATCCAGACCAGCTCCTGATAAGTAACTTCATCAGAGCCCCATGTGTGCGACAGGATAGCGTACTTGGGAATATCATTGTCGTTGAACCATCTGAGCTCGCTCGTCCGGGTATCGATGAGTCGCATAACATGTGTTGTGTCGCAGTTTGATCGCGGAGGATACGAGAGTGTATGAAGTGGCGGGGTGCGGCCGAACGTTGGTACGGATTGGGCTTGCAAAACGCAGGATCCATGGAGATCACGGAGCTATCCCTCTTTGGTCACATGGCATACATCCATGTACTGAGGATTTGAAAGAAGGGTTTAGGTCGGACCTTGGATTTTGTATATGTCGTTGTTTGCGTTCCTGTTGCAAGAAGCCAAAGCGAAACGCGTGTTTTCGACACTGCTGACATTAATCCAATACAAGTAGTACATCCACGTGCGGGATTGAAATAGAATACCACTCTCAGGATATCGTCTCACTGCTCGAGAACTCAGCCTTCAGCCATGATGGTGAAGTGATGAAGGGATCGCTTGCTGTACTTGCAGTGTAGCTGAAGCTTGGGCTAAGTCGATACCTATGAGAGTCGGATCCGTTACATCGCCCAATGCGAAGCACTGGAGGACGCGGCTTGCTTTTACAGCCTCGCGATCCGCTTGGTGTTGTGAAGGTCATGGATTGGAGGCCGATACTTTTAAGAAATTCGGCACGACTCTTCGACCAAGATATCCGTGTACATCTCCGACAGAAGGCCAGAGCCTTCTTGACCTGCACAATGAACTGGTTTTCGTCTTCACTGGAGGCTTCCTACAATCGTGTTGAGCGGCGCACTATCTTGGTCTACTGGATTTCAACATACCTGTAAGCTTCTTAGGCTGAGGCCAGAAGTAACACTCTCTGCTCGGCTGTGAAAGTCTACACGGCTTGAATCCATGATTTCTGACTTGGACAGGTTGTGCTGTGGAGTACCTCGGGACTAGTGTCAGGAAAAGAAAAGCTATCCTTTTATGTTCGACACTCTTCCTTCCTCAACGCAAGCCTCGTTTTTGTTATATCTTGGACTACTGACATAGTTTGAGGGATAGAGTGCGGCGTATGGATTGTGGTGCCCGCGAATCAGAGACGCGCCGAATGCGCCGAACAAATCCATCCCCTTTTTTTTAGAGTACCGCTTACCGATGTGGCTACTTGAGTAGCTATTCTGCTGTGCTATGTCCGATCGTGTTGGCTCCTCCAATCATTGGAATGGCTGTTCCTACAACATGTGTACGATGGTTCTTCGTGTTTAACTGCAAGACGCATACACCTTCCCCAAGAAGGCATCACTTACGGATGCGACATGCATAGGTCCTATCTCTTTCAGGGGCGCGTGGCGACGGGGAACATTGTAGCGTGGATATTGGCTGCAAGCTTTGTTGTTGACCCCAACGCGTGAGAATCGGACTTCTACATGAGTGTTGGGAGGGCGAACTACGTTCCAGACATGGCATTCTTGCACAGATGAGACCACGTTATTTAGAGACGCGGTAGAGTGGACGTGAAGTGTCAGCACTAGAACGACGCTTCGGGGTTCAAGTCGGGGACCAAGACCTGGTACGTCGCTAAGCTGACTAAGATGACGTTACGGTAGTGGTCTGATTGGATACAATGCGCAGATGGTATTAGTACATCCGTAGAACTATTTTGCAAATATAAAGCCTGTGTACTGTCACACCCGCAATTGATGTTGAGCGCTTGAAAGCTGTACAACACAGAGGCATAGCCCAGGCCTTCGACGCAGTACTCTATATAACTACAGGGAAGGCCAACAAGAAACGCGTTCTGCACGGGAACAGATCGACGGAAAACGACATTTCCTAAATGTCATCGGATCCGAAGGTTCAATATACGCAGCGTCCAGTCCCTTTAAGTACTTCTGTTAGTAAAAGAAATCCAAATGATCTTGCAAATGCAAATCTGACGACAATGAGCTGAGGATGTATTGTGTAAGATCTGTCAACTTGATGCGCTTGGGGAGCCGTTTGGTGTTGATTTGCGAAGTCCTTTTGATTGGAAGGTAGTGCAGGCAACAGAATGCGTACAGCCACAAAATAGGTTACAAAGAGAAAAGGAATTCCGTTGGCCAGAGAGAAAAAGAGAGAAATACCAAACAAGTTTCTATCGTACGTCGACTAGTTCCCTGACTCTCTTAGGAAGGGACGTCCAGTATATAGTTCAAGAGACATGATTGTGTATCTAGGCTCCGAGCGGAGCGGACTCTACGTGCTTCGACTGTAAGCCGGCGAAGATATCCGAGCCCTCTGCAGTGCACTGCCACTGTTTGCATCTATGTCCGCGCGAACGGGGTCGTGTTCAGCACTTATGATTCACCCAACACCACTCGTGAATCAGGCGTAAGCAGCGTCGGATCCGGGTCGTACAGCGTGTGGGCCCTTGCAGCCTCATAAGAGTCGCGTGATCAGTGTCAGAATATAGATCGGCTACACAGATCGGTTGTCAAAGACCGGTGAAGATTGGTTGAGTGAGCATTGTATTGTGAGTTGACATCAGTGGGGTCGTTCTTCCTAGCCACAAGCGGCACGGCGCGTGTGCGTAGATCCATCACCCCGGGGCCGGATATCTTTAGTTTAGCGCAACGCTAAGCCTGGAAATGTTCCCGAGGTCACATAGCTGAACCTTACTTGTCTCGGCGACCGACTGACCTCACCGGAGATGAGATTGCTGACTCCCGAACGTAACGATATATCTTCAAAAGACTCTTTAGGGATCGAGATCTCCAAGCTCATCAACATCTCCCAAGGCTAATCATCGCCAATTACTTGACCCGCCGATCAACCTAGGAACCACCATCTAACGTCAACATTGAACTTAGCAAAACGATTGAGAAACGGCACTCGAGAGACTTTTGCAATTTGCAATTTGCCTACAATCAGAGCAATGTATTCGACAACAAACGACTCGGTGCTCGTGATAGGCGGAGGCGGCTTCGTTGGTTACCACCTTACATCCTACTTCGTCACCAACAAGTCCTTCGCCAAAGTTCATGTCTTGAGCCGCAATGCCAAATCCACTAAGAACAACGTCAATGGCGCGATCTACCACAATGGCGATATCACAGAGGAGGACCAAATTCGGATAGTTATTGAGGAAACCAAACCGGCAGTGATCGTGCACGCCGCTACCCCGTCGCCAGTCACCGGAACGCCTACAGATTACAAGCAAGTCAACATCCGAGGGACCGGCAATCTTCTGCGATGCGCCAAAGACTCAGAGCACGTCAAAGCATTCATCTTTACATCTTCGTCCACTCTCGCAAAAGGCCCTGAACATCATGACCTCAGTGAGGAATGTATGCTCGCAAATGAAGATCCGAACGCGACACCCTATGCGCGCTCCAAAGCAACAGCTGAGCTCCGTGTTCTTGGTGCCAATAACCCGAAGCTCAGAGAATTTCCAAGCTGGAAAGGACATCTCGCCACCGCAACCATACGGCTCCCTATCGTCTACGGCACAAGAGACAACACAACGATCCCAGGGTGTTTGAATGCTCTATCAAAAGGGCAGACCACCGTGACACTTGGTCCTGGCGACAATCTTTGGTCCTTCTGTAGCGGATCTAATGCAGCGCGGTCACACCTCCTCTTAGCCTCTGCACTTCTGGACCCTACCCCAAAGTCTGAACATCTCGAAGTGCACGGAGAAGCGTTCAACATCAACGATGGCTCGCCATATCCATTCTGGGAATTTGCAAAATTGAGCTGGAGGTTTGCAGGCTATAACCCCTACCCTGCCCCTACTATGCGCCACATTCCCGTTTCGCTCGCGCTAGCATTGTCCTTCTTTCTGGAGTGGGTGTACTGGATCTTTACCTTGGGTCTACAGAGACCGTATAATCTGGGCAAGCAGCAGGTGGAGTATGCGTGCTTTACGCATACATATAGCATAGAGAAGGCCAGGAACAGGCTAGATTACAAGCCCAGAGTAGATTTCGAGAGGGGTGTGCAGAAGGCTGTGGAGTGGTGTATTGAAGAAGGCGGCTGGCGGGAGAAGTTAGAAGGGGTGAAGGGCTTCAAGGTGTAGAAGGCGTAAAGTCTGATGGCTTGCCCATTGGAGATTACTGGTTTTCCTCCATAACTTTCCTTATCGTTCCCATGTGTTATTTTCTCACTATATGGAGGGCACCTTAGACCTAAAATTCAACTTTCTTTTCCTCACACGATCGACGATTTGAATATCTTGAGTTTTGTAAATTCTGACGTTGTTTGAAGATGCTAATTTCAATTCAGCATCAATACATTCGGGCGGAAACCGGGAAAACGGGACAACCCAAGAAATATGCGTCTACTGGGATGCATCAATCATAATGTTCCAAGTGATAATCTAGCAATAACAAACGCCAAAGCCATCCTGTGACCAAGTCTGTCATTATCTTTCTTCTGTACTCTCTTCATCCGCCAGCGCAAACAATTCCCTCGGCACTCCCTGCGCATCACAGCTCGCGAACTTCCACCATCCCCAGTGGACAGCACCTGCCACGTTGATCAACCCCCATCTCACCGGCGCAGGCATAGGTGGCCAATTGGCCCAGCTATTTTCCTCGTAACTTGCATCCAAGTTCAAAAGGAAGAATGGTACGACGTCATAGGTACCGGCTTTGGTGACAGTCTTCTTGCCCCAAGATTTGAAAACAAGAGCAGCTTGCTGGGCTTGAGGGGAATTCGGTGGAGGAGCAGCTGGAAGCTTGGCAAAGGAGGCGATTGTTGTGATTTCGTGATGGAAATGGTGGGCGAAGGGTTCTTGGAAAGAGGACATGATTTTGCAAAGTTCGACTCCGGAGAAGGCGGAAGGTGATGGGAGGTTGGAAAGGTAGGCTTCATACTCGGCTAGACCGGCTAGGAAAGACTCTGTCTTATTGTCAGAGGGTGGTCATGTAAGTGAGAAGTATGCTGATAATCTTACCGTGCTCATGATGTGTCTCCTCCCAAATGCCCTTCGTGCCCAGAACTCCCTCAACTGTGGGGAACAGTTCCGCCTCTTCGTCGTCATGGTGGCTCTTCACAAAGCGATACCAAGTCATCGCATAGCCCACAAAGGCGGGTTTATCGACTTCCTTCACGTATGGTGCTTGTAGATAGATGGAATTGTAGCCTCTTATGATTGCATTGTGAATATGCGCCATATGGGTTGCGCCAAGTGTGAAGATATCATCCTACTTCTAGATTAGCATTTCAAACATTGACAGAAGAGTGAGAGTACCTTCTTCGTCGCAAATTGCGGTGTTTGAATTAGGGCAATCGGGCCGTCAGCCCACGGGCCCTTCACAGGAGATGAAGTTGAATCAGTCATGGAAGAAGGACGAAACAGCTCAATAGATACGGCAAAAATAAGTAATAACCAAAACACGACTGTCGTAGAGCTAGGCATCGCAAATATAATGGCGAATCTAATTCCAAATGCAACGCCATTTTAATACAGAGTAGCAATTATCCATGTTGAGCTAACCTCATAGAGCAATGATGGCGTGTCGCGAATGTGGTTCGACGTGGTGGTGTGATCGTAAGCTGATACGCTCACTCTCCGATTGGCCCGCTTCACATCACCAAACTCCCGTCTGGCAATTCATCGGATTTCACGTTAGCGCAGGAGTATAGTACTAAGGCTTGCTCTATGGGAGGTGACGCCTCGTCCAACTATATCGACATCTAGGTCCGGCGCAAAAGTATCGGATTTCAACTCCGTACTAACAAGCCATGTAGAATAATATGGCGGCCGGGAAATACCACCAAAATGTCACAACCGTCTCGCAAAACCTGGTCTTCACACCCAGTTGTTAGTAAGGCTAGTGATGAATAGTTCGCCGTGTTCACTCAACTCCGTCAATCCCTTGCTGAAGGCTGTCGGCTCAGCATCGCTCGACACGCTCACTTATCCCCCCAACCGCTCCTCAGCGCCCACTCCCAACCACCCCAACCCTCGTGATTGCGCGGACGCACCCTAAACGGTTCAGTCTCCTCAGCTGGAGGGCAGTTCCATGTGTCGCCAAGAGCTAGACCATGGTACTCCATGCCGTATCTGGAAGCATCGTACTGACCGGGAGTAAGCGGGCGCTCATCGCATCCCAAGTCAAAAGACCCAAGTCTTAGTAGTGTAGTAGCGGACGGGTCCGGGAGCTCGTCGATAATGGCCAGGACTTCGTCATCTGCAGCATTAATGTCTGTTCCCGTGGGTGGGACATGGTTCTCGAAGATGTTGATCGTAGGAGAGCGGGGAGGGGCGTCGGATTTGTGCATGTTGACCCCAGAAGGGGTAGGTTGTGTATAGACTTCCGCGGGCGTAGGCCAGCCGATAGTATCGTTGACCTGGATCACTCGCTGGAGAGGCAGTTGGGGTACGAACGAAGGGCGGTTAGGTACCCTTTCCCTGCCGTTGAAGGGTATGGGGAAAGGCTCCCAGTTCGCGTCATCGGGGTAGATGTCCGCTGCAGAAGGCTCAGGGCCTTGATCGGTACGCCTAACACGGGTGTAAGCTCGGGGTCGCCTCCTGCTAGATGAACGGCGTGCTTGATGCTGGATATGGTTGGTAGGCTGAAACGGGTTGTGACGTGGAGCCTGGAGCAACACATCAGGGCCTGTAGACCCATACTTCGGTTCTGTTACAGCTGGGACGACAGATATGGGATCCTCAATCGCTATTCTACGGGAAGCCTCGCCGCGAAAACCGGGAGGTGGGCGCACAATCTTGGTAGCCTGGCTATCATTACGACTCAGCATCCCAGAGCCCATCACAGACTCCTGAAGTTCGCGGGAGGCTGCGGTTGTATCATCCGAGGACACAATCTCGCTAGTATTAAGATATCGGGCTAGGGCATGGGCCGTCAGAGGCGTGTCTAGTGCCTTGCCGATCAACTTACCGACGAGATAATCGGGGGGACCTTGAGAAGGACAGGACTTTTGCGAGTGCGCCGGAGAATCGTTCCTCATGACGTTCTTCCTCACACCAGGAAGACCCAGGCTTGCGCTCAGTTCGTCGACATCTACAGCGCCGAGCTTGGGCTCGGGTCGCGGCGAAGAGAATAGATACGGCGAAACTTGCGTCCCTGTCAAGCTCACAATGTTTTTTGATAAATTGTATTGCTGAAGAGGCGTACCTGCCGTGCCTTCGCTTGAGTCGAGGTAATTTTCTGATACTTTTGTCAACAGTGTTACACTCGTACTGCTCGGCTGCTGACCTGGTTGCGTTCTCTGCAATAAGTCTCCCAGAACAACCGGCACACTCGACGTTGTCGCCTCTCCGTGATAGAACGGACGCATTTTCTCGGCAGGTCGCAAAGGCGAATCGTCTGTCCCATATTGAGTACACTTTCTACCAATGGCAAGGTTGAGAAACTCACGCTTGAGGACTGTAGAAGTCTTGAACAGTTCGCGTGGGATTGCAGGTGGCGTAGTTGTAGCATATAGAATGGACTCTTTGCCTTTCGATATCGCGGTGGGGTGAATTGGGCTGAAAGCGGTCGCTTCAGGGTTGAAGGCGGTCGATTTGCGTTGTCCCAACTCTCGTTCCTGACGCTCCATGATGTTGTTGTTACTGCGAGTTGTTTTTAGCGAGGTGCAGGTGTTGAAGCAGAAAGTAGTGCGACGTCTTCTCTCTTCTAAGCCCTTGTTGGGCATATCTGGGATTGTGAATGCAGAGGTGACTTACGTGTTTAATTCACCATCAACCGCTCCTAAACGAAAACAACGGGAAAAGGCAAACCGGAATCTACTCTCTTGCGCAGTGAGTTGCGTCGCGTGCTGAAGGAGCGGCGTGAGTGTCAAGCAACTCGCCTGCAACTCTGGAGACAGTACAGGTTAAAATAAAGGGTTCTCTTTTTGTGTTGAAGCTCTCAAATTGAAAGGTTGAGATATTGAAAGGAAGAAGTTGACATGATCGCGTTGCTGTGGAGGCAGCGCGGAGATCTCCAGGTGAAGGCGGATTGGAAGATGACAACATCGTTTGCGCTGGCATCCTCAAAGTCCGTTGCGCAGGTGAAGGCGACCTTCTCGTGCTCTTCAACTGATTGAAGGGCAGAGGCAGCTGTATGTGAGACGAAGAGCAACGGGCGCTATCGAGTGTCTCCTGGCTCTTCCACTACTACCGTCCAGACTCTCTGTCGACATGACGGCTCTCGTGACTTGTGTCAGCGATGCGGATGTCAGAGAGCTAAAGGATGCACGGCCAGGTCGACGATGACTGCTTGTGTGTGACTTTTGGTCAGGTAAACCAATAGGAACTGAGCAATGACGCGCTTGCGCGCCTCATGAAATAGTACAACTCATTTAAAAACCTCGCACTGCCGATTTACGCCTCACTCCGTTGAATTTGCAACTTGAAGCTTTCTGTTTCACTGTTCCGTTTTTGAATCTTGCTAACTGTGGTTCACCCACAGCGGGCGTCCAATCCGTTCAGCATGAATCCTAGCTTTTTCGCAAACACCGAACACCAAATCACCCAACTTGAAAATCGGGGCTCGAATACCGATGATGCTCAGCCTCTTGAAATCACCGAAAAATCCTCCCAAAGGACAGTCCCTGGGCCATCAAACTTACTACGGCCACCCGACGAGAGAGGCTACAAAGTGCGGTCACGACATTCATCCTTCAGCTTCAACACACACGCCGTGGTGCCCAGGTTGTATCGCGTCCTTGACCAAAGCGAAACTAGATGCTGCGCAGAACAAGTTGATCACCGAAGGAGGCTTAAGTCCAGCGGAGCACATGCGCGACCGACGATGGAACCAAGCAAGGCTAAAACACGAGATCGCGAAGCAACGACTAGAGAAGGCTAGGAAAGAGGGTCAGTTACGCTGGGAGCGAGAGCAAGCGTGGGATGAGGCGCACCAGCCGTCGGACTCTCAGCGCGCAGAGACAGCAACCGGGCTCAAGAGCTCCACCGAATGCCCTGTTTGCGCATCCATGGTGGCATCATACCCTACCAAAGTACCCGAGATGGAGGTGGCCAAAGACGTGCCGTGGTGGGAGCAACCATGTGGTCATGCTGTGGAGGATATCGTTGTACCCATAACTCTGCCAAGGTTGCACCACAACCACCAGCCGTGGCAACATACGCGGAGGCCAGAAAGCTCACAGGCGCTACGCAAAATCATCCAGAACCTTCGAGTATCTATGCATTCTGCAGATAATTACAGACGCACGTGGGATAATCGGTACAAGACTGAGTCTGCAGTACGTCGTAAACACAGCCTCGGCCAGGACATTCATTTTGAGCCTGACTTCTGGGACTCTCCGATTTGTGGCCTGACAAGTCGTCGCGATTTCCAGCACGTACTGGAGAACCAACGCATGGCTGCGCGCCGTGCTCGAGGGAATATACCACGACCAAAGCTACCACGGAGCTCCTTGTCGCACACTGAGCTCTCCGAGCAGCTCCACGTCGATGAGGACTGGATAGAGGCAATGAGAGAGAAGGAAGAGCTGGAAGAGCTGGAAAGAGAAGCGAGGAAAGTGGGAGAGGAGGTTGGCTATCTATATTTTGTGGGCACGATCGACGGCATGGAAGAATGGAAGGAGGACTACCTACAAAGCGACAGACAACTGGTGGTCCGGACACTTCAATGAGCAAAAGACTAAGGTGATCGAGGCATGGACCCCCGACATTATGTCTTATAGGAACGAAGCAACAGAATATTGAGTTGTAGACTATGATGGGGAGGGGGGAGGTCTCCCTTTGGGTTTGTGGGGGCGCTCTTGTAGTATCAGCAGACTCGTTCTCAAATGGAGACTTTTTATAGGGCCATCCCTCGATGGTCACATATCCTTTAATCTGTCAAGCGCCACTCCGATGTCTGGTATTATAGTACTAGCGATTTCCGCAAACTCCGCTATCTTCTATTAGCATGCGTTGATTAAAGCGTGGGGTCTCAGGTGAAGTACCATCATTAGTTCCGTCCAGGGCGATTGTATGCATCACGCCGTAGAGGTATAAGGTTGCCGGGCTTATATTCGCGGTAGACTGGTGGGGAAGCTGTTGAGGGACAACGAGGCGGGGGCAACCAGGTGACGAGTCTAGTAATCAGGATGTTAGAAACAACAACTAGACACAGTACAGTGCGACGATTACCAAGGGCAAAGTGCTGGGTATCGTGGAAGTAGCTTAATGCGAGCCTATCCAGGCGTTTTGGGAGAGCTGGTGAGCTATGAGCGAGGCGGCCGCTGGCCTGCAGAGCATAGCCGACATCTGTAGGAATACAGACATAGGCATCCCCAGGGTCACCAACTCGTATAGAAATCTCCTTTTTGACAAGTTTGCCCTCTGGACCCAGTTGGGTGAACTCTGCCGTCGCGTTATGGAAAGCTCTTGTAGCTGCAGCATAGCAGGGTCGCCCGATTATGGCACGGAGAGGTCTTGGAGCATTGAAAGTCACAGCTCGCGTAGTCGTCGTTCGAAATCCGGCAAGCATTGCAGACATAAGGCTTGCTCAGATAAAAGTATCCAGTTGTTCTCAGACCTAACTGTAACTTGTAGAAGACTTTGCGTAATTGATAACGATTCATACAATTGTAGGATCCATCACCCTGCCCTGTAAGCGCGTTCTCGGGCCTGATCCACTCTTCCCCAGCACAGCCGGCGCGTCATGCTTGGCGTTAAACCGAGCGTCTGACTTTTTGTCTTAACAATCTTTCTTCAATCCTCGCGTAACCCCAAAGGATAGTGACAGAATGGGTAAAGGAACCGACAAACTCTACATCACACACTCGGAGTGGTCATCTTCTGACGCCTTCGGCACCAATCGCGGCGCAAACGGCGCAAACCGAGCCTCTGCCGCCGGCCTTTCTTCGACCTTCAGGCGCCTGCCCTTCAACTACTGCGCCGTCTCACTGCAGCCCTTCACAGATCCTGTATGCACCGCGTCAGGGACCATCTTCGACCTCACGCATATCCTCACATGGCTTTCGAAACACCCCGACACGAATCCCACTGACGGGACGCCGTTGAAGCGCGCCGATTTGATCACGCTGAACTTCAGCAAGAACGAAGATGGCGAATATGTGGACCCAGTCACATACAAGGTGTTTACAGACAATACACATATTGTTGCGCTGAGGAAAAGTGGAAATGTATTTGCGTGGGATACGGTGGAGAGACTAAACATCAAGGCGAAGAATTGGCGGGATCTAGTTAGCGACGATGAATTCACGAGGAAAGACATCATCACACTCCAAGACCCGCAGAACATCGAGTCAAGAGATTTCGGATCGTACAAGCATGTCAAGGAGGGAGACAGGATACTGCCGGAGCCAGAGAGCGGTGTGAACAAGGAAGCGCTGGGCAATGCTGCAAAGATCATCAAGGCGAAAGAAGCTGTAGCAAAAGCGCGCGCCGATAGGCAAGCCAAATCACAGGGCGCCCAAACCTCCAAAGCGCTCGCGAACGTCTCAAGGAACGGCGCAACATCATCCACAACAGCTGAACCCAGGAAACCAGCTTACAATGCCGCGGTATACACCTCCGGAAAAGCTGCCGCATCCTTCACCTCGACGGGCGTAACCCCACACACTTCAGACGAGCGCGCCCTCCTATCAGACGAAGACTACATGCTCAAGCCCAAGCGCATCAAGCACAAAGGCTATGCCCGAATATCCACATCTCTCGGCGACCTGAACATCGAACTCCTCCCCGAATATGCGCCGCGTGCTGTCTGGAATTTTGTGGGACTTTCACAAAAGGGTTATTACAAGGATACCATATTTCATAGAAATATCAAGGGCTTTATGATCCAGGGCGGTGATCCGACAGGGACGGGGAGAGGTGGGCAGAGCATCTGGGGCAAGCCATTTGACGATGAGTTTGAGGGGCCGGAGAGGCACAATGCGAGGGGGGTACTATCCATGGCCAACAAGGGCAAGGGCACCAATACTTCACAATTCTTCATCACATATCGCGGGGTCCCGCATCTTGACCGCAAACACACCATCTTTGCGAGGGTCGTAGGCGGCTTGGACACTACGCTACGGAGTATGGAGCTCGCAGAAGTCGGAGAGAAGGACAAACCGGTCGATGACATTGAGATTCTGGATGTGGTGGTATTCGTCGATCCCTTTGAGGAGTGGCAAAAGGAGCGCAAGGACAAGGAGAATAAGGACCTAGAGGCTGAAGAAATCAAACGACAAGGAGGCACAGTCGATGACAAGACAACGTGGACCGGCAAGAGGATACGAGCCGACGGCACGGTGGATAATGGGAGTGGAGCAGGCTTAGGCGTGGGCAAGTACTTGCAAGCTGCGAAGCAAGAGATACAAGACCAAGGGGATGATGAGATTGTAGGCTACGTGGATGACGAGGAGGATGTCGCGCCAGCAAAAAAGAAGGCCAAAACAGGAGGCTTCGGGAATTTCGATGCTTGGTGAGCTACACGATTGGTTTGAAGATACAGGAGCGATTCGATACCCCAAATACGATAGCATTCATTCTTCGACTTTCGACAACGGTGCATGTTCCTTTTGCGAAACTTTGCTCAGCCCCTCGTTGACCCCGAGTTCGACAGTTCGACACCGACGATGAACCAATCAACGTTTGGTGGGGATGACTTTACGCCCGTCTGATAGAGTTAGGGCACCACCTGGACAGAAAAGAGTGGTTCTACTATTCTGAGTGATGCATTAAGATGCTCTACCTATTATCAGATTGCGGGGAGCTTACTACTCAGAAAGTGTGCGATTGTCATCGTCTAGGTGGCGATAGAGCTGATAGCGCCGAGCGTGGTGTTTAGGCGGAGATAAGTTTCGGTTGCAGCCATGTAGGCGAGCTGAATGCGTCGATAAAGAGGAGCTGTGCTACCTCGAACTCATTCCATCACATCGCACCAGGACTCTGCTCACCATCAAATCTCTCCTACAAGTCTCACCCCAACTTGCTAGATTAAACTACCCCAAGAATTGATCTAATAGTTCAAAATGGCACCTTCCATCCCCTCTAAATGCCGCGCTGTTGTAATCGAGAAGCCCGGCGCGCCGTGGGTGATCAAAGAAGTTCCCGTCGAACACCCTAAGCGCAGCGAAATCCTGATCAAAGTCCACGCGTGTGGTGTTTGCCATTCCGATAGCTTTTTGCAGCAGGGAGCCTTCGGGGATGCGTGAGCATTCAACTCAGCCTACACAGCCCTGTCAATTGACGCATCACAGTGCCTCGTTTCCCCGCATCCCCGGTCATGAGGTCATCGGCACCGTTGTGGCAGTCGGAGACGGCGAGGAGAAATGGAAAGTCGGCGATTACGTGGGTGGGCCATGGCATGGTGGCCATGACGGGACATGTAAAGCATGCAACAGAGGACTATTCCAAATCTGCGATAATGGGCTTGTGAATGGAGTTTCGAGGAACGGCGGATGTGAGTAGCTCCGATCTTTCTTCAAATCCGGATTATGCTGTCGAAGGCGCTGCTGATGTAATGTATAGATGCAGAATACTGCACTCTCCGCACTGAAGCAGCGGTTCGCATACCAGCGGGTGCTGATGCAGCTCAATACGCGCCGCTCCTTTGCGCCGGTGTTACCGTCTTCAACGGCATCAGAAAGATGGGCATCACGCAGGGGGATATTGTTGCTGTTCAGGGCTTGGGTGGGCTTGGTCACCTAGCCATACAATACGCGCGCAAGATGGGCTATAGAACTGTTGCCCTCTCTACGAGCTCTAGTAAGAAGGACTTTGCGAGTCAACTTGGGGCGACAGACTACGTCGACACGAGCAAGGAGAGCGCGGCAGAGGCGCTGCAGAAGATGGGCGGTGCCAGCCTCATTGTTGTGACTGCACCTAATCCAAAGGTTATGGGGCCGTTGATCAATGGGCTGGGCCCGCTGGGAAAATTGTTGATTCTCGCTCGTACGGCTTCCCTCTCAACCTTTGGCCATGAAACTAACAAGTGGCCACAGCTGTCGGTGATGTTCCAATTAACACTGTTGCGCTTATCCAGGGCGGCCGTTCTGTTCACGGCTGGCCCTCTGGACACGCGCTCGACAGCGAAGAAGCGATTGATTTCGCGGAGAAACAGGGTGTGAAGTGTATGGTGGAGAAGTTTCCATTTGACAAGGTGGAGGATGCGGTTAAGCACATGGAGAGCGGGAAGGTGAGGTTCAGGAGTGTCATTGTGATGGACTAAGAAGCGGCTTTCTGGAAATGAGCAACGACATGCTGAATTGAATTGAATGAAATTGGATAGCGGGTTACTTGAAGAGATGACGAAGTAATGAAACAATGGTAGTTCATGCGATTGAGCTCTCTTTCGGCTGCTGGGTATGCGTGTTCCCGGACGGTCGACGGTGGGGAGGGCTGTATATGATTGACGGAAAGGAGATATGTTTGAAGTCAAGTTTCAAAGGTCCATGGAGGTATACTCGACCGATTATCAGACCAGGAGGCAGACGGCAATCAAGACCCAGCAGCATCGAGGCACGTGAGGGGGGGTCTCAGGAACCAGATGCCGTGCCACACAGAAGCGAGAGGCAGACGCCGTTTTGCAATTTGTAGACGCCGTTCCTGAATAGTGCGCGCGCCAGGTCTGATGAACGTACGTTTCTCGTCCTACGTGAGCTGAAGCGCGTTCCTGTCTCAGGGGTGGACTCGCAACATGTAACGCCCAGACAGCCAATGTGCGGCCTACAAACCGTGGCCCCGCTAACTCCAACCTGCCCCGTTGTTTCAGCAATGGAAATCTCACCCACTTGTGACGAGCAACGCACCTCACAACTCGAACAGGGAGCGCTGCGTCTTCGAAGCGCGGCCAATTGCTGCGCGGCCTCCTGGTTTTCTCCTGGCTCAAGCATGTGTCGGGCGTAGGATGGGCATCGGGAGGGCGACTTGTCTGTAGATCTGCCTTAAGACGTTCCCTTCGAAATGGCAATGAGCGACTGAACATCACGATTATCGTCGCCCTCCCTTCTTCCCTTTTAGACTTCGCTTCTAATTCTTCCATACGCTGCGCGTCCTTGGTCCGTCTGTCCTTTTACACTCTCCTTCACTTTCGCTCCTTGCAGGCCCGGCGCCAGACGTGTCTCTCACGACTTCCCCTCCTTTGTGGTGTCTCATCCTCTCCTTCGCCTTGCAGCAGTTGTCCGCAGTTGTGCCTGTGTAGCAGAAGCATAGAAGAAGCGCAATTGGCCAGGTCGCATACAGCACACCATTGTCGCCCCCAGTGTTGTCTTGGGTTACCGATATTCGGAATTTACTCCCGTCGTTTAGCAGTGGGTGCGCATTTTCTTCTTGGGAGGCCGGGAGAAAAATAGACGGCAGAGAGTGGTGAAGAGTGCAAACGGAGGACCATCACAGGATCGCTTACTGTGCAGTCGGCCAAGCAGCGCATACCATAAACAACCCGCGTCTCAAAAACGTCACTTCACCTATTCAAACACAATTCGTCTCAGGAAATTCCGGTTCGCTTTACTACTAGGATTTGGAGGGACCCAAACGTTGGCATCGAGCTGTCGTGGGGAAAAACACCCTCATCCACTACCAAAGACTCACTGGCCTCGAACATCCATACTCCCAAATAGCTGCCAGACACCTCACGATGCAGAATCCGTCGCTGCGCGCCGTCATAGTCGGCCTTGTCGCCCTCGCAGGCACCACATCCGCATCCGTGTCTCTCGCTAGCTTCATACCGCGCATCGACAACCTCCCAGCACAGTGTGCGAGCGTCTACAACTCCAGGATCGACGGCTGCACGCCCGACGATTTCAAGCCCACCGCAACCTGCAGCGCTGTCTGCGTGCAAGGACTCGCCAAGATCACGGAAGCGGTCATCGCGCGTTGTAAGGATGTTGATGTCGGCGAGACGAGCATTATTGGCGTCTTCCAGAATGGGCTTGGGATTCAGGCCCTGTGTCCGGGTGTGACGGTCACGACTATTTCTTCGATTGCGTCAAGTACAAGGGCGGCTGTGCCAACGAGCACACGGGCAGTTGCCTCGACGACTTTGACGACTCCGACCACATCTACAGCTTCAACAACTTCAACGCCTTCTACTTCACAAACCAAGGACGGCCAGCTGTCGAGCACATCATCAGGGGGATTGCTCATAGACCCGAGTGCAACCGGGACTTTTACAACATCCACAGTGAATGCGCCGCCTACGAGCGCTGGGCAACCCGGGGCTTCGTCGACGGGAAATAGCAACGCAGTGAAACCAAGCCAGGTGCCGAACAGTCAGCTATCGAACACAGACTCGGGAGGAGGGTCGCCATTTGATGTGGTTGCGACCGGTCTGGCCGGGCGACTGCAAGTCACGGATGTCTGCACGGCGACTCTTCTTGCGATAGCATTGCTCGTTGTCGCATGCGCCTAACTATGGTTGTTTCCTTACTGTTCAAAGCATTGCCTATATGGCTACGACACGGCGTTTAGGATGTTAGCTCTCTTGTACCTTGTATTATACCCGCATTGGATGGACGAAACGCTCAGCCAGTTGAGTAGGCTTATGGAGGATATAGGATGGATGGATGCAACGACCATCTAGGGACTCACATGACGCATGAGAATCCATGTATAGAAAGAGCATCCGCACCAAAAGATGCGAAGCGGCTCAGAAAATCTTACTGAATAAAAGATTAAAACAACATTAATTTCCAATTGCATGATGAACCTCTCTCATGGCCCCTCCCCCAGCTACGGACCCTTGTCAGCCAAGCGAGCAGGTACGTAGCTGTACCCCAGACGTGCTCTGATCTAATCGCCCGCCCGCCGCCACAACGCTTATCTAGCAAGGCCTTGCAAACTCCATCCCGCCATGCAGGAACACAGTCGAGGGAAACGATGAGGAAAACCATTCTCCTCTGTTTTATTCATGGCTTCAAGGTATGTCGCGTGCTTTCTATGCAGATTCGAGCCATGACAGGGCATTCAACGAACCGCGGTTCAGCTAGCTTTACGGGTCCGCGCATGACAAGCAGCGCCAGCAGACGAAACGTCAGGAAGAAGAGGATGCTGACTTTAGACGTGGTAGGGCGGAGACGAGACCTTCAGGCACTTTCCTTCCCACCTGAAGGCCCTCCTTCAACATGCGCTACCCAAAGTCACCATCCTCACCATCACGTACCCGCAGTTCGAGACGCGCGGAGACTTGACCGAGTGCGTTGCGCGGTTTAGGGAATGGCTGGAGAACAAAGTTATAGACCTCGAGGTTGCCAACTCGACGCCATCACCTACCGTCGACCCTTCGGTCCGCACAATACTCGTCGGGCACTCCATGGGTGGCATCGTCGCGGCGGAGGCACTCTTGTCCATCATTGCCGAACAGCCAGTTCCTTCTCTCAAGAACTCACAAACGGCTTCGACAGGCTCCCTAAACGATCATTCGATGCTCATGTTCCCTTACATACAAGGCATTCTGGCTTTCGATACACCATACCTTGGAATAGCGCCTGGCGTAGTGGCTCATGGCGCGGAGAAGCACTGGCAGACAGCGAGCTCAGCCTACTCGGCCTACACAAACCTCGCGGGCGCCTTTGGCTGGGGGAACAAGGACAATGGTGCCGGGCCTGCGGTTGATACGAGTAAGATGCTTCCTGCACCCTCCTCAGACTCCAACGCCGATGCTGCATCCGCACCGCTCTGGCAGAGATACGGTCGCGTAGCCATGTTCGCAGGCGCTGCCGGTGCAATCGCAGCAGGCGGTGCAGCAGCATACATGAAGAAAGACCAGATCTCCCAAGGGGTGAACTGGGCAACGTCGCATCTCGAGTTCGTCGGTGTCCTAGCCCGCCCCGAAGAGATGCGAAAGCGCCTCGCCAGCGTCGCCAAACTCTCCCACACCCAAGATCTTGGCTTCGCCAACATATTCACCACTCTGGGTCACGCTGTCAACAGTGAAAACAAAGAAGCTGGCTGGACTGGAAAAGTCGCTGGCAAGGACCGCACGTTTTGCAACCTCCCCAAGGGCGAACTGAAGAACTTCTTTGTACCAGCCGTCAATGATAAAAGCACCGCGGAGACTTGGGCGCACATGAACATGTTCGAGCCGAAGAATAACCCGGGATATTACACGCTGAGCGAGACAGCCAAAGAGCAGATCATTGAGTGGGCAGAGAAGACGGAGTGGTATGAACAGAGTGAGGGGCCATTGAGGGGAGAGGTCGAAGAGGAGGCGGAAATCGTAGAACGCCAGGAGGTAGATGAGCAGATGCAGAGGGAGGCGGACGCAAAGGATGCCAAGGAGGACGAGTTTGTGGATTTGAAGAGGCCAGCAAGTGAGTCGGCGGAGTCCGAAGACGATGTGCGGAAAAGGAGGGAGTTGTGATGATTGCACTACCTTGGTCGATGATGACAGGCCCAATGATGTATGAGTACGACGGATTGATAGAAGCGAGTAGCGAGCGTGGTATACCCCATCCTCTCTACATGAACACGAATACATGACATGCTTTTAACAACTTGGCATAACACACTCCTTTTCGACCTCTCATTGCAGCGTTCAGTGAACCCTTTTTGTACCACGGTGTTTACTTTCAGTGACTGTCCTGGACCGCCACGGTGTCTTCGAACAGCTTCCATTTCTCTCCCGTTACCGCCATCATCTTCCCACCATTAAATATAAAGGCCCCCCTCAAGCCTACACTTTCCCTTGTTCCTCAACACACCTACCTCAATTTCCTATCCTTTTAACTGCAAGTTCGCTATCCTGATTACACAAGAAACTTACCACAACTCTAGCATATCGGAACCCAACCCCCTAAATTCACAATCTTCAATTCCAACAGCAACACTAATTTCTCTTGAAAATGCCTCGCCGCCGCAACGATGACCGTCCACACCCTTTCGCAAACTACGATCCTAACAACCCCAACGACTACGCATTCGGCATCGAGCGCGATGCAGACGGCAACGAAACATACTTCTCAGGCCACGTTGAGCCGCGCCGGGGGCCACCGCAACGCGCTCCCAATCCCGACACAGCGTTCGGAGAAGGTTTCTGGGACGGAGCATTTGAAGGGCATGGTGTGGGTGCATTTCACGGGTAGGTGCCTATCTCAGCAGCAAAGATTGAGAAGAAAATATTTTGGCTAATTCTTACGCTAGGTATCATCATGGTTATGGAGTTGGTGGTATGGAAGGGTTTAGGAGGGGTGATGTGCATGGATTTCGTGCTGGGTATGATCACGGCGGGTATGAGGGGTATCATGGGGGTTATGGGGAAGGAATGTATGATGGGTATGAGGACTTGTACGATTATGGCGGCTACGATGATTATGATGATTATGATCTTGGTGAATATGGGGAATATTGGGGGCATGACAACAATGTGGGCTATGATAGGTATGGTAGGTATGGTGGATATGGTTACTATTGATTGAGGACACTCATGCTTGTATGTAAATGGAAAGTGGGTTGAACGCGCTGGAACTTAAATTGAAGTCTTGATTGAAATTTAGCTGTGCAGCTGGTATAGTCGCATCATCTTGGTATCATGAAAATGCGACGACCAAGCAGGATATCGTTTGGAGTGATTGCATCGCTGTGAATAGCTTCGTCATCTAGTCGAGACCATCGTGACGCCGCGGCTCCATGATTTTGGCCAACAGAAACTTGACACCTCGTTAACATTGACTTGACTTGATGTCGACAACATGACCATTCAGGCTCACCGTAATCCCCAACAGCATATAAGACCTACTCCAACTTTGCACTCTCTTCTCTTCCTTGTCACAACCCTTACACTCTTGCATCGACAAATTTTAGTACTTAGCATCCATAGTTACACTCAAATCACAACACGAAAACCACTGTTAATATGCCTCGTGACTTCCGCAACATCATAAACGGCGCCTACTACGCCTCGCGGGATTCCGAGGATGGACCTTGGACCGACCATTGGATGGACGCGACAGGCCACGGAACAACTCAATACTGGCTTCCTGACCAGGTGAGAAGTATCATGTACAAGTACATGTGCAACACCTTACTAACTCCATGTAGGAACCTCCAACAGGCGATCTTCCCCGTAATCCCTGGCCGCGCTACCATGAAGGCCATCAAACCGGGCGTCGTGATGGTTTCGTTGTAGGCAGCAGAGAAGGTCTCATGGGAGGGCACTGGGATGGATGGCGAGATGGGTATGATGATGGAGCTTTCGAAGGGCAGGGATATGATTTTGGATATCATCATGGCTACTTTGATGGAGAAATGGAAGGGTATGGGGATGGGTATGAAGACTATGGTTACGACGACATGTACGGGGGCTATGGAGACTATGAGGATATGTACGGCGGCAATGGGAGGTATAGGTATTACTAGGGACTGCTTTTGGTGACCAAGTAGCATCTACCTCGGTCACTTGTGACAACCTAAATGGCATCAGTATTCGATATAGAGTATTTAGTGTACTCGTAATCACAGATGCAATTGCGTGCTATCGGCAGAATCAGTACTCTAGCTTCCTCTTTTTGTGCGACGCAACGGCGGCAACTTACGGACCATGTGCTACACGCACGCAGTGTGACGCGGCAGAAGACGACAGCCAAACTTTTGGTGCCCAATACCAAGATTTTGGATGTTTTACTAGTTTCTAATCTGGGCGCTTTGCGTAGTACAAATGTACCGAACTTCCGGTGCGGACTGCAGATCAAAACAAGCGCGTGGAGGAAAGATTGCAAAGAGGGATCGTACTGAGATACATATCAGTCACTGTATTTAAATGGACAGCTACTCGTGACTCGCTTGAGCTATACGTAGATTGTAGTGGGAGAAGTCCGGCTGGGCGAAGGATGACGCAACATTGGGACGCAGTAGCGAGATTTATTTGCTGCGAATGTCATAGGTCTCAGTTGGAAACGATGGTTGCCAGACGATGGTGTCGTGTCTCTGTCTTCCGTGTGCGTTGGCCATAGAAGTGGGCGTCCACGAGAACAGAGGTCGGAAGCAAGGAGAGAGCGGACCCGAGAAAGGCACTAGCGTGACTACATTGGGTATGGGCTGTTCTTGGGCGGATGCATCATTCTCACAGTTGATCAGATTCTTGCAATAACCCGCCTAATCATCGATGGATCTCTCATCGGGCCATGGATTATCCCCGTTGCCGATAGTTTGATTAAGGTGATCGACCGGACGCTCACAATGAAAACACCATACTAGCCTTGTTATCGATCATGTCCCCCACTTGCACTTTCTTTTCTCTTGGCCGCATTCGATTTCTCAACGAAACTGCGAAACAGGTCCGCGCTGGCGGCAAAGCTCTTCGTTCCGAGATTACGACATGATATTCACAAAGGCATACCCAGGATCTGATCCGCGGCAAGTTGAGAGCAATTTAGAAATGTCCCTGCCTCCCTCTTTTGTTCTTCTAGACTCGTCAGCCATGTTCCAGAGGCCTACATCCAATCTGCCAAGTCACGAGCGATGATGTGGTGGCTGAAAGCAATGTTTTGAAAGTCTTCTTAAGCAGTCGAGGTATCTAGACAACTAGATGCTCCAGTTTGGATAGGCAGCAATCACGAGATGTTCTCTTCAAAATTCGCCTATTTGGCTTGCCTATTCTCTTTACTCGTGGCCGTAATACATGCCGCCCAATATCCGAACACTACCACGCAGTTAGCGTACTATCCTCAAACGACAGCTTCGACGAACAATAGCGGATCTAAAACGAGCAGAATATGGGTGAGCCCGGAGTACAAGTGGATATTCAAATTCCCTCTTCCAATACCTCCTATCAAAAGGCCAAAGATGTGAGCATATCATTTAGACTAAGAGTCAATCGAATACTGATCACAACATAGCACGTACATGAATAACATTACAGGTGCTATTATCGACTACTATGAGGTTGAAGTCAAACCACTAGAGAAGCGCATCTACCCAAATCTTCCGCCCACGAACATGGTCGGATATGACGGACTCTACCCCGGGCCAACATTCGCAATGCAACAAGGGCGTGGTGAGTCTGACGATTGTGCGGTATGTCATACAGAATTGGCACTAAGAATTTACGTAGAGGCCGTCGTTAGATTCAGCAACAGCGGTCCAACGAACATGTCTGTACATGTTCATGGGCAATACAACCGTGCCCCTTTCGACGGCTGGGCCGGCGACTATGCGCTTCCGGGGCAATACAAAGACTACTACTACCCGAACGCGCAGAACGCGAGAACCATCTGGTATCATGTCAGTCATAGCTCGTGGTTTTGTTAGTAATCGCTTCGGTCTAGCTAATTCTTGCCAGGATCACACCGAGTTCAAGACTGGCGAAAATGTATACATGGGGCTCGAAGGTTTCTACCTGTTGACAGATGAAGCCGAGCAGTCACTGGGCTTGCCTGCCGACGACTACGACGTACTTTTGTCGATAAGTGACAAACAGTATAGTGCCAACGGTTCTCTGGTCTATAACACGAACGGAGGCAATGGATTATGGGGTGATGTGATACAAGTGTACGACCAAGGAGCTCAATCGTGGCTCTGAAAGCTGACCTGCTCGTAGTAATGGACAACCCTGGCCGCACCTAAACGTGGAACCCCGAAAATATCGCTTCCGCATATTAAACGGTGCCGTGAGTCGAAGTGAGCAAAGAGTCTTCGTCATTCCTATACGCGTATACTGATGAAATGCAAGCTTTCAACATCTCCTTCCATGCAGATGAAAATGACGAAGCCTTAAGGTTCTCTGTCATTGCTTCAGATTGCGGTACGTCAAGATTACTCTCGACATGAAAGTCAAGCTAACCTCTGGTAGGTCTGTTTTCGCATCCTGTGACGACAGACAATCTAGCGTTATCCATGGGCGAGCGTTACGAAATCGTCGTCGACTTTGCCGGTTACGAAGGCCGAAAGATCATGGTACGGAATGCCCGCGACTTATTTCCATGTATCGACTACGCCGCAACGGACCGTGTCATGCTATTCATCGTCGGAGACGCCGCAACAAGCAACACCAACAACGACGCCGTACCCTCTTCGCTTCGCTACATACCACCACCTCTGCAATCCAACACAACTAAGAACTTTACGTTCTCGCGCATTGGCGACGAATGGCTCGTGAACGGCGTTGGCTTCACTGATGTCGAACACAGGATTTTGACACGACCTACACACGGCTCAGACGAGATTTGGGAACTTAGGCACGGTGGCGGGAATTCCACGCATCCAATCCATATCCACCTTGTGGATTTCCAAATCATATCTCGCACGGGTGGCCGCAATGAGGTGTTGCCATATGAAGCGGCGGGAAAGAAGGATATCGTGTGGCTAGCCCCGGGAGAGACTGTGAGGGTTATTGCAAGATATGCACCTTGGAACGGTGTTTAGTGAGTTGCCGTGACGCCTTGCCTTGGATCAATTCTCACATTGACTAGCATGTTCCACTGTCATAACCTCGTTCATGAGGACAACGAGTAAGTTCCATAGCGACACATAAGACAACTGAACTGACCAAGTGAAGCATGCTCGTAGCCTTCAACGTCACTCAACTTGAGAAATGGGGCTATGACGACTCAACGCTCTTCATCGACCCAATGGAGCCCGCCTTTCGGCCAAAGAACATGGATCCAAAAGACTTTACTGAAGATAGCATTTGCAGAAAACTGGACTGGTTCTGGAGTCTAGACGCCTATAATCAGACTCTTGCCGCCACCGAAGGATCAAAGTAAACACAGGCCCCCGCACATAATCCCCTGAATGTATAATAATCCGAGATTGAAAGAGGCGGAAGTCTGTGGCACTGTGTGGAATGGTCGTCTCTGGTTGCATGGGCCACACTATATAATTGTACAGGTATCAGACTTCTAATAGCTTACAGCAAATTTGCATGAAACTGTCAATATGTACTTACAGACTACCCTTCTATTGCACTACTAGACACCCCCTTTCGATCTTAGGAAAAGTAATTCAGACTCTAGCGACTGGTACGCCGCAACGTCTTCGCGATAGAAGCCGAAAACGCTTCCAAGTCAGTACGTACGAGTATCATAATGTTTACTAAACATCTAAACCGCTCAGCTTCTTCCATAGCTCGTCACCATTATACCTCATGCACGCCTCGCATACAGTCCACCTATCATCGAGTAACTTTACGACATACACGTACATGCCAGGATTAGAGCATTTCGCCACACTCAACCTCGGCGTATCGTCGTTGCACGAGCTCCGGACCTGCCGACCCTCCGCGGGTCAGACAACTTATACCATGTCGCGAATCGTATTATAGCCGACCAATCGTGAGGTTGTAGGTGTAATATCTGACGACCTTCGGGCACAACGATATGTGGAACCGACTGCTACAAGCTAGCGTGAAGCATATAGACAACGTAGTCAACTAAGACAGGGGAAAGATGATGGAATCTATGGGTCAGGGGGTTAGGCAGAATAGAGTGGCCCTCCTCGGACTATGGAGCTACCCATGCACTTCTCCATTTCGATCCACCGCAGATCCACATGTGTCAGGAAGAAAGGAATGGAATGAATGGTCTGAGGGTACCATGTCAAGAAGATGAATGACTAGTAGTCAAATGGAAGGAGGATAAGGCGTTCTAGAAGGTTCAAAATGAAGGGGCTTTACCGGGTCTAGCATCCTTCTAGGTTCAACGTTGAAAATGATTCAGACTTTCCAGGAACAACGTGGCCCTGTGAAACGCGTCATTTCGTTGCGGTAGCCAAGTGGGGCGAACTTTCAAGGGCTTACGGAATCGCGATAAGGGCCTAGATGTTTGAAGTGAAGACGGTAAAGTGGACCGAGTGCAAAGGACGAGTACATCATAAACAAAGAGAAATGACGGTGAGAGCTGTAATGGCGGCAAGATGGATGCGCAAACGTTGAGAAGCCATGCGGCTCGGATTGGCCGACCGTAGCCGAGTCTAGCATCGGTGTAGCCCGGCCGCGATTGGTTCGGAGTAGAATGCCTTGGCGAAACGGGAAATCGAGATCGAGCATCCACCCATTTTGCAGATCGAAATCTCTGCCGGCTCATCGAAAATAGACATCCACATTCAGTTCTGCATGCGTGTTAATATCAGTCAGAGGTCTGACGCGGATAAGCTTTTCGACATGTGAAGATAGTTGGATTCGCGAACACAGCTACTCTATCTCTAAGGTGAAGCTGTAAATACAGTCTACGTCGCATGTGACGGTGACGATGCAATCCATGCCCGCCTGGTATCATTATGTTGCGCCTATGGTTCGTGTTCGTCGATCTAGGTGTAGGCATACCCTTAGATCTATGCGTGAAGGCGAAAATCGCCAGTGTCGTTAGACAAGAAAAGAAACCCAAATATTGCCCCTGCGCCAGCTGCTATGCCGAATGAAATTTGAGTGAGACGGTATGGTATCAACCCTATACCTGAGGCATAAGCCTAGGAGCTTACTCCTCAATCATGCCAGCCTTAAGCATGCTCTCCTTCAGAGCCTTCTTGTACTCGCGCTCGATACCGTGCTTGACAGCGTCGAGGACCGTGTCGACGGTAGCCTTGGGCTCGAAGCGTGGCTTGGTACCCGCCTGGAATACGCCGGTTCGCACGAGAATCGAGTACCAGTTGGCTTCCTTGGTGTAGTCGTTATATTCGTTGGTACCCCTAATGTCGGACTCTGGGGTGTCTCCAACGAAGTATACAGTAGAGGGTGGAGAGTCAATGCTGTGGGTGTTCTTACGCCACTCTCGAAGTAGGCGAGTAGCGAACTCGAATGTCTGGATTTGGGGCTTGCCAAACGCAGTCGTCTTGAGTTCTCTGCCGGTGACGGCCTTGAACATAGCTTCAAGAGAGACGCGGAGAGCGCCCATGCCAATTCGGGTAAGGTCGTGCGAGGCACTCCAGACGACATCATTGTGCGAGAAGAAGACTGGTGGGCCTTCATCATAGTTCTCGGACCTGGTTCCTAGACGACCTTTCTTCGACATGAGGAGATCGAGGATGATTTGTTGGTCAGAAGCCCAGTCGCGCGAGTCAGCAAAGACGAAGATGGCCTCGATCTCGACTTCAGCGAAGTTACGAGATCGCGAGTTCCTGTACTCCTCCTCTGTCAACTTGCGGAAGGGCGTCGTGTCTTGGTTGTCCTTGATGATATCTCCAGGTGTGACGCTAAGGTGTAATTAGCATTGGTGTCTCGAAGAGGTATTGGGGAGTATGAACTTACACATCCTTGAAGCCGTAGCCTTCTGCAACAATACGGCACTTTTCGCCCTCGCCACCAACGACGAGGACAGTGTTGTACTTCGCGGCCATCTCCCTCATAGGGGTATGGCCGCAGATGAACTGTCCAGGTGACACTTCCATCTCTAGTTGCTTGCTAAGATCAAGGCAGCGTTCAGCCTCAGTCTTACCTCCGCCATTGGTGACGAAGATGTACGGAACCTGGATTCCGTACTCGTTCTGGCCGTTGAGCATTTTCATGGCTTCAATGGCTTCCGGGATTGGTCGACCTCCTCGGATAAGGACACCGTCAATGTCGAACGCAAAGGCGTACTTGTCGGTAACCGATGTTTCGGCAGGCGTCTGAGTTGGAGAGCCAGGTACACTGGCAGTGTCAAGGTGGTGTCTCGCTGTCTCAAACCCACAGGCAACCTCCGAGGCATTTGACGGAGCCATAAGATACTGAGGTGGGACCACGACCGTGGGTCCCATCTGTATGGTCTCGCGAGTGGCATCCATAGATGACAAGCGCTTGATCATCGGCCTGCGCGCCGGGACCGCAAGAGAAGGTGTAGACATTTTGAGGGGAAGGTGGTGAAATGGGATTGGACTGAAGAAGAAGAAGTGGAGCAGCAGAGCTGTCGTTGTGGTAGTGAGAACAGAACTGGCGGGGAGAATGGGTGGGTTTTATATCTCTTCGGGCCGAGCAACTGTGTAGAACTCCAAGTAAACCCCTCAAGAAGCGGAGAGAAGAGTGGAGACTGTGGAGGTGCGTGATTGTCGATGAGTAGTGGGATGGGAGAAAGGATTTATACAGATGGTGAACGGCGGGACATTTTTTTCAACGTCGGCGTTATTCGAATAACATGACACGCTTTTAGTATGAAGTAGTGGGGCGTTCTTCACCGGACCCTGAGCGAAGGGCTTATCAGTTGGGACTTGCTAATATGGCGCTTTGCGCATGGCTATGGCGTCATATTTGCTGAATGGATAGCGGTGGTCGACTACGAGTGCTTCGTTTGAGTTCAATGGCGGCTGGCCCTTCAACCATGTGGTAGATAGTGCTGTGTGCCTCGATCATCATTCGCGGTCGGCCCTGGCAATGTTGCAGCAGAAGTGGGTATGAGACTACCGGCACATAGCCTCTTGCGCATCAAGCGTCTGTCGGAGTATGCTAGTTCCTTGCAAGCCAAGTGCTTGACGGCCGCGCTCGATGTTGTTGTGGAGCGGCGTCGCAGAGTTTTGAGGTACTTCTGTACTATGACGCCATTGATGATTAGCTTGCGTCTCGCTTCGGCGGCCATTTGCATTGGTCTCAGGGACAAGACGGACAGGGCAAGCCTCGCGGATGAGCGACGGTGAATCCCTAATATGACCACAGATCAACGGCTCTTGTGTCGACAGCGAGAAGGATCCGGCACACGTTCTCGTCGCCAAGCGTTGAGATCCTCCAAACGGAAAGCCTTGAGGCTCAAAACGCCACCAACCTCGGCACACATTCTGCCTTTTAGCAACAGTTAGCGCCCAGTCTCTGATCTGTGATCTCTTGAAACAAAAGACGAGTGTGCGCTCAGCCGCAATAACCCGAGGATCAATATGCATCTGTGCTCGAGGATCCATGAACCGCAGAAGTTCGGTTCGCCGACTTGTAGCAATTTCTTTATCGCTCTCTTCACATGCCGCTTGCTGCATGCCACCTCGACAGCTTTTTCGTCTGGATGAGGTACGTGCATAATGCTCATTCTGCCAGCTTACATTCAGTGGGCCGTTGCCAGAACGAGTACCCACAGCGGTATCAGATTATGGCGCTTGACGTAATAATACATACAAGGTCCCTGTTAACTGGGCGGTGCATCTGATAGTAATACCAGCGCCAGTAATACGCACCGTCTGACTGTTGCAGAAAACTTTGTCTAGTGACGCGATAGCGCCAGCCTGCGGCAGGCGGCAGGTGAGATGGAATGTCCAGGCCGTGCAAGAGGGTGATGAAGCAGAATTTGACACCGGTGATTCGAGTCGTCGCATAGATCTCAGGAAGTAATAACAGATTCTCAAGATGGCCGCGAGAAGAGAACGCCTGGCAACCCCAGAGTAACAGCTCCGACAACGACCGATAGCCAAGTAGTGCGTTGATCCTACTCCATGCACCCTCAACATCGAATTTACCCTACGCGCGACGGAGCCTATAATAAGTGGGACTTCACCACCAGAAAGAGTAGTGATCAGGAAAAATCGTCCGACACAATACGGGCAGTTCCAATTTGGGTGTTTCGGACGCGCGAGTATTGGAAACCGTCCTCTGCGAAATGCGCAGGTGCCCAGTACTCGATAAGGTTCTTCCACAGCGGTAGAGAGGGGGCCTAATTTCAAGTGCAGAATCAGGCGTATCCCACCACAATCCTCCAGGTCCCTGGCAGGCTCAGGCCAGTCCCAACAGACTTGGGGTAGGAATGGTTGTTGTTGCTTGCCCGGGTGCATCAGATTGTGTGACGGTACTCTAATCCAGAACAGGCCCTTTCTTCCACAAGCTCCCACAATCGTATGAGATCGAGATCCTCCGCATTTGCGGAATTTTCCGTGCGGTGTTTCAGTTCACCCCGCGGTGGGTCCACTATGTTAGCAAGTAAAAGTATGGGGTTGCTGATCTGGAGACTACAGAGAAGTCGCCTTGGCGTCGGTTGCTGTGTTATCCATGGCAGACACCTAGGCATGAACTCAGACGAGATCGAGTTTGAATTGTCGAGTTCGTGTAGCTTTTGTGGTCTAAATGAGAGTTGAAGTAAAGCGAGGAATAAGTGTTGTGTGTGCGCGGGTGAGAGGTTTTCTAAAGCGCCTAGGCCCTCGTTGGGCTATCACTGGTTCTGTGAAGGTACTTTCTTTGAGTGCGGAGATTTTATGATTACATGGAGTTGTGAGGCAGATGCGGAAGGAGCTGTTTGCCCTCGAGTGGAAGGCACTATCAAGTTCTGTCACGAACGTGACGCGTCCGCTCCAAACTCTCGAATCGACTCACCTTTACGAAACATGCTCATGGCACGGCATTTCACACGCTACAAAGATGAACTGGACCGGTGGTAGTCTCCAACGAACTAAGAATGCCAACAAGGGTGTACTGCAAAGGCAGAAAGCATACTTTGCCAGAGCACGTACGCATCTGCAGAGTGCCTCAAATTCACCTACTACACCATTTCGCCCCAGTTATCTTGGCGACAATGACAGCTTTGACTTCATGGAGCAGATACCTACGCTTGGCTCAGGCGTAGTCCAGCATGCTGGCCACCCTGCCAGAGGTCGAGGTGAGAGACTACGACGAAAGACTCCTCCAGCCGACAGACGACCCGTACCAGACAATCCACGACTGAAACGTGAAGCGGGTAGGAAATGCGTGAAGAATCGTCCTGCTTCTCGCTTGGGTGCTGCAAAGCGAGGTTCTGAAGGTGAGATGGATAGCCTTTGGATCACCTCACTTCGGGCGAGATGTAGTAGTGTACTAATCTTATGACAGCGCAGCACGATGAGAGAAGAAGGGCCACAGAGACAGATCTTGAGACTCAACTGCTCGAAGCGAACCGAAAGAGACTTCTGAGACAGCAAGACTGGATCGGGATCAATTCCCCAAAGCCAGTCCACCTGCAATACTTTTCCAACAAGGAGAAAGATAAAATTGGCAAACGCAGGAAGACACAAGGAAAGCTTGGTGCAACTGCACGGCTGAAGAGCAATGCCAACATGGCAGGACAACCACCTCAGAATGCAGGCGATGGCCTTTACCGGGCTTTCATGGCCCCAGAAGTTAGAAATGATGTCGAAAATATTCGAATCCGGATTGGTACAGATGCATTGTCGACTGCCTACTCGAATCAGCTGAATCACTATGCCCGATCACAGGCTTCATCGGAACCCATGCTCTTCGACCAGGAAGGCCAAGACACAGAACGAGCGAGATATTTGGAGTCTGTACAGCTTGTCAATCCTGAGCCTCACTCGGCAAGGAATGCATCTCGACACAGTAATACTGCTCCCCACGAGCGGCCACTCACTGATGAGAAAGTTGGGCGGGATCATGACTTCACATACTACCGCGACCCTCGTTCAATGGCAGAGACTTCTGAACAAGGTAGCTTAGACTTCGAACAGATCGAGGGGCATTCCCAAAATTATCCTGTTGGAAGGGCGCCAGACCAAACTAGCGAAAGTTCCGCTCTAGCATATCGAGTCACACACCACGCTGAAGGCATCGAACGACCTCTGCGTCTTGTCTTTGGAGAATTCAACTCTTCCGCGAGCGCACAGAGTCACATCGCACCCAAGAACAACATCGGTGAACCGCGCTATACTCGGGAGGCAGCTTCTGCAGGAGAATCCCAAAGAGGACATATGCATCAAGTTATCGGCGATGTTGAGCAATCAACATTCGATGAGGGTGCGGCGGCACTTGCAATCGTCGATGAGGAGCCCTGGAAGACGTTTCTCTCTATTTCCGAGGGGAGCTCAAGCCACCCGGCCATGGCCGTTGAGCCCGGAAATAGCTTGTTGCGTTCTTACCCCACTGTGTTCAATAATGAAGCTGTCACGAACTGGTCACAACGTGCCACACAGTGTGATCGAACCGACATTAGTTCGTCCCCCGCTTCCGCATCTTTGCCTTCTCTCAAGCGAGGCATCGAGAAGCCCGTGTTGGCGCGTCAAGCTGGTGTAAAGTCTAATTGGCGAGACGATGCAGTCGGAACGAAAGCACGCGGCCTGGACGAAGATGAGAAGTTATGGCAAGCGTTCGTCTTTGGAAGTGACAACACGTCATCTTCGGAAGCGTTCTACAGCCTTGAGCAAACACAGAGGATGTCGAAAGACTTTGGGGAAGCGTCGTCAAGGTACGTGCCGTTGTCTGTCGCGGTAAGTTCAGTCAGCTCCACACCGTTCAGACCAATATCAGAAGTGGCTTCTTGCATAAGCGACAAGGTACAGGATGCAGCAGCCTCTGCGCTAGCTCCAGGGTCCCGAGCGATAAGTTCACCGGCTTTTTATGAGTTTGTCGAGGACGTCGTCAGCGAAGGAGAAGACGGCCACGGGAAGGCTGAGGGCAGCTTGCTCGTTGAGCAAGCGGTGACTCAGGCATCTTTGCAGACCAACGTGGCATGCGATACCGGGCTTGCGTCTCCAGAGATGTTTTGTGACTCAAAACCGTTTCGCAACAGTCTAGACCGACCCCATGGCATGAGTGACATATCCTCGACACGGGCCGTTGCGAGCAGACGAAGAGCCGCATCATCTTCTCCGAGCTACGATGGCCCAGTCAGCTACGACGAATCTAGCGGGGGACTTGATTGTATCGACCGTGACAGGTTGACGTGATGCGCGTGTCTATTTACGTGGCAATGCCTATTTTCTCCTCAAGTGGAACCGTGGGATACCTGAGGTAGACTTTACTACGCCCTCTCGCTTATCGTATTGTGATAGAGGGATTTAGCAGGCCCATGTAGCGGCAGTCCTCCAATGCCATCGGTGTACGAATTTTAGCATGAGTTTGATTCTTTTTTCTTTTTCCCGATGGTGCAGCAGCCTGTGTCGCGTTGCACACATGTGTCACATCCTAGGAGCATGAGCTCAGCTCATGCAAGAGAACGTTCTCTCACCTGCTGCACACAACCATTGGACTGCTGCGCCTGCAAGGCCCCGTAGAGCCGCAAGCAGATCGGAATGCTCAATGCAGAATCTTGTGCAGGCTCATTGCAGGATCACGGCGAGGCAAGCTGACCATGGCGGCAATATTGTGTACGACGAGCGCACTGGAGCGTGAATGCGTCGTATTCTGGCTAGGATACGCTGCATGGCCTTGGTTGCGAGTGCGTCCAGGAGACGTCGGAGCTGATTGGACTGGATAGGTGCGGGCGCAGTGGTGACAGAGTGCTGGGTATCCTCAATACAGGGTTGAAAAGCCACGTAGAGGCGCCGAAGTGCAGTCGGCCCTGGAAGACGAATGAGGCCATCGGTAGATGGAAAGGTACCAGGGACCCGCCACTTTGAGCATGACTGAAGATTGTATCTTGAGGCGAGGAAACGATTGGGTGCGGCATGAGGACGAGGACAGACATATCACACCGCCTGCAGGTCACATGGACTCCTGAGTCCCGGACGAGGTGGAAACTGGGAAAGGCAAAAGTGGAGGGGGGTTGATGGATGTGCGGGGGGACGCGGCGACGGTAAGTGGTCTGATGGCTGCAGGGGCTGTTCATCGCGGCCAGCTTCTCGAAGCCTGGGAAATTAACTGCGGAGCGGCCATCATCACGCGACTCGGTGCATTGCATAGCATGGCATTGCAGTTGTTGCGATGGGGGATACGAAGCAGAGCACACTCGACGGCTGTTGGCACCTGGCCAAGTGTCTTGTTTTTTCTTTTTTCGTTTGGGAGGCGCATATGCAGCATCTGTCTCCCTGCTGTTGGGGCGGTCATGGCCTGGGGAAAAACGGTTGAGACTAGGGCGCCAAACAAAACAGAACAGAGAACAGAACCGCCCAATGATCATCGCCAAGAAACTCAAACCAGCGTGCCGGCGACAGTCGCGCCACGTGTGTTGGCGAGCGCAGCCACAGCCACAGCTGCCACTGGCATGGTCGTGGCCCTCTCTCGTCTCCTCTGCCTTCCGACTCGATCACTCGATTGTCCGATTCAATCAGCAACCGTTGGATTGGGATAGTCGTCCTCATCACCGCTACTTGGCCAACGAGACCCGTCACAGCATGCAGCGCTCGGCGCCCGCGCTCACCGTATTGTGGCCGCATTACCCACGACGTGCGTGTCGGTAAAGACGGGTTGCCAGGCAAATGAGCATCTCTGACAACGCTCTCCCAAGCCCATAGTGTGGTTTCGCAACATGCCGTCGTTATTATTAACCAACCCAACAACACGAGCAAACTCCAGGGCGAATCGGCTGCGCCACTGCAAATCCACTCAGCCCTGCTAAAGCGCCCAGTGATCCCCCTCTTTGCCGGAAGGCACGGCAGCATGCTTGTGTACGTACACACACACACGTCCATGGATGAAGATTGCGACTTGCTCCATGACTTGTTTCCGGACAGGCGCAGATGCGAACTAACCGTGGTTGTGTGTAAATGCCTCGCTGTAGCGACGACTACACCAAGGCTCTCCAGTAGGCGCGGCGCGGCGCAGTGCAGTGCATTGTGTGACTTGTTGGTCGTCAATTGTGGTGTGGTTATTTTCAGGCCCTGCAACGGGCGGACGTCATGGCCCAGGTGCGTTTCATGCCACAGGTGCCGACGCCGCGGCTCTTCGCGCAGAAAAGTTAAGTTTTAGTGGTCCCGTTAGGGCTCGTTAGTAGCGTCGTAACGAACAAGGAACCGCCGTCGCAGATGTCAATTCCACTCGAATTGCGCGGAGCGACCTTGGGGCCCGACCGACAGGCACAGGGGCTGCCCGACTCACCCAGCAAGCAAGCCCTCGCCGTTTTCTGACTGTCCTTGAGTAGTGTAGTGTAGTGTAGTGTGCTGAGTGAGTGACCAGCTTCTGCCCTGAAATTCGACGCTTGAGCCAGCAGCTAGTTTGGTACGTGCCGTCGCCCAAAGTACAATAATAGCTGTAGGGAGTCGTCCATCCACAGTCACTCCATTTTACTATTCACCATCACCACCACCACACACGTTTCCGCCCCAACCATAGTCGACATAGACCACACAGACACACACACACCCAGCCGCACCTCCCTCCGCCCTCCATACATCTACCTTCAGCCGCTTATTCTCTGCTGCCTGCCTCGTCGTCCGCATTCGGCTACGGGCACCCCCACGAATTGCTCCGTATACATCCCCCCCAGTCGACTCGACGCATCGTGCATGCACGTCAAATTTCTTGTAACCCTCCACAGCAGCTGACCTGCGCCTGCCTTTTCGCGCAGCGCGCGCTTGCTCGCTCGTCCCGAATCGTCGTAGCCGCATACCATACCCGTCAGACCGCGATGTGGGAGAGCTCCTAGCTCGAGCTTCAGGACGGACACACAGCCGGCTGTTGATCCTCTCTCTCTCTGTACTTTACTCAGTGGCGCCGCTCGCCCTTCCGCTCTCTTTCATGCTTGCTCGCGCCATGAGGACGTACTAGCTTCCATCCAAGTTCTGCTTTTACTTCCACCACTACGACCACCACGACCACCATCACCACCACCATGTCGCTGCTACACGACACCGACCCCCGGCCGCGCATGCCTTCACCCCAGCCCAGCTTCGCTCGCATGACGGCCGCTATCAACATTCCCAGCTCGCGAGGCAGCCCGGCCATGACACCCTCGTACCTCAATGGCTCCCTCCAGTCGACTCCCGAGGGCATGGTCCCCATCTCGTCCTCGCTACCCGCCATACCTTCCTACAACCTGCCCGAGTCGCTCCTCCCTCCACCATTGTCGTCACCGCCAACCTCGTCCCCGTCTGCCATGGCCGAGGCCCTGGGAAAGGGACCAGGGCTTATTCGAAGAGTTAGCCGAGGTGCACAGGGAATCCCAAACAGGTTCCGACGGGGCAATTCAAGTGCACGCGACAAAAGCTCAGGGCCCGTCATGATGCGCCGGCGCAGTGACAGCAGGGCTGCCGCCGACGCCGATACTGGCATCTCGGACTTTGATACCTTCGAAGAGGAGGAAGCCGTCGAGGACTTTCAAGACCCCATCATTGCCCTGGGCATCTCCAACCACACACCGAGCTTCAGCTCAATACCAGACTCGGCCGTCGTAGCCCCTGTACGCAACTCCCGCCTGGAGCAGGGCACCGTGCTGAGGAAATTCACAAAGAAGGAGAAAAAGGACATCAACTTGCGCCTCGATATGGAATCGGCCAAAGTATTCTGGGACCCTTCACGGCCCTCCAAGTGCTTCTACATTGACGATGTCCGAGAGATTCGCTCAGGCCCAGAGGCCAAGCACTACCGCGAGGAGTGCGGCGTTTCGGAGAACTGGGCACCCTATTGGTTCACCATCGTCTACACGGACACTACCCGCTCCAAGGGCCGGATAAAAACAATGCATCTGACCGCACCTGACATTGGTGTGTTCAATATGTGGACCCGGACCCTCGACTCTGTATCCCGCAACCGTATCGACATGATGGCAGGCCTGCTTGGCTTTGCCGACAAGAGCACCAAGCTCGTCTGGCAACGCGCGATGAAGAAGCGTGGTGAAGGCGACGAGTCACTGGATTTCCCGAGTACCGTCGAGCTCTGCCGCAGCCTGCACATCAACTGCACCGAGGTTACACTGCGCGCCTACTTTGAAAAAGCCGACACCCTCCAGACAGGCAAGTTGAACCAGTCACAGTTCCTGTACTTTGTACGACGCCTCAAGGAACGCAAGGATATCAAAGAAATATACAAGTCCTTCACTCCTGGACCGAAGGTGGAAATGGACAAAGTCTCCTTCTTCTCTTTCCTGCAGCGTGAGCAGGGCGTCAACGTAAATGCAGATCTCGAGTCATGGACAGCTACCTTCGAGAAGTTTGCGCGCGCAACCAAACCCAAAGCCACCCCAACAGACGGTGGCGAGACCTCATTACCGGTGACCATGAACTTTCCCGCCTTCCAAACGTACCTTACGTCACCTGCAAACTCTATCATCAAACCTGTCAGCTTGGAGCACAGGCTTGATCGACCATTAAACGAGTACTACGTTTCTAGCTCGCACAACACGTACCTACTCGGCCGACAGGTTGCAGGCGAGTCGAGCACCGAGGCGTACATCACTGCGCTTCAGAAAGGCTGCAGATGCCTTGAGATTGATTGTTGGGATGGCGCAGGTAACGAACCAGTTGTAATGCACGGCCGAACCTTGACCAAGAGCATCTTGTTTCAAGACACCATCAAAGTCATCAAGAAGTATGCCTTTACGGAATCTCCCTACCCGGTCATTCTCTCGCTCGAGGTGCACTGCTCTGCTCCCCAACAGGAGCGAATGGTCCAGATCATGATGGTAGAGTTCGGAGAGAAGTTGGTCATGCAGCCGCTGGACTTTGAATCACAAGTCCTGCCATCCCCAGAGGAGCTGAAGCATCGCATCCTCATCAAAGTCAAGGCCGCTGCTGGTGAGGACTTGGACACCAGAGCGCTGCTAGGCGAGCTATCAACCCGGAGGCAGCGCAGTTTCAGCTCGCCATGGTCTCGTCCCGTGTTGATGAACGACAATGTCATCCCAAACTCGCCTCTGCTCTCAAGCCCTCCATCCATGAGTCCGCCAGAGCGCACAGCATCATTCTGGGCATCACCACGCACGTCGACCACATCTACCAACAACACGATGCCAACCTCCACGGTTGTCAGCTCAGCTGAAGACAGTGATAGTCCTCATGTAACTGCAGCAGAAGCAGCAGATGATCGAAAGAAGCCCAAGAAGACCAAGACCAATAACATCACCAAAGATCTCGGTAACCTTGGTGTTTACACAAGAGGAGTCAAGTTTACGGACTTTGGCTGCAGTGACGCCAACTCATTCAATCATGTCTTTTCGGTAAACGAGCGCGCCTTCGAGAAGCTCACCAGACCCGGAGCTCGCGAAAAGTATCTACTCGAGGAGCACAACATGCGTTGTCTCATGCGTGTTTACCCACACGCCTTTCGAATCAACTCGTCAAATTTCGACCCGCTCAAGTTCTGGCGCCGTGGGGTTCAGATGGCTGCACTCAACTGGCAGACGTATGACCTCGGCCAGCAGCTGAACGAAGCCATGTTTTCTGGCGGCGACGACCGCACAGGCTACGTGCTCAAGCCTGCCGCACTCCGCCTCGAGTCACAGATTCCAGTGATTGGTCATAGGAAGGCGCCCAAGAAACAAGTCAAGTTCACTGTGCAGATCATCTCCGCCCAACAGCTACCGCGCCCTCGGGGTCTCGGGCAAGAAGCAAACATCAACCCCTATGTCGAGTTTGAGATGTACTGCGCAGAGGATGTGGGCGCAAACGCCACTGGCGTTGGTGGGCAGGACGCTTCTGCGCGCAATGGCCACTCCGGAATTGGCAATCCTTTGCGGAAGCGAACACGCATTGTTGAGGGCAACGGCTACAATCCCGAATTTGGCAACGAAATCGACATGACGGTGACCACAAGGTACCCAAGTCTCGTCTTTGTGCGATGGACTGTTTGGAATTCGCTCGATGCTCGAACCACCAACCATGCCCCTTTGGCTACCTTCACGGCCAAGCTCGACAGCATTCAGCAGGGCTTCCGCCACCTTCCGCTCTTCGACTGTAATGGCGAGCAGTATCTGTTCTCGACTCTATTTTGCAAGGTCAAGAAACAGGATATTGTCGATGCGCCAGAAGCCACTCTCCAACGTGCTGGTTCGCACAGATCGTTCCTCGACCCTGGCAGTCCTCTTCAGGAACCTGCAAACAGCAAAGCGAGCCGTAACTTTGTCAGACGCCTCATTTCTCGGGCCCCTAGTGAGCGCAAGAAGCGAAGAGAGGTAGAACGCACGGGCAGCGAATCTCGCGAGTCAGATGTGGACGTCGTAAATCGCTCAAGTACGTTTGAGCGATAAATTGGGCTTGCAGATGTGCTCCGCTCCCTGCAGCTGACGACGCCAGCCGCCCTTCAGCCACGCGTCAACGAACATGGGTCAGCCGCAATTGTATTATACTTTTTTTCCTATTGTCACAGGATAAGCCACAGCGATCGAATCATGCTTCGCAACGGCATCGGAGTCGCGATTCTGACTTCCGACGGAGAAGCGCAACGCCATGGAGCCGTATATCCGCAAGGTTGCATTGCTCGCCGAAGTGATGCCTCGGCACACGCATTTTTCAAAAGTTTGTTTCGATCTTATCCTGTTCGACCTGGATGGATATCTGTTTTCGTTTGTTTTTGATTCAGTATATACCCTATTCGGGCCGTTTTGGCCTTTTGTTATCTTTTTACCGGCGTAGGAAATGACGGTATCATATTCCGGCATGGCTTTGCCGGCGAGCAGCCTTCATTACCTTGGCGATATCCTATAGACTTTTTTTGTTTTCAAAGGGCTTCATTGCTCGATTACCATGTACACCTTCTTTGTCTTTTCTTATTTCCTCTGTTTACATCTTCGTTACGACGGCACGACTCAACTTGCATTTGCACCCACGGGCCGTGGGTAGGTGGCTACCTGTTGATCTTTTTCTTATCTTTTTCGTGTTTGCGGTGGGAGGATGACTTCGCTTCGCTTCGATGCAGGACATGGCTTAGTGCGGCAATTTTTGCTCTTTCGATTCCATGGCAAGCTGGGCTGGGCTGGCTTGCAGGAAGGGTGCATTGGCCAATGTCACCCTTTTTAGCGATAGAATTTACACTTTGACGGATAGGGCATACAATCGGAAGATGCCAGATACAGAATAACAGTATCGCAATATAGAAATGGTACTGTTTGCTTCACACAAGATGCTTTTTGATGCCATGTTTGCCAATAGATGCCGTCTACGATCTTCGCGTCATGTTCATGCATGCCCTTACCATCGCCTCGGGGCACGCTTTGGTCGACCAATACCACTGACGTGGCTAGCTTCCGTCTCTCCTTTCCCAATTCTACGGTGAACACACACCCTAGCTACACGCTTGACAACACCACTGCAACCCTTCCCTTCAGCCGTCCACATGCATATCCACAACCCTACAAGCGCAACAAACCATCTCCGGCAGACAAGACACGAAAAATGGCACCCTCTCTCTCCGCCATCCTCCACACATTTAGCCCTCTTCCCCCCCCCCTGAATGAATAAAACAGTGAAAAAAGACAACCTACCGACATGCTCCCGCAAACTGGCCCACTCTCCTCAATCCAGACCGCATGGAACGTTTTTGGTTGCAGGGGGGAGCGGGAGGGGGGAAACTAGACTAGTGTATTGCGCTTCCCCGCGCGAACGACGGGTCGTCCGCAAGCCACGGGCCGGTCACTGGGACTTGCTGGGGGCAGGGAGGGGCTGAGGCATGCAGGCTGTCGTCCTCTTGTGTTGTTGCCTCATTTTTCTCTTCGTTCGGCGGAGGGGGAGGGGGCTGCCTGAAGAGTGGGTTCAGGGTGGAGCCATCAGGAGATAGGCAGGCGGGCAGGCTGAAGGAAGAGGAGGAGGAGGAGGAGGAGGAGGAGGACGTTCTGCGGCCGGCATTATGCGCAGGTGCAGGACGTTTGAGTGAAGTGCAGTCAGTGCATGGGGGGGTGATGGGATTTCAATAGCTCGCTGTGTCCGCTGTGCGACGACGTGCAATTTGGGAGGAACGCAAGAATTGGTCAATAAACAAGCTGGTTAGTAGGCAGAGTGAGTAATACATGTACGTGGGTGGTAGCTTTGCTTGCTTGGTTCTGGGATTTTTGATACGGAGCAGTTTTTTTTTTTTGCTCCACTCCTTTTCCTTGGGGCCTGCATTCCGCCGCGTTACACGACATGCACGCAATACGGGAACCTAGTCTGAGCTTTTTCCAGGGCACGCACGTTCTGAGGATCGCACAGCTTTCTTGCCCTTTTCGAGGCTTGCGTACCTAACGTCTTCGCACAAAGTGGTTACGAGTTGCATGATGCATAACATCGGTATGCACGCGATAGCGATCCCGTCCTCTGAGTGGCCCACATGTCCGGCAGCATGCACAAGGCGCAGGGTGTTAGGCTGTCGACTGCAACGACGAGGCACAGTAGTCCTCCCCCCCGGTCGAAGCGACGATATCCGACCCTCCCTTTTATAGTACTGTACGAGCTATATGGCTTGGATGCAAAACCACAATCCTGCACTAATGTGCACACAGGTACCTTGCGTCTCGAGACTCGCGCTGCACGACATCAAAAAGGCCCGATACGTGAGCTTATGGCTGGATCGGCCAGTCTCCCCAGGCTGACAAGCAGCTTGGAGGCTGACTGGTTGCATGGACTTGCTCGTGTTTGAATGAGATCAGATTGTATCACCAGCAGTGATCGGTGAATGGGCTCCCGCGGCGGTGAGCTGAGCACCAAGTCAACCACTATCTCAATCTCAAAATAGCGGTCAGTTGGTCGCGATGAGAATGTGCTCGACATTAGTCAGTCTCCAGGGCGTACTTGCCATGCAAGGCGTGGACAAGTCCCCGCGTTTAGCAGGCTTAGCGCGCTGTAAATGTGACAAAAACTGGTACTTGTCTCGCCTTACCCGCTTCATGTGAGAACGCAAAGCTCCGTACTCCGCACGAGATGCTAAACTCCGAGCACAGTCAGCAGCTGCACGACGAAGATAGTGCATTCATGGTAGGTTGTCTTCTACCCATCTTCAACGTAGGCTACTCTTCGTAGTTGGACGTGGGATGGGCCGTGTTACAACCAAAGCATTACAAAGAACAGGACTCGTGTTTCCTCGGACTTGTGCGAATCATGATAGACGGGCGTGGCCCTAGTGGACGAGTCTACGCTGTTTAAGGTTCGATGAACCAGTTTTTGTGTGTAATAATTACTTGCATGAGATGGCTGCCAACGCTGGTGGCATCTTCCGGTGAGGCTCCTTGGCCTTCGAATTTGGTTTCTTGCATATCGCAAAATTAAGGCGCCATCATCTGACGACATTCGCTATCGCCAGAGATAGGCTGATACAGTCGTGTGTTGATCTGCCATATGGGAATCTAGACCTAGGAATGCACCCTGAACTTGAGGCCTCTGCTGCGATTCGTTCTCATCCTCCCAAAAGCTGACAACATATGAGCTGACCGTGCTAAGGCATGTCGCCTGAATTCTAGGTTTAGGCTTGAAAGTAATGATAGCTTCGCAAGCATGCGGTGTGATTCTCTGCGAGTGTAAGATGAGTGGATTGATTGGCCTATGCACAGCACCATAAGCTGATACCATTTGCCATGGAAGACCTTATTTGTGTCATGTTGTTAGTCCAGGATGCATGAGCTATATGGCAGCGTATGTACGTAGATCCTCGAAATTGCTCATGGCCGCGATAGCCGCTCGTACTCCTGAAGCCACATAGCCGAGCATCTCCTCCAACCCGGCACCCTCGCGAGTTGGCTGTTTGTATAAGCAGGGCAAAACGAATGGAGGAGGTCTGTCCGCACTATCGTGCATAGGGTATCGATTGGTTGCTCAATCCTCTAGCTAAGGATCGGTTGACGAATGCAGCATATGACCTTATCTAGCTGCTTCGGCGCGCATCTCGAGCTCGAAGCTGCCACGAAGTTGTGCGGCAAGGTCGCGTGCAGGAGCGAGCAGGCGTACTCGCAAATGACAAAAGTGAATGGTCGAGTCCGCTTAAGCGACGTAGTTCCCGCAGGTGCACGGCATTTCGAGACTGTGTTGCAGAGGGACATGCCGAATAGACCCCAGGAAGCGTAGTTTTAATGTCGTCCAGCTAGGTTACGCTTGGAGGCTTGCCAGGATTCGTCGTGGAAAGAGGAGGATGAACAACGCAGAGGAGTTCTTCTGGACCTTTTCTGGAGGATGATTTGAGTGATGGTGGCGTGTTCAGAGGACGGCTACATGCACCCCGCATTTAATATACGAGCCTTGATGGGCGGCCAGTCCCGCGCAGCACACGTTCCGCTCTTGTTATCTAGAACTGTGTCGCTAGCATGCGAACGCAGTTGCTCGGTTGCCAATGGGTTGTTTGGTGAAGCTCTCCGGCGATATTGCTCTGCAGCTTTGTGTCGTGCTACATCGGCAACGTGCAGCTCGTTCGAACAAGGGTTGAAAGTATCGATAAGTAGCAATACATGGGACTTGTATATGCCTACCTAGGCACTGATTGCAGTGTGCTCGAGATGAGCTGGGCTATCCGGCTCTTGCTGTGCATTTCCCTTGGATTCCCAGTCAAATTGTCTTTTGAAAGCCCATGGTGGAGTGGCCGTTGGAGAGCGTATGTCTTCAGCATCGATTTGTAGATCAGATGACAGGACGTTCTGGCTGCGTAGCAACTTGAGGTATCCAGATAGTCCACAGAAGCAGCAAGCGATAGTTTCATCTCACCAGTGACGATTTCCTGTGGCTGCTTTATAGGAAAATGAAGCAGTAGCGAAGTAGTCTGTGAAGAGCAAGTCGACATCGAGTTCTCATTGCATCCCACAGAAGACGTCATACTCGAGACAGGTATACAAGCAAGGAGGGTCCACTAATGCGGCTCTGCGTGGAGGTGGTACAAGGCTGGAGGCTGTGACGTAGGGAAGGGGGAAGAAGGGAGGGAAGAGGGCGCCAAGGCCATCGTGGACTCCCGACGTCAAGCCGCGAACAATCTTCCCCGCCGCCACACCACTGCTCGAACTGCCTCCCTCGCGCGCAAACACGCAGCGCAGCCATCTGCTCGGCTGGAAATGGTGTGAAGAGAGTCTCTCTATCCCTTCGACCCGCTCTCGTCACCCCAATATTTCCTACGAGGCCTGAGGCTCCAAACAAGGGCGTTTCAGATATTTTCTACGAGACGACGTGTGCTCAGCCTGGCGCAACCGCACCACCACATCCACCACATCCACCATGGAGGGCGCCTTCACCCACATGGGCAACCACCTCGTTTCCGACTCGGCCGCCACCATCAATGCCGGAGCCGGGGACGATATGAGCG